AGGGAAGAGGCGTGGGAAAGGGATGGGAGGAAAATTGGCGATAGTTTCGGGGTAGGGGAGTGGTTTGGGTAGGTGGTAGGAGGTAGGAAGGTACGAGGGTAAGAGGGTAGTCTTCGAATTATGTCACAAACAACACCAATTCAGAGGATGCCAGTTGGCCAGTGAAGGCAAGCAAGAAGCACCGTGAAAAGATATCGTAAAGATGATGGAATTCGAAGACTGGGGTACAAGACGAAATCTACTCTACTTATATACACTACTACCATGTGTTTTACCATGCCTAATACGAGAGGTAATGACGTCATGCTTTAGCCATGCCTTTACGTGCTGTTTGCCTCATGTTCAACTCCATGCTGTCAATCAACATCAGCATCGACATCTGATGATCCAATCACCATCTTATCGTCCATCTTATCTCCTCCTTGTCTTATCTTATCAACCAGGGCCAAAATAAAAGGTTTAAAAGGCGAAGAAAAAGGGTTTTTGAACCCAGGGTTTGACAGAACTTGTCGTATAATTTAATCTGTCATGCGTAAGACTAAGCTATGTTATCAGCATATCAACTTGCCTCTATGCGCTGCTCAGAACGTCGAGGCAATAGTGGCGAGCCTGTCGCAAATTGCAAGAAGTGGACTGCTCTGACAATGGGAGAGTTGATTTGAGCAATTTCGCCAGCTGTAAGCGTTGCTGACGACAAGGAGACAATCCCTGGTTTTTTTAGATACTCGATAAAGGCCGTCTGATAGCGTTCTTCTTCAGCATGAAGTGGTCCCAGCCCACCCTCCCCGCTGCGTGACATAGACCTCCAACATAGAAGATCGATGACTTGCTGGGGGTTTTCGACCCTGTTTCCCGTCAAAGAGGGAATGAGTTCTTTTTACGTCACCCATGGACTAGACGGGGATTGAGTTCAGCAATATCACATGGACAGTCGACACACCTCGCCCAGTGTTGTTGGAGTCGGAACGAAGATATACCGTCCAGTCAAGCCTTCTTTAAATGCCTTGGCCTCGGGTGATAATTGAAGGCTTGAAAGGGTCTTGAAGAAGATTTGACTACGAAATTTTTTTTATGGCGGACTGATAATGATTGTCATCGACCTCGCAGTCTGCAATGAAGTTCTGCATCTGTTTTAAACTTAGCGCAACTATCGACATCACGAAAACCCAAATATTATACCTGAACTTCTTCATGGATAGTTATATGTATGCCTCCATCACTTGTATCTCACGACACTGTGGCTCCGTTGCCAGCTTGCTCTGCAGCTCTGCCAGCGACTGCGGAACCTGTTTACACTCTGATGCCCGTGCCGGATCAAGCTTCAAGAGCAAGTCGTCATCGAGTAAAAAATCGTCTTCACGAATGTCGGCGAGACACCAAAAAGCGAAGAGAGGTGTAAGTCGGGACGGTAGACACTGCTGATGGACGATATAAAGACTGCACAGGTAGCCATATGCCTCTAATGTGCGCTTCCGGTTCGCCGAAAATGTGTGGATGCCCTTCCGAATGCGCAGGAAACTTTCATCCTCGCCATCTTGTTCCCAAATGTGAACGTCACTGAAGACGCGATGCATGACATTGGTCAAAAGTCCGGTGAGTAGCCCTGCGCCCATTGATCCAGAGCTAAACTGAACGTCAATATCGTTGGTCATCTGCTTCAGTAATCGCTTACTATTCGACTTTAAGATTTTTACTGAACAAGTCAAACCGATTTGCCGACCATGGAACTTCGGGCTCAATGAAAGGATCGTGCACAAAATTGTCAGAAGAGAGGATTTCAACCCCATCTTGAGGTTCATATCGTGGCCCTCCATAAAAGCTTTCTGCAAGCCTGAAAAGCGTTTCTACTGCCTCGTTCGGTCCAAGAGCCTTAAGTTGTACTGTGATCCCTGGGCGGAGCCGCAGAATGGAGCGGCTCCATGCTAGCGCATTTGGATATATTGTCCTGTTCTCTGAGGAGACCACAGTCGAAGGGCTGGACTGCAAGAATGTGTTAATATCAGCCCCGATAATGATAAATAAACACTATACTGTAAAAGTAGGTTGGCCAAATATGCGGGTAGAGGTCAAAGCACGTGGCTGTGGAGGGCTAGTGCTCAAGTCGATTATATTGCTGGAGTTGTCGTTGAGACGACGACGGACGGCAGGACGTTGCTGAATAGGCTACTCAAATACATTTAAACAAATAGGATAGTGTACTTACGGCGCTGTGGCCTTCAGGACTAGGTGGAAGAGGACGTCTAGATGGACCGGCAACAGGACCAGGCTGTGACAAGCCAGGCCTAGGACGCAATGCGATAGCAGGCTGCATGTTTCAGTCTGTTGCAACAGTGCAAAAGGAAAATCATACGAGAGGGTGGCCCCGCAAGTCTGATGATAATGGGGCAACTGACTCTTGCAAAGCATGCTGCAGTTGGGCTTCTTCTTCATCGCTCTAAACGATGGTCAGCATGATGTTGATAAAACTCTATAACTGACATTGTCGGGAACAAGATCGTGGTCATCCAAAAAGAGCGGAAGTGGCTGAGAAGATGTGGATGGTCTAGCAAGAGCTGGGAAAACTTGCTCCTGAGTGGCTACCATCTATTAAAAAAATCCTTGTTAAGCGATAGTCATTATAGCAAAGAAGCTAGTACGGACCCTATGTGTTGGAGGACAGAGCGTCTCAATACACTCCAATGGATACTTGTCGGCATTGGTCTTATTCAGAACTCGAAACGGGGTAGCATGTATGCATGGATTGAAGATCGTCGCTTTGTGGTAGTGATCCTTCAAGCGGCTTACCAACCGGAGCTGGAGATAGGTTTGAGAGAAAGCATAGACGAATAAATCAGGCGCACCGATCAGATAGAAGGGTACAGGGCTAGACACTGGTTTAATCATTGAACTCCGACCGCGAAAGACAGTAGAGTCTAAGTTTTCTGGACTAAGACTGGCTCTTGAAATGATGCGGCCTTGTGAGGACTTGTTTTCCTACGGTAACGAAAGTCCACGGAAGACTGTCGAAGTTTCGAAAATGATCGTCATCTTGCATAAGGGTATAGTCGCTGACATGCGCCCATTGTCCACGGTGAGGAAGGAAGGTAAACCGTGCGTGAGCGCTGAGCAGGCAGGCATTGACGGCTTGGTCTATAAGAATATATAGAGGAACCACAGAGGGGTTAACGGGGAACTGAAATGTGAAGATGAGGCCATGGTCTTTGAGTGCGATATACAAGCCAGCATGTTCTGTTTGGAAAAGACGGAGTGTAGAAGGAAACAGGTCGGGAATAAAGACATCAGTGTCCTGCTGGTGAGCGTCTATCTATTGCAGGATCTCAGATTGTTGCTCAATATGCAAGTGTGACATCGTACCGGTAGAGGAATAATACCAAACTTGACCTCAACAAAGTTCGGGTCAGGAAGGTTTTGTCCTATGGTTGGAACCCGTTTTTGGCCCGGAAAAGGGACGATGGAGACCACGGGGGACAACTGAACCCGTTGCAGTACCCCACTGTTGTTGGTGACGAATCTGCTGTTGGCGGTGCTGGGCAGTAGTGCCATGAGGGCGCTGTGTTGGGGGAATCCATGCTGTCGGTGTCAGTGCAAGAGCAGGAACGACAATGGTCCTACAGTTGATATCAGCAAAAGTGACAAGAAATAAGGGAGTGGAGGGTACGAATTCGAAGAAGTATTGGTTGATGTTGTGTTAGGTATCTGGCGGCTATAAATTGTAAGCCAAGGATAATAGTTAGCACAGAAGCTATATACCTTGCCTCTAGTCGAGCATGGCTGGTATATGGACGACCACAGCCAGCACGCGTACAGAATGGGTTTGTTATAGGACCATCAAGACTCTATGCCAGGTTAGTCAATGCTAAGAGTCAAAAGGGTCTTACTCCATCAAAGCCAGAGCATGTAACTCCTGGAATCGTGCAAGGTCCACGGGCTGGAAGAATACGGGGTGGTGGTCTGTGGGCTGATACACTATGGCCACACAGGCAAGTTGACAGTGGGTTGGTAGTTGACTGAAAAGAGCTTGAGAATGGCATGGACGTGCAAAGAATGCATACGGGGTCATGGTCAATGCAGTCGCCAGGCGGGCATTCGCGACAGCCTGCCATGGTGGCAGAAAGGGGAGAAAAAGAGTCAAGTCTCCTGGTTTAGTCAGAGTCACGGTGAAAAACGATCGAGTGCACATACGCATCAGGGCCAAAAAAAGACGATCAACACATGAGACAAAATACTTTGTGGATCGAGCAAAAAATGAAATTGGAGCCAAGCAAAAATAGAATAAAATTCTCCAAAAAAAGTTGTGAAATCTGGTTTTTTGTCAGAGCGTTTTTGGTTTTGGATTGCACATTTTTGATTTTGAATTCCCCAAGAAATATTTGCCAAACAGTAAAAAGATTTCGCACAGAGAGGTTTGGTTTTGAGTTAGTAGTTGCAACTTATTTGCTCGATAATCTTTCAAAAGATTTGTGGTGCTTGAACTTTGGTGCTGAGACAGTGAATTCACGATGTTCATGGCGTAAGTGAAAGAAAGAACAAGAGTCACAAAATCAAATCAGATGGTTACAAAATCTTTTATTTTAGTCCGAAGAGGACACCCATACCTGCGCTGGTTTCCCGAGACTTTGCGCATCTTGAAGAGTTTGATTTTTGATTGGGAGAGAGTGATTCCAACAGCGCGTTTTATCTTCCGTGTGGTGAAGGATTGGAAATACTTTGGAGTAACGACACTGGAACATGAAGAAAATTGAGAAGGATTACTGTACTTACTTTTTTCGGATTATTTCAGTTGGTAGCTTGGTATTTGCTTGTTGGGTAGAGGTTCCCTTGTAGACGGGGAGCAGGCCGCCCACATCCAGGTATCAGGTTCGGTAGCTCTCGGATGAGGCAGTATTACCGTATTACAAACAAACAAACCCCGATTATTATTAGTACGAAAATCATACTGCAACTGGAAAATGACACAGCTTATATTTAATCATAATTTACTACGTGGGTAAAGCTTCCGTCTAGTTGGACGTGCGCAAGCCGTGCCGCGAGTGCGTCGCCCAAGTCTGCTTTCCCATCGATGTAAAGCTTTTTTGTGTGTGTTTTGCACCGGCGTACAATCGCCCCCACATCTGGTCGACTCCACAGGCATGGAAGACCTGCGCATACGCCGCATGAATGCGGAACAACTCGGGACTCGGAGCGTCGTTACCCGTGAACTTTATTTGCGTGGTTCGTTGGCCAGTCGAAAACTTGATATGATCAAGCAGAGTGTGCCCTATATAGGTATTGGGCTCGTTTAACACCTGAAACACATGGGTAAAGCAAGGAGCGAGGAGCAAGAGGACAGACCGGCTCGAAGTAACATCTGAAACTGCGGACAAGCCAGTGGTCAAAGTCGCAGAGCAATATAGCGTGGCGGGGGGAGTCAGTTTCGAGCTCCGCGATGGCTTCGAGGGGCGTATCAGTCCAGGACTGGAACATCTCCCAAGACATGTCGACGCTGTCGGTCGGATACGTGCCCTGTTGAGGCAAGTAGCAAACAGGCCAGTCTCGCCGATGATAGATACTCACAGATATAGGGAGGATACGCGTAACCTTCGTGGGCTGGATACCCCGGATAATTTCAGGTAGCTTTTTGTTGGCCACCATGAGCCGCTGCATGTACCCTGCGTCCCAAATATCAGCCTGGATCAAGGGACGATTGCCTTCTCGCTGTAGCAACTAGCCACGAGTGAGTTGAGAGGTTTCCTGGAGAGCATCTACTCACAAGGTCATGCAAAGAAGGTTGTTTCGGAAGCGTGTCGTCGCTGCTACCGCTGTCCTCAAGACGCGATGAGCGCGAAGGGTTCTCTAGCCGGAGCGTTAACACTACTTAAGGGTCAGTTCAACATCTATACAAGTTGGGAGGTTATACTGGGCACAATCAAATGGTTGAGCCACGCTTCAGCGACGTCCACCAGAGTAGGAGCTGGATCGGAGCTGGTTTGCGCATCTATAATGACAAGGGCAACATATCGGGTGCCACTCTCCGTTGGCGCATGCTTTAACATGGCCTCGACGAGACGGTCTAAACGGTAAGGAGAGTCTCCTTTCGGTGGCTCTTGCAAAGAAGCGGAGTGCGTTGTGATGATTTCAAGTGCTTGGTTGACAAGTGAGCGGGTGGAAATGGAGATTGTTGATGCATATTTCTGGGAAAGAATGAGCGAAGGAGACATCCTTCTCTCAGGCTCTTGACTTGGAATCGACTCGGAATCAGCCCTGAATCGTCACAGCACAGGTGCAAGTATTTTTATGTGTGACATGGACAAGCCCTGCGTTACGTAATATCACTTATGATTTGGCGTTTGTTTGTTGTTCGTAGTACATAAGCTTGCAACATTTCTGACTTTTGTTATTACCGTGTAACAACAACAACAACCTTTTCCCGTAGGAGTGCAGAGAAGCCTCAAGAAGATATTAGTCACTGGCAGCTGGAGAAATTAGTCAGCAGCGCGTGCTACGCCCTCTCCGACGGACTTGTTCACATTTATTTCAGCGGGTAAACACCAAGCTTAGAGTATAATTGGATACTGTCAGAATGAGCACTGAGATCTAGAGTACTCAATGCAAGACTGTTACAGTAATATTAATATGCTGAACCTTCAGTTGCAAGGTCAACGACTAGAGACGACCAGTCAACATCGATTACATTATCCTATCCTATCCTCGGTTACTCGATTTGTTACTCTATTTGTCTATAATTTTTCTATAAGCTAACACTCCAGTTGGACCGTGCAGTCAATACAATCAATTTGGGCGACCTCCCAATGACTTCCCAATGACTTCCCAATGACTTCTCCTCAAACTTTGCTGTAATACAAAACCTGTGCGAAAGCAGCGTGAATTCGCAGCAACTGTCGGCTTGGCGGGTCTATATCTTTGATCGACTTGAATTTGACCGTTGCTGTCTTCTTCCCGTTTGATAATTTCAGTATGCACGTAGCATCTCCCATGAAATGGATGCATCGTAGAGCTGGGTATAGTCAGCCCGAAGGTCCAAAGGAAGATGGAACACATACGCTGGTGCTAGAAGTAGTAGTAGACTTTCTCTTCGACTCAGTGAATGAGTTCATCACCAGCGGAATGATGTGGCACGCTTGCAGCTCAATGAGAACAGAATACGGGGGGGGTGGAGGACATGTATCAGGTTCCAAGATGAAAGCCTTCGCCATACTCCTGATCTGGCCAGATTCCCAAATCTTCGCGATGGGGCATTGGTAACCCTCGCGTAGGAGAACCTTGCAGGCATTGAACCGGGTCAAAGAGAAAGAGTACAACATTGCTTCATACTTTGTCATGCAGGTCTGACTGTTCTGCTCGAGTAGCGGGCAAAATGCGAGACGCGGTATCCTGCAGATTGTCGACCTGGTTGGCGGTTGGCGGGGATGGGTCTGTTTGACGCATGGATTGCACTAGTTAGGTAATTGGCATGGTGGAGAAAATGGCATTGTATACACGTACTTGGTAAAAGGAGGTGGTGCAACCACGCTTGGGCAGCTTGAGACAGCCCGTCTGCTATGTTTTCTTGCTCAAGGGCTTGCATAATGATGAGGGCGGCGTAGCGGGAGCCAAGGTTTGTCGGCGCGAAGGTTATCATAGAAGATAAGAGTCGATCGATTTGGTACGTGCTGCTGCCTATAACGACAGTAGTTGAGGGTTCTAGCCACTTCCGAATAGCCTTGTACGCGTTCTTGCGGAGCTTCTCTGTTGGAACTTGAGGGTTTGTGAGAATTTCCAAGTAGCTGCCAGATAAGATTGAAAAGGCAGACGACGCAGACGAGGACGAGGACGAAGAGGTTTCTTTCTCATGGGACATGGCGAACGGAAGGTCACGTCACGAAGGTCACGTCACAGTCACAGGCCTTGAATGTATGAAGTACCGAAGCTCACCACATTTAAACTCAACTGGCCGCAAAGCCAGCTATAATCTATAGAGCTTATGAGAGGGGATAAGGCCGCAAGCGGCAGAGAGCCGAACCGTGACCCTGCTGGACACATCATGTGATCATTGTGATGCCGTCCCAATAAGGGTAATCAAAACACAGCCACTCTCAATTTGGGGGGGCTGGTTTTCATCTTCACTTATAGAGCCGAAACTTCGGTTCGGCAATTAGAAGACGTGGGAAAGTGACTTTTTCTTTCTTTTCTATCTGTGTGTCATTTCTCTGTTAATGTTTTCGAGTGGAGCCTGCCATGTACTAGTAGTTGTTTGCTTGTCTCTTTTACAGACCCAATATTGTGGCGGTCGTATACGAGAAAATAGTTGTTTGCTTGCTCACAGGACAACGACTCTAAATCTCAACCTCTAGTCTTCGAGCAGTCAAACCCTTCATGCTCAAGAGGCTTGAGGGCTTGAACTTGAGCAGGGGGGTTTGGCGAACTTGGAACAAACAGGAGTCTGTTTGTGAATCAGTCTTTGCCAAATAACAAGCTATCTCTACGACCAAATAGAAGATTGACACGGCCTATATTCCGGTAAAATTTCCGTGTAGTTGGACGCGCGCAAGCTGGGCCGCGAGCACGTTGCCCATGTCCGCTTTCCCATCGGCATAGAGCCCTTCTGCATGATCTACCCCGGCGCATAGCATATCTGGTCGACTCCACAAGCATGAAAGACATGCGCGTACGCTGCATGGATCCGGAACAACTCGGGGCTTGGGGGGTCGTTACCCGTGAACTTGATTTGCGTGGCTCGTTGGCCAGTCGAAAACATCATGCGATCGGCCAAAGTTCGCCCAACATACGTGTTAGGCTCGTTCGAAACCTGGAGACATGCTCAGGAGTAAAAAGAAAAATAAGCAACAAGAGGGCAGACCGGCTCGAAATAGCATCTGAAACCGCGGACGAGCCAGTGGTCGAATTGGCCCAGCAACATAGCGTGGCAGGGAGAGTCGGTTTCGAGCTCCGATATAGCTTCGCGCGACATATCGGTCCACGCCTGGAACATGGCCCAGAACATGTCGGTGCTGTCGATTGGACAGGCGGACTTTCGAGCAGAATAAGTAGCAAGCAAATCAGTTGCAGGAAACCTACAGAGATAGGAAGGATGCGCGTGGCCTTGGTGGGATGGATACCACGGATAATGTTAGGTAGTTGTTTGCCGGACAGCATGAGACGCTGCATATACCCTCCGTCCCAGACATCAGAGATGAGCGCGCGATAGCCTTCTCGCTGTAGCAACTGAACACGAGTGAGCTAAAAGGTTTCAAAATATCTAAACTACTTACAAGGTCATGCAAAGAAGGTTGTTTCGGGAGGGTGTCATCGCTACTACCGCTGTCATTGAGACGCGATGAGCGCGAAGGGTTCTCTAGCCGGAGCGTTAACACTGCTCAAGGGTCAGTTCAGCATCTATACAAGTTGGGAAGTTATACTCGGCACAATCAAATGGTTGAGCCACGCTTCAGCGACTTCTACCAGAGTGAGAGCAGGATTGGAGCTGGTTTGCGCATCTATAATGACAAGGGCAACATATCGGGTGCCATTCTCCGTTGGCGCATGCTTTAACATGGCCTCGACGAGATGGTCTAAACGGTAAGGAGAGTCTCCTTTCGGTGGGTCTTGCAAAGAAGCAGAGTGCGTTGTGATAATTTCAAGTGCTTCGTCTAAAAGTGGAGATGGTGGGATTCGACAGTCTTGACACATTTGCTTCAGATAGAGTGGTGAGCGGGGACATGCAATTGGGTTCCACAAAAATTTGTGACAGGGGGTGATTAGCTAAAAGTACAGTCATCAGCCGTGTCCAGTTTAAGCAAGTCCACAATCATGCATTAACTGGGACGCATTTGCACTCTCGAGGGACCTGATGTCAATAAAGAGTCGACAGCTCTGCGCAGTTCCGACATTCCACTCAACCATTGTCCCCTGATGTTCGGACATCCATTGTGGTCGCAATCGGTGCGTCTGAGCACTTTCAGCAAAGCTATCAACAGGTAAACGAGGAGCGTTAACCTTTGTGAAGCAACCTGGAACGCGCGTTGCATAGTTTTATCGGCCAGCGCCGCGAAAAATTTGGGCTCTCCATGAACCAGCACTCCTAGCAAGTCAGGATAATCAGTGCGGTCCCGAAGTTCCTCATCGGAAGAGTGTAGTAGATGTGCTCGCTTTTTCATAGGCTCGGATAGGGTGACACTGTCGAAAGATATCATCGCTAGGGTCCGTATGGCAGATACACGAGTAAACATGTTGCTGTGCTAAGTATGAGCATCTGAAAGAAAATGGTAGCAAAAAAACTAACCTCAGGGAAATGAACAAGAACGGAAGACCACCAACGTCATACAGGTCGATGTCAGGCCGATTTCGGCCGGCAAGCGTAAGCTTTTCGAGCAATTCACACGGATCGGATCGTGCCATGGCCGCTGCCTCGCAGTAATTTGGATCCCGTAGGTCGGCGTCGAGCCAGCGACTCCCAGGAAACATTTGAAACGCGTTACAAAGAATATGGGCAGCGCGGGGGTCGTGGCTAAGCCGATGTAGGCAACGAACCACAGCCGCCCTCATTCCTTTCACCGGACGTTTGCTGCTTGCACCTTGATCGATGTATGAATCCTCGCGGGAGAAGTCGGTGAGATGCAGCACGCGAACAAGCTGCCAGCAAAGGCCAGCATGAATTGCAGCTGGAATCGTTGTTTCGTGAAGCAGAATGCATTCCAGGAGATGCGATGCCGTGTAAACAATGGCTGGTTCCCCGCCTGACCTTATCCACTCAGTAATAAGGTTAAACACTCCGCCTTCAATCAAAGTCATCGCATGTGAGGGTTGGTCACTGAGTAGCTGCAAGAGCCATATATCCTGCTGTAGAAGATCTGAGCTCGATCTTGGCTGCCTATTTTACCGGTGGGAACATGTTTCAACAGGCTCGACTAGACAAGACGTACCTCAGTAGCACGAGAAAATCATGGCAAGGTATCTCGGCCAGAACCAGCTTCGCCCACTCGGAGTCGGAGAGCAGACGTGAAAAGACGCGGGTAGCTTCCATGCTTGTTTTTTTGTTCGGTGAATGGAGGTGATTCATTTGACGGACTCGTCGCACCACATCGGTAACTTGAACAGACAGCTGTGGCCAGACTGCGCTCTCTGAAAACACCTTCAAGACCACCGCGCAGTCCTCCATATCGAGGAGAGAAACAAGGGTATTATGCATGGTTTCGTTTGAGGAAAGCCTCTTCAAGAACGTAACAAGAAGCGGGGCCAGGTCTGGTTTCGCATTTGCGCTCTGAATCAGCGCGTGGAGCTCGTTGAAGTCGAAACTCTGGATGATGATGTCTGCATCGCCCTCATGGCCAGCGTCATATCTTCGATGCAGTTCGGAGAGCACCAGACCCTTAGTACCCGTAGAAACGTACTTGTACCTGGAAGGAAGCTCTTCAGGGTATCGGAGCATCATTACAAAATACCACTCACCGAAGGTAGCTCATCAACACCTCTAAAACATCTCCTCCAGCTACCAAGGGTGAATCGCGCTGCTGCTCGATAAAGCTCCTGGCTTGTTGTTTGTACATCCGTTTCATGGCCGGCTTTGCCACGAAATGCAGCGAAATCGTTGCCGCTGGCGGAGTACTATCTGTCCAGTTACTGTGGACGCTTGGAATCGTGGCTGACCGTCGAAGGGCGGCCATGGTGGTAGAGGTCAAGCTAAATTTGGATGCCACATTGTATTGCCTTCGCACTACCGTCCAATTCTTTGTTTTCCGAAGAGGTAAAAGGGAAGTCAATATATCACCCCATCAATTGTCACGATCAACGACATCATCCAATCTTACATCACGTGCAGATCAAGCCAACAATATTTCGAGATTAGGTGGTGTCTAATAAACAGTGCTAGTACGATACAACGTCGAGGTTCAGAGTCCTCGTTAGTCAAGATGGATACAGAGGGTGCAAGTCGCAAGAGGTTGGGCTACAGTGTGTTGCAAGGCAGAAAATTAGTGATGTTATAAATGTTATCCGAGTCGGAGCGTTGGTTTCGTCATATCCCATAAACCTGATAATCATAGCCCACTGCCTGGCCCCAAAAAGCGGGATCGCAAGCGCCAACAGGGACTTCGCCGCTAGGAGTCGGCGCGCCGCCGAGTTGGTGGGGGTGGACAGAGGAAGTTGTGGCAAGCGGCCACGGAGAAAGGCCGGGAGCATTCGGAGCACCGGTTGTCAGGAAAGCCTTGTACCGTGCTTGGATTTCCGTCGTCAATGCAGTTTGGGCAGCCGTTGGGCTTGGAGTTGTGCCGAAGACGATGTAAATGTCGTCTTCGTGGCAGATAGCCCCGTCAACGCAGAATGCAACATCGTTGTTGGACGGATAAGTCGCACCAACAACGAATTGGCCAACATAGGCTTTTCCACCGTGCTGAGTCCACTGCCGGGCAAGAGACCACGTGGGGCAGCGCCACATATAGTCGCTACCAAGTGTCTCGAGGGGAGTCCGGATATCAGCGACAGTAAAATCATAGAACGGTGATGCAGAGACGATGCTGGTACGGTCTGGCCCAAGGGATCCATCGCAAACAGTGGAAGTGAGGGTGTTGGGGAGGGAACTGGTGAACATGCCGAAGATGGTGGGACCAGCCTCGTTCTTGACATTAGTCAGGAGAAGCGGTTTCGATTGAGAAGGGAAGGAGGAGCCAGAAGTCAGATCAAGAGCAGTCGTGATGAGACTACCATCGCGAACAGGACGAATGGGTTCCCCAACTCCAGTCGAAGGGTCAATGGACTGAGCCTTGCTACTGAGGACGACTTGTGCGTTGAGGATAGCCGCAACAGAAAGCGATTTCTGGCAAGCCGTGTTTGAAGCAGTGCAGCCGGTCAGTGTGTTAAAGGTGGACTGCAGGGAGTTTTGAGTGGATACATTCAGGAACCCATAATTCTAGATGGATGTAAGTTTTGAAACGAAGAGGACAAGCATATGAACGCACGATAGGATCAGACTGCATGATGGAGCTTTGGAAAAGAGACGACGCCGAGGGAGCTGCAAGAAGAGCGCGAATCATGCCTGCACCAGCGCTCTGACCGGAGAGGGTAATCTTCTTCGCATCTCCACCGAAAGAGGGCACGACCTTGCCGAGGAAAGTCAGCGCGTTGATAGTGTCCTTGACTGCCAGGTTTGTCGCGCCGTTAGGAGCCATAAAGCCAAGCTGAAAGGAATTTAGTAAGCGAGCCACACCTTATATCAAGCCCAACTGACCGCTCCAAGACGGTATTGCATGACTGCGACAATGGAGTTGGTTGCAACTGCCAACTTGGAGCCGTCAAGGCCGGGCCCAGTCGCGGAACCAGCGATGAAAGAACCACCGTGGATCCAAACAAGAGTTGGAACGCCACTATTTGCCTTCAGAGTCGTTGGCACGTACAAGACCATGGAAAGACAGTCTTCAGTGTAGGCGGATGAGTCGACGTTAGGTTGAGGGCAAGCCAGAGGAAGTGCTGAGGCGTTCGTAGCTCCGTTTCTATCGGGATACAGTGAGCAACACGAGCAAATTTGGAAGCGAATAATGACGGACGGTAGTTCCCATTTTGTCGCAATGGTGGAGGTAGACCATCGAGCAGCAGAAGCATATCTAACCGCAAAACGGGTTACGCCTGAGCCATCCGAAACTCCCTGAGCGGTACCAATCGGCGTATTGACCTGCTTATTGGAAACAGACGCGATTCGACTACAGATTGGCTTCAACATGGGCAGTTGGCAAAGCAGTCCAGTGTTGATAGCGGGAAAAGCAGGGATGCCTTGAACCGATGTCGTTGTCGTTAAGCCTGGTATCTGACGACCAGTCAAGGGTACAGCACCAACCAAGGGCGCGACGACGGCCAGAACGAGGGCGAATGCGACGACCATTAGGGAAAGGAAGGAAGGGGAGGTTGGTAAGGAATGTGAAAGGCGGGATTTCGAGGATTTATACGACTGGGCCCAGCCAGGAACGATTTTAGTGCGCGAAGCCGTCCAACAAGGCGCTCCATTTAAGTCGTGAAGAAGCGAGAAGAAGGCTACCAAATTCGTGACAATCATGGGAACGCATCACTTCCCATCAACCGCCATCAAAATCGTCTTCTATCCCTTCTTCCAGACGGAGCTCAGTCCTCGTCCACGCGTCCTACAAATACTTGACCTTGTACTCCTGCATCTTCCAACAGATCGAAACATCAGAGTCTCTTCGCGGCACGAGCACGGATTCAAGGCATTCTAAGGGTGGTTGTGGTGGTTGACTCCCACAACCATTGTTCTCCGTTGCTCACTGTTCTGTCGTACAACAATTGCTGAACGCACACTATGGCCGTCAAAGTCGCATGAGATCTGTCTATCGATTACTAGTCGCGGCTTTTGCTTTTCACTGCAGCACGCCGAGACACCCGGAGAACAAAAACAAACAAGACTTGATAATACAAGGACCGCCAGTCCAGCCAGCGCTTGTTTCATTACGAAGACGCGGCTGAACGAGTTCCAGTCTGATTGATCGAGTTTAAACTAGTCAACCGCTTTCTCACCCACATTCCCCACCTTCTCGACAGGTCGTAAGTGGGAATGGCGAGCAAGAACCCGAGCTGCTGGGTTGCGTCTTGCTCGTACGGGTACGTGATCCGCTTTCACGCAGCGCCGTGGATCCTGACAAGCTCGGTCAGCCCGCTTAGAGCAAAGACAATGCAGCAGCGCATTACTTTGTCTCCCGCTCCCTATAAGCTACCTGGCGACGACGGAGAGGACATCAGCACCTCACTCTGTCTCGCCAGGTATGCACGCATTACTTTAGTACCTACTTACTCACCCTGTCTCGCCAGTTGGACTTTACGCTTATCGGCCCTTCATACCGCTCGGCCCCTGCCAATTCATCATGTAGTCTCGGGGCAGCGCCCCCGGGACTGACTTCCGACTCAACTCATCAATCGCGATTTAACGAACGACGACAATTAGAGCTGTTGTTACGAGACCTATTGCCCAGGTAGACAACGCCGTTGCTCGGCATTGGCTCGATATGGTCTCCGTTCACAGTCAATCTGGAAATACCATTCGTACAACGTCCGCAGCGTTGCATGATGTGTCCCTCTTTGGTTTGTGATATTCTTGTTGCCCTACCAGAATCGGCTGACCTTCTCGGTTTCTCATCGTAGTCCCATGCCCACTCCGGATGCAGTCGGTGTTAACACCAGTTACTCATCCAGAAGCTTCAGCCCATGGCTGACACCAAGTTTTGGCCAGCAATGGGAGCGCAAGCAATCCAACGAGTAACAACAAAGCTTCTTTTACAACATCCACCAACACACGCCTATGTCTATTCCCCCTCCCGCATCATTACTGCCTTCTCGATGTCTACGAGCGATATATTGCTCTTATCACACAAAGCCCGAAACAGACTGTTCTCGTTGGCAAACAACTGGACTGGGGTGTCAAATTCCGCGATTTTCCCGGCATCCATCACTGCACCAGGTCAACAACCACGCGTCAAGGAAGGGTTGGACTCACCCAGTATGCGGTCGTATGAGATGATTGTGCGAAGGCGATCTGGAAAGGCGTAAGCAAGAAGGCCCCGCTACCGGCGTGGTTCTTACGGGCGATGCAAATGAGTGTCCTATCGCTAAACTGCGTCTGGATGGTCCGCTGGATTTTGTTGTCCGTTTCAAAGTCCACCGATGCACTTGACATATGAGTCGAGTGCCAAGCACACAGCAAGAAAACCCACGTTGCCTCATCCAGTATAACTACCCTTGAGTCTTTCACCAACGCCCGCGCCAAACTTAACAAACTTCGTTCGCCGACACTCAGATTGGCCCCTTCCGCATCAATAACGGTGTCCAGATTGATGCGATGTTGCGCTGGAGTAGTTTCTGTCATGGTTTCTGTTGATGACCGTGCACTATCGACGAGGTACGACCGCCGAAGAGCATCCCACAGTCTTGCATCATCGTATTTCGAAAACGGGTCAAGCACGGAACGAACGGTACCACTGAATAACGTTGGCTGCAAGCAAGTTGTTAGCATGCCAAGCCACAAGGAATACACACATCCTGGGGGATTATTGCAATACTTCCGCGCAAGTCCGTCAATCCGATCTTCCCAATATCCACACTGAAGCATTGATCAGCTGTCAAGATTGCTGACGATGGAATCGCTTACTTGTCGACAGTGATTTTGCCAACATACTCTACAATTCTCAACAGGCAGAGAGTGAGCGAGCTTTTGCCTGCGCCAGTCCTGCCAACCACGCCGATTTTCTCGCCAGGCTTGATCTTGAGCGAGATGCTGTGCAGAACATTCGGGAGACCCGGTCGATACGACATGGTAACATCATTGAACTCGATTTCTCCTCGATCCGGCCATGATGATGGGAGTTTGGTCGAAGTTGTGCTCTCGTGAGGGGCTTCCCGCGGGATTATATCACCTCGTGCATAATGAACCACTGGTCGCCCTATCAGTCGGACTAATGGACGGAAGTACGGGCGCGAACCTCGCTCGACTGAATTCATGTAATTCTGCGGCGGTGTCAATGCGATTAAACGAAGATAAAAACTCCTACTTCAACTTCGGCTGATTGTCTTGTCGCCATCGCGAAGGTTTGGGTCAATGACGCTGAATAGAAGGTCAAGACAAACGTTAACGTTGGCCTGCATGCACTCAGAACTCACTGGTATAAGTGAGTATCAGCCCGACCTCTGCTGCATTTACACCGTTGATTCCAACAGCAACAAATATTCCGACCAAGAAAACGAGAACGGAGCCCATCGCATCTAGCCGGATCGCGAGCCATCTGATCCGATCAATTGTCGTGATACTCGCGAGCGAGATACAACCAAACCTTTGGTTAGTGACCGTCAAGAACAAAGCGCGATTTTCGAGGTCGATATAATATTTATTGTCTCGAATGAAGCGATCGATCTCTCCGTAACTTCGAATAGTCGGGAGGCCTGCAAGCCGTCAATAATGCAGAATGAGGAACGACGGTCAGAACCTGTCAAAGACTCTGAAAGGTGCGAGTAGAGTAAAGAGCGAAGCATCGAATCAAGCCGTTTCATCTCGAGGGCGCCTGCGCGGTAGAATTGCTGATAATAACCGTAGCCTACGATGATACCTAGAGCTGCGACAACTGGAGGAGCTATTAGTCCCGGGTGACCAAGCAGGCCTGAACACGCACTGAAGTAGTGGGTGACAATAGTAATCACCAAAATAGCTCCAACCACCGCACATATCACGACTATGACTATAAAATGTTTAGTCGCCGAACTTGAATAGTGGACAACCGACCGTTACGCACACATTCGGAGGGACACTAAACGCAGTGCATGAGGCAGATACAAATGGCTAGAAGGAACACAACTTACTAGGCAATGCATTGTCGATCGCTGTGACAGCATCAGCTCAAGTATGAAGGATGAAAGGAAATTTACTATCAATGTCCTTGCCGAACTGTTTCATTGTGAGCTTAGAATTCGTTGCCTGGATCAGACCGAAAGGATTCACGCACAATGCTTAATATTCGGCCCATGGGCTGGAAGAGCCATCAGCAACACCCACTTGATGGTTCAACGCAGACTACTTACTGTCGTGTCTACAAAAAATGTTGGTCTCCAGTAACAAAATGAGACGAGAACTAACCGAAAAACGACATTTGGGCATGAAGAATGTTGATAACAGCGTCATGATGCATCGTCCGAGTGGCCTGGATGATGAACCGGTCGAGCCCAAAGCCGCTGAAGGCCTGGATATGAGAGAGAGAACAAGCGCAGAACATAGACATACACAAGAAATGTGAACAGTGCTTGAACAATTCCAAGTAAGGCGTAAAGAACTTGGTAAAACGCGAATGACTTGTTGAACGTACTGTCGTCAATGGGCTTAACATAGGCGGCGCACATATAAAACCACTTACTTGCGCTGCCACCAAACCAATGCGTAGGAATTGACCACTTGTGAGGCTTGCATGATGGTGGCCATCAGAACTACAATCACAACTCGCCAGACTCCGCCCGCTTTCATAAAGTATCCATAGACTGGCGGATTTAGTATCAGCGTGAAATTCTCTGCCCCAAGCTGAATCGACGAACCACTCCAAGAGACGCCGCCAGTTGTCCTTGCCTCTTTCACCATTAGCCGACCCTCCAGCTTGCCCGTTCCAGCAGCGCCAGCCATTGCCCGCCGAGCCTTATCCTTGGCATCTTCAACTGTCACAGTGACCGTGATAGCTTGCTTCTTGGCATCTTCCTCTTCCACTTCGTCAAACTCCTTCCCTTTATCCTCCTGCTCGATGCCAAAAAGTCCACCAGTTTCGACAACTTGGCGATACGTTCCTTCTCGTGTGATTTGCCCATGTTCCAGAACGTAAACGTAATCGCACAGAGGCAAGAAATGTAGGGCATGTGTAACGAGCAACACGGTCTTCCCGCGTGAGACAAGACCACGAATGGCACCATGGAATAAAGCCTTTCCGACATTGGCATCAACAGCAGAAAGCGGGTCGTCGAATAGGATGACTTCGGCGCCATAGTATAGCGCTCTAGCAATGTTGACCTTGAACACGTCAGCTTACTTTCGGATTAAGATTTGAGACGACTCACACGCTGCTTTTGCCCGCCACTAAGATTGATTCCCTTCTCCCCGATCTCTGTCAGATCTCCATCGGCCAGGAGCTGGAGGTCAGGTAGCAGACATGCTTCCTCGATCACGTGCCAATATCGCTCTTCATCGAAGGGTTGACCGAAGACAACATTGTCGCGCTGTTAAGAGAATTTTGAGAAAAGAGACAAGAAGCTAAGGAAAGTTTACCAAAGTCGCATTCTGAATCCAGGCGGTTTGTGGACAGTAGGCAACCCGCCCGCCAAATGCCCAGGTGCTTTTAGCCCCATCGATTCGCATTTCGCCAACTAATCCCTGTAGCAAGCTACTTTTACCGCTCCCAACTCTTCCAACAATCGCAACCAAAGAGCCGCGTGGAACACGCATGCTGACGCCTTCAAGCCGAAATGGTTCATAGCCATCTGGTAAAACATCATCGGGCTGCTTTATTGGCTTTTTCTTGCCCTTGGCTTTCTTTTCCACCTCGTTAGTTGGTGGCGGTCCTTCCCAAACCCACGTGCACTGGTCAACAACGAGCGCATCTGAAAGGCTTTCATCGATATTGAATGGCGTTCTGGCTTGCGATTTTGATGGTTTTTCCTCATTGCTATTCGGAGTTGGGTAGGGATGTCCGAAATCAGGGGCTTCTTTGCGGATTTCTGCATGCATTACAACAGTCAGGCGCTCCAAAGCGGTACGAGCGTCCGCTGTTGCCGACAACGAACGAGGGAGGAACATCATCGGTTGACGAAGGAGCTTAGCCAACCATCAATAGGCCATAACCCAACTATAAAGAGACGCACAGTAAACAGTGAGAAGCTCGAGAAGATAACTGCGACGTCAAGAGTGCCGGTACTGGTGTAAGTGACAAATGCGAGAGTCGCTGCCAGAACGGGAAGCGAAAATGCCAGTGCAATGCTAGATTGTGTCAGAAGAGCTTGGAGTTGGAAAAGGAAAAAAAAGGCTAACTTGGCTGATGCTGAGTGTAAAATTTTAATGATGCCTTGAAGCTCTCGGGTCCTGATGTCGGAAATTCGCTCCAGAAAACTCTTTTCGTAGCAAAAGTACTTGACTATTCGCATCGCACCTGTTGTTCATGGGATCAGTAACAAGTGACCTTTTTGACTGCGTCCTTACCAACAATCTCGCTCGTCACGCTGGCACGAGCGTCTGTCCATACAAGGGAACGGCGGCGTAGTTTGAACTGGACGGCCATAAGGCTTTTTTGAAGAGGTATAATGGCGATGAACAGGCCAAAGCCAGCAAGAGCAGATGGTCCAAGTTGGACAAGGAGGATGATGAGACAGACAATCACTGTGCAAAGGTTATGAATCTGATACTGGCAGAGTGAAAGAGAGCTTGCGTTGTATTGGTGCTGTCCAAGCAGCATGGAACCACTGAGCAGCCGCATCAACACGGCTGATGTCCGCGCTCACAAAGTTAAGCAGTTGCGAGTTGGGTAGTTGCCTTCGTGCGGTTGGAGTAAGATATAGCGCTCGTTCGTAGACCGCCCCCGTTAATGCTGCGCGTGCAAGTACGCCAGTTGACATGGATCGAAAGAAGAACTGGTGCTGGCAAATACTTGCCGTCACGATAACACACAACAGTCCCAGTGCCATTGCGATTCCTCGTCCAACATTAGTAACATGTTGACCTTCAGCTTTCTCTGTAGCTCTGTCTTTAGCAAAATTGATCAAAGCTTTGACAAGGATGGGCCCCATAAGTTGTGAGGTGTCCGAAACGACCTGTTATCGCTTAGTGGGAGAAATAACAGGTAACAAACATTTACCTTGAAAACTCCGCCTCGCCAGAATAAATGGCCGAGGACGTCATTCAATGCCCAAGCGAGGCTTGCCTCTCTTTCCCTCCATTTCTTCTCTAGTTTCTTCTTGTCTCTCCCAGGAAACGACCAGCTCAGCCTACGCCATGCAGATGGCTTGAGCAGCCCTTCTCTGACCCGTTGATTCCACTCTTCTGCCTTTCTGACGCGACTGGCCCATGATTCCTCAAGCTTTCGGGTGAGATACTCCGCCTCTTGCTACAACGACATTCAGTCGATTCATGATGGGCAAAAAAACACGCACCTCGGGTCCCATTTTCCACAAGTCAGAAGCCTGAAGTGTCCTCTGAAAGCCCAAGACCATCATCGGTGATATCCACGTATAGGTGAGTCGACTAAACAGACTGGCGTTGACATATGGGCTGACGGGGGCATCGACAATGGACGCTGGGGGTGGAGGTGGGATTCCAGCGGGGATCCAAATCTGCCACCAGTGCTCTCGAACACGTGTTCGTTGAATACCAGCATCGAGTTGCAAGTCTTTTTGAGCTGCCGTAGACTTTTTTGCGCGGCCAGACTCGATTGAATCGGTGTCATCGTCAACTGGCTTCACACCAGACATGATCTTGCCTGTGGGACATCAGGAGGAGGCGAAGCAACCGCCCTTATGTTCTACGGAAAGCACGGAAAATGGCCGCGACGGTGAGAGTTGCTTGTCATCATTGCTGACATGAAACGATAGCAGCGATATATTTTGGGGAGGGGTCTTTGCCGCTGCTGTCGCTGAGATCTGAGAGCTCAGATAAGTAGGACAAGTGGAACAAAGAGTTGGACCCGGAACAAGGCAACGTTGTCCTACTAGTACATAATATTCTTCCTGTCAGTCAACCACGATGATGTTGGGGCAGGTTGGGGCTCACATTGACAAGGCTCACAAGAGTTGTAGATTTGAACTTGTCGGCAAGGACTACTGAACGCTGGGGCGCAAGCCACACCAAGCCTTCCGAAACTTCAACAGCACAAATTTAAAACACCTCGTCCTCATCCCAGCTATACCGCTTACTTGACGCGTCTTGAGTGTCTGTCACGTTGGGCCTTATGAAGGGAGGTTCAAGTTGGTTGGAATTTGCGCCTCCAATAGCCGCCGCTCGGTTTAAGAAGGAACAAAGAAGAGATTGCGATTGGTGCAACAGCGCCGATTACTATGATTTGGTGATGGCAATAACGCCGGGCCCAGCGCGCCGTTCACTAGACTGGCACTGGGACCTTGTTCAATAAGCCTCAAGATCTAGGGCAAATTCCAAGTGTTACCGCACAGCTACCTGCCAGTTTCGACCACACCGCTAGGATTCGGACTAGACGAACACTGCGGAAAGAGGGACATGGCAATAATTCACTTAGGAAAATCCGAGTCTAGGCTCCAACGCTCGTGCGTCACGCCCTGCAATGAGAAAATTATTTCTGAGGAGCAAGAGCTCGAGTTTTTTAAAAAAAATGCTCCGTTGTTCTGTGATAGAGCGTATCGCTTGAATTTTTGTGAGCGCTAGCACATCGACAACCCACTGGAAAAGACGGTCATTGACCCAAATTGTTCAGCTCAGATCTGACTGCGGGAACAAGCACACCACAGTTGACTCCTGCGCAGCTTGGCCCGACACGATCAATATTAGTCGTCAGAAATTTGACCAAGTCGCGGCTCTGCGGCTGCTCGGTTCAACGAATTTAAATGGTTCACAGAACGCGACTTCAGTTCAATTACTCGCTCTAAGTGCTATGTCGAAACTCCAACGTGTTCGGAAACTAGGTGTGGCCTCTTTCCACGATTGTTTGTTTGCTCAGCTTCCCCTCAGGCGTGCTGGAACAATTTCACATGATGAGACATACGCTGGGCCTCGATTCTTGTGTGGTTGGCGTAGCACGGTACACAACGGCAGAGAGAACAAAACTCACGAAAGAAATACTGTACCCCGCCCTCCGCGCAGTCATCGAGTCTCACCTCGCGCTGGGTGTCCGTCTGGAGAAGAAAGATAACAACCCCGACAACTATTTCGCGCGACTGCCCAACATAGATTTGTCGCGCATCGTCCAGTTCTCAGAAAGCGATGACCTCCAGGCAGCCTTGGAGAGCCAGCTACTACATGGCTTCGACACTTCATCCGACATTCCACTTTGGCGTTTGCAGGTCCTCACGGACAACACCGTTTTATTCACGTTCCATCATGTCATCGCCGATGGGATGAGCAGCATAGCGTTCCACGTCCAACTTTTGCGAGCTCTGCAAAAGGCTGCTATCGACTTTTCTTCAGACCCCGTTGTTCACGTTCCGCCAACAACAACAATGATTCCGGCTGTGGACCAAGCCACACGTGTTCGACCATCGCTTTCACTCGTCGTCCATGAGCTCTCCAAGCTCATTCTACCCCAGTCACTAACCGCGGCCAGCAAGGAATGGACCGCGAAACCAACTCCCCGAATTCCTGATCTCAGCAACACTCATGTCCGAATCCAGTCAATACCTCCCCAGACAATCCGAAACTTGCTCGTCGTATGTCGTGCAAATCAGGCGACCCTGACCGGCGCGATCTACGTCTTATTAGGATGCGTAGTGTCGAGCCTTCTAGACGAAAAGTCGAAGAGGAAGTACAACAGAGTCGGAGGGCTCGTTGCGCTGTCGATGCGGGGAATGACTGGCATTGACGACTACGAAATCTGCGACCACCCGTCGGCCGTCAATACGAGCGTCCCACTCGCCAATGACTTTTCTTGGAACGAAGCCGCTCGGTTGGCTCAGCTATTGAAAGGGCAGAAGAGCAAGGGCCGAGAAAAGATCGGGCTGCTGAATTTGCTTCTCGGCCGCTTCGACGTTTACTTCCACGGCCTTCTAGGCAGAAAACGCGAAGTAGGGTTCACGCTTTCGAATATAGGGCGGTGGACAGCTCCAGCGGTGGAAGGGAAATGGACCATTGGGAGGACTATGTTTGCGCAAAGCGATGTTGTGGTTGGCGGGGCGTTCAATTGCAGCGTTGCTGGCGACCCAACAGGGGCAGTAAATTTGACATTCACTTGGAGTGATGTCGGCGTGGAGACGGTATGGATGGACAACCTGGTGCCTTTATTCAAGGAGAAGTTGTCCGAGTTGGCGGAGGGTCGTAGTTGACCGCTGTACTACAGCATCACGTCCTGCTTCATGAATTTAAACGGCTATGGATTTCAATGGTTAATATGATCTGCAAAAGGTCAATGAAAGCAGAAAGGACAACATCTTTGTATAGCTTACCATCTACTGATCTTGTCTCCCACAGTCAGACTGCAAAAAAAATCAGTCTATGAGGGGAGTGGTTGGACGGTTGCTATACTACTAATCCACCGAACGGGTCGACTCCTATGGGCACATTGATCAGCGAGAAAAATGAACAGAGAAATGCGTACCAGCCAGTCTTCTGCTTCAACCCACTCTGGCGGCTCATCAGGTTTCTGAAACTTCTCCGATTCTCTCAGCAGGTGTTCACAGGGAATTCTGTCATCGCTGTTCGACACGCTGAGGTACCGCTTTGTGTAAGAGGGCTGTACATCGCGAGGTAGATCACCAGAGTACTGGTGTTGACACTATGAAATAGACAAAATACTGCCGCAGCGTGGAGGGACCGAGCATTTCGAGCGGGCTTGCAGAGCTGGATTCCTTGCCGCGGTGGAAACTCCAAATCGTATTCGGTGGTTGAATCAAGCTTGGATGGTGACCTTGACATATCAGTCACGGTCACATATCACCCCACACACAAGTCTACTCCGCTTAAAGCTTTGCACTTGTTGTATCCCAACCCCTCCGTCGTCAACCTTCCAGTTAATTAGTATAGAATATGGGAAATAACGTTATGAAGGGAAGCGCAGTATAGTCTGTACCCTCATGCATTCCTCCTTTGGAATAGATCATCATCATTGACCTTGGGGTCTTGCTTTCATAAATACTGCAGTCCGTACATTTTCATCGTCACACGGAATACGTGTAAGACGCCTTGACGAGCCCCTGCGCTTGCCTCGTGACCACCCCCCAGGTTGGCAGGAGAGTGACAATTTCCTCAAAAGCTGGTATCCGCCCCGTCTCATTGACCCCCGCGCTCCCGCTCGCATACTCAGCCCACAAGCAAGAAATCGTGCCCTGCAGCCTTCTGTCTGACGCCTCTCCTGCCTTAACTTCCCATTCAACATCGACAGTGAACTGCCGACCCCATTGTCGACTCCAAAGGAGCATCTCAGTGTACTCCTCGGCGACCGATACCTTCCCTTCCTTTGCACCGTGCACGAAATGGCTCTTCACGCGCAGATTGCCGTTGGTGAAAGTCAGTCGACACCCGCGTGAATTTCTCGCCGCCACTACGAATCGCGCGGATGTTGGTCCTGATATTGTCGCATTGGCAGTGACCCATCTCGCCGGGGCAGTCGATTTGTCATCCGGCGATGGCAAGGACAGCAGCTGAGACTTCCAGGAACACGCAGCGAGCCCTGGTATCGCGGTGCTGTTCGCGACACATCTTAGCTCTGCTGATGGCTCCGTTGCGCTCGGTATCATCTTCAACAAGTCCTGCACAAAATGCTGTTCCACACCGATAACGGTGCTGGTGGCAAACTTGATTTCTGCATTCGGTGAAGACACGTCGCCCAGCGCGATGGTTTGCTGAAAGGACACCTTCAGTGGTTCCTGGGCCGAGAAGGGGAACGTCGTCAGGCCGTATATTGTTGCCACGATGAAGAGGATAATGCACGTCGTCGTGATGAACGAATGGATCCTGGAGGTGAAAGGAACGATGCAAAGCACCGTCATAAAGATGAGGGTGGAAATGACAATGTAGACTGACCGAGGAAGATCAGAAATAGTGAAAACAAGGCAAACACAACTTCACCTATGTTTGGTGGACTACCGTCAGCCAGCGTTTGGGACAGTGAGGCCACCATCAGCACAGTAATGTGGATAAGAAGCGTGACAGGCACTCCAACAGCTAGCACAAGTTGGGGGATCCACCACTGAAGGGCACCGCTTTCCTCTCGCTTTTGAGGCTCGGGAAAGAGCAAAACTGCTTCTTCTCCTCCGTCTTCAACCGGCTGTTTGTCGTCTTGGTGGGGCAATGCAGTATAATCAGTACGCTGATGTTGTGCTCCAACCATGTTTTCGATGGAGCCAAGGAGACAGGCCAGCCAGATCGCGGCGTTCCACGCTGTGACGAAGTAAACACCACCGATCCCTGCGTTGACAGCAACGGTTGACAAGGCGAGGAGAATCCAGGTCAGGATGTATGTCTGGAAATACATGACCTGCTTGCCAACCGGCGTTGTGACAAGAACAAGAGATAGATAGGCAAGGGTGAACGACGAGGTGATTACCAGAGAAGGGCGGGAATGAACAATCTACTAGCGAGTCAGCAAGTGTCACTGGAACAAAGGATGGCCCACATAAGGATTGAATCGCAGATAAAGAAAGACAAGCAATGCTTGTAGGGCCACCGAAACACCGACTCCAACCCAGAATTTAGCCCATGACCACGCGCCGTTAGATGGAACATTGGATTGGAAATTCTCATCGTTTAGTATGTCTTCGCTCTCAGCTCGACGCCCGCGAAGAATTGACGCTTCAGCGACAGCTACGACCACCATCACCAACGGCCCAGCGACCAAGAGGAAGATGTTGACGATATAGAGACAGCGCAACGGCATTACCACCAGCCAAAGGCCAAACACTACGGAGTTGAATTTAATGGGACGAACAAAACCGAAAAACGCACGATCAAAATATACTGCTGGAGGGCCTCCTCCGTGTGTTTCATCGCTGTTCAACAACGCCGATCCAGCCGATTTTGCTGACTCCATCATGGCCCACAATGCCGCCTCGTGGCCCACAGTATACGGTATTGCGTCGTATTTGGTGTGGTACTTGCTTCGACCTTTGTAGAACGCGAAATCAAGTCCCTGCATCCCAGATTCGGTATAGACACTATAGTCTGTGCCGGAACGGACGAGCCCAATCGCAAATGCGTCGGCGGAAATGACATTTGCATGCGGATGAGGAACGTGGAATGCTTCAATGGTCGCAAGTGAGGTGCCCCGGAAAAGCAGAGGGCGGCTGGCAATGCTATAAGGAAAAACGACACACTGAGGGAAATGACAAACCCTCCAGAGCCAGCTCCTTCCAGATTAAGAAACGAGTCGGTCAGATTCGCCCATGGATGGCGTGTGAATCTGTTCAAACAAGATTATTCGATGCTGAACAACCGAGTAGGAGACCGACATATAAGCCCCATTGAGCCCGTCCTCCTCCCCGTTGTTGATATTGATGATTGCTGTCCGAGTGGGTCTGTTTTCGCCGAAATACTGAACTAGCTGAATCAGAGTAGCCACACCCATCCCGTCGTCTGTTGCGCCGGACGCGGTTGAAACCGAGTCATAATGCGCTGAGAAGAGCACCCCCGGCTTGGTGGGATCCGTGCCTTGGACCTTGACGAGCAAATTCGTTGCTTCGTGGTAGACAACGTTCCCACCACCGTTCCAAGCCGGCAATGAAGCATTCGTGAACACGTCGTTGACCACCTCAACATGAGGGTGGAGTTTTGCGATGCTGTTGAGGCGGCCGAGAATGAAGGAATGCACTTGGTCGTTTGCATGCGACAGAAATGGGTGAGGGTGGGCGGCGATCTAGGAAGAAGTTGACTTTGACATCTTCAACGAAGAGTGAATCTTACACGACCAAGATCCACATATGCCTCTGTCAGGTTAAGGCCATGTTGGTCCTTCGGAACTGCAGGAACCTTGTCGGTATAAAAAACGGCAAGGAAGAGCACTGTGTAGAGCGCGACAACAAGAATGGTCGTTGGTAGCGTCCCGAGCGCTGAAACCCGCGCAATGCCTCCCACCATTTGCATCGTGTAGGATGACGATGTCCGCTTGGGAGCATTGTACTTAACAGAAGGAGAGTTTGGATGATCCGCAGGACTTGAAATTTTGATCTAGTGCTTTGTAATAGTTGATCTTCCATCCTGGCCCGGTGAGGGGAGCAAGTTACGGTGAGTGAGGCCGGGAGAGCCGCCGGAAGCGACGGTAGAGCCGCAAGGCGCGGTTCCAAGCCTGAACTGGCCGGGAAGTAACTAGGTTTAAATTGTCCAGCAAAAAAAGTCACGGAAAAACGCGTTCATAACTTGGAAAGTTGAATCCTCGGGCTGTTTTTAGTGGAACAGTGTGGCAGACGTCAATTGAGCAGTAAATAATACAGGAGAGGTGGTGAGACGTAACGGAGTACATACGAGCATGAATCAGAGTTGGGTCAAGTGGGCTAGCCAAAGCGTTAGATTGCCGTCTGTCCCCACGGACCAAGCAGCTGGTCGCGCATGGACTTCATTTCCTCTCGGTAATCAATCGGTAATATCTTCGAGATGCCATACCGCACACGGGTTTGACCCTGTAAACTTCTTCAGCACAAAATAAGCCGATGAAGGCACAAAATCGCACATTATAGTCGTCCTTCTTCGCCCGCAACACAAAGTTAAAGGTCTCGCATGTGTGCTCTTGTACAAAAGCTGTGAACGCGTCGGCGCCTTCTTCCTGAAGTCCCCATCGTCAATGTGTCCGTGAATGAACGGGCGGGGAACCTACTTTCATAGCTTCAAGCTCTGTTGCTGTCTTTCCACCGAAAATAACCGTCCCTACTTCGTTGAAGCCTTGCAGCCACGCTTGTTCGGAGTGGTCAGCACACGCCATCGACATGATATAACTGCCAAAATGTTGATCAGCGCGAGACCGCAAAAAAAGAGAATCTATACCGATATTCGGGTTTGGGAAATTTTTTCTTGCATACATCGCAGATCCACCCGTCGCCGGCGTCCGTGACTTTCTTGTTACAAGTGCTGGTCTGGCAAGACGGATACCACATATTGTCGTGCTTGATGAACAACAGCGTTGCTTTGATTGAATGACTTGTGGGCTTCGTTTCGTCCACCTCCGCAGCCTTGACCTCGGCAATAGACTTGAGCTTTTCACGTTCAAAGGGACCACCACCACCTCCGCCTCCAGTCGATTGGTATGCTTGGAACTCCTCTTGCTTGCCCTTATCGTCAAACCAACCGCGGAGGATCTGGGCCGCCTCCAGATCTGGTGGGTTGATAGACATGTTGCTGGAGCTAAAAAAGGATAGTGAACGCCCTAAAAGACAGATTAGGATATTTTAAACAACAGGTTTTCGACCAAGGGCTGCGAACCTCCAAAATCGCCGACTTTGACGTTTTTGAACGCAATAACAGAGCCTTCGGAGTTGAATTGTTCTGCTTGCTTTCCCCACAAGGTCATTCGAACCTGGAATTTCGACTGATCGACTAGGGTCAATTCTCGTTTCGAGATCTAGAATCACGTGAGATATAAGCTTTGTGTTATATCACCACAGGTACCTCTCGACCTTGTTGCTTGGACGTGATCGTGGCCAGTTCACCGGCGGTTTGAACGATCGCAAGGACATCTGAGTACCAGTCAGTTATCCCTCCCCTTGAATAAGGTTGTCCTACCGCAAGTCGAATCCTTGTTCAAGCCCTCAAGTCCATTGAGAGGGGTGAAGTTGTACTTGATGCTTGGAGCGTTGGTGAGGTCAGTGCACTGGACAGCAAATCAGCGACAGTTTCTAGGAATGTGAATACGGAAACATTCCTCCTCAACAAGGGTGTTCTTGTCTAGGCCGAGTTCATATTCGTTATTGAGATGTGAGAACTGCTTCTTGGCAAAGTTGACGCGAGCACGCGAGAGGTAGTAGACTTTGCCCTCCTGTATCCGGTCGTACAACTCTCCAGCCACTTCGTTGAACGCCGTCGCTCTGATTTCGCCTGTGTCGTCCATGAGAGTGATATTGAATAGCTTGCCGTCTCCCCTGTGATTAGAGTAGGTTTTAAGGTCACTCTTCTGAGTTACCCGAGCCTTAATCGTCCAAGTGTTTTGGTAGGGGCTGAGCCCCTCAATGGGGTAAATCGAGCCATGATTGGATGTTGTTGGAGGAGGAGGAGCTGGCCGAGGTGCCTTACTCGGGGCAGCTGCCTGAGCAGGTGGTGGGCGAGAAGAGGAAGATGCTGCTGGTGCCGGTGCCGCTGGAGTTGTAGATGCTGAAGCAGACTTATTCGGAGCCGGTGCCAAGGGGGTAGGCTCTCCGATTTTTACATCGGACTGCTGAATGACATCGAGACCCAAAATGATTAGCAACCTATTTTACAGTGTCAGAACGACGGATGAGAGGGTAAAAAAATGTCGCGCACCGCTTTTCTTGAACATAATTGCAGGTCATTTTTGTGATATTGACGATGGTGTACTTCTTGACTTTATCCTCTGAAACGAGATGGTTGAGCTGGGTGGCGAGCATGGCCTGAACGAAGTGGATGCCATCAGCAATGATAATGCGGTATCGGTCAACAGCAGTAGCTGCGTGACTCTCGACGGGCTTGACTGAGAGAACCTGAAGTGTGTGGGTCCCGTCAAACACGTCAAGATCTGTGGATTCAGCAGTGTGAAGCGATATGCACGAATTGGCGGAAAGCTGGACCATGACTGTGAAGAAAGAGGCGCGTTGTGTCACGGAGTCACGCTTACACGTGCCATCAATCATTTCGCGCCCTGACTCCCTACTGACTAATCTAATCACCATTTTCTCCCACCTGTCATGGCTGATGCACCACTCCTGCTGTCCAATGCTGCCCCCAACTTTGAATTCGGGAAGAGAAAGAGATGGGCTGATCTCGTCATAACAGAACTCGTTGACGTTCTTCTTCTCGTTCTTTCTCGACACGCCAACATTCTCTACTGCGGAAACGGCCTCAAGAATACACTGGGCTGGAATGACACGGACATCCTTGATCAAAACTTCACAGACTTTATCCATGGTTTGCACCGTTTAACGCATTCTGAGCACGAAAGGGACGAACGATCATGATTTCACAGAGGAAGACCATGGGAAGTTCGCTAACGTATTTCAAGAATCACTGCAATCTGGCGAACCAATACTATCTACCTATGTTCGGCTGAAGGGTGTCTCCTCAACAGATTTGTTTGAACTGGTTGGTAGGCCGCAAATGGCGGCAAGCGAGGACGCTGAGAACGACACCCCCCTTCAAGTGATGTTCATCGTCGCCAAACCGTTCCCGAGCAAAAGTCTGGAGACGTAAGCTCGCAATTAACTGTCAATTTATCGTCACTTAAGGCCCGAATAGGTTGAATACGTACATTGAACTCGAGGAAGAGAATGAGCGCCTTCAACAACGAGTTGCTGAGTTACGAGCGCGGGCCCCACTGTCAAGTCCGTCGTCTCCAGCCTCCCCGTCGAGCCAAAAGCCTGTTTACGCAATGTCTTCGACTTTTCCCAACCAACACCCCCTTGCCATTTCCCCTCAGGTCCATTCGAATGACTCCTTCCCCGAGCCAGTTTCAGCTGGCCCGTCATCTTCTAACGTTGAAGACGACAGCAATCGCAAGAAAAAAGTGCAGTAATCTATCGCTTGTCCGTTGCTCCACTAATATTATCTAGATTCCAAGAAAGACAGGCCCATCCGACCAGTATGCTTGCATCACTTGTGGGCAGACAAACTCCCCAGAATGGCGAAAGGGCCCAAGTGGGCCCAAAACATTGTGTAATGCATGCGGCCTACGATACGCTAAGCAGCTCAAAATGCAGAAACAAGCGGAGGAAGCCTCTGTAGCCATCATGTGAACGGCACATATCAGACTCGTGCAACTGCTTTCGATTTGCTGTCCTAACTTGACCAATTCCAAACGCAATGAATAGATAGCTTCTAATGTGTTACAAACTACAGCTTTGGAATGATATCACAATCAACTTCTGGGTATGTGTTCGAGAAAATGCCTAGTGAAGGAAAGAGAGAAATTAGGATGGCGGTAGAGAGGTGAAGGAAAGAACGTGAGATGAGGCATGGGCAACTAATTTGTGCGTTAAGTAGTATGATAGTACTTTATCGTGTGTCGAAAGAATGTTTGCATCCTCTACCGCAGCCCTAAGAAAAGTTGTGACATGGAACAGGCGCAAGGTATTGGAAACGTACTAGGCAGATATAACAAAAGTCCCAAGTGCCTAGTGGCAAATAAATCTAGAGCACGCCTCCTGCACCCAGAAGAAAGTCGGAAGCCGTAGTGCGGGCGAGAGACGGGAACTGCACTAAGATACCCACGTCCAGATGCTAAGTGCTAGCCTCAAGGAAGCCAAATCTTGATTGTTTGATCGACACTTCCAGTCGCAACAACGTTTGCCAACCTCTCCTCCGTCGCGTCGCTCTTGCTAGCATCACCGTTGACCTTGACATCATCGGTCTTAGTTGCACCAGACACAACCTGTCTTCCCCACGCCAAAGTTTGGACAAAATGTCCATGGGCTTCGACAGTTTTCATGCACCGACCCGTCGAGAGCTCCCAAACCCTAATCGTTTTGTCGTCCGACGCAGAAAGCAGGTACTTTCCTGTCGGATGGAAGGCCAAGGCCCGGACCCAGTTGTCGTGCCCTGGTAGATTTCGTAGAAGTTGCCCGCTCGCAACATCCCAAAGCTTGATTGTTTTGTCTCGCGCGCCTGTGGCGATGTAGGCCCCGGATCGCTTGGACCTATCGGTCGTCTACCAAATGCGGCTGAGATGACTCAGAGATGATGCAAGGAATACCTACAGGAATACCGGCCAACTCTCGAATAGCAGCATAAGCTGCAAGTGGGGCGAACGCAACGACTTCAACGGCATTTTCATGGCCGCGGAATTCCATCTTAGACTCGCCCGTTAGAGGATCCCAGATACGAGCGGTCTAGAAAAGGTCAATGGACATTTTTATGGGGGAAGTGGACACACATGATCGTTTGACGCGCTTGCTAAAAGCTTGCCATCGTCAGAAGGTAGAACACAACGGACCCAATCCGAATGGCCAGTGATTGTGCGGACAAGATGCCTGACAAGAACGTTCTATAAACCAGTAGTTGCACTGAGAGGATCTTACGTCGAAGCAATATCGAAAACGCGAATTGTCCTATCTCGACTGGCGCTGACGATGAACTGGTCGCCCGGCATAAATCGGACAGAGGAGACGGAGTGTTCGTGGCCAGGGAATGTCTTGGTGTTCTTCCATTCATTTTGAGTATCCCAAATCTTGATGAAGAGGTCCGTAGAGCACGTTACTACGCAGTATAAGAGAGAATACTGAGAAAGGAAAGATGGGCAACGCACCAAGCAACTGGCCCTTGTGGTCAAAATCGACATCCATAACCGCCTTTGTGTGTCCCTTGAGAGTGCGCTCAAACTCGCCCGTCTCCCAGTCCCATATCTTGACTGTTGCATCTTCGCTTGCAGAAGCGAGGATCGAATATTGTGGATGAAATGCGACTCTTGTGATGGGTGAACGATGACCAGTAAGAACATGTGCAGCTGGCGCTCGTGGAACCCAGTCTGATTGCGATGCCGCTCGTTTGGCGGGGGCTTGAGAAAGCTCTTCTTGCAGTGCCGAGTTGCGGTTTTCGAGATCCATTATCTACCAACTCTTGAGTTGACGCAGTTCAAAAACGCTCATAGCCGTACCTTCTTTTGTAGACGTATGACACTGGTCCATTTCTTTTCAAGAAGACCAGTATACTTGGCCTTGGGGTCGGGGGTGTACTCTGTCTCAGCCTCTTGTTTGAGCGCATTGAATGCTTGCGTGAAGTTATTGGCGTAAAGGTAGTCTAACATCGATTTGTGGCTGACCAGGCGATGAGAGCTATACTTAAAACAGCAGCAAAAACGCACAGATCCTCCCGCTGTCGGTCCGAGAGCAACGACATGGTTGTCGCTGTGGGTCGTAAAAGTTGGAGGGCGTGACGGGATCAAACTTGATGGGCGATGACGACGAGCAGTAGCGAGAAAGGTTGGGTAGACACCCGACGAATAGGTCGTGGTGTGAGAGGCAAAGATGAAACCAAGTCGTGACCACGATCAGCTTGCCCCCAACCATGTCCGTCAAAATGTGAGCACGGCGCGTCAACTGAGCACTATACATTCTTATTTCTCCTCAGACTGACTGTAGGGTCTGCCGCAGGCTCTATACGCGACCTCTTCGCCAAAATTAAAGCTATCGACGCGAAACATGGCAAATTTGACCTTGTCCTATGCACTGGAGACTTTTTTGGGCCACCTGGGGATACTGGAGCTGAAGAGGAGACAAAGCAACTGCTAGACGGCATGCTGGAAGGTGCGTAGTTCATTTCGCTTGGCCCAACTCTTCCAGCAACTCCTACTCCAGCTCCCATCGAATGCTATATTATGCAAGGCGACAACCCACTTTCCGACGACGTCATCCAACGATTTGCAAAGACCCAGGGTGAACTCTGCAAGAATGTATTCCTTCTTAGTCTGTTTCGTTCTTTATTGCGGTAACGTTTACTGAAATGGTCATTAGGCAAGTCTGGAATGATTACAACTGCGAGTGGGTTGCGCATAGCATGTTTAGGTGGCCGCTATGATCCTGAAATCCACTTCACTGCCGAGGCAGCACCGGCAAGTCGCGCAGTATAGCCCTTCGAATCAGCACTAGTACTTACCGAGCTCAGGGTTTCCAATCACCATACTTTGCAGCACAGACTGTGGAACGACTGCTATCCAACACTTTGGCCACGTCATCCTCGTCCTCCAAGCACAACTACAAGTCTCTTGCCGACATCCAGGCTAACGCATCCTCCTCCCAATTCATCGACATCCTTCTCACCAATGCATGGCCTGCCGCTGTCGTCAACCACTCCGCTGCTACCCTACCCGCTCCGGAACTTTCTCAGATTGGTGCACCTCCACTCGACGACGCGATCCGGAAAGTAAAACCGCGATATCACTTCGCAGCCAGCGGAGGAAAGCCTTCAATGTTTTGGGAACGAGAACCTTTCGTTTGGGACAACGAAAGCGGCCGAGTGTCCCGATTCGTGAGCCTGGGTGCTTTCGGTGGCGAGACCACTGCAGGGAAGAAACAGCGGGTTAATTTTATCTTTTTCGTCTTTTTCGCTCTTACCTGAGCGCAGTGGTTTTATGCATTTAGTATCGCGCCAAACTCAGCAACGGCGCCACCACCCGCCCGCCCTGCCAACACAACCAAGAATCCATTCACTGACTCCGTTGTGAGGGTGCCAAAACGGCCCTTTGAAAGTACAGCGGAGGGAGAGAACTTCATTTTTGGCAATGTTCCTCACCCACAAAAGCGGACGCGAATCGCTCCAACTGAACCTGGGAAGCCTCCTCCCGGATACAAATGCCACCGTTGTGAATCTAGCGAAGTAACCCCAACTCTCAATGGTTTTGACTTGGTCTGACGAGACTACTTAGCATCTTATTAATGATTGTCCGGAACGGATAAAACCTCCAGAAGGATACGTTTGCAGGATATGTAACACGGTAGGGCTCTTGCTCCGCGTTAACCTGCTATTCATGCTTTCTAGCCCGGACATCTGGTGCGGGATTGCCCAACAAGATTCCAGCTTGGCGACACTGGTGGAAAGAAGCCGAAACCAGGGTATATATGTCGAGCATGTGGTAGCGAGGAACACTACATCGACGACTGTCCTGCCTCTAGTCATAGGCCCAGCAATCTACGAGATGGAGGGAGAGGTAGACGAGGGGGTCCACCGAAGGAAATTGCCCGTCAGTATTTTCAGCTTTGTTTCGATTGAAACTTACTTCATCAAAGCTGACGAATGTTGGTTCTGTCTTTCAAATCCTAACCTGGCGTGAGTTTTGGGATACGTTCAATATTCTCTTAATGTTCATTGTGTTTCAGGAAGCATCTCATTGTGGCCATCGGGGCTGAGTGTTATGTAACACTTCCCAAGGGCCAAATACCGCCAACGCAATCGGCAGCAGATTCAACCTTAGTTCCGGGGGGTGGTCATGTTCTAATCGTACCAATAACGCACTACCCGACGTTCTCGACAATTCCGGGTGACCTAGCTGGTCCGATAAACGAGGAAACTGAAAAGTCTGTCTCACTATTATCATTTCAAATTTTCTAATGAGAATTAGGCACAAGACTGCGTTGAGGGCCATGTACGCCAAATATGGCGCAGCAATGGTCGCTTTCGAAGTGGGCAGATTGAGTGCTAAAGGAGGACATGCGCATGTCCAAGCTGTTCCCATCCCGCTTGCTCTCAAGGGTCAAGTTGAGAATGCTTTCCGTTCTGAAGGCCGAATGTCGGGTGTTGATTTCGAAGAGGACGCTGATGCGGCGTTGGAAGCTTGTGCTGGCGGCCGTGGAAGCTACTTTAGGGTAGATCTTCCTGACGGGAAGAAACTGGTCCACCTCATTAAAGATTATGGTCCATTCAACCTCCAGTTCGGAAGGTAAGTCAAAGGTTCCTATTTTGGGAACGTTGAGCTGATCAATATTAACAGAGCGGTGTTGACGACGCTGCTAGGAAAGCGGGAGCGAGAGGATTGGAAGGCATGCGTACTACCAGACGATGAGGAGAGGGCAGATGCGCAAGCATTCAAGGCTGCTTTCGCGCCCTTCGATTCGACGAGCTAAATCTTGATTCTGTTGATGCGATCACGATAAAAATACACGTTGCACGCATCCATGATGTCAATTTGGACCCGCGGTTTCTCTAATTCGAACTTAGTCTCGTTCCCCCATGTCGTCGCTATCTACTCCACCAAGCAGACAGTCGTCCCGTCCGGGTACTCCCCTGATGCGGTTCAAAGATTTTGTGAGCCAAACTCCCGTACTCCAGCCACAAGTCCATGCACTTCCATCTTCCCCATCCACTTGTCAGGCGCGAAACGTTTACTCATGTCTGGGAACAGGTCACCGACGCTGTGAAGCACTTCAAGCATGAAGACGACTCAGAGGCCCACAAAGTGCGCCGCCCTGCGAAAGTAAAAAAAGTGTTAACCCGTCTACCAGATCTTTCGCGCATCGGCTGGGCATGCGCCTAAAGGTGCCTCATACCCTGAAGTCACTAGTGCCGTGAGTTGAGGTCGACGAGAGTCCCAACTTCATCACTGACTTGATCAACAGGATGAAGAAACCGTCCCCGGCATCCTCCACCCAGGTCAGCAAGTCTGGGGTCTGGCTACAGCCACAAATTTACAGCATGTTAGGCAGCACTGGGGTCATCTACTGCTCTGATCGTGCGATGGCCAATGGGTGTGTCTGCTCGCTTACAACGGATCGAACTGATTGTCCTTCTCTTGTGCAGTTTCAGCTACGCCGCGTCGCATGAATGGGCCAACTTGGGCCAAGGAGCGCCCGAGGTCGGCGATATTCCCAATGCCCCCGCCCGCCCAAAGGCCGTTGATCTCCCCGTTGATTCGCTTGAATACGCCCCAACCACCGGTGTCAAAGGCTTGTCTTGTCTTTCGGCGCATCATTCTTTTTTCTCATTGGCATCAGCGCTCCGCGAGGCTGTGGCAAATCTCTACAACCTCACTTACCGCCAGAACAAGGAAAGCAAATATACCTACGAAAATGTGTGCATTGTTCCCGGAGGTCGCGCTGGGCTTTCGCGAGTCGCTGCGGTCATTGGCGATGTCTATACCGTACGTCTTTTGAACACACTCCTCACATCTCATTCAACGTCATTCCGTTCGGCAGTCGTATCAAGTCCCAGATTACACTGCCTATGATCAGATGCTTTCTTCATTCAGACGCCTCGTTCCCGTCCCGACTGCGTGAGTTTTGCCTGGTAATTGCTACACCTCTGACGCGTTTGATTAGCCTCGATCCCAAGGTAGATCTCACTTGCGATGCATAGTCGCCTCTGACTCTTTATCAGACAAAATACCGCTTAGATATTGCGCAAACCAAGGTACTTCTCTTGCAAGCGATTGTTAGCCGGATTTTGACTTTGCGGACGTCAGAGGGACATTCAAACACAAGGTCTTGCTGTCATCCTAGCATCGAACCCACGCAACCCGACAGGCCAGGTTATCAAGTATGTTGAGCTACACTTTTAATATGCTCTGACGCGTGCTTTTCCTTCAGAGGCAAAGATCTTAAAGAGCTCGTGGCCATTGGGCGTGAGGGAACCACCGTCATTCTCGATGAATTCTACTCGTGGTACATCTATCCGGACAGCGAAAGAGACTACGGCCATTCCATCTCGGCAGCGGAATATATTGACGATGTCGACAGAGTCAGTCTATGCCTCCTGCCATGATATTTCTCAGTTCTGATTAGATAACAGGACTCGGTTGTGATCATTGACGGTTTAACCAAGGTTTGCTTGTCCATGCTTTCTTTGAACAGTTCTGAACCAGTTATAGAACTGGCGTCTTCCAGGCTGGCGAGTCTGCTGGGTCATTGGCCCTAAAAATTTGGTTACTGCATTGTCGCAGTCAGGTATATATTGACCTAGATCTCAGTCACATTTTGCCTGAGCCTTTTCTGCAGGCTCGTTCTTGGATGGTGGCGCTAACCATCCGTATGTCATTTCAACTCGAGATAATCACGTGCAACTAATATGTTGTAGTCTGCAACTCGCCGCCATACCCCTGCTCGACCCCGCTCACGTCAAAAAAGAGAAGGTATGACACAAACTCGGGGCCCTCTATCATACTCACACCCACCCAGGAAGCACTTCAGAGGCATTTCAAGGCCAAACGCGACCACGTGCTCAAAAGGCTCCATAACATGCATCTCGATGTCGATATTCCACCCACCAGCACCTTCTATATCTGGCTCAATCTTGAGCATCTCCCCGCGCCTCTTAACAATGGCCTCGTGCGTTCCTGATCGCTTTTCTTCGAACTTCATTTTTGACCTTTTGGCCAGACTTTCTTCGAAGAACTGTTGAAAGAACAGACCATTGTTATCCCAGGCATATTCTTCGATATCAACCCTTCGCATCGCCGCAACCTGTTCAACTCGCCATGTCACCACTTCATCCGCATCAGCTTTGGCCCCCCGCTCGAGGACCTCGACAAGGGACTGGATGCTTTTGAGCGCGTGCTCAAGAAGGCGAAGAAGGAGGGTATGAAGGCGTTCGGACATAGCTACAAGAAGAGTTTGGAGGGAGTCGATGCGGAGGAGATCAAGGCGCTTCAGCAGCACATTAGTGGCTAAGAGGCATACTAAAGGACATGGGAAGGAAATACCAACATTTGTAGACACAGTTGTACAGCTCGTCATAAGTTAACGGGTCAAGGTTACGATAAAGAAGACCTTTGGAAGATGGCATCTCACAGTTTAGCAGCAACCTGGAAGGCTGTCGACATACCAAGAGAAATCGCCGTTTTTTACTTTATGGGCGAGCGTTGCAATTCTTGTCACGGCGCCCCTTTTGACTTCAACCATGGCATCGACAATGCTCTCTCCCCGCTCAACCCTTGACAGTACTGGATACGATCTTGTGCCTCTTGAGATGCCACCGTGGCAAGACGAAGTTTGTTTATATGGCTACGTTCTGAAAAATCATGATTTTTGCAACCCGAAAGACGACCACAATTTTGACCTAATCTTCGCTTCTCTCCGACGACGCGCTTTTGCTTATGCTCATCTCGACTCTTACCCAACCATCATTTTCCTCGCCGTGTGGAGTCCAACGACACGCCGCATCTGCAGCGCCGCAAACGGCGACGACAAAATTCCGGCTCCTTCGGAACTGCGGGCAATGGAGCAAGAGATAGCACTAACTGGCGAGCGGCCCCATTGGTTTTTAAATGATGGTAGAATCTTCAATGAACAGGTGCGCTCTGATATTTTCCCCCCTTTCCACCAACCTTAAACTCGCAGAATACTGTCGATGGTATGGACTCTTTGTGGGCGCCAGGCACGACTCAAACCTTGACTAGATTTTATTGAACGTGAGCTGGCACGGAGGCTCCCTCGTGAGTTCCTTTCCTCGTATTCTAGTTTGCGCAGTAACACAACCCAGCACCTCCCTCGCTCCTCAGTGTTTTGGGAATCAATCGCACATTTCCTTGGTTGTAGGCATATTTTTCTAAGCGCGGGGCGCACGCCTTGACGATTTTCTAGCTCCAAAGAGCAGCTCACCCCAATACCGCGCGTACCGGACCCAAAGCGGATTTGGCTTTACGGCTACAAGCTGCTCAAGGCATCCAGCTCTGCAGGCCCGCTCGCAATGTTCGGCTCCTCCACGCTGCGGAAGTACTTTGTCTATCACAGAGTGCTGCGTCCCCACACTCTGGTGCTCTACCTCGCGATGTACAGCCCTTACACACAACGGTACCTCAGCATATCGAACGGCGATGACAGAATTCCCTGGGAACACATGCTGAGAGCATTGGAGAAGGATTTGACACTCGATGAGCCGCCGGAGTGGTTTGAAGCAGAAGACTGGCTGGTACGCATTTCTCTGTTCATTTTTCTCGCTAATCAATGTGCCCATAGGACCCGTTCGGTGGATCAGTAGATGGTAAGCTACATGTTGTTCTTTTCTGCTTTCATTAATGAAGGCATCTTCATAAACTGTAAGGACGAGTTACCATGGATACCTACTCTGATTGTGATAAAGAAGACCTTTGGAAGATGTCATCTCACAGTTTAGTAGCAAGCTGGAAGGCTCCTCGCCAAGAACTTGAAGCTCAAGTAGCAAGAGAAATCGCCGTTGTCTATAAAATTGACAAAGCCACTCCATAATACCCATTCCTCGTACATTAAGTCGTTATTGAGATGTCGTCCCTTCTGGGAAGCTTGAGTGGGAGTTGAGGCGGTATTGGCTGTTGTAGAATACTACGATCCCACGAGTACCAAATGCCGCTGCGCGGTGATATACTATAGTGTCTCCATCGGTAAGATACCGTCTGCAAGTTTGGAAGTTGCTTAAGAAGCAGCCATGCAGCGGTTGCTGGAGCTCCGCGATTTGCCGCCGGGTAGTAGACATCAAGAGAGAATTTGAGGTGTCGTAAGGCTGGGAGATTGCCAAGCGAGGCTATAAAATGACTCTAGGAGGTGTTGAGCGTTGAGCGGAGGGAGCATAGCGTCTCTTACATCGTTCATCTCGATAAGATAAGTGTCGAATTCTCGGAAGACGCGTTGCCCAAGGTGCAAAGTTTGCAGCGAGGGAAACGATGCTGCAATCAGGTCCACGAATGCCGCTTTAGGGTTGACGATTATGGCCACGAAAGCGAATTCGGTGAGGTGATTGAATCGGACAAGACGTTGCAGAAACTCTAGTGCATCATTTCTCGAAAATCTGACCTCGCCGAGCCCGCCGGGATATGCCAAGTGACCGTGCAGGTCCCACATAGGTAAAATGCTCAGTGAATCCAGTGTCAATGGCAGCTGGTCGAAGATGGGGTCATGTAGGCCTGTGTTGCCCAGTGTGACGGCAGTCAAGTGCGGCGAGTAGGTGTTAAGCGCATCATGTGCTGACGTAGCCAGCGTCAAAGGTGGGTGTAACCCAACAGTTTTGTCGCGAGATACGTCAGCTGTATATAGCAGCGAGAGTGAGTGCAGTGCCGGCATGCGTGTCAAAAGTTGGTGAGGCGCGATGTAGGGAATCGGAGTGTGCTCTGTGACGATGAGTTCGCGTAGTTTTGGCCATAAGGTGTCGCATATTGAGGGTGACAATAGGTCTCCAGAAATAGTTAGCCTTTCAAGACGGGGTGATATATTCTTCAGTAAGGAAGCGACATTTTGTTTTTCGCAGTCTATGTCGACGCCGGAAACTCGGGTGACGCCTCTTGGTCCAACAATGGAAAGAATCAGGTTCGTGAGAGACGGGAAAGGCAGAGGCATAGAAGGCGTTTCTCCGTCTAGTCTGAGTTGCCGCAGTTCCAGAACTTGTAGCGTCTCAAGCCCAGCTACCGCGGAGAAAAAATCTGTGGGTATAACCGACTCCGTGGACAAGACAATCTTTGTCACCGCAGGCAACGCGGACAAGACGTCAAGCAGTTCAGGCGAGAGCACAGGAGTTCGAGTATCTTCATCCCGCAGTTGGAGGGTACTTGGTGTTTTCAGTTACAACAACATACCGCGTATTTTAAGCTCACCGGAAGAACGGCCAGAGTGACTTCGGCCACACTGATTCGTAGCCTGCACTATGGCTACGTATCTCGCAAAAGACGCGTGGTAGTATAGCGACACGTAGCTTGCGGCAAGTGAGCGACAAGGCCACCAAATTGATGCGTGTTTCCCCAACTTCGAGGTAATCAAAAATGACGGCCAAGATGTCTGTCGGAAGTGAAACCAAGGATATTGGGGGATTTATGCCCTTCCAGAACCATAATCTTGACCAAAACCTCCAGAGGAATGCGAGCGATATCATAGTTGCTATTGAGCTCAAAACACCACGTGTCCGTGACGCAGTTTTGATCTCATGGTTTCGGTTTCGCCCGAGTCGAAGAGGCTGAAAGCAAGTACTAGTACAGTGGTTCGCCATAATCCATACGCCATTGTCTATTTTATGGGCGAGCATGGCAGTGGAAGCGTGGACATTAATGGGACAGGGCGAATTCGGAATTCCAGGGTCGGGTGACGGTGTACAATTAATACTAGTATTCGGTGTAACTATAGCTCAATGAACATATCAGATTCACTCCGTTCCGACTGCTTGCGGTATCAACTGAAATTATCATGCTATATTGTCAAATTATGCCTCTCTGCCGGAAAGCGCTAGACGCAGTTGAGGCGGTATTGGATTCGACAGGACACTCCGGTCCCATGAATACCAAATACCGCTGCGCGAGGCCATGGAGTAATGTCTCCATCTGTATGACACCGTTTGCAGGGTTGGAATTTGTTGGAGCAGTATGTATGCTGCTGTTGCCGGCGCCCCGCGGTCTGCCTCTGACCAGTAAATGTCCAGAGAAAATTTCAGATGTCGTAGATTCTGTATTCCACGCAATGAAGAGATAAAGGTCATCTACAGAGCCTTCAGAAGCACAGTAAAATGGGGGGAGAGCAACCTACATCACTCATCTCAATGAGATAAACGTCAGCTGCTCTGTAGACATTATAGCCGAGATGCAACGACTGCAGAGCAGGGAACAACGTTGCAACCAAGTCGATCAGAGGTGGCCGAGGTTGTTGTTGGAGGACCAGAAACTCCAATTTCGTGAGGTGGTTGAATCTAGAGAGACGGCGCACAAGATTCATAGCATCTTCTCGAAAAAATCTAACCTCACCAAACGCGTTGTGGTAGGGCAAGTGATTGTGCAGGTCCCACATTGGCACAAGGCTTAAGCCATCTAACAATGGGGGTAATTGGTCGAGAATGGGGTCATCCAAACCCATGTTGCTCAGAGTGACAGCGGTTAGATTGGGAGAGCAATTTATGAGTGGATCATGGACTGATGTGCCGAGCTTGAACGTCGCAACTTCATCGCGCCATATGTCCATCGTATATAAGAGTGCTAGAGAATGGAGCGCTGGCATGTGTGCTAAAAGTCGAGGAGTTGGAATATAGGGTATGGGCGTGTGCTCGGTGACGGTGAATTCGCGTAGTTTCGGCCATGCAAGGTCGCATATCGGCGGTGAAAGGAGTTCTCCAGAGATAGCCAGCGTTTCGAGTTGCGGCGCCACAATTGTGAGTAAAGAAACAATGCGTTCTTTTTCGCGTTCAGTATCAATACCCGCAACACGAGTGACGCCTTGTGGTCCAACGATGGAGATGACGAGGTTCGAAAGAGACGGGAAGGTGAGTGGCACAGAGGGCATTTGCCCGTCCAGTCTGACTTTCCGCAGTTCTAGAACTTGTAGCGTTGCGATAGCGGAAGCTGCCACAAAAAACTCTGCGGGCACGACCGCTTTTGTCGACAACACAATTTTTGTCACGGCCGGCATGCTCGACAAAGCGGAGAGCATTCCGGAGGAAAGGAAGATGATTTGGTCTCTATCGTGCAGCTGGAGAGTACTTTGTCTTTTCAGCCTCAAGTTTACCATATGTTCGTCTTACCGGAAGAATGGCCAGAGCGAAATTGGCCACACTGAGTCGCGACTTGCGTTATCGCTGCTTATCCTGCGGAAAAGGCGCGGTAGTACCAAGAAGCGCAAATCTCGGCAAGTAAGCGACAACGACAACAAGTCTACGAGTTGATGCTCGTTTGGTGTGCCGTTAGTTTGGAGGAAGTCGAAGATGAGGTTCATGATATCGACTGGGAGGACGACGAAGGATATTGGAGGGTCCTCGTCCTTCCAGAGCCGCAATTTCGCCCAAACATCCCCAAGGACTTGGAGGACCATGATTGCCAGTGTTGAGGTTGAGATTCAAGTGGCCACGTGGTCGTGACGCATACCTGACTCGGACTCGGACTACCACATGCTTTCCCTCGAACTCCTCGTTCTATCCTCTGGGCAGACTTTGTTTGAAGAGCTGGCGAAATAGCATTTCATCGTCATCCCAAACAATTTCCCCCGTAACAATCTGTTCAATACACTTCGAGACCTGCCAGTGGACAGGAAACTGGGGCGTTTGAGCGCGTGCTCAAGAAGGCGATGTGGGAGGGTATGAAGGCACTTGGACATGGCTACAAGAAGAGTTTGGCGGCAGTTGATGCGGAGGAGCTCAAGGCGCTTCAGCAGCGCATTAGTGGCTAATTCCGAGAGGTATACTAAAGGACATCGGGGTTAAATAACATTTGTAGACACAGTTGTATAGTTCGGCACAAGTTCACCAGTCAATCAACCTTGTACAGTTACGATAAAGAAGCCCTTTGGAGGATTGCATGATTCGGATGGTGCACACTGTGTTCGTCTCACAGTTTAGCAGCAAGCTGGAGCCTGGTAGGCTCCTCGCCAAGAACTTGAAGCTCAAGTAGCAAGAGAAATCGCCGTTGTCTATAAAATTGACAAAGCCACTCCATAACACCCATTCCTCGTACATTAAGTCCTTATTGCGATGTCGTCCCTTCTAGGAAGCTTGAGCGGTAGTTGAGGCGGTATTGGCTGTAGTAAAATGCTGCGATCCCACGAATACCAAATGCCGCTGCGCGGCGATATACTATAGTGTCTCCATCGGTAAGATACCGTCTGCAAGTTTGGAAGCTGCTTAAGAAGCAGCCATGCAGCGGTTGCTGGAGCTCCGCGATCTGCCGCCGGGTAGTAGATATCAAGAGAGAATTTGAGGTGTCGCAAGGCTGGGAGATTGCCAAGCGAGGCTATAAAATGACTCTAGGAGGTGTTGAGCACTTGGCGGAGGGAGCATAGAGTCTCTTACATCGTTCATCTCGATCAGATAAGTGTCGAATTCGCGGAAGACGCGTTGCCCAAGGTGCAAAGTTTGTAGTAAGGGAAACGATGTTGCAATTAGGTCGACGAATGCCGGTTTAGGGTTGACGACCATAGCCACGAAGGTGAATTCCGTGAGGTAGTTGAATCGGACAAGACGTCGCAGAAGCTCTGATGCCCGATCTCTAAAGAATCTGACCTCGCCGAGCCCGCCGGGATATGCCAAGTGACCGTGCAGGTCCCACATAGGCAAAATGCTCAGTGAATCGAGTGTTAATGGTAACTGGTCGAAGATGGGGTCATGTAGGCTTGTGTTGCTTAGTGTGACGGCAGTCAAGTGCGGCGAATAGGTGGTGAGCATGTCATGCGATGTACCCAATGTCAAAGGTGGGTGTAACCCAACAGTTTTGTCGCGAGATACGTCAGCTGTATATAGCAGTGAGAGTGAATGCAGCGCCGGCATGTGTGCCAAAAGTCGGTGAGTCGCGATGTAGGGAATCGGAGTGTGCTCCGTAACGACGAGTTCGCGTAGTTTTGGCCATAAGGTGTCGCATATTGAGGGTGACAGTAGGTCTCCAGAAATAGTTAGCCTCTCAAGACGGGGTGCCAGATTCTTCAGTAAGGAAGCGACATTTTGTTTTTCGCAGTCCACGTCGATGCCGGAAACTCGGGTGGCGCCTCTTGGTCCAACGATGGAAAGAATCAGGTTCGTGAGAGATGGAAAAGGCAGAGGCATAGAAGGTGTTTCTCCGTCTAGTCTGAGTTGCCGCAGTTCCAGAACTTGTAGCGTCCCAAGCCCAGCTACCGCCGAGAAAAAATCTGTGGGTATAACCGACTCCGTGGACAAGACAATCTTTGTCACCGCAGGCAACGCGGACAAGACGTCAAGCAGTTCAGGCGAGAGCACAGGAGTTCGGGTATCTTCATCCCGCAGACGGAGGGTACTTGGTGTTTTCAGTTACAACAACATACCGCGTATTTTAAGCTCACCGGAAGAACGGCCAGAGTGACTTCGGCCACACTGATTCGCAGCTTGCACTATGGCTACATATCTTGCGAAAGACGCGTGGTAGTATAGCGACACGTAGCTTGCGGCAAGTGAGCGACAACGACAGCAAATTGATGTGTGGAGATTCAATGCGTGTTTCCCCAACTTCGAGGTAATCAAAAATGACGGCCAAGATGTCTGTCGGAAGTGAAACCAAGGATATTGGGGGATTTATGCCCTTCCATAACCATAATCTTGACCAAAACCTCCAGAGGAATTCGAGCGGTATCATGGTTGCTATTGAGCTCAAAACAACCACGTGTCCGTGACGCAGTTTTGATCCCGTGGTTCGCTTCAACTTGGAAGACGAAAGAATCAAAGATAAGCTTGAAAAAGACACTCCGTCGGACCGTGGTGCTATGTATCCTCAGCTATCTTGCCATCTAGCTTTACTCTTGGGAATAACCAATCGATGTACGACGATATGGGCGCCTTATTTTCACATTCGACATTGTGGACGTCCCATGCAGTTTCAACGTGTTCACGAAAGTGTACTTTTAAGCTGGGGAGCAGTCGTACGTGCTCTCAGATGTCATCCATGCACCCGCTGTCGCCCTCCATTCTGAATTCTGCAAAGTTGCTACTGGACCAGCTTGAGCTTGAGATTAGGGTCATTCCAAGCCCTTCTCTTGCTGACCACGTAAGCCCAATATCAATCCAATAGCCCGTTTTATTCTGATATCTTGTAGCTACAGTTGTCCCGCAGCCTGGCATTCACACGTTGGGGTCAGGCCATTCCTGAAACTAGCGATAGGTTAAGTCCCAATACTACTGGGAACAAGCAGCCGCATGCTCGCATTCGACAAGTGTCTGCTGACTGCAAGGCTCAAAGCACTCTGTTCCCACTAGAACAAATTAGCACAGTCTCTAGATCTATGGACAGTCTAAGATATCATCTGTCCAGTCCAGCTCTAGTTGCTCCAGTACTCAAAACTGGTCCGCCACAACGTGCTTCTCAATCACTTCAGCATCAAACCATCCAGAGAACTGCAAACATTGACTTCCGGGGGACATGTACGTTTATTTCTATATACTTATTTACAAACTTCTGGCTAATAAGAAGCTTAGGGGGGGAGACAGTGATAGATATAGGAAGTACAGTATATCATGTTAAGAGACACTTAATACAATACTATCTAGGACTTTTCTAACTTTGGAGGACCACCTGACAGTTCATTCACATTTCTCTTTGATATTGGTAAGTCTAGACAAAAAATAGAGACTTAGAGTCCTGATCTCCTGGCAGGCTCCAATCATTTGTGAATTGCATCTTGTATTTATAATTTATTGTCTGATTATGACTTAGTTGGGTTATTTCCAAAGATTTGGAAAAACACTATATTGGTAGCCCTAATCTGGGCCGTGCAGCTCGGGGATGGTTTGAATTTGCAGGTGGCTCTGCTCGTCATCAACTTGTTGATGATGGACCATTTGAGGCAACCTACTTAGACAGAAATCATGCAAGTTAGTATTATAATCTTATTCTTTCAAATCTACCTTACTAATATAATACTATAGTATACAAATTATATTCTGAAGTTTTGCATATTCCTCAAACACCTAACCACTCTGCTGAATACCTGAATATTTTTTTGGGTGTTGCATATGAGGTTATAGGACCTGTGTGTTTTGCACCATATGATGGTATTATGGGGTTTGGTTGTGGGTGTGTTCTCTCTTATATGATTTCAAAAAAATTACTCAAAGTTTAATATAGAAAAGCAACTTTAAACTGTCCAGCAGTATGTATATTAATAATAAATTTATAGACTGACTAATGCCTGCTTAGCCATTTCCTATGCAAATTCTGGAAAAATGTGTTAGTACGTTGTCAATATGCAGAATAAGATAATAAGTTTTTTTAGACCAGCCGTGAAATTACTTTAACATTTAGTAATCAATCGGGGTACTATAATATTCATTATTCTGCTACCACTTACACTTGTATCTTTAGCAAGGTTACCTTTGGCCATCGCCACATTGACGAGGATGAATTTCCAACTTGGCACTCAGACATTATGGTCATAGATACAGCTCAAGACTGCTGTTGGATGGTTAATGGAGACAAGAAATTACTAAATGATCATCAATTCACCTCAAAAACCAAATCTACTATACTTGATTGTGGTAGAGTTTTCTCTTATTTCCCTTCATTTTATGTTAATAGTGGATAACCTTTAGGAACAATTTTCACATATCTGGATCATGAGTTATATGAAGAATTTTACAACTTGGTTCCAGAATATAGGATTGATCCTGAAACTGGACTTACACTGGTTCCAGTGGATCTTCATGACTTTCCATCATTATCTCTCCAGCTTGGAAATGGGGAGGACATGTTTGAGCTGCAGACATATACTGACTTATATTATTCACCAAAATTCAAAGAAAATGGTGTCAATTATCGAGCTGGTACAGTTCAATCCAAACTGAGCCTCAAACTTGAAGGTCTCAAGGTGTATGATGGACCTGACATTATTGGACGGGTAAGTCATCCATCTTTCTGATTATAGAATTTCTTTCACAAGTCTGTTTACAGATTTCATTATCAGATATGGAGTTGAATCTTCAATTTCCAAAGAATGGCACTCCCAAGATTGCATGGAGAGAAGTTGGCCAAATTGTCCTAGCTACTCCAGCAGTTGACTGGGAATGATTACACCTACATATGTATGAGTTCACAATATGTATACAAGAATGTACTACTCTTTGTCATTGTGTACAGAATTCACCAAGATGGAGAGAGAGAGAGAGAGAGAGTACATATATTTCACGGTCCTACATGGTTTCTTATTGATTTGATCCGCTACAACCCTGCCTTGAGGAAGTTGGAAGGCACAGTTAAACCAGTGTGGAGGTGTGTGTTTCTTCTTCGATTCAATGGGTGTTGGTTTTTCAGTGCGTAGGGCTATGATGATGTGGGCTTCGGGTGGTAATCCGGGAGTTGTGTGCGATGGGGGTCTAAACCTAGACCCAACTCATCAAGGACATTATGATGAACAAGAGTCCTTGACGAAACGACCGGCATCTGACGTCCACCCATTGCCACCAAAGGTGGATCATGATGATCCAGACCAAGACCAATATGGTCCAGAACACTACGGGAATTGGCTGAAGTCGAAGCAATGGGGAGAGGAGGGGCTTCAGAATGTTTCGCTGTGAGTCGCAAGGTCTCCAGAGCATGCTGTATCGAAGTCGAGGTGTCGTGTTCATTTCGAAGGCCCAGTTTTGCGATTGATGCCTCCAAATCTACCTTCGCCTTCGATTTCGCAGCACTCCCATCGCTGCCTGCATCGGCAGTCTTCTGAGACGAAACTGCAGACGCCAAAGTCGGAAGGTGCGAGTTAACGCCCGCTTCAGGCGATCGTTTCGACTGCGAGGCCGTGTCTGGCTTCTTGTCGGGTGTGAATGCTGTTGTGATCTTGTCCAAAAGCGTCTGCTCGTTTGCTGAGGAGGGTCCTGGCGGCGACGATGTCGACGGCGGTTCTGAGGTTGGGGAGGACTCTGGTGCCGCTCCGAACCCGCCCACGGAGGCATTCGCCAGTTTCTCCAGAAAGCCGTCATCCTTGTTATCGGGGTGTGTTGGTGGTTCAGAAGAAGGGGATGTGGCCATTTTTGCGATGCTTGGGCAGGTGGAGTCGTATTTGAGAGAAGTACGAGCATCACTAATGCGTTCATGCTGGAGTCCTAGTTCAATCGGGAGCTATGCCTAGTTTGGATGGATGGATGGATTGAACCCTCGAACTATAGGCGGGAAATAAGAGCGGAATCCCAGTTCATGTCGGTGCATTAGTTTGTGAACGCAGATGTAAATCGCGTCCAGGAGAAGGGCCCAGAATTCCTCCACTGAGCGGTATCGATATCCTAGAAGTTAGAGCCTGAGAGGAGTCGTTAACTCTCCGTTTGGGAAGTTATTTCAGACTGCGAAGACCATGGCAGCCACCACCAACATTGAAAGTCGTCACCATCACGCCGTCATCGACAACTCCGTTCACCACCATGTCTGCAACACCAAAACCACCTTCAAGCGAAGATATAGTTGGGCAGAAAGTGTGTTTACTTCACGGTCGAAGCTCCCCACTAATGAAGGCCATAGCTTGACCGGTGTTGTTCGTGTTCTTGATCAAGTTGTGTCGAAGAAAACTTACCGCTTAGTCTTTTAGTTGCGGACTTTCTCGTTAAAGCGTGCGTATACTTACCCGCTAGTCATATACTCTGGCTCATGTTTCCATTAGTGGTGTAGGCTTCAGCGCTGGTGTTGTTCTATCTGTTGTCTTATTCCGCCGTCCGTTGCTCGTTTCCTCCCTCATGCGCACCCAATCTGACCCACCTCTCCAGGCCGCACATGGCCCATCGCTCTCTCCACTGGTTTTGGCGCTGGCGCTGCATACGCTGACTGCGACCGTTCCTTCAACCCAGCACGGATACCTGGCACCAGAATTATCTCCCAACTGCCACCCCACCCAACTCCCGAAGGAAAATGAGGGTTCTGAGCGGTAGAGGGCGTGTAGTTGGTATGAATAGATAGAGCATTGCAATGCGAAGGCCATCACACGCAAATTGCTCTCTTCTTTTCAACCACCATCTTAGCTGCTTTCGGACCGACTTTTTTAAACGTTCCAACCCAACAGGCTTCGAATCTCGTTGCTAGAACGTATGCCTATCCCATCCTGACGCCTTCCCGAAGTACCGGTGGTTGACCTGTAGGAGTATATATGTTGGCCCGAACCAGAGTTTTCGGCGCCGTTTCTTTCTTCCTCCAACCACGACTTCGGGCAATGTCCTCTTCCACTCCCAAGCCACCCAGCGCGCCGCGTCCTTCAGCTAGCTTGGTCGTTATCAACCCCCGCAATGAAATTCTATTTGTACACCGCAATCCAGAGGCCCGGTCGTTTGGCGGTGTGCATGTTTTCCCCGGGGGCAATTTCGATGCGGCACAAGACAGCTCACTGGCAGAAACTGCTATACGCGAAACCTTTGAGGAGGCTGGGCTGCTCTTCGCCTCGGGCTCCGGGTCAAACTTCCCGGACAACGAAGCCTTCGACATTGCTCGCAAGTCTGTGCACGCAAACAATGGCTGGAAAGAGTTCCTGAAGAAATATGAGCTGAAGCCAGACACCCAAGCTTTGTTACCGTTTACGCAGTGGATCACGCCGTCATTCGTGCCACGGTCAGTACTGTGAAACGTATTTCGCAGAAAGACTCTGACAATCCTACTAGTCGCTTCCAAACTCAGTTTTTCGTCACCTTCCTCGCTGGCTCATCGTCAGCAGGCTTTTCCAGTGGGACGAAGGAGGAACGGATCCCGACTTCAGGTCAGTTGGCTATCGCTCTCTCCGCATTGCTTATTGCTCTGTAGACGGTGGCCTTGAAGTTCTATCAGCGCGCTTCCTTCACCCACGAACCGCCATCGCGCTCTTTGCCTCCAACGAGATCACGCTGATGCCGCCTCAATACTACATCGTCAAGACCCTCGCCGATCTTCTCGCAAGCGCCGATGGGCCCAGCACTCTAGCTGAACGCGCGAACATTGAGCGCCTGGCCAACGGGCCATTTGGTCGCATAGTCATTAATCCGAAATTGCTAAAGACTCCCGACATCCCGAAAGGTACGACGGTGCTGACATATGAGGGCGACGAGACAAGGGGCGGGCCACCGGGTAGAATGCATCGAGCAATAACCAAGATGAATAAAGCTGGGGTCAGTATGGTTATGCCTGGAGGCTTTGGTGCTGACCTGCGTTTTCAGGTGACGACCGAGATCACCCTCCTGCGCAACTTCGATATCTTCACTGAAGTCGCAGAGTTAGGCAGTAAACTATAGGTGTAGTAGTAGGCGGGCGAGTGCTGTGAACAACATAACCTATTGGTCATATGCGAGAGGCACGGCTGTCTTTTGTCCATCTTTCAGAGAGAATCTTTTTTGGCTTACTGATGGGCAAAATTCCTGCAACTGATTAGTCTGGTCCACATGCTATAATGGAACCATGGGCATCTTTCATCCACACCGATTAAATATTGAACAAAGGAGAAATTGACGGTTCGCGGCCTTTTCTGGAAGAAGCATCCCTTGCCATTCCATTCGTCTTGACTATGTGTGTATGCCCCAGAGTCCAATTTACCATTTCGCGGGAGCGCTCTGACAAGATAATTTGAAAAGACAGCATTAAAGCGATGATATAGGCGACTATAGAAGAGTAGCGATTCCTATTCTTGCTCTACAAGTCTACAGCAAAGTCTCACCTAATAGAAATCAGCGCGACGCTTGCAGTGAGAAACGCACTTACCCAACGCCGACCGCACCAACGAGCAACCAATCGCAACGGTCTGTTGGACGCTGGCAGCATCAGCGAGAGACGGGTTCACTTCCTGCGAGAACGTCAGCAACCATATTGCAAATTGGGGGAGTCTGTTACCATAAGATCGAGGGCAACAAGTAGTCCGGAAGACCATATCTCCTCGCAAATAAAGTGGCCCTCTCTAAACGTCAGCCCGCCTCTGACCTGGACCTAGTCAGTACTGCCGAGCAAACACGAGATTGAACACACAGGTGTTCCGGTTGAGGGTGCAACTGAAGGGTCTAAAGCATCTACGTCGAAACTCAGGTGGATGGGGCGGTCGCGCTTCGGGTTGACATGGTCTAACGCCATCTCCACAACTTTGCCAATGCCATATTTGTCGACCTCGTGCATGCTGAACGCCTTGATGTTGTTCTCTTTCAGAATGCGTTTTTCGCCCGCATCGACGTCGCGCAGGCCAATGTAGACTATGCGCTCGGATTTGAGGAGCGGCTTGACCCATGAAAATTCAGGGACCGCGCTGCCGATGCCCAGGAGGAAGGAGACGGGCATTCCATGAATGTTGCCAGAGTCGGTGGTTTCGACGGTGTTGATATCAGCGTGGGCGTCAATCCAGACAACACAGGCCTCGGGGTATGCCCTGCACATGCTTAGTCAACGGCGGCATTTAACAGGTAGCCTACTCGAGTGTGCCGGAAATAGTCCCCATCGCAAGGGAGTGATCACCGCCGAGAGTAACGGGAAGCTCGCCCTTCTTGGCATGGCCACCAACGGCTTTGGCCACAGCTTCACTGACCCGCGACACAAGTCTGGGGTTCTTGAGTTTGCCAATGGGCGGGTCGGCAGCAGCGTTGATCTCCTCGAATTGGTGGTGGCCGTCGAATTGGACTTTCCAGCCCAGGCCGGAGAGTTGCTCGATTAGACCGGCCTCTACGAGATGAATAGGGCCTTGATCAACGCCGGGACGAGGCTGAGGGGATTGCTGTTAGCGTTGTAAAGGAGCCACAAGAATCACCCCACTTGACCACCACTAATGGAGCTTAGATCAGCAGTCCTCCGTCTCCGAGAAAGTCCAAACACACCTGAATGGACATCCAACAATCTACACCACGCCATGAGTCGGCGGTCGACGCGTTGCGTAGGTTACTCACGGATGCGGTAAGGGGCTCTTTGAGAAAACGCGACATTTTTTGGTTGCTGTTGGTGGTAGAAAGTCAAGATGCAAGCTCCGAAACAGCCATGCGTGACTGTCCGTCTTTAGACCTTTGCCAATCCAGTGCAGACTGCGAGGGTCGACCAAGACAGAGGAAACGCATTCGTCATCATCTGATGCAATGGCGGGTTTTCACGTCGTTGTTGGCAGTGGTGAGACGGTAACAATTCGGGGGGATGAGATGCTCCATTGAGTGTTAGCAGTTCGTCGGTGCGAGAAGTAAAGAGGCAACAGCAGTTAAACATGCTATCTGACATGCCGCTAAAAAGGTATCTAAAGACAGCGTGGGACGGAGAGATAAACCGGCCTCGAACACTGCGGGAGTTTGGGATAAACAGCAGCCGTTTCGATCCATTATACGCCTAAAATCAAGCAGCAAAAACTGGTCAAAAGGGTTCCTGTAAGAAGCGTTGCTCACTGCTCAATGTCGAACACAAAGGAAAGTCACTTCGCAATTAGGACGCCGCTTTGACACAACTACTTATTTGACTCTTACTATACAAGAAGCCACAGCACAACATAGAGTAATAGCCCTCTGAATCCCTTTGCCCAACCTTCAAGTCTGCATCAGGCACGAATCGCACCTACTCGGCTCTTCATTCTTGTCAGCGCACCAACAACAGCCACAGCAAGCGCAAGTAAAAACCATTTTCGTGCGCCACTGGAGGCCGTGGTACCGCTGGGAGGAGCCCGCGGCCTGGAGGGAAGCTTTTGGCTAAGATTCTTCTTAATGAAGTCCAGGTTCTTGTCGGTGTAAGGCGGGTATCGGACGCCCAACAGCTTGTCGATCCTGTGGAATATGATTAGCAACAATTCGAAAAGGATGCTCGTTGGCATACCAGCTTGGTGTGTCGATGCTGGCGCGCAAGTGGGTGAAGATTTCAAAGCCGTACTGTGAATCGCACATCTGTGTCTGAAAAACAGTGCATTCCAAATGACCATACCTTGCCAGTGTGGTAGCCGCCGTCTGCGCAAATAATCAGTCTGCATGAATTCATGTCGGATGAGGGACGCACATCCACTTCCACCAACACCGCCAAATGGAAGCCCAGACACTGCATCATCAGTACAAAACCTCGGGTGAAATGGCCCTAGTGCTCACCACCCGGAATAATAATAGTTTCATTTGCGACCGCTGAGCCACTCAATGTGCTGCTGAAAACTACAAATGGTAAGCATTCTGCCAATTAGTTAACGAAGATGAACACACTCTTCTTTTTGAGGGCATCGTTCTGGGTGAAAACGTATAGAGCCAGGGGATGATCACTGGAAGGATGGATAAGCATATAAGAGGATGGCAGGAAAACACGTACTTCGCGTTTACGTAGGCGATACCCGTGTCGAGGTTTTCCACAGGGATGATCGGCAGCACGGGCCCAAAGATTTCCCTGTTCAAGCTCAGAACGACCTATAAAGAAACGAAGGTATCACGCACTCGCTCATCAGTGAGTCCTCGAAAGTCACGTCCTGCAGGATAGTGGGAGGAATGAATTTCTTGTCTTCGTCCGCTCCTTCCCCGCCACAAACGATGGTGCCCTTGCTGGCCTGCAGGAGACCGTTAACGCGCTTCCAAGCAGCTTGGTTGATCATCTTGGAGGTATTCTGGGCTGGTCGAGGGGGTGATTCTGCCGTTTCTGGGTAGAATTCTGCGTATCTGACGCAACGTTGAGCGTTAAACGAAAGTAACAAGGAGAGTCAACGCTTACACGGTCTTCAGCTCTTTCACGAATTTCTCCTGGGCCTCTTTGGGGACGAGGATATAGTCTGGCGCAACACAGGTTTGGCCGGCGTTGGTGAATTTGCCCCAAACAATACGCTTTGCGGCAAGCTTGAGGTCTGATGCGGGGTCTATGAAGACAGGGCACTTTCCACCGAGCTGAAGCGCGTAAGTAAATCCAGGTTTAAGTTTCACACAACACAAACCAACCTCGAGTGTTACTGGAGTCAAGTGTTTGACCGCGGCCGCAGCAACGATCTTTCCTACACGACCACTGCCCGTGTAGAGGACTGCGCAGCACAAATATTAGCTTGGATCAGGAGTGCATTAGATTAGATAGCGTACTATGGCCCCAGGGAAGATCAAGCAACTAATACGGGGTTAAACTGCGGCCAGGTGGTACTAGTTAAACATGGTCTCGCACCTTAGTTGTTTCCGCTACAGAGCCATTGACGATCCTGATAAACGAGGGATCAATATACTTGGGGAGTTGCTCGGTCAAGAGAGCTGCGATTGCCGGACAACCCTCTGCCGGTTTGATTACGACTGTGTTCCCTGCAGCAATAGCACCAGCCTGTGAATTTTATAAGCAACATGTGCGCTGGTGCAGAGTAGGAACTTACCAGGGGAGACATGATAAGCCACAGAGGGTAATTGAAGGGGGAGATGATGAGGACGACGCCTTTCGGCTCCTTGTAGGTAACCGGGTTCATGAACATGAAGTTGAGCGTCCGCGAAGGCTTCTCTGGTGCTGCCCACTTGTCGACGTTTTTGTACGCTTCCATGAGTTCAGAAATGGAGGCGCCAATTTCCATCCTAGGCGATGAATTGAGAAATGTGAGGTATCGGTGAAAAGCAGCACACACATAACACTCTCTAGCGGCGGGCGTCCCAAATCCTTGGTCAGCGCCTCCTCGAGGGCTTTCGCATTGTCCTGGAGAAGATACGCAAGTTGCAACAGCTGGTACTTCCTGAAAGCAATGGACTTGGTCTGGCCAGTCTTGAATCCCGCCTTCAATTCGGCGTGAATCTGAACCGGGTTGGCTTCGTAAAGTAAGAATAGCGAGGAAAGCGCACCTGCTCGATCTCTTCGAGGCTCGTGTAGGCGAAAGGTGTGGTGGTTGCCATTGATGCTAGGTTTTGCGTCGGTTGGATGTTGGATAAAGCCGCAGTTGATGTCGCGTTCTTATAGTGTCGGTTGGGTCGGGCTTCGGTCGGTAGGTCAAAACGGCTTGGGCCCAATTAGGACCGGCGGTCAGACGATGACGGTCAGCGAAAACAAGACGGTGTGATTGCGGGAAAGGCGACCCGGATAGCCGTCACATGCAAATCCGAATTCACTGACGGATCTGACTGCGCAATTGAAGTAAATCACCTACTTAGCGTTGAATCCAAGTTATAGACAAGCCTTCAACGTGTAATGACCAGATATATATTAACCATATATTAACCTATGTGGACCGAAGTGTATTACGCCGGCAAGACGCAAATCGTCCAAATGCGTTTGACACGATACGTTCATGTAGCAGACTACCGAGGTTTTCCTCGACCATGGCGGCGCTGAAGGTTGGCTGAAAGGCACGTTTCACCACTTCAAAGACACCGCTTGCCCTGAGTTGGACACATGTGAAGGCTACAGTATATGAAGGCGATCCACCACCAGCCCTTCCGCAGCAAAACCGGGACCCGAATTGCCACCCCAGAACGTCAGCCTAATCGATCGGCAAAGAAATCGTCATCATCGAGCAGCTCAGGCTTGTCTTGCGACACTTTGACGCGGTCATCTTTCAGCATTCTGAATAGCATTTTAGAGCAAAGCATCAACCGAAACGCCACGAACGCACCTCGCATCCACCCTAACGTCCTCTCCCTCCACTTGGACCACCGCTTGTGGGGTTTTCGCGTCAATAACCTGGCACAAAATGAGCCGAAAGCAACAGGATCGCCGTCCACGAACATAGTGGTTATCGCAGTGGGGGCAGTACTCGTCGCTCTCTTCGTAGACAGACATGTCTTTTCTGAATGCCTTGCGACACTTTTTGCACAGAAAAGTCATCTCAGCCGTCTTCGCCAGCTTGTGGGTTTGTGTCTCAGCATGGCATTCTGGACAATCGAACCAAGTTTTACAGCACGGCGCGCGGATGGAGACTTGGGCGTTGAGTATGTGTTTACTGCAGAGAGTCCCGTTGACAGATTCGTTCGAGCGGGGTTGAGCTCACTGACCACATCGTGGTTGGCGGAAGGAGAGGTCACTGTAACGTACTCAGGCTTGCTTCCCACTCTCTGCCCATCACGAACCAACATTTTCGCCTTTTTGACCTCTTCACATTCCCCGCCATTCGCTATACCGCAACCAGCCCGAAAGCAAACCCGGCACAACACCCCCATCGAGCGGCCAGACAGCCTCGTTGCTTGGCCACCGCGTCTTAGTAGGTACTTGTAGGGGTATATACCAAAAAAAATCGTCGGTCACATGAGTGCCAACAAGCTGTCAAGCTTAGACTTGTTTCTCTGAACACCGAACATACGCAAGCGCAATTCTGTAAACGCGGGCTCATCTGGGGGTCTGGGTGCTTTACTTCTCATTGCTAACCCTATCTAACCATGGCTCTACCTGATGAAATCATATCAGAAATACTCTCCCCCGCGCTCAAAGTCCAGGATGATGAATTTTCTAGCGTTTCCGTCGTCTCTCCCTTTGCGAAAAACGTGGGTGGCGAGTCAAGCTCCGCGCTGCTTCTCGTGTGTAAGGACTGGCTTCGTGTGTCTACACCCCTTCTCTACCATGTCGTTGTCCTACGCAGCAAAGCCCAGGCTAAAGCGTTAGCCGAAACACTCGAGAAAAACAACGACTTGGCGCGTTTTATCCGCAAGCTACGCGTCGAGGGCGGGTATGGGGCCCCAATGCAGGAAATCCTCCGAGCAGCGCTGAATATCTCTGAGCTCTTCATTTCATTCAACATATTTGCGACTGACAGCACTGATGGCATGTGTGCGGGTTTGCGGTTCATCAACCCTAAACGGCTTATAATCTGCAACGCCTCAATGAAGAAGGCAAATAAAATGGTGGTCAAGTTGCAGGATGCATTAGGGAAGGCGATTCGCAAGTGGAGTAATCTGGTGGGGCAGTTCACCCCCGTTTCACGCGTTGTACTGACGGTGCTCCTAACAAGGCTATTTTTGAGCTGTCGTGTGGATACTACACTCGTGGAGATGACGAACAGAGGTCCATCATCAGTGCCCTTGCATCCCGCAAGCAGATCACAACTGTTGTGGTTTATTCACCCTCTGTTGCGATCATGCTCTATAAGAAACTCAAAGGTCAGGCTCTCAAGACAATCATCATGAACATATCAGCCGATTCCCTCGCTCGACATGCTTCGGAGTTCGAAAAAGCAAAAAGCACCATTAAAGAGGTCGCCTTTAAAATGTGGGCCAACTGAGAGCTCTCGCTTTTTTATTTAATCTGTGCGCTGACATCTTTCGTTGCCTCACCAGTCACTCCGAAAACTCATGCTTAGAGTCGCCTCGTGCCTTGGACATAACCCCGCGGCCGTCTCTCAATCCATACTATATCCCAATGGCCTCCGTCGCGCCTGCAATACGCAACCACCTCTGGTCGCATATTATTGAATTCGTTTTTCTTGAGCCTCATGTCAAGGCTCTGCATCTACTTCGCGTCTCAAAGACATTCTACGTACGCTTGAGCCATTTGAAGCCTCCCATACTTTCTCACCAAGATCCCAGCAATTGACTCTGCCACACCACTATCGCATCCTCTCTCCAAGAAGATATCAGAAGCTATCAAAGCTTGCTGCGACCATAACCGCCAACCCGACACTGGCTTCGTATGTCCGGAACCTTGACTTGCGCCGCTTGCGCGATGTCTGGGCCAGCTCAAAAAATCCGATTCTTAGCCTTGATACCTATGTCGGCGCAATTATTGGGGCAACCACTGGTCTGCGGCGCCTCACGATGCATGGCGCCGATTGCGAGGCCCTCGACAGGCCCTATATTCGTGATGCGATTGATGCACCGGCGCTGTACTGGAAGGAGTTCCTGTTACTAGCGGATACTGCTGGCGCGAGCTTAATTCACCTCGGAGTTGATATGAGCATGGACGAAGGGGCGCCGATCGAATCTGGGGTGATTTTCAACAAGTTTTCTGTTTTGCAGCACCTCGGTTGGCGCTCGCGTGTTGTTTTTGCGGAGCTGGACTCTTCAGTTGAAGCTGACTCAGTCGACACCCCGCGGAAGATTGCGCTGCCGTGCCTGTCGGAGCTTGCAGTTTGGGAGGCGGACGAGTCATTCTACGCCATGTTGGCGGAAATGGAGTGCGTCCTTCTCATTATATCCATATGTTCACCTAGACCTTCGATAGATTGCCTGCTCTCGAGAAATTCACGCTTATTGCGGGCTCACCCTTCTCCCTGTTCTGGATCAACCATGGTGCAAAACTTACAACGGTGGATATTCATTTCGACTTTTTCGACGTCATTGCACCAACCACGAGCATCGTCGACCTTTGCCCCAACCTCGTTGCGCTGACAATCGCCTGGCGATTGACTCTAAGCGCTGACTTGCGCTCGGTGGTAAGAACTGCCTGACCCATTCCGACTTCCCCTGATATCCGACATTAGCAAGCCTTCCCGCCGAGCCCCAAAGTTTTCAAGACTGACCAGCCGACGTTCCTGCTGAGACACCTTAAATTCTTGCTACATCACTCGATCGGGTATGCATTCGTTGCAGGATTCCTTTCCCCCCACTCATTAGTGTGTAGGCGGAAAGATGTATACCTAAAATGGGAAGAGTTTTTCGCTACTTTTGCAACAGATGTTCATCCGTCCATCCCGGGCCTCGAGGAAATCAAAATTACGGGCTTCAAATGGCCAAATACTGAGTGGGTGGCGATTTATTTGTTTTGTGTTTGCTAAATTCCATTCAGACGTGAAATCCAAAAGAGTGCATGGGTCCGTTGTGCGCAGAGCTTATTCGTAGCGGGGCTAACAAAAGTGCGGATGTTGGATGAAGAGGGCCAGGTGTGGCGGCAGAGATTAGGTCAGTGATAGTGGGTTGAAAGATGTCCTTTGCGGGAACGTCACGTGTCCTCTAGAATAAGGAACCAATTCGTATGATACAAATGCCGGCCTAGATAAATACAGAATGCGTCTGGCTATAGTAGATCTAGTAGTAGATGATGCGTAGATTCAAATAGTATGAGTCGAGAAAGCGAGATAGCATAGAAAGTGGAATCCAGGCCACGAGGGCTATTAACAGAGCAGAATTGACGAGTTTGGCTCAGGAAATTTTTTCAATCGTCGTCCTCGTCGCCTCTTCCAGGCCGGAACAGCGCCAACAGATCCTCCATACCCAGCCGCATGTTCTTGATCTTGTCGCCACTCAGCGCCGCTTGTGTCAGCATCCGTTTCTTCTCTTGCAGCTGCACCGACGTTAACTTCATATAGAAAAAAAGCAGCCCATTACCTGCAAAATCCGGTCTTCGACGGTGTCATCGATCTTCAGCTTGTAGACATGGACCTCCCGCTCTTGTCCAACCCGATGGGCACGGTCAAACGCCTGGTCTTCGAGCGCGGGATTCCACCACATGTCCATAAGGATGACGTTGTCTAGCAGCACCATTAGTGGTGGAGGAAAGGATAACAGGAAACGCACTGCAACAGGTCAAGTTGAGACCGGTGCTTCCAGCCTTGAACGAAATCAAGATAACTTTCGTCGACAAGCTCGTCTTGATCTTGGTCAACGCGGCCTCCCGGTCAACTGGCTTCATGCTCCCATCGTCTGCGCAACTCGTTCAGCAACAAAAATGATGCAAGAGCAACTTACACCGAACATATCGTATGCCCTCTTTCCTCAAGAAAGGCTCCAAAAGATCCAGCATACTGGTGAACTGCGAGAACACGATCGTCTTCTCGTCACCGTCGCCTCTTCCCTCGATTTTCCGGAGAAGCTTGACCATCATGCGGATCTTGGCAGACGCGCCATCGTCTTCTTCAGTGAGTTCTGCCTGGAGGGCGATAGGCGCGCAGTCAGAGCAGTAGGGTTTGCCCGGAACATTGTTTTGGGCAGTAATTCTAATGGAGGCTCAACAGGCGACCAAAAAAAGAAAACGAGGACATACTCTTGTGTACACACTTGGCATTTTCGGGTCGCAACATTCAGTTGGTTGAACGCTGCTGCGAGATCGTCACCGTCGACATCAACCTCGTTCGCCCCCTGGGTTGGAGTCTTGGCTTTGGGTTCAAGGGCATCGATGTCCGTTTTGTAGTCCTTGTTGACCAAGCATGGATGGTTGCAAGCTAAATTTTGTCAGACAAGGATTCAGACAAGAGACAAGAACCGCAAACCCTGTCGCAACCGCAGAAGCAGCAATAACACACCAATGTACGCACTGCCACCACTTTTACTGACCAAACTCTCCATAACTGCCTCCATCTTCGCCTCCAATGCTTCATAGAACATTTTTTCTGTGTGATCAAACTTGCAGCTCACGACCTCGATCGTCTTCGGGGGCAATTCCACCAAGGCTTTGCCATTGATCTGTTGGGTTTTGGTTCGCCGCAACATCACTTTCTGCAACACCACATGAAGCCGCTTCATCGCACGCCCCGCACCCCTCCCGTTCTTCACAGGTTTCGCAATCTGCATATTGAACACTTCCCAGTTGTTGAGCGGCTTGATGCGCAGGAATTTGAGCAGACTGAACAACTCATCGACATTGTTTTGCATCGGTGTCCCAGTTAAGCACCACCGGAATTTGCCTGCGAGCTCACAACAAGCGACTGAGTTTTTTGTCGTGCGATTCTTGATATTATGGGCCTCATCGAGAACGACACGGAACCACTTGACATCGAACAAGGCGCACATTTTCGCTTTGGGCTTTTTGCCCTTTGCGGACGCCTTCGCCTTGCTGGCTAGAGTTCGTCCGAAGTGGTCTGCGTCGCTGGAACCATCCGAGTCGTCAGAAGGGGGAGTAGACGTCGCTTTGGCTGCTTTGGCCTTCTTTTTGATATCGGTTTCGACAGAAGGGTTAAATGATGCGTATTCAGAGCGGACCGTGTCGTAGGTCGTGATAACCACGTGGGCGCGTTTGAGCTTGCTTGCATCTTTGGTTCGACTGGGTCCTTGGTGCTTGACGACTTCATATCTGGCTTCGACAACCTTTTGGATCTCCTCCGCCCACTGACCAACGAGCGCAAGGGGGCAGACAATTCTGTGATCATGCGGTCAGCATAACTGAAATATTTGGTGGAGAATCACGAACAAAGTTGGCGCATCCCAACCGTCTTCTTTGTCGCGTTTCTTTGGGCGGCCTTCAACGATACGCGTTAACGTTTGTATAGTCTTGCCGAGACTTGAGAACGACATCAGAACTGAAATTAGCATGAGGCAAATTATTAGCTCACCCCATGTCATCTGCAAGTATTCCACCGAATCGTTTGGCAGCAGGGTCCTCGCGTTCTCGCATCCAAGCACGACTTTGAATTTGATGAGGCATGAGCTTGATTCCGTCCTTGAATGCAGGGACAATAGCATCCTCTTCGTCGAATTCAGTTTCTTCGTCATTGTAACTGCCTGACATCAAGTCGCGCAAGGCCTGGTCTGCGTCTTTAGCAGAGAGCATATCTGTCCCATAAGGGTCTGGCGCAAACTCGGGGACAGCGATGTGCTCGTCTTCACCATCGTCGATTTCAACTTCCTGGCGGGCCTGAGGCTTGAAAGGCTGATATTGGTGCTTCTCTACTGGAGGAGGAAGTGGACGTTGGAGCGGATGGACAAATGGCTCTGGGACCGGCATTTTTATGGGAGGCTTGGTGAAGTGCGGAGGCGTAGGCGCATTGCCTATGTTCGTAGTTGGCTTGAGAATAGGTCTGATTCGCGTCAGCTTCATGTCGGACTTTGTCAACAATGGGCACAACGCACTTCACGGGCGAGTCTTCAAGCTCATCGTCCTCGTCATCTTCGTCGTCTGAGATAATTATGGTCCTACGGTTGACTGGTTTTTGGGGTGGGACGGAGACCACACTGGAGGAGCCGCTGGAGCTTGACTGGAGCTTATTAGCTTTGTCACTTTATGGCACGGGCTACACACCAGAATGGAGATTGCAGGTGAAGCTTCTCTCGATTGAACAATTCCAGGCGCGTAAAAGTCTTGATCCCCTCCCAGACGGCGACGGCTAGATATAATGAGACCCATAACACCGCAAGTTCACCACTTACATGTTCTCCATGGTGAAGGACGGGAACAAAAGAGTAAACGAACGATGAACGATCACATGACCGAAATTACTTGACTCACGGTGACGTACGCGTGGCGCTTGCTCTAAGAAGTTCAGGCTTGTGCAAGCATTGGTATGTATATCTCCTCAACCCGTCGACAGTGCCCTCTAATTGTAAGTGTCTACTGTTCTACTGTGTTTTGACCTTCTCCTTGGGCTGCGCAGCAGCCCCAAAATTCTTGACGGTCCTTGTAACAAACAAACCCGTCAAAACCAAAGTGCAAACAGCTCGAGCCTCATTCGCATCCAATGCCATGACGACGCCCTTGGCGGACACATCGCTGCCAAGGAATGCGGCCAAAAAGCCGTGGGCATCCGCCCAGAAGGGTTGAGCATGGGTTAAAAGAGCATATAACGCCGTCACCAGCGGAGCGCACCTGTTGAGGTGGTTATAGTCAAATCAAACAGTACATACGCGAAACACACCATAGATCCGTCGCAGTCCAGCCATAAGGTTGCAGCTCAGGCGGCGTTTGGATTGCGAGGGGCGTCGGGTTAAGGAAAGAGAACAGGTTTGTTAGGAAGAATCCTCCGTTGGCCGTGATCTGTGTCATCGCTTCAGACATCGCAACACCCACAACAAAAATGAACGAACGAAAGAGGTCAATAGCAGCGTCCAAGGAGAGGTGGAGATGACCGGCGATGTGTTCGTCGTAACAACAGGCGGGATGAGGTCGCACAAGAGGTATGCACGGGTGAAAGCGTCAAGAAACGACAGTGGCAACTCTGTTTCTATCGACATCACCGGAACAGATGGGAGGGCCTCCACGATAGCCTGAATAACTCCATAGAATATAGGGACTACTCCGGAGAGCATGAAAGATACTGGGACACCTAATAATGGGGCTGATATGTGCTTAGAATATGCTATCGGGGGCCAAGAGCAAGCACTCACAAGACATGACTTCTCCGCCATAAACCACCGTCATTGTCGTCGCCAAATCTCTTGCGAAGGCCCTGGGTGCAATGGTTTGCGCAGCTCCAGGCACCTTCGCAATGTGGTCCCGGTACATGGATTCTTTAATCTGCCGCAAGATGATACAGAGACGGAAGGCAGCCACCACGTCGAGAGTGCTTAATGATAAGCCAAACCAGGTGAACGGTGCGACAGGCTCGAGAGTGAGTTTGAATAGGGCGATTATGGGGGCTGTGAGTATCGACATCGTCAAAAGAGAGTGGTGGTCGCTAGCAACCTTCAAGCAGCCTCGGGTCCCTTGCCATTTTTGGACCTATGAAACGTTGGCTACTCTCACACAATCACGTGGGAATTTTGACATTTGTGGCCGACACCATTGACATCCAGCGAGTTTGCCACTATCTGTCTTACTCTAAGGAATGAGAGCGCAACGACACTATATTTCAAGGGAGCGAATTTACTTGTCTACTCGGCAGAAGTTTTGTTAAACTGGGCCTGCTCCATGTTAAAGATTGCCACCGCCGCTGGCAAATAGTTGTGGTTGAATTCGCGCCAGGGGTAGAACCTGTTGTAGCATTCCTCGATCTTGTAAATGTTCTGCATGATTCTGAACTCCTCGTCGAAGGTATACTCTACTTTCTGGAACGCCTGCTTGGGTAATTCTGTTCCAAATCATGGTATGAGCACCACTAAGCAGAGTAATGGTTATTCACTGACCCGGGAGATGGGGGCCGTGCGGCTCAATGTCATACACGATGTCACTGTACGGTCTAATGTCGAGGAGTGGGTCGTCTCCATAGATTTCCAGAAGCCTTTGGCGGTCGACGTTGGCATTGAGCGCAGGTGTAAGTGCCTTTCTTTTTTTCTTCCTTAAATTTTTGTGGCAGGCTATGGAGCCCATGTGCTTGTTGCGGTTGTGTATATGCACGAACCTGTTATTCGTTAGGCGCAAAAAGAGAAGAAAGGGCAGAGCTCTCTTACCCGGCATAGCAGACGCCACAGTAGGCGATTTTTTCGAGTCGAGAGAAGTTATCCTTCTTTTTCTCGGTGGTTCGCATGTGGGGTTGTGAATGTGGTGGTTGATGGGAAACAGGACGAGAAGCTAGGCGTTTTTATACGCAGGCGGCGCAGAGACGGTGCTTTGCTCGCCATCAGGTCCTCAGACGAGAGCCAGAGCTTTGAAGGGATCCACGGAGACGGCTTCAGGACAGAATGCTACAATGGGGTGAAAAATCTGCATTTCGACTTTTTCTGAAGCCAAAGAACGACAAGTTAGTTTGAGTTTGAGGCGCAGATAGTTGCTTAGTGTCTTGATGGCGGAGCGAGGACAATGGATGCATCGAGAGCGGCTTCCTTAGACGGCAAGAATCATAGAAAATCAAGTTCTTGAAAGCAAGGAAACGACGGGAAAACGAGGTTGTCACATCGAGGTTGTCACATCGTCACAACCTCGTCTTTGCTCATGGCTTGCTCAATGCTCATGGCTAGTTCTGTTCAAGAAGAAGTACAAACCAACTAACGAGTCTACTGACCGACTCTGCCTCTATTTTCATTCTTCCACCAACCGCATGGACCGCTAAAATTATCCTTCCGACGCTTTTCCGGCAACCACCTATGGTCAGCTTGCCATGACGGGATTGTGGTCCCCACGACACCTCACGCAGTCGGTGCCGGACCGTCGATCATAAACCCACAGTCGAAGGAAAATTGTCTGCGTTTGATGCGGATAGCCCACGCGCCCAGCTCTCGGAAAAACTCCACATTCCTAGTCGTCAAACATATAAATCTCTGCCAGGTGAACACTCCTTCTTCAAGTTACCATGATGCAGCCTTTGCTTATCTCTCTCATAGCGTCGGCAGCGGTAGTCAGCGCGCAAACTTGTGCTCTTCCGTCCAGTTACAAGTGGAACTCAACGAACGCGCTTGCAACCCAGAAATCCGGCTGGGCCGCGCTCAAAGACTTTACGCACGTTCCATTTAACGGGCAACATCTTGTCTATGCCAGCGACCACGACACGGGCACCAACTATGGCTCGATGGGTTTCAGCCTGTTCAGCAGCTGGAGTCAAATGGCGTCTGCAACCCAGAACAGTATGAGCTCTGGCTCCGTCGCGCCAACGCTCTTCCTCTTCGCACCGAAAAACATTTGGATCCTCGCCCACCAATGGGGTCCCACAAGCTTCTCTTACCGCACGACAAGCGATCCGACCAACGTCAACAGTTGGTCGGCCGACCAAACACTCTTCACAGGCACGCTCGGAGGCTCCAGTAACACCGGCGTCATCGACCAGACCCTCATTGGCGATAGCACCAACATGTACCTCTTCTTCGCGGGCGACAACGGTAGCATCTACCGTGCGAGTATGCCTATCGGCAACTTCCCCGGGAGCTTTGGGTCGTCCTTCACCACGGTCATGAGCGGTCCGACGAATGACCTCTTCGAAGCCGTCCAGGTCTACAAACTCAAGGGCCAGACCAAATATCTCATGATTGTCGAGTCCATTGGTTCAAATGGGCGATATGTATTTCCGCTCGTACACGGCGACCAGCCTTGGTGGATCATGGACAGCTGACAAAACAAGCGAAAGCGCGCCGTTCGCTGGGAAAGCCAACAGTGGGGCAACATGGACAAACGACATCAGCCATGGCGACTTGATTCGTTCTACGGCTGACCAAACGTTTGAAGTCGACCCATGCAACCTCCAGCTGCTGTACCAAGGCCGATCCCCTTCCTCCGACGGCACTACCTATGACCTTTTGCCATATCGACCAGGTGTCCTCACGCTGACTAATCCCGGTCCGGCCAGTGGCGGTAGTGGCTCAACGACATCAACTACAACTACGACCTCGAGTACTGGAGGGAGCACTGGATGCACAACTCCTATATATGGGCAGGTACGAGACGAATCTTTCGGGGGGTATTGGTGTTCTAATAATTATCATAGTGTGGGGGCGACGGTTTCACGGGTTGCACTGTTTGTGCTGGCAGCACTTGCACTTTCTCAAACCAATGTGCGTATAAACACATCATTCAAGAGCGTATATTGACTTCTTCCAGGGTACTCTCAATGCTTGTAAAATGTTTGTACAGTATATTATCTCAGAGGGAAAATTGTTTCTGCTTTCCTGTCGACCCAAACGTGATGCATGGCCGAGTTTAAAGTGGTCTATGTTTGCATGCCCTTTCAAGCGAATGCATCTTCTTGTGTGCTTGACACCGCATTTAGGTTTGAACCAAGGTGAAGTCGCATCATAGCAGTCTTAGGGCTCGTTTAACCAGAATCGCTGCGATTCTCGCGCGATTCTCGCGCGATTCTCGCGCGATTCTGGCGGTGAGGGTGAAGAGGACCACCCTGCACCCAAAAAGTAGGCAGCTCAAATTTACAGTGATTGGCATCGGGATTTCGCTTCGATTGCTACGACCTTCCGCGGAAACAGGTTTTCCCTGGCTCCAATAGGCGCCAATACACGAGCCTTTGGCACCTCGACAACCGTGGACATCAAGTTGGCCAGGCAAACACTGACACTGCTCGAAACACCCAACAAATCTTGACACATTGCTGAAACTCTGGTAAGTACTGGACTGTAATTTGTAGTGGCCGCAGTGCGGATAGCGTTACTAGTTTGGGAATAGATACTCGAATAATGTCCTATGGAACCAGGATCGACTGGGAAAGTGATGAACATCGCTGTCAGCCTCTTGATTCACTGCCGTCATGACTCTATACTTTATGTATGAAGTCAAGGGTTCACTGTGGAAGGCGTGGAAGGCCGCACTAGTGGCACCCATGCTAGTTTGGACTGCATTGACTCTCGTCGTGCATGGCCCCGAACGAAGGCAAGAGTATTGGTTTCCTGCTGTCTTTGGTTTTTTCAACGTTTTCCAGAAGTGTTTGACGCAGCACAATTGTATGGAGAACAAGGGCCTGGAAATGCCTATCAAGTCACTGCAGACGGTGTGTTGGCTCCTCATGGCTATCGAGGCTCGTACCAACTACTCCGACAGCCTCTGCGCAAGATGAAGACGAAAAGGACCTATCATTAGACGACCTACCACCAAGACGATGGTCTCCTCCATTGTTCGGATTACTCCCGATGGGTCTGTTCACGGTGTTTCTCATATTGCTCATAGTGGGCTTGGAGATGCTCAATCGACATGCACGTTTCTGCTCTTGACTCGTTTTTTGACTCATTGACCGGATTTGCAGTCACCATACGACGCTCCAACCTCTGGAATGAAATTCTTCTGGACATACTTCCCCGTCGCAATCCTGATGGTCGTCGAATGGATATGGGTGGCTTACGACTTACAAGTCAAAGTGCTCGTCCCATGGGCCGCCATGTCCCGCAAATTCACGCCCGCTCGCGAAGGCTGGTTGCTCGACTACGTTGGTGCCAACTACTTCGCTGTTTTGTGGAGTGCTCTTCGATTCCGCCACTTTGTCATTTGACTGGCCACTGTTGGCTTGTGGAGCACCGCAATCGCTGGCGTCGTAACCACATCTCTGTTTCGCGTGCAAGATGTGTCAGCCACAGTTGCAAGATCACTCGCCCTCACAACAACCCTCGATGCGTCGACTCCACTCACTGACAGCATGTATGCTGACTTGGGCTACCTCAACTCGTACCTTGGTCGTCAAACTCTTTCCCTTTCTCGCCCACGGTGGACCACCAGCGATGATTACGTTCTGGAAGCATTCGATGACCCCTCTTTGGACGCGACAGCAGTCGTTTATTCTGCACGAACACAAGGCTTTGCGGCGGATCTCAACTGTACTGCAGTCGCAGTCTCAGATGGTGGCAAGACGAAGATCATATCCAACGATCTTCCCGCGCCTGGCTTCAACGAGACGCTTTATGGGACAGCGTTTTCTGTCAACATCACCACCGCAAATTGCCAACTTACTTATCCCCTCACCGACACGAACACCGTTGTCTTCCACAGTGGTGTAAACGTCACGGCAGTTGGTCGGTATTTTTTAACCTAAAACCAACAAGTTAATGATAGCTCTGCTTTAGATCCATCGTATTTCGGTCGAATTTACAATCATACGTGTCCTGGCTCTGGGCCAACAAGCACGATCATTGCTATGATTCGTACTGTTGGAGTGGGCAACTTTACTGCGAGTGGGAGTTTCGCCTTCGAGTGCTTTCCGACATACACTCAAAGCATATTCTCTGTTTCTGCTCCAGCATCTGCTGGCCGACCGGTTACTGCATCATTGATCCCATCGTCTTCGCAAACGATCTCAGTTCCAGCTTGGGATGGCATTCTCGCCAAAGTCAATACATCAACCTCTGCAGGCCGTGGCGTACATGCGACCCCACCGGCGCTGGGTCAGGAGGACGACCCATTCGACATATGGGGTAATGATGTTCTGAATGCAGAGCAATGCGATTGCGATCCTTGGTTCTTCCTCCTGGCTCATGCCCAGAACCTTACCCTTGCTCAACTTGGCAACGATAATATCTTGCTGAATGCAAGTCGGAGTACTTACTCGGGCCTCTGGACGGATTTCGCCCAAACCAAGCTGATGAACACGTCTCCTGCATCCTCAGAGCGCTTGTTGGGCCAGGTCGCAACCACCTCTTCTCAGCTTGTTGCTCGACAAGCGAGCGTCCGAATTGCGCAAGCGGCGTTGGCCGTGCTTGTGGTCGTGGCAGTTATTGTCTTCGTGTTTCAGCCGCGAGCAAATTTGCCGGTCGACCCTGCGTCGATAGCTGCGCAAGCCTTTTTGCTCCAGCACAGCCGGGAGGAAATCGCAGAGGTTGTACGAGACACGTCGACGATGACTACAGCGCAAACACTTGCAGCTCTGGAAGATTGCGAGTTTGCGATCCAACACAACCGACGCCTGGAGATTTTGACAAGAAGGAGTGGTCAGCCTGGGGTATGTTTTATACGTTTTCTTGCTTGTTCTAATACAACAGTAGCAGATTCCAATGGGGACCACTTCTGCTCCCTCTTGGCGTCCCGTAGTCCTCAGCCCGGTCTTCAAGATCAGTTTGGGATTTGTCATTCTCATGACTATCGTCGGGCTAGAAATTGCTCTCAGACAAAGCGACAAGGACCATGGATTTGCGGACCTTCATTCCGAGTCGGAAACATCGTGGACCTACTTCGCCCCCATCTACCTCTTCTTCCTTGGTCTTTTAGTGTCATCATACACATTTAGCATCAGCGCGTTAGAACCGTTTTTGCTCATGAGTCAGTCTCCGCAAGTGGCCAGCAAGTCTGTGCGCTACACTCCCGCTCAACGGACGTCGGTTGGATTGGCGTTTCACGCAATTCGATACCGGAGCTATATTGGCCTCGCATGCGCAACCATAATGCTCCTCATCCCTTTCCTCAAGATCGCGGTTTCTGGTCTTATCACCACTGAAACATTCTCGGTTCAGAGCACATCCAGTGTCGATCTGCTCACCAAGTTCAACACGACTACGGTTTTCCCGCTGAACGACAATGAAGACGAGGCACTGGTGAAGATGTACTCCCCCGGCCAACTTCTTGCACTATCGCAGATTCCGAAATATAATCTCCCGCTCCCGAAATGGACCACACCCGAAGCAGCTGTGGGACAAGTTGATCTGGGACAACTCGGGGCGCTTACCTCGGGACGTGCCAACTCGACAGTAACACTCCCGCTGCCAGTTATGCGTGGCGCTCTTGAGCAATGTGCTCCCCTTACCGACTACACGATCGTTAACACTCTGAGTGGCGCAAAGGCAGTAAATCTACCACCCCCGCCGACATACGTCGACAGTGGAGGTACAAGTCGGTGCAATATGACCGGAAGAATCAACATGATTCTGCGCGACGGGAGGGAAAATGCGACATTCACTTTGCCGTCACAACCCGGTTATTTCGGGCAGATTTTTGCCCCCTGGTGTGGTGGCTACGTCCTGATATTCGGTCGAACGAAGGACTCGGATGCAAGTCAGATCGATAAGACAACAGTGGTAAAATGCGATACATATAGTCTTGCTCAGTATGCTCCTGTTTTTCCATCGCAATGCCTGGGCTGATCAGTTGAATAGGTCCACGCAAAAGGTCACGCTTTCTTACTCTGCCCAGAACGTGCAGATTTTATCCATCGACCCCACCACCACAGACCTCATCCCAATGCTGTCTTTCCCGTACAACGAGTCGGGGTATGTGACCAGGACCATGCCGAACCAGAATGCGTTCACCCTTGGGCCAACACAATCCTCCAATACATTCATGGAGATTATGATACTCCACAACAGCTCGGCACCTCCCTCGGCCTACCTCGATCCCGACTTCCTGACCAACGCTGCCCAAAAGCTCTACGCGAGCTACTGGTCGATCTTCGCGTCACTCAACCTCGTCATCCCCGTTAATCAGTATGCATATGGCAATCAGAGCGGCCCCGCGCGGCTGCCGGTTGACGCGACGCTACAGTATAGCCACCAACGAATCGTCCAAGCCCGCACACCGACGAGGATTCTCCAGGCGTTGTTGGCTGCAATGTTGGGACTGGGGGTGTTGACAATATTTGCCGGTGCTCGAAAGCCGTCAACGAGTGGCGGGGTCGTTTTGGCTGGTGGAGGCGGCATTGCGCTGACAAAGCCACCGTACTCGATTGGCTCGACGATGGCACTGTTAGTGGATAGCACTTTTGTGGAGGTGGAAGGCTTGCGGGACGTTCGGAGGGAGGAAGACCTTGATGTGTTGTTAGCACCGTATCGGTTTGGACTTGGATGGGGCTCTAATACGAAGGGTGGGCAACGGTTTGGCATTGACATTACCGGGGAGAAATAAAATCTTGTCGTAACTAATAAGCCATAAATGTGCTCAGGCAAACTGAAGTTTGGTGAGGCCTTGCTATTTTTAGCTAAAAAAAAGAAGAAGGGAAAAAAAAAAAGGAAATTAATGAAAACGACAAAAGGAACAACCCCACTTTCACCCGCCCATGAATCCAAGACGGTGGAAGGCATTGCCCACTGAGAATGTCACTGTCCGGAATCGAACCGCGACCCACCCGACGTGGCTCACACTTGTGACATTTAGCATCTGACACTAATAACCCGTGCGTCAAGATGCCGGCAGAATGATGCTTCTTCTGCCCCATCTGTCGTGACCAGGTGACCTCCAGAACAGTCCTCTTTGCCTTCAACCACCATGGCCGCCAACAACGATGTCTACAACGTTGTTAACCTTTGGCGAGACTCTCAGCTTCAGTCTCTTGACCCTATACTTCTCCCTCTGGACCAAGATGAATATGTAGACGATGCGGTTGGCGACCTCGCCATCCTCTCGCCCAGCGAGCTGCTCGCCAAGTATGGATCTGGTCGTGCCCATACCGAACTCGCGCTACTCTCTTCCCTGACGTCAATTGTACCGTCCTCCCACTGGTCGCGGCTCCCCCTCAAAGTGTGTTTCTTCCCATTGCATTGAACTCAGGCTTGTGCTTACAATAATGAATTGTAGTCGATTTTCCATCTTCTCCTCCATGACGAGTTCGTTGAAACCCTAGCGTACCGTTTCAAGATAGACCTAAGGGTTGAGCGAGACGATGTGTCAGATGTCGACATGTTTTACTATCTCGTCGGCGCCGTTTGGAAGCTGCAAGATCACGACCGAGTTGCGGCACAGTCATTAGTGAACGAACTCTTCGCCGGGTTGCTGGATGACATCAAAGAGCTCTTCGATGACCCCTTCCCCCTCATTCCAACATCTGGGTGAGTCGCTCAAACTTGAACTCCTCCGCCAACCTAGTGATGTCTGTCTGGTAGTCATCTCACCAAAGAAGGTGCACAAAGAGACGTGCGCTATGTCCTTGATCGCCTCGTCTTGTCTTCCGAAGGCTGGGTGTGTACACCAGATTGAAGAGGACCTTGGTAATACTAACGTCACCTCAGACTCGTACAGAATTGCTCGCATTCTCGTTCGCTTGCGTTGTCATAATTGGCATATGCTGACATGTTTTTGCAGCGATAATCTCAATCGGCGCGGCAAGTCTATCACACCAAACATCCATTCGACGCCACGAAGTAGCAAATCGAGTCGCCCAAAGAAAAGCCGCAGGTCTACAACAACGACATATTCAATACTGGGTCGTTCCAATGGTGCTCTACCGACACGCCCCCGATGTTGCTGTGTGCCTGTCGATCAGCATTGCTCCGAGCTCGCCTTCTCCACAACCTTGTTACTCCGAGGTGAGTTGACTCAACCGTCTTGGCCTACTCTATGCTCATTTTAATTAGGGAATCTGAAGCTTCAATTCTATCTCGAGAAAGTCATCAAAACATTCCTAGCGCCTCCTCCCGACTGTCCAGTGCATGAAAGTCCAACCTGGTTCAAAGCATTTCCACTTAATTGCACTGACCTCGCGTTCGACTGGAAGAGTTCGCCACACTGGGAAATGCTGCTTGCTCTCGGCCGTCAAGTTCTACAAACAGTTGTCTCTGCAGTTGTGTTCGAGCAGCGCCTCCAACTAGCGACCCCTTTACTAGATCCCAACGTCAGTGAATCAACCATCCAATGACGAGATAATCACCCGAGTGTTTAGATCGTCATCGTGGCTCTCGTGTCCGACACCACACTGAAAGCGATCCTCAACAAGGCTGGGATGTGCCCCACAAGATTCAACGTTTCGCCTTCAGCGGCTGCCAAGGCGTTCAAGATTCATCTTGGAACCGTTTACTTGACTGGGTCACGACCATTCTCTGCCGTCCATCAATCCTTCGAGCGACTGCTTACTCCGGTCATCGACGATATCAAGGAGAAATGCGCGTCTCTGGAGGGTCAAGTCGGAGGAGGGGTACAACTGCCGTTGGGTGAGCTCTGACATGTGCTTGACTTGGACTCTATCGCGTTGTTTGCCTAGAGAGCTCGTTTTGTAATCTCCACTACCTGTACTTTTGCTCCAAATGTAGACTCATGTGCTTTTCAAATCGAACAAGGGAACGACGGGTACTGGGTGGTTCTGTGAAAGTTGGTGAACCAATCCCGGTAAGAATGATCACTCTCGTCTTCCTGGCCACTCGGAGAAGCCCGCCAGTGGCTTGAGAGTAAAACCAGAACACATTTATTGGGCCGAAAATTTAAATCATGTACTTATATAAACCAAATGTAGTCTATGTTTATAACAAACGAAGCGTAAATACTATGCGGAATGTCGCTAAGTTAAAATTTATTCCTCCATTAATTCTGATTCAGCCTTATCCTCCCTTGCACCGACCGACCTGGGGTTCTTCTCCTTGAATTCATGGCAATACTCCAGCAAACCCGCTGCTGTAAACTTGGCCGCTTGCTCCTCGACTGCAACCCATCTCGTCAGAAGATGCTCGCCGAAACAAGTGATGGCAACTCACTTTCCCAATACGTGGCGCTGGATAGCAGGCTCCAGCGGTCGATCACCCGTCCGATCTCCTCTTTCAGCTCGTTCATGCCCCACTCGTCAGCCGCCTCCAACAGCTCCAGCAGGTCGCGGAGGAAAACCATATGGCCGTCCTCGCCGTCGCCAGGCTTCGCCTCGATTGTTCCCGTGTAGATGAAGTCTAGAACAGAGGTGGTTAACAATGCGATGGCCACAGAACAAGTACTCACCCAAAACCGCACGGGCACCGAAATAGGTCCCCGGGAAAGAATACGAGTCGCTACTATTATCGAGCCAGTCCAGGCCAATGCGCACGTGTGGAATCGCGGCCGCAACAAAAGTCCAGTGGGCCCACAACCGGTTCTCGTCAACGGCCTCGTCAGGCGTAGGTCGTGCAGGAAGCAATCTGAGGTCCGTGCGTTTGCGAGCTAGGCGCAATTCGTTGAAGACATCCCGTAAATCGTTGCTGCTTTGAGTGTTGATGCTCGATTTGAACTCGACTTTGTGGTGCTGACCAGAACCCGCGGCAAGCAGAAGGAGGCGATAATCCTGCAAGAAACCGCGCACTCGGAATATTTGGTTGTGGTCGTGGGGGATGTCGAACTGGAGCTGTTCCGCCGATTTCCACTGTCCAATCCAGTCGTCCGAGCTTATGTCGTCCACGTTCAAGAAGAGCGGTTCACTACTTCGGGTGACGAGGAACGGATGCGCTTCATCCTTGTGTTCGGTAAGCCATTTCAATGTCGCGCGAAGTTGTTCGGACAGGCTGCGATTCCGTGGATGGCTCGGAGCTACTTGTAGGGCAAGAACCGCAAGATGGTTGACCTGAAACCGGTAAGCAGATGGAGGTGACAAGGAACCACAACTCACAACTTCTTGTACACTTGGAACACCCAAAGTCTTGTTGAGAGATAGGAGATCGACACTGGGAGGATTGAGGAAACGACCACGTTGAGACCATGCGATTTTCTCGAAATCCTCGCCAATGAGTTGAGATGGGCTGACAATGAACGGCATATCCTGACAGTAAGGACCTGTGTCGAAGGAAGACGAAGTGCTCCGTTGAGGACTTCGGGGAATGAATCGAAGGTTGTTCAATTGGTCCCACCGGTTGAGGTTACCCATGATTAGATTTGGCAATGTCCCGCTATACGCATCATAAACCGCTGTTGCTCTGGTGTTGACGACCGATTCAAGGAGGCGCCGTTGTGTCAAGTCTCCATGAACTGTCTGTGCACACAGGAGAATCGCTTCCCAATTGACTTCATGATGCAGTCCTCGATTCCGGAGCGGGATCGTGAAGTTTTCAACCAGCCCCGGATGGATAAAAAGCGTGGTCTTGCAGCTCTGAAATGCCTCCCGAAACAGAGGCACCGATTCATCGTAAAGCTCCTCGATGTTTCTCATTCGTAGAGTGCCATCAGGAATTAAGATCATCTCTCTTCCACCAAGTTTAAGATACTCCGTGAGCATGACAGAATACGATTCGACAGACTGGGCCCCACATAGACCAGAAAGGGTGCCAGGAAAGGTAAGATATTGCTCGAGAGTCCCCGAATTGAGTGGTGGTCGGACTGGGTACCATTCCATTGCTTCAGCCAACACTCCAGAACCAGGGGCAATAGCAAAATTGGATGGTAAGAACGCGTCGAATACGTTCGGGGAGATGCCAATCGGAAGCCACTTCAGTTCGTTAGCTGAACAACGAACATTTTGACGATTTTTGCGAGCACTCCATATCGGAAGCAGCCGAGCAGTAGCACGTTCCTCCGGCTCCCTGACCTCGTGGAGATGCAGTTGGATCCAGGCGCTCACTCCTACAATTTCATCATCTGACATATTCCGGTCCGAGAACGGGGTGGGCGCTGATTCGAGCGCGGATAAAAATGTGTTTATGTTGAACTGCCTAAACTCGGGGTCTTGGAACTGGGGCGGAAGAATACATATTTCAAATCCCATTTTTTGAACGGCAGCGAGAACCCCAGAAAGTTGCAGATGATTGACAGGGCGTCGAAGAACATCATGGCGTTTGCAATAGCGCAACGAGACATGGAGCTGTCCCATAGTTGGTATGATGGCCAGAGATTCCAGTTTTGCCATCGGTGGGGGGTCAGGAAGAGAATCAAATCCTTTCCAGAAGTCGATGATCCAGTCGCTAATTTCTGTGGGATGAACACAATTTGTGGTCGCCGGAATACGCGACTGGAGTAGAGAGATGACAGCATCAGCATTGAAGATCGCGACATTTGCTGCAGAGGAATTCAGGAGAACTTCTTGTACTGAGTGTTCCATAAGCGGATGAAGGAAGTTGTCGGAGTGGAAGACGTCGGGCACAGCAGTACCACGGCAGATATAACGTGGTCGTGACAGGTCGACTGCCGCCAGGCTCTCATTAGCAAGAACAAGAAGAGGAAGACCTTCTATTGATGCATTTTCCTGAACCAGGAACTGCAGCAATTTGTTGATGTCTTCAGCTCGGATTTCTTTGGCATTAAATTTGGAGATAAGCTGATCAGACCACCCCGACATAACGCCGCTCGCATAAGCTGCATCAACGAGACGGATCCGCGGCAGTGCACTTTGCGATAGAAGAGCCTTCCAGAACAAAGTGCGAACGGGGTACGGTGGGTTGACAAAATCGGAAGGCTTAGCATACGAGAGCAAATGCTTGACTGGCTCGGGGGTCTTTTCGCTTGGAATGAATGCAGCTATAGGTGCCACGAACCGCTCAGAGGTGGCGTAGCAAATGGGCTCTTTGGACTGTACGGCCATGTTGTAAAACGCATCTGCAACATGTCTTGATATTTCGTCGTCTTTCACATTTTTCCACGGCCACCAGGCAAACGGGTCTCCGTTATGGCGCCGTGGAAGTTTTGCAGCATGAGCGAGAGTCGAAATGTATAGCGGGGGAATGAAATGCTGCAAGATCCAGAGGTTGAAGGCTGCATGAGGAAGACGACGACCATTCTGATCCTCCGGATCAAATCGTATGTGACGGCGGTCCGACGAGATCGCAAATGGGGCTGATATATGCACAGGCAACGAGGTGTGGACAGGAAGCCGCAACGACGAAAAAAGAGAATGGGAACTTGTATTGTCGGCTGGGCCAGAGGGTGTTGGGTGGGTTGTAGCAGCTGCCGAGTCCAAACGGAGAGCTAATCGAGCGACAAGCCCAATCTGGCTTCGATGCAAGCCCATTTCCGTCATGATGGCTTCATGCTCCGGAGGGACCTGAGAAACTGGAAAGACCGAACGGCCAACTAGCCATCGCTGTGGTGGTACTATACGATCTCCGTCTTGTCCTTTCAACAACAGAGTTTGTCGATCCCAAAATAGCTCATCGGCAGGTCGACTAGCATCTACAGACCACATTTGTTTGATGATTCCCTGGGAGAGTGTCAAGCAAAGCGGAAAAGGAACAAAAGTGACCATACTGTAGGACTTTGTTGCGATGCAGATACCTTGCACAATTGAGTAAAAAACATTGCATCTCTAGCAAGACTCCAATATGGTTCCCGAACGAGGTTCAAACATTCAGAAGCTAGAACAGGCGATGACAGAGGACTAGCCTCGGATTCAGGACTAGCCTCGGATTCCTCGCGGAGAGGAAGTCGAAACAATGTCTGGAAATATGAATAAGGTGTGCAAATACAGAGTTTGGCAACTAACTTTTGGGTAAAAGGGAGAGGCGGCCGTAAAACCAAATTTGGATTCGAAGGGAGTAAGTTGGTCAGGGAAGCGTCTGGTTTTGTGAATTCAAGTAAAGCTATAGATGCTAAATATCACCTTGCAACATCAGCTAGACGCCGAAATAAAGATGTCCTTGGCTTTCCTCGAAATGGTGGTAGATGTTGCCCAGATGGGTCGAGAATGAGGATAAACTCGCCCGAAATGAGTAGCACCACCTAGAAACAGTCAATGAAGAGCGTACACAAGGAGCTAGACTGACATCGGTGAAATGAAAGAGCGAGAGAGCACCAAGACCATAGCGCCCGATGGTATCAGGACGCAAACGTTTGCCTCCCTGGCCAACCTTTCTCAGGCCGACAAAATCTTCCTTGGTAAACACGGCGTCGTTGTGTAAAAAGAGTGACGGTGACTGTTGAAGGGGCATTAAACCTGGGGCCAGCACTTTCTTCGATTCATAACCACGTTCATCCAGGAGAATAGCATATTCCGTGGCTCCTGCGTCAGCACCATTGGCCATGAATTCGTTGAAAGCGTATTTAATGTCGTGTTCCTTCAAGACACTCTTGACCCGTTCAGTGAACGCTTCGCCCATTTGAAGACCGTCTTCATCTTCATCGTCGTCCCCAAGCTCCAGCGAGCTGAGGAACTGGATACCCAGTTGAGTCGCGAGTGATTTGGAAATTCGGGAGTGAGCAGCGTAGCCTGTTTCGGGTAAGGACTTCGTGCCCAAATCATTGTAGAAGGTTTCTGTTAAAGGTTGCAAAGACTTGTCCTCAACCGGAACAAGGATTTTTGTTCTGTCATCCAAAGTGATTTGTTTGGAATATTGAGCGACCTCGTCAAGGAGACGGACTGCTTCAATGAGAAGGAGTGGGTCTTCGACTAATCCAGGAAGCATTTGAAGCTCATCAAGCAAGGCCGATAGAGGAGGACTGGAATTCGTTGGTCAGTTAACACATCCACTTAGCAAAATCAACGCACTCCTGTTGGCACCCCATTCGTGAAAGAAATTGGTTCTTATCACCATCAAGGAGAGAAGAAGTGACAGCTCTGAATCGTCCACCGGGAATCCTGGTCAAGGGACGTAGCAGGGCGCGTTCGGTCGTGGCGAGTGTTGAAGGTTCTACGGGAACCCATGCCTGAGTATGTACTACTTGTCGCAGAACATCAATGTGGCTGTTTGAGAGATTTCGCTTTGAAAACTCGGAAACGAGGGCTAGGATGCGCGTTTGTCGATTTTTCTCCGTACTGGGTTCTGCAAGAGCACATGTCATTTGCTTGCATAAGACATCGAGAGACAATGTTGTCCAGCCTAACGCCTGCCGCAAATCCTTGTCGTGAATTCGCCTCGAGACTGTAGCAAGCACCAAGTCGAAGAGGAAGTGTGATTGACCGCCATCGCGACACTGAGAAGGTTTGGCAAGCGGCAAATGCTTGGAAATTGGGAGCCATGTGTTCGAAGTCAAAGAGGCAATGGGAATCTCCTGCTTGATGTCAGCCCATTGGTCGTCCAATAGTTTGAGAAAAAGCTCGGCTTTGGTGAATATACCCGGGAGCGCGTCAGGGTCCCAAGACTGACCCAGATACTCGATCCGCTCCTTCACGATCGCTGACGTGAGTGTATGTTGAAAAGGCACATGGGCGGTCAGAAGTTTGAGTTCTCGCCCCTTGGCCCATTTTCCAGACGGGAGCTTCCCTGGTTCTTTGGCATACAGCTGCGCCAACGGGGACCTCGGATCAATAACGTCGGAGGGTGCGACCATTGGCGTTTGAGCGCCGCCAGTGACGGTGATAAATGGAGTAATGGAGAGTTTTTCGAGAGAGGAATCGGGGAGGTCGGGGAGGCGCGCAATGATGCGAGTGATCAATGCGTCTCGGAGGGCGGGAGGCTGCTGCATCAGATAATCAATGGCCATAACAAGAATGTCAGTCTCGTCCGCAGGCTCCTCCATTGCGTTAGAGTCGATGAGCGATCCCAGAATTTCGTTACTTGCAGTGACATCAAAAAATGAAAACTTGCCATCCAAGTCTGGAACTGGGCAAGAGTTATCAACACGAACGAACTTGCAAATCCCCACGATACGAGCAGGCACACAATGCGACAACTTCCTACTGGCTTTGCGAATAGCAGCGATCGGAATGCGGATGGGGAATATGGGTAACTCGAGAAGAATTTGTTTCGATGAGGGTGTTAACACTGGGGACCGGTGCTGATGCAGAGAGGTGACAAGATGGTCGCGAATAAGGGCAGATGATGATTCATCGAGGTCAGGTATCATTGGCGACGAAATGTGTTCGATGAGGGTGGGGACGACGTAAGGCGAGAGGATCAGGTTGCTATCAAGCTCGCGAATACTTGACGCAGGAATATCCGAATGAAGAAAGCGAAGCCCAAGGACGCCCCATGCATTCATGGTCGCATCAGTAATGCCATCGAGTGACTCAAATATTCCTTGCTCCATCTTCATCAGCGTGTTCTGGCTCGTCGGTAGGAGATGATAGCGCTGAAGAAGGGGAACAAGCTGTCCCCTCTTGGCTGGTGACCATTGGTTGACATATAGCCAGAATTTCTTGAGCCATTCGACTTGCACAGAGATATCCGCATCGGTAATTTCAACTTGTGCTGATGGAAAAGTACCGAATGCCGACCGCTCTAGGTACTTCGCGACATCTGCAGGCTTCAACCGTCTGACGTTGGACATTTTGGTATCTAGGAGTACCTGTGCGACAGTGGGGTCGAGTGCCACCAATGGAATAATGTGCCAATTACAGTCAACGTCTCCGAATAGTTCTCCTTCAAGTTGATCAACAAGACGGAATTTACCGATGGAAGAAAGGGTAATCCGAGAGCCATCCAACGAGGGAATAAGAGGAAGCTCCAAAACATTTTCGAGAGTGCCAGGAGATGTAACGAGATAACGCAGAATTAGATTTTTATCCTCGTTCGAGACTTCCGCAAGGAATGACACCTGTGCCTGGTTTACCTTGCCTGAGACAAAAAATTATGTGGCTTGTAGCGAGAGACGAACCTTGAGTTTATGTTTCAAAGTTCCGGGACCGAGTGCTTGAACTTGCTGGTGTTTAAGAAGTAATTCTAGAATATGTTGCGGAGGTTGGACGACAGTGACTCCAACATTAGCCAGAGCCTGCAGTAGTACGTCTGGATGCTGATGGGAGGCAATGAGGGCAGAAGATAGTGGGACATGATGTGTATTGTTAGCATAGACTGGGAATATCGCCAAGTCACGCTGTACGACACGCTCGATAAGCTTTGACAAGATGCTGCTCCAATACACGGAACCACTGGTAGTGGCGTGGGAGTGACGAGAAGACGGCCACACCGACCAAATATCAACTTCTTTGTTGTCGACAATGATCTGTAAGAGAGTACTCCATATTTCTGGCAGAAAGTTGTCGAAGATAGCACGGTTCCAAGCAACAAGAAGACTATGGCAAGTCAGCAAATATAGCCCCCCAAGCAAATAACGTGTTACCGTTCTCGCGATTGTTTGTTTGACCCCTTCTCTTCAATATTACGCAGACTTTGTCGATCCTGGGTGAGAGCAAGTATAGCATGCATATGAATTGGAAAGCCTGTCTGGATTGGGAGCGGTAGCAAGGTGAATAAGCGACCATTCAATCCAGTTCGAGGAGAAGGCGAAATCGGGAATGCTAAAGCGACATGCGAGAACAACTTGTCGTTGGAGAGCTTGGCACCGGCATCATAATGAACTTGACGACTGATGAGTGCTGAGGTTTCTACGACGCTGCAGACACGATGGACAATGCGCCAGACTTGTCGGGTAACTTGATGGCTGCCGCGGGTGGTAACATCAATGCTGGTGATGAAAGACTCCTGCCGGGCACTACTGGTCCGTGAAAATTGACGCTTTTCGATAGTCGACGAGTCCATGTCAATGATTTCGGCGCTGCCGTAAAATTCCTCGCGCCCATCTGGGTGGATTATCTTCAGTGTAATGGAGCGAATGTGCTTGAGGAAGAGCATCACCATGCTCAGCTCATTGTCCACGAAGTCGTCGAACAGAGCGAGAATGGTTTCTGGGTCGACTGATTCCTGCTTGATCGTACTTTGCGGGGCTTGTTCCGGAGTTCGAAGGGGTAGGCGGACGACAGTGCCAGGATAAACACCATCAGCATTGGGGGCGAGGGACTGCGAAAAAGCGGCCAGCTGGTCAGCATATGCAGCACGCGTATTTCTCTGCTGGAGGTCGATCTTAACCCCGCCTTTTTTCAGATCGTCCCAGAATCGATTGTGGGGGTCAAAGATAACGAGAGTCGTCCCCGACAGAAAGTGAGGGTTGTCCGTGATCTAATAAGACGGCTCAGTTGTGCAAAATCGGGGATGATATGACAGACATGGTAGCAGGCGCGTACGCCTATACCGAATTTCCCAATTTTTGATTCGTCGGCAGTTTTGCTTGAGCTATGGAGATTTTGGATGGCTTGCCAGTCGCTCTCAGCAAAGTAGGTGTCGTTTATGGCCATTAAAGCAGGACCTTGAGATGTACGTAGTTCTTGATCAATGAGTTTCTTGTTAGGATGTGTTCGAAGGTCAAGTATGAATGTCTGTTTGGAAAGTCAGTTTTTTTTTTTACAAAATGCAACGAGGGTGCGATATGGATGCTTACTTGGGTCGTGGCTTTCGCATCGTCCGAGTTTTGTAAGAGCTCTCGCAGTATTCCGCTTCCCGCAGGATAGGAGTCAAGAATGCTTCGTATGATCTTCGTGAGATCAACCTGCTCGCGAAAGCTGGTCCAGTGCGACATCGTAAAAAGAGGCTTCTACGCAAGGTACCGAGGAAGATGTGTGCTGGTTGTGGGGCTCCTAGAGATGGTGGATGGATAGATGTCCGAAGGGAATATGATTTGAGTGGGTTTGGTAATGTAGAATCCGAATCGTTTATGGTAATTTGAGAAACACTCTAGACAAAGAAAACACGGCTAAAAGCGTGGATTCAGTCAATCATTAGAGGTGTATGGCAGATATGACAGATTGTATGGACTCCAGCACGGCCTAGCACTTGCTTTACCGGAGAGAGCGAGAGAGATGGCAGGAAGAGCGAGAAGTCAGACTCCAAATCACGTGAACATCATGTGGCGAGCTGTCTTCGCCTTTTTTTTTTTTTTTTTTTTTTTGTGGCACGTTATAGTGGCGCGTAAGAGCATAAAGTGCATCCCCATCCACGTCCGTTTATCTCCTAGGAGATTCCGCGACGCTTCATCTGGGCCGACATAAGTCGTCTGCTCGCCACCCGTGGTTGTTTGGCCATGGGATCAAAACCAGGCCCCGCGAAGAATCCACCCGAGGAAATGCTCACTAGCACCTAGTGTATACACCGTGTGTGGGGCTGCGACTGACTCGGGACTCGGGTGGTAGGCAGGTCGGACTCGTGATCAGAGATCACGGCGTCTTTCCTGTCTACCTCCGTCATCGTCTCGCGTCAACGCGACCCACTAAAACCCCGGTTCCTTTCGACATCCAGTCGTCTGGGAGTAGTCTCTCCCCTTCAAGAAGTTCGGCCCAGGTCCCTCCAACAAGGGATTTCTTCAGGGCGCGGTTGCCGTATCTCCGAGTGTCCGTCATGGCACAGTCGAGATCGAGCCTGTTTTGCAACGTCTTTCGCCAACGATTACGGATTTCGTCTGTGTGTGGCGACTTTTCCTGTATGACGCGCTCACACCTTAGGATCCAGATTAGATGGGCAGACTCCGACACCAAGATGCGGTACAGACGTGCAGCGCCGCGGTTCTTTCTCAGCTTAGCTGCCCCGCATGCCATGATTCTTCCTGGGGTTATGTGTAGGTGTTTACCAGTCTTCTTGTGCCAGAGTTCATCCGCCATTTCCCAGATCTCTTTCTGGCCAGGGCATTCACAGCGTGTTAATATGTGCTCCATGGAGTCTGGAAGCTCGCATTTGGCGCAGGGCGCTCGCTCCTCGTATCCAGGTATGTTCTTCCAGTAGTCTCCTACCTTATAACCTCCGTGTATTAGTTTCCAGAGGAAGACACGGATGTTTCTCGAGAAGTCCTTGCTTCTCACACACTTCCATACCGACCTCTCCGATAATACCTCGTCATCGTCGAAGGCGGTTGCGGATTGCGCGAGCGACATATTATGTCGTGTCGTCTTTCGGTTCATTGCCTTCATATACGCGATCTTCCCCATTTTTATCTTTCGGATCGCCGTTGTTGCTAGCGATTGCGTTATGGCTTTGAGCTTAGCACCGGGGAGGAGGAGGGAGGGGTCGATATTCATTCGTATCTCGTCCGGGTGGTCTTTCCGAGCACCTTCCCCTGCAAGTGCGTCGGCGCCCTCGTTTCCAGCAACACCCGAGTGTCCTTTGACCCACTTAAAAGTGGTCGGTGCCCGTCTCTCTCGTAGTCTGCACAGTGTGGTTCGGGCCAGTTCCGCGTTCTCTATCCTGAAGAAACCTTCATCTTCCCACCTCTGTGCGTGTTTCGTCATTCCTTCGATGACGTATTTGGAGTCGCTAATGATTTGTAGTGGCTGGTTGCTTGGGCACATCTCGGCCGCTTCTTTCGCTGCCACCATCTCGCCCACTTGATTCGACGGCTCGAGCTCATTTGGTATGCGTAGGGCTCTATTTCGTGGGTCTCCTGTACCGAAGAAAATTCCAGCGCCGGCACGGGCTTGGGGGGTGCCATTATTCAGCGACGATCCATCGGTGAAGATTTGCACAGTTTCGGCATCCGGCCGTGCTCGTCCTTGTCTGTCCGGGGCTTCATATGCTGTGTTCGTTTGACCCTCAGTGAACACCCGGAACGCGTCTGCGATCGTCCCACGTGTGGTGACTCGTGGGTCGAAGATGAGGGTGTGCTCATGGTTGACAATTTGCATGTTCATATCTAACTGTGATTCCCAGAATTCGGGCTGGGCCGCTCTCGGGTCCCACTTGTCGTCTAGGGCGTTCATCAGTTCCTTTGCTTTTTTGAAGCACTTGTGGGGGTGATGGCAGTCTGTTATTGCCCGCGTTAACTGGCACGCGGCGCATCGACAGTCCACTCGGAACGTGTGGCGCGGCGTGTTCGTTTTCTTCGCAAGTTCCTCGGCGTCTCTCACCGTGCGGACTCTGTGCTTTTCCCGAAGGCATCTGATGACCCCTCTTGGAGTATTGAAGAAGCCGTTGTTGTTTGTGGTTGTCTTGCAGTGGTACCAGATCGGCATGTCTCGCTGGATGCTGTGGGATACCGCTATCGCATTTAATCCAACCTCATATTTCTCACCGGTCTTTATCATTCTAGCTAGGTCGGAGCCAATGTGCTTGGCGGAAGTTTTCGGCCTCCAGTTCTGCAGGTACGGGTTTGTTCTTACTTCATTTTCTACTGACTCATATTTCTTGCTCGTGTTCTGCGCAAGGATTTCGTCTGCCGCTAGAGCCCATGTGGGTCTTTCGGGGCCGAAGTCCAAGTACCGTTGTAGCCATGTTATGTCAATTGCCTCGTTTCGGGCGACAATGTCGAGTAGATTGCGTCCCCCTTCTGATACTGGTGCGTATATCGTCTCCTGGTTGATTGAGACATGGGTTTTACCTGCCCATAGGAAGTTTCTAGCTCGTCTCTCGAGCCTTTTTTCAACTGCTGGCGGCATACCTTGTACTGTCGTAAGGTATTGTGTCATTCCGCCTATCACCATTTGTACGATGAGCCGACGTCCCTCCATAGTTGGGTTTCCTCTCTCCCAATGTTCGAGAGCTGCGTCTATCTTCTCAAGCGTTCGCGACCAGGTGTCCATCTGTTTGACACCATTTCCGACCCAAGCACCTAGTGTCCGTATTGGTTCTCCGTCTACAGCCACTTTGATTCCGTCCGGTATTTTGGTGCCGTCTATCCCATTCACGGTCCGGTTTTGGATTACTCCATCTCGGTGAGTTTTTCCCCCAATTGGCATGATCTCTGTTTTGTTCCGGTTGAATTTTGCTCCAGATGCAGCACACCATTTATCTAGTATGTCCCACAGCTTTCTCCAGTCGTCCTGATGGTTCAGGTAGACCATCGTGTCATCTGCAAATAGTGTCGTTATCACTTTCTCTGCTCGGCCTTTGACTTTTATCCCTTCCAGCATCGATTTTCGCAGCGCTTCCGCCAGTGGTTCAATGGCAATGTCAAATAGTAGGCATGAGAGGGGGTCGCCTTGGCGTACACCGCGTGTTACTCGGAAGGGTTTCTTGCTCTTCTCGCCGTTAATAAACACGTAGGTTTCGGCATCGCTGTACAGTGCCTTAATTGTGTTAATGAAGGTGTTGGGGACTCTGCATTGCCTAAGCGTTTGCCAGAGGTAGTCATGCTCGATTTTATCGTACGCTTTTTCTTGGTCTAGAGCTACGATTACTCCATTCTGTTCCGTTGCCTCTGCGAGTTCTATGATCCTCTTGGTGAGCCATACTTGGTCTCTAATCTGTCTACCTGGAACAAATCCCGCTTGGTCTGGGTGAATGAGGGTGTGTGCTACTCTCGCGAGTTTAATCGTGAGCGCTTTTGTCATGATTTTGTAGTCTGAGTTCAGAAGTGAAATCGGGCGGAAGTTCGAGATGTCGGCTTTGCTATTCTTTTTGTAAAGTGGACACATCCAACTTTCAGAGAATCTCGTGTCCTTGGCCATGCCAAACTCTTCAATGTCGTTGAACACTGCTCGCATGGCGTCAATTATGTCAAACGATGGTTTGCTCCCATCTTTCATTGTCTCGTATCTCGCATCCATCTTTTTCCATATCTCATAGCTTATACCATCCAGTCCGGGAGCTTTGAAGTTCGCGGACATCTTCAGCGCAATCTTGACATCGTCCCTTGTCAGTTTCTGAGCCAGCTCGCTGGCTTGTTCATCAGACAGTTTGCGTTCCACCTGTTCCAGGGCGGCAGCAATGGCAGTCTCACGGTCATCTGCGGACATTTCCTGTCGTTCATCCTGGAGCTTCTCATGGTATATTCGTGCCATATTCGCCATCTTCTTTGAGTTGGTCTCGTACTCGGGCGTCGCATCAGGCTGGTTTGTGTTCTTTTGCAACCTGTGTATTGTGTCCCGTGGTTTAGCTGGTTTGTTCAACTTTGACCAGTACTTGCCAATCATCTCGCCTAAGAGGCGATTTTGGACTTTGAGCTGTCTTCGCCTTGACGGAGCGCAATTTTGACTCTTGGACTTGGATATAGTGCAACTCTAACTCTCACTGAGAGAATAGCAACACAAACTGGCCATGGTTAGGAACTGTCCTCGAGTTAGTGTGTTCCTCCAAGCTGGCACTGGCGTCTGTACTGTCTGTTGGTGGGACTCGACCCACTCGAACTTCGTTCCTCCGCTATAGTGTGCGACGACATGCACTTTATCTGAGTGCGTCTTCTCGATGTCTTTGATTTGTACAATCTCAACCCGTCCTACATTCCTAATCCCGGTTCACTGGTAAGGCATTCAAGTTCCCACTGAACTGCAGTGACCTTTCGAATTCGTTCAACCAAAAGGATCCGCCTCATTGAGAAAAGTTGGGAAAAGCTAGACGCCCTCGGCCGGAAGTCATTGTCTCGACTGTTGCTTGAGCAGCGCCTCGATCCCATGGTGTAAACGAACTTGAACTAATGTCTCGACATTCATTCGAACGCACATAGATCCTACGGCATTGAAGGCTATACTCAACAAGACTGGCTCTACTTACCCGACACGCTTCGATACCGCGCCTTCGACGACCGCCAAGGCTTTCAAGATCTATATATCTGGACACTTGCTTAAGGCCTATGGATCAATCGTTTAAAATTCGAGCGACGACTCATTCTGCCGGTGATCATTAACGTTCTAACTTCTCAGGGATGTTTACAAGCCGCTGGAGGGTCAAGTTGGAGGCGCAAGCGTGACTAATCTTTTGGTGTTAGTGGGTGAGCCCAGGTGAGCCCTAAAATGCTCGTTATATCATTCAAAAAAGAAAAGAGTTAGACAAGCTCAGACACTGCAATAAGTAACCACCCGTCCACTCGAATCTCCGAGCCCGTGATGGACTTGGAGGCGTCGCTGCACAAGTACACGAGCGAATATGAGGGATCCAATGTGCTTCAGCGCGTCCTACTGTCGATGCCTATACCACAACAAGGGAGAGCAAGGCTTGGGATCACGTGAACATCATTTGGGCTTGCTTCAACACTGACTCTAGCAATTTTGTGCAAACCGCATCTTAGAGGACACGGAGCGTCTAAGTATTGAGGTGGCAACAGGTCGCATACTTTAGAATATTACCATTTACTTCTACTTGGAGCTCAGATGATGGTGTATTTTGCAGAATATTTGTCATCATTAATTTCATTTTCCCACGGGCTCATCGTTTCCTCAGGTCGGTCATGGCACCCTCAGGCTCGTCGGCGACGTCGGTCCAAGTTGGTGAGTGAACTTTGTGAGATGCTAATAAACTCCCCAACTCATTTGCAACAGCCCTCCGGATTCGACCACCCACCCACCAGGACTCGACTTCCATCCCTACCCGTTTCCAACGTTCCGTTATCCACGCTACCTCTTCAACTTCCGTGTCGGTCGACCCTGTAACTGGGCCGACGACTGGAGGACCCGCCCCAGCCGCTTCTTCTGCCTCTGCTGCAGCCGCTGGCAAGAAGCAGGTTTTCTCCTTTGACCAAGTCCATGGCCCGCCAGCAACTCAACACGAAATGTTCACCTCCACCGCTCTCCCTCTTATCTCCCGATTCGTGGAGGGCTTCAATTGCACCATTCTCGCGTACGGCCAGACAAGCAGCGGGAAAACACACACCATGACCGGTATTGACCTCGATGCGGACCCCTCAGACCCAAACAACGGCATGGGCATCATTCCACGCTCCATCTCCAAAATATTCCAAACCGCCAGACAACTCCGTGACGAACGTGCTGGGGCCTGGACTTATAACATAAAGTCGTCTTATATCGAAATTTACAACGAGGACCTTATCGACCTTTTGACTGACGACACGGGTAGACGCGAGGTGCAAATTAGAGAAGACAAAGATGGCCATATCATATGGGGTGGGCTCAGAGAGGTGCCCGTCAAAAATCCCAACGAAGTCATGACGTGCGTTCAATCTGTCCCCTCGTTTCTCTGTTCAACTGGTCCACAGCCTGCTTCGTAAAGGATCATCTATCCGTAGGACGAATGAAACCGATATGAATGCTCAATCTTCCCGCTCACACGCCATTTTCTCCCTCACTCTTACCCAGAAGAAGTATACTGGCGGTGGCGCTCCCCCTCGCTCTTCCTCTCCTCTTCCTCCAAACGGCCGCTCTCCATCAAGACTTGCTCGACCAGGATCAATGTATGCAGGCCCAGGAACTTCACGTGTGGCTTCACCAACTGGTGGTCGACCACCAACGCCCAGTTTTGCTTCTGCAATGGGACGAGGTGGCGGTCTACGGCCCTCTAGCGCTCTAGGCCATGCCGGAGACCGTTCCGGTATGGACGATGACGGTGGCGAATGGGTCACCATCGTTTCAAAATTCCATTTTGTTGACTTGGCTGGCTCAGAACGTGTGCGTATCTGCATTTGATTGATTTAGAACAACGGCTTAAGCATGGACAGTTGAAACGCACAGCTGCTGCTGGAGAACGAGTGAAGGAGGGTATTTCTATCAACAGCGGGCTACTTGCCTTGGGCAATGTCATTTCTGCTCTCGGCGACCCTTCTCGTGCAAAATCCCACATGTCGCATGTCCCCTACCGTGATTCGAAACTAACGCGGCTACTTCAAGACTCCCTCGGAGGCAATGCTCATACTCTGATGATTGCCTGCGTCAGTCCAGCAGAGTGGAATGTGGGCGAGACCGTCAACACTCTGAAGTATGCCAACCGTGCGCGGAATATCAAGAACAATGCAGTCGTCAATGCGAAAGAGGATGGCTGGGACGATGTCGAGTGGTTGCAAGGCACTGTGCGTCGCCTCCGCCAGGAGCTCAAGACCATCAAAGACGGCGGCGTTGTTCCTTCCTCCAATGGTTCCTCTGCCGAACCTGTCCTAGAGGGTGCAGGCAAGAAAGTGCTTGCTCAAATGACGGAGTTACAGAACAATTACGAGGACCTGCGGGGAAAATTCGTCGAGCGGACAGAAGAATTGACACGATTGCGTCGTGAATTGGGTGAGCGACATCGAGGAAGCACTGGCGGTGCCATTGGCGGGACTGGCAAGTACGAGGAGATTGTGGGTCCTGTAATCGAGGAGTACGAAAAGACCATTTCGGCTATGGAGGCCGAGTTAAACCTCAATCGGGCGGCTTTGAGGCACACGAACGAGATGGTCGAAGAAAAGGAGGAAGAATTGGCTCTCGTCTCTGAACGACATTCGGCTACCGAATTATATGTCGAGGAATTACGAGCAAGAGTGGCAAAGCTTACCGAAAGGGAGGCATCGACTGAGGTCTGTTTATTGCGCTGTCGGCAAAGGTTGATTTCTGACTGATTGAACACAGGCATACGTACGAGATCTGGAGGAGAAGATGAAATCGTACGACGAGAGTTCAATCACCTCAAGCGAGTCTATGACGGATTTGCGGCGCGAAGTATCCAAGTATCGCGACTCGGAGACTCATTCTGCCAAGTACATTGCAGATCTCGAGGCCCGTCTTGCTCGAACAGACGAGTCTGTCCTCGCTCTCCAACAAACCATAGAAAAGTTGGAATCTGAATGTGAAAGGCGCCGCGAAGAAGTTCATCATCTTCAAGCGCGACTCGACACCCTCCGAGACGATGGTGACAATTGGCGATCTGATCTCGAGGCCCGTGAACGCAAAGTCAAAGAACTGGAAGAAAAAATGGTCGAGTGGGAAGCCAAGAAAAAAGAGGCTGGGGCAACACGTGAGCGGCTCGGAGTAGTTGTGGGTGAAATAACACAAGCAAGGAAAAGCTTGGAGGTTGATCTAGTCAATGGGCACTCATCCAGCGGGAGTGCGACCCCCGCTTCAGACGCAGGAACACCATTGGCCTCTGTGGCACTCATTCCGGACGCTGCTGACAAGCATCCCGACGAAGTTCAACCGGAAGTTAACCCAGCTGTCCATGACCAACTTCTTTCTTTGCAACAAACTCACACAGCAACGTTGGCTGACCTTGCATCAGTTACTGCCAAATATCGTGATGCCCTGCGCGAGATTTCCGATCTTGCGGCGCAAATTCAGGAAGCGAAGCTTAGCGGGCACAATGCGGAAAGTAGCCATACCGTTCCTGATTCACCTGCATCCGAGACTCCAGTCGAGCGGCCTGTCGAAATTCCGCCTTTTAGACGAAGAATGACAGGTGGTCGTTCGCGCGAATCCAGCGGTAGCGAGTCACAATACAACTCTGCTGGAAGACGACTTTTTTTCCGGCAAGCGGCCTCTACAGAATCGCTCCATCAGAGGTGTGTAATATTATTTCTCTGCTTTGCTGGGCCCCAGTTTGGCTGACGATGAGCTTCTTAAATGGGCAAAGGTCGCTTTCACAATCGCAATCCTTATCGCAGGAGCTATCCTCGGTGCACTCGCGCAAAACCTCTGTTTCGACGAGTAGCAGCTCGCATTCTCCCTCAAATTCTCACTCTATCCCATCCCCGTTCTTGTCGCCACATGGCCGGCCCAACCTTTCGATTTCGCTTCCGAATACCGCTGCATCACCTATTCAACTGACAAATGAGCGGTCTGTGCATAGTTTGGAGAAAGAGATCATGCGATTGCAAGAGGTCTTGAAGGAGCGCGAGACCGAGATTGCTTCGCTTGAAGGGTCTCTGAAAGAGAGCCAAGCCCAAACTGCTGCAGCGGTTTCAACTGCTGCCGTTGTCAAGACCAACGGCGTAACCGAACACGAGCCGGTCACCCCCCCTGGAAATAGGTCTGAGGAGGATATAGCTGCCAGCCGGATTCACCTTTCTCCCAAGACGATCAGCCAATTTGACACCATTCGCCGGAGCATGAACCACGATCAGACCCCGGCAAGTGTGACGACGGACACAGAGTCAGAACTTGGTGGAGGTTCAACATTTTCAGAGCACGACGAGTCGCTGGAGCGGCTTAATGAGCTTATGTTGTGAGTTGACTTTTATTACATTCGTGTCTGGTGTAATAATTGGCTAGATCCATGGCACAGAAGGAGTCGCATCATCGCGAGATCGTGGATGGTCTTACCGAGCAACTTACTTCAATCCGAAGGCAACACGATGACTTAACGGCTCTCTCGCGAGACCAGGTCAGTTCATCCTCATTTTTCAATGTCGTTCTAATGTTGTTTGTAGGCCGCGAACATGTCAGCAGAAATCGAATCCCTCCAAACAAAACATAGTGATGTTCTGGCGGACCTGGAACAGGCCAAGGAACGCGAAAAGAATCTTGTTGAATCACTGGAGAGAACTGTGGGCGAGCACGCCCAGGAGATCGAAAAGCTGCAGACTGAAATCGACAACGCAAAAATGGCGCATGAGAAGGCAATCGAGCAACACGATAAAGAGCTCCAGCAACGAACAGCTGACAATGATGAAGCGCTTGCGCAAGCCCAGCAACAACACGAGGGTGCTCTGGCGAGACTCGCAGCCGAACATGCTGAAGTTCTGAAGCAGAGGGATGCCGAGGCCGCCGCCGCTCTCCAAACCACGGAGGGTGACTATTACGATGCCTTGACTAAGCTTCGGGCCGACCATGCCACCGCTTTGGAGTCACATGCTGCTGAGTCAGCTGTCGTTTTGGAGAGACTGCGGGAGGAGCATGCTGCAGAGCTTCGAGTCGCAGAAGTTGCCCGAGAAGGGTCGTTGTCCGAGTCACAATCCTCGATGGATCTTGCATTGAGGGAGCTTCAAGACGCTCACGCTGCCGCCGTCAGTCGGAAAGAGACCTCCTTTGGCGAGGAGTTGAAAGAACTCAAGAACGAGCACGCTCGGGCACTGACGACAAAAACCGAGGACCACGCACTCGAAATGGACAAATTGCGCTCATCACATGAGGGGTTGGTTGCCAAGTTGAAAGAAGAGTGGCGTGTAGAGAGTGAACAACTCAACTCCGCATTGGCTGCGTTGAAGGCAGAGTCCACCGCTGCGTCGCTCAAGGCTAGTGCAGATTCAGACAAGGCAATCCAGGCGCAGAAGGAGTCTCACGCCGCTGTTCTCGGGGAAATCGAAAAGGGACACGGTGACGAGGTTGCGGGTCTCAAGACACGACACGACGAATCCTTGCGGGCGTCTCTTGCCGAGTCAGAAACGCAAAAAGCAGCACTTGTTGCCGCCCATGCTCAAGAGATAACCCTGCTCAAGTCGCAGCATCAAGAGACGATCGCAGAGGTGAACACCTCCGTTGTTAGCCTGCAAGCTGAGCATCGTGAGGTTATGGAGACTTTGAAGGCTCGTCACCAAAGGGCACTGGACGATGAAAAGGTTCAACTCGTGGCAACCTTGGAGGACCTCAAAGCGCAACACTCCAAACAGCTCCAAACTCTTCAGAAAGACCGCGATTTGCTTGCACAGGAAATCGAGTCGCACAAGGCCGCAGCGGAAGAATTTGGACTTGTCCGAGGCGAGAAGGATGCTCTTGTCAAAAGTCTGGAAGAGCAGCTAGCCACTGTCCGTGCCGAGCAGTCCGGATTTGAGGGACAAGTTGCACAACTCCGCGAAGAGTTGGATCGTGCCCAGAATGATCACTCTCAACAAGAAGAGCTGCAAAACGAGATTTCGAAGCTTAAGCAACAGCTGGAAGACAGTCAGAAGCAACACTCGACTCTTGGCGCTGAACGAGACGATTTCGAAGCCGAGGCCGCTCGCCTCAGAGGAGAACTTGCTCAATCGCGTTCCGCTCATTCTTCTATCGGTGTCGAAAAAGATAACCTGGAAGCTCAAGTTGCGAAACTCCAGGCGGAACTCCAGACAACTCGTGATGAACAATCAGCGTTGATTCAGGAGGCCTCGAAGCGAGAATCTTTGGTTGGAGAGCTTGACCGACACCGGTCTATCTTGGCAGACATCCAAGAGAATCTTCAACGTGTTAAGGACGAGAAGGATGTTCTTCAGACCGAAAAGAACCGCTCAGATACCCTTGTCCGTGAACTCCAAGCACAAGTGCTTGCCCGTAGCTCCTCTCCGCCTATCGGTAATGGCCGACCTTCTCGCGCTACTGCGCTACCTGCCATGAAGTTGCCTCCTCCCACACCACCTCCATCTGTTCCTCCCCCGCCTGCTCCTCGCACTAATGGTGATAGTATGTCGTCCCATACTTCTGGTGTACCTTCATCGTCTTCCCGTGATTCGCAAGTCGAGACATCTGCGACCTCAGCACCCTCTCAAAACGGTTCCGTCTTGTCCGATACGAAGACTGTTGCCCGACTGGAAGCGCAGAACAAGCAACTTGAAGAGCAAGAGGCAATGATCAAGACGCTCAACAAGCAACTAACGCACTGCGAGAGCGATCTCCAAACCCACATGGATCTTGTCAGCACGCTAGAGACGTCACTGGGTGACTCCGAAAAGAATCGTAAATCGCCTTCTTCTGACATTTTTCTCATCTAACTGCTTTTTTACAGTCCGAAAAGCCCGTATGCATGCAACTGAACTAGCCAGGGAGCGGGATACACTCAACACGCGGATTGAGACTCTCCGAACTGAACTGGACGATGCCAAACGCGAAATTACGAGCATGAAGAGTTCTGTGGTCCAGGAGAAGCAATCGTATGAACAACGGTTGACGGAAGAGCGCAAGGCGAAAGAGCGCGCCCGTCAGGAGCTGGACATGCGAGTTGACGAAATGCAAAGACGCAAGTCCAAGTTCAACTGTCTATAACCCCTCGCCTCGAGACCTTCGTTCCTTTCTTCGACTTCATCTCACACTCTCTTCTGCATTGCATCCAATTTCACGCTCCTTTGCTCATGGATTTCGGCCATCCCCATCCAACCCACTCGTTCGTAACCTTATTCGTGCTACCATTACTCTACTTGTCCACTAGGTTACAATTCGCATTGCTTGGATACCCTTTAGTAACAGTACATATGACTCTGTATCTCTCTCCTTATGTTTCTATATTGCGGAACCCAAAGATTATTGACTCAAGGAATAGTCGGCACGACCGGGCCGTTTTCCGAACGCCGATCCCAATTCTTATCCCTGCTCAAGACATACGCGAAAGAGTTCATCTAGGTTGTTTAATACAAAAAGAGATAACTATTGCTTCAACAGGTGACACGGAACTCGACGCTGTCGGAATCGAGTGCGAGGTAGTTTCAGTACAAAATTGCCGTGCCTTGCAAAACGGAGAAGTAGTAATTTGGCTGGCGCTCACCGAAGTTAAACCTGAAATCATCAAAAGGAGGGCCCAAATAGACGGCGAAAGATCCGCCGTGGAGCATGGACGTTGTGGCTCTCCATGTGCCGTTCGTTGTTGACATAACCCAGCGGAGGTCACTGAACAAACAGGTCTTATTTGCCTGTGAGCAGGTTGCCTGATTGAATCTCGTCCGACTCGAGAGCCGATTCAAAACAGGTAGACTGATGTCCACCTCCCGTTCATATTAACGCCACATGCCTCCGACTCGGACCACCTAAGCCGCTCTACAACGACCCAGGTGGGGAATACGGGACTGGATGCGTCAACTGTCGAGGTCTCTCTTCAGAGTTGTCAATCTATTGAGGAAATGGGGCTCTTCGTGTACGCTTTCCGGCTTCACTGTTAAAACTATGAGAAGAAAGAGGTCGTACTTTGGTTGACACTCACCGGAGTATGTAAACCCAAACCAAATAAACGGCGAAGGATCCGCCGTGGAGCATAGACGTTGTGGCTCTCCATGTGCCGTTCGTTGTTGACATAACCCAGCGGAGGTCACTGAACAAACAGGTCTTATTTGCCTGTGAGCAGGTTGCCTGATTGAATCTCGTCCGACTCGAGAGCCGATTCAAAACAGGTAGACTGATGTCCACCTCCCGTTCATATTAACGCCACATGCCTCCGACTCGGACCACCTAAGCCGCTCTACAACGACCCAGGTGGGGAATACGGGACTGGATGCGTCAACTGTCGAGGTCTCTCTTCAGAGTTGTCAATCTATTGAGGAAATGGGGCTCTTAGTGTACGCTTTCCAGGCTTCACTGTTCAAACTATGAGAAGAAAGAGGTCATACTTTGGTAGACGCTCACCGGAGTATGTAAACCCCCAAAGAGGGCCCAAATAGACGGCGAAGTATCCGCCGTAGAGCATAGACGTTGTGTCGTTTGTGGTTGACATAACTCAGTGGCGGCAGACGACAAGACGGGGTGAAAGAAACCTGTCACGTTGGTCTCAAGGAAAACTTGAACCGCATATATGGTGGCGGCACGGATGTTTGAGGCATATCAGTAATGCAATCGAACTTGAAAGAAAGAAAGACAATGCTCAAGCCGTAATCTTTCCAAAATCATACCCTTTGATCCAGCGCTTTCCACTGGTCCAGATTGTACATCCAACTCAGAATGGTAGAAGGAACGAAATATTTTGAGTTGATGTCATAAGTAGCTCGTGCCACTTCCTTTTGCCCCACATCCCGATCGTCTGCGCTTGTGCTGACGCCCTACTATTCGACCACGACAGCCTTTCACAAGCGGCATGTCCGCCTCGAACGTCGAATAACGGTGGGGGAGGTGAAGGAGAATGGGAAATGGTTAAAATGGAGGAGAAATAATGGCGGCAAGGCGATGAGTATACCGGGCCGTCTTCCGAACGCCGATCCTAATTCTTATCCCACACTTGCAAGCCTTGAACTTCCACGCGTTCTATGGCGACTCTTCGTGTTTTAGCCCGGGTCGCACTCCCTTCCACCACTCGTGGTCGCTTTGGGGCCGCGGTAGGCGTGCCCGGAAGACTCCTCAGTACAACCACAGCCGGCGCCAAACCCTTGCCAATGTTCTCAATGGAGGGCAAGGTGCTCTTGACCTTGTCGGTTGGTTTGAACAACGGCTCAAATGGTTCGTAGGTATGTCTGGTGACTGGCGCAGCCCGGGGTCTGGGCTACGAGTTTTGTCGTGCCTTCGTCTCCTCGTCAGTCCTATAGTCCATTTCGAACCGCCGATCACTGAGCTAACTCTGCTTATTCAGGGGTTGCACCTCACTCGCAGTCCTTGATCTCGTGGAGGCGGATGCCCGAGCCAGTGCGGAGGAGCTCAAGACATACGCGAAAGAGTTCAATGGTTGGTCATCTAGGTTGTTTAATACGAAGAGGTAACTATTGCTTCAACAGGTGACACGGAACTCAACGCTGTCGGAATCGAGTGCGACGTGTCCTCTGAAGTCTCAGTGCAAAATGCCTTTGCAGACACGCTCAAGACTTTCGGGCGGGTGGACGCTGTCGTCGCGTCTGCTGGTTCGTTTATTTTTCTCTTCTAGAATTCCCATATCAACACGCGTTGGTAGGTATCGTGCACAACCACTCTGCCTTTGATTACCCAGTCGACCGCTTGAAGCGCCTCTACGACATCAACGTGCATGGCGCGTTCTTCACTGCCCGGGAAGCCGCAAAAGCCATGATTCCGCAAGGAGGCGGGGCAGTGGTGCTCATCGCCAGCATGAGTGCCAATGTTTGTCGTTCTTGACAGCTAACTTGACTGTGTGCTCATTCCTTTCTCCTAGATCGTCAACGTTCCCCAGCTGCAAACGCCATACAACGCATCGAAAGCCGGTCCGTGCCATGTCATCTGCCCAACCCCACTCTGCAGCTTTTTTTCAGCGGTCAAGCACATGGCGTCAAGTCTGGCCGTCGAATGGGCCAAGCAGGGCGTGCGCGTCAACGTCCTCAGTCCCGGTTACATGCAAACGAAGCTGCTGAAAACGGTCCTGTCCCACGACACGGAGCTCAAAGTAACCACTTTTCTCTTCAAGCAAACACATGCTGATACGAGCATAGAAAACATGGGAGAGCCTGACGCCCATGGGAAGGGTGAGTATTCAATCTATTGTCGCGTATTACTGAACTGCGCAGCTCGGAAACCCAGAAGATCTTGCTGTATGCTCCATGTTTCCAGTCTATTCGTCGTGCTGACTGCTTTGTAGGGAGCGATAGTGTACTTGTGCAGCGACGCCTCCAAGTTCATGACGGGCTCAGAGATTCGAGTGGACGGTGGTTATTGCAGTGTCTGAGCTGGGAAAACACTTCGGCGGTAGAGAGACATGACAAATGCTAGTAGATGGTCCGACAAATCCTTGTGTTTAGCGCTTTTCCCGATTCAACGTGCGACGGTTGGACAAAACTTTGAACCAACTTTATTTTTTCACTTGGCGGCAGGGCGGCTAGTCATTGGAGGAGTGTTCTGGTTTTACTCAATGCTCGAGCCAGGTATAACTTGAGCAGTTGACTTCTCTAAGTGGCCAGGAAGACCAGAGTGATCATTCTTGCCGGGATTGGTCCACCAACTTTCACAGAACCACCCAGTACCCGTCGTGCCCTTGTTCGATTTGAAAAGCACATCAGTCTACATTTGGAGCAAAAGTACAGGTAGTGAAGATTACAAAACGAGCTCTCTAGGCAAACAACGCGATAGAGTCCAAGTCAAGCACATGTCAGAGCTCACCCAACGGCAGTTGTACCCCTCCTCCGACTTGACCTTCCAGAGACTTGTATTTCTCCTTGATATCGTCGATGAGCGGAGTAAGCAGTCGCTCGAAGGATTGATGAATGGCAGAGAATGGTCTTGACCCAGTCAAGTAAACGGTTCCAAGATAAATCTTGAACGCCTTGGCAGCCGCTGAAGGCGAAACGTTGAATCTTGTGGGGCACATGCCAGCTTTGTTGAGGATCGCTTTCAGTGTGGTGTCGGACATGAGAGCCACGATGACGATCTAAACACTCAGGTGATTATCGCGCCATTGAATGGTTGATTCACTGACATTGGGATCCAATGAAGGGGTCTCTAGTTGGAGGCGCTGCTCAAACACAACTGCAGAGACAACTGCTCCGAGAACTTGACGGCCGAGAGCAAGTAGCATTTCCCAGTGTGGCGAACTCTTCCAGTCGAACGCGAGGTCAGTGCAATTGAGTGAGAATGCTTTGAACCAGGTTGGACTTTCATGCACTGGACAGTCGGGAGGAGGCGCTAGGAATGATTTGATGACTTTCTGAATATAGAATTGAAGATTCAAATTCCCTAATCAAAATGAACATGGAGGAGGTCAAGACGGTTGAGTCAACTCACCTCGGAGTAGCAAGGCTGCCGAGGAGGAGAGGTCTGAACGATGTTTATCGGCGGACGCACAGCAACACACTGGGAGGCGTGTTGGTAGAGCACCATTGAAACGACCTGGTTTTGAATACGTCGACCTGCGACTTTTCTTTGGGCGACTCGATTTGCTACTTCGTGGCGTCGAATGGATGTTTGGTGCGATAGACTTGCCGTACCGATTGAAATTATCGCTGAAACAAAATGTCAGCCCGTACCAATCACAGGAGCGCAAGCGAACGAGAATGCAAGCAATTCCAATCGTGTCTGAACTGAGATCAGTATCATAAAGGACTTGCTCAATTCGGTGTACACACCCAGCCTTCAGCAGATAAGACGAGACTATCTAGGACATAGCGCACGTCCTTTTGTGCACCATCTCTAGTAAACAACCTGCAGCCATCAACAGACGGCGGGAATTACAGGTTGGAGTAACTCACCGAGAAGTTTGAATGAGGGGGAATGGGTCATCGAACAGCTCTTTGACGTCGTCCAGCAGCTCGCCAAAAAAGACATTCACCAAAGACTGCGCCGCAACTCGATTGTGGTCTTGAAGCTTCCAAACGGCTGCAACGAGATAGTAGAGCAGGTCCAGGTCCCCGACATCATCTCGCCCAACTACTTGCTGTATTTTGAACCGATATGCCAATGTTTCGACGAATTCGTCATGCAAGAGAATGTGGAAAATGGACTACCGTCGACTTCAATGAGCCAACAATATAGGATGATGACGGAAGGGGAAAGACCTTGAGTGGAAGCTGTGGCCAATGAGAGGATGGCACCACTGACGCCATGGATGAAAGGAGGGCAAGTTTGGTATGAACACGGCCAGCCCCAGACTTGGCTAGCAGCTCGCTTGGCGAGAGAATCGCGAGGTCGCCAACTGCATCGTCCACAGGTTGAGCTTGGCTTGGTGGGAGAAGTATAGGCTCGAGCGATTGGAGTTGGTTGTCGCGCCAAAGTCGAACAACGTCGTATACCTCGTTGTTGGGGGCCATGGTCGTTGAAGGCAAGAAGCAAAAGCAGAAGCACCTGTCACCGGCTGTCAGCGGTCACGACAGATGGGGCAGAGGAAGCATCATCATGCCGGCATCTTGACGCACGGGTTATTAGCGTCAGATGCCAATGTCACAAGTGTAAGTCACAGCAAAGGTGGCTTGCGGTTCGATCCTTCTGACGGACAGTGGCATTTCCAGTGGGCAATACCTTCCACCGTCTTGGATTCATGGGCGGGTGAGAGTGGGGTTGTTCCTTTTGTCATTTTCATTTAATTTCCTTTTTTTTTTTCCTTCTTTTTGGCTGAAATAGCAAGGCCTTACCAGAGTTCACTTCTCACATTTATGGCTTATGAGTTACGACAAGATTTTATTTCTCCCCGGTAATGTCAATGCCAAACCGTTGCCCACCCGTCTTGCAAGTGTTATATTATCTTAGTGTTTTATCTAATACCCACTGAACAAATCATAAGTATACAAGTTGCTTCTATTGACTGACTAGAAAACTCAACCGTGCCATTGATTTCTAAGGATTTGTGACTGTCAGATCTAATAATGAAGAAGAGTTGTACACTCACGATCTGAACAAATCCCAACTTCCCCATACACTAACATCATTGGTACCCTCGTTCAGTTCAATCTGTGCTACTCCAGGCAGCGCTTCAACGTAACTGCCGAGCGGCGAAGCAGTATTGAGGATACACAATCGGTCCAATTCACACCCCATTGAGCAGATGATGGCGGGAAGCGGTGAGAATACGTCGTCAGGCCACGCAATCATGTCTTCATCAATGGAGAATCTCCGAAGAGCTGGGGCACGGAATGCACTCAAGAGGTCGTATACTTGGTCGGAGGCTGAAAAGCTGGCGCTGGTAATTAACGTCTCCAGCCGGGGAAATGAGAATTTTCGGATGGCCCCGGGCCAGGAAGCTTTGTCCTCCCGAGACTCCTCTGAGAAGCGCAACACACACGCGACGAGATTGGGTGTCTGGCCAAGGATGTCAACAGCGGAGTCGATGTCTGTGTAGGAGAGGTATAACATTGTCAGTTGACTCCAAGGCAGCAAGTCATGTATGATTTGCGCACAGACGAATCGCAGGTTGCAAAGATCAAGGAAAGCTGTGAAGAGATTCGGAGCATGGAGTTGACCAATAAGCACGTCTATGTATGTGTTGCCCACAAATCGGACTTCGAGGTCACATAGAAATGGCATTGGTCCTTGGACGAGCTGCTGGATATTCCATTCTTCATCACCAGGAATTTCCAGCGCAACGTGCTGCCAACGTGCAGTTTGAGAGCAAAATAGAAGTAGTGCCTCTTCGCGGAGAGCGGCCCCGGGCCGGTTTGATATTCTATGGTCGCCCAGTAAAAGTGAGAGTGCCGTATTCTGCGACCTCTCCAACCAGACTCGCGCCATTTTGAGATCTAGTTGGGGGACATGGGTTTTCCCCGAAAGAAATACCCCGATGGCCCGCCACAACATCGGGGTGGTAATTGCGATTTCACGCCATAGCTTGCATATTTGTGTAAGCGTTGTAGGCGACTGGTCGCCGAGCAGTGGTGGACAAATGGGATATGGTGGAAGGTACTGCGAGAAAATCTCGGCAACGATTTCGGTGGGCAGAGTGAGAATCGAAGAGCTAGGCGGTGGTGGGACAGACTCGGATAGCCTCAGACCATCAAACGCAACAATTGTCGGTGTAAAGTTTTCACTCGTCCCGGAACTTGATTCTAACTCTGTGGTCATCGTCAAAGCCCGTGGTTCAAGTTTCGTGTCGACACCGTTGAGAGAGTCTGTAGTACATGAGGTACGGAGCCTCGTGGACGGTCGACATTCATGACACAAGTCAAAACACACTTTTGTGGCGCCAGGCCGATCAGGCATCACTCGAGCGGATATATTTGGTTTGTGGTACTGACTGAATGTTTAGACCATCCCACGACCCCAGTCCTCACCAGGACAACTATTAGTAAAACAAATCCGAGCACCTAGTATACTACCCCGGCCTTCGTATTCGTCAGTGACAAGTATATCGCTCGAGGAAACAATACACAGTTCCTCTAACCTGCACCCAAACGCCTCGATGAGCATGTTAGGTTTATATTCGATTCCAAGTCGACTAGAGGAAAGAAAGGGGATTCTGATATACCAAAGCGTTGCAGCACTGGTACTCGGAACAGGGTAAGCAGGTCGGTCAATCATGCATCGTCTTTCGCTGCTGAAGCGCTGAAGACTGGACGATAGGTATACGTCTCGACCACTCCAGCTGCGTATGTGCAGGCCCCCATATGGATATAAATAGGAAGAGTGCGAGAACAGTGCCACCAAAGAGAGGTGCAGTTCAGGGAATTCGTCACGAGTGAATAACGACGTGGCTCGCCATAGCTTCGGTGTCGAATGGGCGATTTGGTGCCAAGGACTACAGATTTTGAGTAGATTTTATCGGGGAGTCGTCACCGATGAGAGAAGGGTAGGCGGATAAGCTGGGAGAATCAAGGAAGATTTCTGACACAATTTCGTTGGGGAGGGTCGAAACAGGGAAAAACCTATCGTGGCTTGCCGAGTGCGTTAATGGAGATAACATTCTTGGTTTGAGATACTGGCAACGGTGGTGGAGGTCTGGACATGCTGACGCTTGGAGATGGCAGTTGAGTGCAAGAGGCAAAGTCACATCAGCACGATGGTTCACATTGGCTCGACTTGAAGTTTTCTGTCTGTAAGAGTCGAATTTAGCTTCCGCCAGTTACAGCTGTAAATTGCTGTTGGAGGGTCTGAAGCAAGAAATGGCACACAATTGATCGCATCACCAGTTTCTTCTCTTCCCCCAGTCGTCCACCACTTGTTGGGAAATGGCTTCATGTGCCTTCATAGATGAACAGGTACTGTAAAATTACTTTATATATTCATATTCCTGACTCCATTCTCAAGTGATCTGCTAGTAGAGCCCTTCATCCTTCGACATTGAAACCCTGTTTTCTCAACATCTGGGCATTCTCCGGCGTGTATTCAAGAGCGTTGTTCACCGACAAGGTTGCAGTGTTGAGTGTGATGTCTCGGTTGGCCGCTGGACCCAGTAGGACTCTTACATGGACCGAAGATGTGGATTCCTCCTGAGGTGGGTTTAAAAATGTAAAACCTTTCAGCAAGATAACTAATACGCTTACCAGAACAAGACACGGCGTGTAAACGAACACACTCCCAGTCGAGCTTTGCATGAGGATTGGCGCGAATATCCGACTCGGCATCGTGGCTTTCATCTTGTGCGCTTTTGGCCTTTTGCTTGAGGTCTCGGAATCCAGCGTGTTATTGACGTCTAACGGGGCAATTTCGTGGTGCTGTGGCGAAAAGTGCTTCTCGCTGTGCTGTCCGTTTCGAGGGTCCGCGTAAGCAACGAGGTATGTGCGGTGTTGGGTACCGTCCTATGAGCGGTTATTAATCTCCAACTATTAATACTCCATAGGTGGCACCTCATTCTCCATGATCACTGGACGTATTACTTGACCTGTAGTCCACTCTGTGAAGCTATTGGTAGGTGGGCTCCATCGACGAATGCGAACGGTGTCTCCGATCTAGCAGCCATATCAACACCAGGACTAAATCGGACTTGAACGGACGGTGTACTTGCCATAAAATAGTCAACTCCTTCAACGAGGTCAATTGGTGCGGGCAGCCGCATCTGTGCTTTCGGGGAAGTTTGAGATTTGGTGGTGTTCTTTTTACGAGGGAGGGCTCGAAGCGCTGCACTCGTCGTGCCAACACCCTGGCCACCCTGGCCACCATCCGTTCGTGGCGTGGCCGAGCTATTCGTCGGAGTCTGCATCGTTGCCGGGTATGCTTGGTAGCGCTTCGAATTTGTCGTGCCACTTCCACTTGTGTAAGCGGCACTGAGAGGTGGTGGGCCAGGTGGGTAATAAATTCGCTGCTGAGAAGGATTATACCCGTCTGGATACCAAGTCGCCATCTTAGTCGGAGGAGGAGGTCGAGTTGAGTTGTAGGGGAGGATGGGAGAGTGATCTGTGCATTGTTTGCGCGTTTTTATACGCGTCAGACGTAGGTTGTGCTTTGACTTTCCTAGGTTGCAGGACCGTCAATGGCTTATGCGTCTGCCCAGATCGGGAACTACCGCTTTTGAACCAGTTTTTGATGTCCGTCTGTGCTAGGAGCGTAAGACGGCTACAGGGAATGTAGGCTTGTTCTGGTTCTATTGGGGGGTCTATACTTATATTCCCTTGTGATTCAGATTGGCCCTTATAAGCTGGGCAGTGACACTCAGCAGAAGGACTGCCAACGTCGGCGTTAGCTACGGGGACGTGGAAATACGAGCACCTCTTGGAATAAACGTCTGTCAATCGCTACTTTGAATCCTGGCGATGAATAGCGGCAAATGACACGGTACATACAACAATCGATGCGGCTCAGATTCATATATGTGTCCATTATTAGAGTTGAATGCTCGTTGCTCTAGCCCTAACCCTAGCACAGTACTTAGTTGCAGTGCCTTCTGATGCGTTGATTCCGCATCTGATTCCGGCTTGACAGCCATGATCCGGACCCCACAATCTCTTTGCCTCAAACCATGACCAGTCTACTACGCGTTGGAGCTCTGTCCCGTCGCGCTGGCGCGCGGAACCCCAAGATAATCTCACAGCGCTCTATGGCGTCATTCTACAACACAGACATCGCTGGGCTCACCAATGAAGAAGCCGAGTTCCGAACCGCTGTAACAGAATTCGCAGCCAAGGAGGTCGCACCGAGAGCAGCAGAAATTGACAAGACAAACACCTTTCCTTCGGTATGTCTACCCTCCAAAACCAAACAGGGTTATTGCCTGACGTGTAGGTAGGACCTTTGGCGGAAGATGGGCGACATGGGTCTACTTGGGATCACCGTCTCCCCCAAATACGGCGGGTTGGGGCTGGGCTATCTGCAACACACGCTTGCTATGGAGGCCCCTTTCCCACGCGTCTGGCTCTGTCGCGCTATCCTATGGCGCGCACTCCAATCTTTGCGTGAACCAGATCCATCGTCATGGCACGGAAGCGCAGAAAGAGAAATACCTCCCAGCTCTGATCAGTGGCGAGCACGTCGGGAGTCTGGCCATGAGCGAACCGGGGAGCGGGAGCGATGTCGTCAGCATGCAGCTAAGGGCCACCAAGGTCGACGGTGGGTGGAGTCTGACGGGGAATAAATTCTGGTGCATTTTTTTCTACTACTTTATGCAACGCTTCTGATGAGGAAAAGGATAACAAACGGACCCTCTGCGTCGACACTGGTGGTATATGCCAAGACAGCGCCAGAGAAACATTCAAAAGGAATCACTGCTTTCCTCATCGAGCGCGGTTTCAAGGGCTTTTCCACCAGTCCCAAGCTCGACAAGTTCGGGATGCGAGGCAGCGACACGTGCGAGCTCGTGTTCGAGGATTGTTTCGTTCCAGACGGTACAGAGCTTGCACTCTGGCAACAAGCACTGTTTGACACTCGACAGAGAATGTACTGGGAAAAACCAACAAAGGCGCGGGTGTGCTCATGTCCGGGCTCGACTTGGAGCGGCTTGTGCTTAGTGGGGTGCGTTTTTCTCCTTATAATTGACTACCAATGGAGCTTCTTTCAGGGTCCATTAGGGTATTCATCTTCGCCTCGGATCGTTCTCCTCTCATCACGCGATTCAGACTTATGCAAGCCGCATTCGACTTTGCTGTCGAGTACGTCCACGAGCGAAAGCAATTCGGGCAGCCCATCGGGACATTCCAGCTGATGCAAGGCTGGTGTAGTTCTGGCCCTCTTTCATTCCTGACTTCATCCAGGTAAAATTGCCGACATGTACACCAAGCTCAACGCCAGCCGGTCGTATGTCTACGCCGTTGCGCGGGCATGTGACCAAGGTAAACTCAGCAGACGCGACTGCGCGGGAGCGATACTATACTCGACCGAAAAGGCCATCGAAGTCGCTATTGACGGGCAGCAGTGCTTGGGTGGGAATGGGTATATTAACGGTCAGCGCCGCATCGTCAAAGTTTAGTATAGCTGACCCGACCCATTCTTAGACTACCCCATGGGTCGCATAGTGCGCGATTCGAGACTATATGCTGTCGGCGCGGGCACTCAGGAGATTCGGCGGATGCTAATTGGGAGGGAGTTTAACCAGGAGCTGCTAAGCGATTGAAAATTGTATCACATTTGAGCAAGAACAACAAAATAAGTTAAGAAGAATCAGGCACGTGATCGCGTCCATAACCACAAATTCACGCCCGGGGCGACAATTGAACCAGCAACTTGCCCCCAACGCTCGTCACGAATGCATCGTCCAAAGCATCCACCCAGCTCCCATTCTCCTCCATTCCGGCCCCGAACCGGAGTTCATACCGCTTCAGCAGGGCACTCGCGACCATCAGCATCTCGCGCCATGCCAAACCTTTCCCTACGCAATTTGCCGCGCCGTAGGAAAAGGGAATAAATGCCAGGTGGTCAAGCACTTCGTTGGATGAGCCCCCGCGGAGCCAGCGGTCAGGATCGAACTTGTCTGGATTTGGGAAGAAATGGCGGGGGTTGCGGTGGACAGCATATGCGGGCACGTAAACTTGTGTGTTCTCTGGGATTATTTTCCCGGCGACGACTCCCACGGCACCGGGGGGGATTTGGCGTGGACCGCCAGTGGGGACGGGAGGGAAGAGGCGCAGGGCCTCGTTACTTGAATAAGTCGTGGTTAGAGTATGGGAGAAAATAATTGTAGCTGAACGCACAAGCAGGCTGTAAGATATCGCAATTCTCCGTGTTTCAAAGAGTCAAAGACGGAATCTGGGTCGGGGTAGACGGCATCGACCTCAGCCTGAACCCGCGCAAAGACATCTGGATTGCTTAGCAGACACCAAATGAAGCTATGCAAGTCATCAGTTGGTAGCAGCCGGACAGGAAGAACACACACCTGCTCAGGGCGACTGAAGAAGTATCCGACCCAGCGATAATGGCCAATACTCCATCACCTATGACATCTGCCATGGTTGGTCGTTTCTTTTCATGTCCTTCCTCGTCCATCTAGGTTAGGTTAGCCTTCGTTGAAGTGATTCAGGATATGTTGTACAAGATGAAACCATAAGTCCTTATTCAGCTTGGGACCGGATTTTGCCCGGTTAACGGCGCATGCAGCACCGAAACGACGTAACCGTTTGGTATTCCGCGTGAGCATCGGAATTTTGTAGAGCGCAGGCGCAAGCCAAGGAAGTTGAGAAAGAACCGCGATAGTCCTACAAAACCATCGGCATTTGGCTTTTGTCGAGGCCAAACGACTCACTTGGCGCCATCTTTTATCAAAGTCCAATACCCTTCGTTGTCTTTACCATCGCGAAGCATTTCGAACCCACCACCGAAGCTATATATGGCCAGTCAGAGCAGAGTTGTTTAAAACTGATTAGGCTCACGCCATGTCGCCCATAAAATCGAACCTAACCAAATCAATAAGCTGCATATGAGGGGGCAATCAGAGTACTCGCATGAGATAGCTAAACCAAGCTGCCATGTCAATTTCGCTTTTAGTAGAAGCGAACTTGTCGAAATGTTCCAGCAGTTGCCTGAGGCGTTTCTCCAAGATGAGCTCGAAATCCCGAAGCGATTCAGAGCTCATTCCGCGGTTCCAAATGCGCCGTCGGTTTGCATGGGCATCACCGCGAGATGTAAGCAGACTACGTGTACCATGAACGGGGTCCACGCGAGGCTCGTAGTCTGGGAAGGCATATCAACAATGGCAACTGCTGTTCATCAAGAAGGACTCACATTGGCCCTTGGGAAAGCCTCCGGTGCCAAACACCGACTTGATTGCTTCGACATGAATCACTGAAACCTCATTGGGGCCTAAGAAGCACCGTCACCAGCCAAGTCAATCAAGTCAAGGGAAGCTCACCGACGCGGACAAAATCGCCATATTGGTCGTGGAGAGCTTTGAACACTCGGTGTTGTTCTCCACTGAGCACAAGTCGTACGGACCACCACTTGCTGATCTTGGCCAATGTTGGACCGGGTATATGTGCGAGCGGGTGCCACGGAGAGAGACGATACACGCCAATGGAAAGTGTGAGCGTTGCGAGGAAAGCTGACGTTGTTGTCAATACGTTGGCTGCGGAAAGGGCGTTGAAGGCCAGTGTTAGCGCTAGTGGCTGCACGATAATGGCCAAGAATGAGACGTTGACGTTTTGTGGCTCAAAACGATTGAAATAGACATGGTTGAGCTGGGAGGAAATAAAAGAGAGAAGAGAGAGAGAGAGAGAATTAGTCAGCTTGTGATGGCAATGTTGATCCAAGGCTCACGCACCAAGCCCAAGACGACTGCAGCGGCGATGGGCGGTTGGGGGGTCATGGCGAGAGCCACGAATCGATACCCACCCCAAAGCACTTTGTCAGCCTTTTATATGCCCGTATTGGCATCGGTAGACTTGCCACATTGATGACGGGATTTAAAGAAGACTGATGTCGCTAGACTTGGAGCGTTCGCCGCTGTTGCTCTATACAAAACCGACCTGGTAAGTCGGCATAAGGATGTCCATATTCAAGGTCCATGAGAGAGAAACCAGGACCGCAAGTTTCCAACCGCCGGTGTTGAACCGTCGACCACTTTCCACCCACTGGCATGATATCCTCGCAGTCCAGGCTAATAAGTGCCGGGGCCGGCCCGGGTGCTATCCGACCCTAGGTATCTTAGACTTTTTGGACTCTTCATCAACAAGTTTACCTGAGCAGCAGCTTCTAAACTTGAAAACTCGAAGCCTTGCAACGGATCGATATCGATAGGTGTCAATGGCAGTATGCCATTAGCAGGATCCACAACATTCTTGGGGCGAGGACTACACGACTCAACACTTCTTTCCAATTGAAGAAATGACAACGATTAAACACGCGCCTCATGTGATCGCGACGAATTCTATTGATAGTCTAGCGCAAACTGCAACTATTATTAGTCCATCCTCTCTCAGTGGCCTTTCTCCCTTCTAATCTTCCTCTTCCCACCATCGGATTTTGGGGCCGGTTCCCCATGCTTGCTAGCCTTGACTGTAAGCGTTTTCTTGATGCGCTTCCGCTCCTTCAGATCGCCATGGATGCCCCATCCAAACATGATGAAGAACAGCCTGATGACGTTATTCGGTGATATTGACGCCAGCAAAAACACACACCAGCGCAAACGATCCGGACGGAATAAGTGAAACATAAATAACCAAATAGCTGGAAAGCAAGAGTGAGATGGTGCTTTGGTTCGCGCCATAACGCACTGAGTTCAGCGTATGTGAAGAATCCGAGAGGACCACCCTTCGCCCCGCGCTTGAGGAAGCTGATCAAGTCAACCCAAAGCTTCATGTCTTTCGGTATCGGACGCGTGTTCGGGTCGAGAAGAAGCGTGAGCAAGATCCGGGTGTCTAAATCGGTCAGAAACGTTCATGAAGAGTCACAGAAACCCTTACATATCCCTATATGGCTGTTGTTGACGTCAGTCTATGGCCGCAAACGAGCGAAGAAATAACATACAAATGTCCACTGTAAGCTTTTTTCAGTTACGCGCTAGTCCACGAGAGTTGAAACCTACACTGTGCCAATCGCGCTCATGTAAGCCGAGTTGGTCAACAACACGCTCCAGTCTTCGGTGGAGAAGTTTTGGAGATACAAATCCGGGCGCTAAGCTCTCGTGAACACCGCAATATCGAGCAAAACGTCTACAAACCTGATAACCCTCAGGGAATAGCTCGTCTGGAAGAAAATCGATGCTTGGCTTCTCATATCCAGTGGCTAGCACAATCAAATCGGCGCTGATAGTCTGTGTTGGAGAAATATTAGAATGAGATTAGATGGGCAACAAACAAACCGACCTCTTTTCTACCTTTGTCATCAAGCTTCGTTCCGCGTTCTCTGACATTGACATGTACGCCTTGTTCAGTGAGCCGGACAGGGTCTCCATGGATATATCGACATGCGCCAGAACGGACATGACCCAAGAACGCATCGTTTACAACCTAGAATTGAGGACGTGAGTCGATGAAATTTCGACTGAGAAAAATTAACAAACTGGAGTACCCTCAAATAGACCACTGTCCATAGGAACAAGGTCCTTGACGCCGTAATATTGCCATTGTTTGAGAAAGGCTTCCCAAAGGAAACTATCCAGAAAGTCTAAGGTGACGCGACAAGCCAATCAAAAAGCTCACCTGAGAGGCATTTCCCGACCAAATGGTTGACAAGCAAGGAAAGTATCGAAGAAGATGTTTCTAACAAATGATGAAATCAAAATGCCTTCTTGAGATCGTGAGGCACCCACCTAGGAATGATCCATTTGTCCGTTCTCGCAATCATAACGACGCCTCCAGCACCGCGCTGGATAGCAGCTTCAACAGCTTCCACTCCACTTGCACCGCTACCAATGACCACCACTCGCTTTCCTATGCGACCATGAGTTTGATTTTCGCTCATGCGAAGGCTGACCTTTAATAGCTTCCTCAGACACAGCATCTGAATCTAGTTCTGAAGAGTGAACAATAGGTTTCTTGAAAACGCTGCCATTGTTTTCGGTTGGGTTATCCGAGTCTTCTACCAGTTATGATTAGATAGTCGAGATCGAGTAGAATGCAACACGCCTGTTTGTTCCCCTTTGTCCTTCGGCATACCATCAAGATGAATCCACTTCGGCTTCCCACATGTCCCAATGTTGACGATGACTGCACTAAAAGGCCCCTCCTCGCCGTTGTTGATGAGCCATTGGTGTCGGCCAAACTGGTCATCGTCTGCTCGTTTGACGGAGGTGACACGAGTCTCAAACCGCGTCCTGGATTCCAGCTTGTATTCTTCCCAGACTCTAGCGATCTCTAAATTACGCGTTTCAGCTAAATTGTATGCGAAAGCTGCCGAATCACGCACCACTGAGAATTTCATCTCTCAGTGGAAAGGCATTGCGCCAGACAACGGCAGGATGAAAACGGTATAGATGGGAGTTAAGCTAGTCGCGTGAGTTGACACAACGGACCGGGAGAGCTGCTACTAACCTGTAGCCCACTCGTCGAGTTCTCGTGAGCCCATATTCCACCGAGCGAGGACCGTGATCCAGCTTCAAATAACACGACTTCGAAATTATGGGCAATGCAATGTCTACAGGACAATTCAGTGTGGGGGTCTGCAGGAAATGAAAGGAGCGCACGCAGCAGAAGACACGCCAGTTAGGCCAGCACCGATGACCGCGACTCGTCCATATGGGTTTGGTAGCGGGTCTGCGTGTTTCGGAGGTGGTGGCTTGAATATGGCGACGACGATGTATTGAACGAAGATATAGCAAAGGCGCCAGATAGCTTTGATGGTCGTCCATGGGTTGAGAATGGGCGGCAGGGCCATCATGGTTGGGTGGAAGAGAAGACCAGAGTGTTTTTCCAAGCTGTAATGCGACGCAGGAATGACGTCACGCGAAATCATCGAAGTGGCCAAAAATAGCAATGCCTAGTGGATGTACACCATGCGTGTGGCAATGCGGAATCCATTTCCTTCCTTTTCGTTATTGTCAAGATCTTTCTGCTCGTCATACATAAGCTTGTGGAGGTCGGGACCGAACTCACGGATGACTCACCAACGTTTCTCGACATCTATTTGCGATGAACGCTCAGGCTATCCTGCGTGCTTTGCAGCTTCCTAACGGTAGCACCGTAAACAGCATCTATCTCGTTGGTTCTCGTCTTTGGGGTACGGAAACACCGAAAAGCGACTTCGACATTCTTGTGGTTGTTGAAGCTCCTTCGTCCCATGCTACCCTCCAAAAGAGCCAGCACAAAGGCAACTACGACATGACTGTCGTCACCGAAACCCAATTCCGGGCTCAGGTAGAGGCAGGAAGTCTTATCGAGACTGTTTGTTGTCTGCTTGACCCCGATTCCGACACCGTCTTGCATCCTGTCCCGGAAAAAGGTGCACCGCTCAACAAGGAAAGACGGAAACTGGTGTCGTTGGAGGCAATGAGGGCGTGGATCGATGAACGAGCTCGCCGTGACCTAGAAAAGGCAGAAAAGTTCTGGGTCAAGGGAAGTTCGAGCCGTGAAAACGGGTGGAAGATACTGCATCATTCCTTAGCAGCGGAGTGCATTATGGGAGGGCTTTTAAGTTCCACAAAAACCACTTGTGCTCTCGGAGACCTTGTGTTGACGACGTTGCAACTTCAGGAAATGGTTGAGTTGGGATGGCAGGAGAATGATAGGCAATGGTTGGAAATGGAATGGGTGAATGCTCTTGAGGAATACCACATTCGTATGAAGCTAGTCAAAGTTAGCTGGGGCTGATTTCTGCTGAGGAGAGTACCGTTGAGCGATGTTTTACCGATAATTTGCAGTGGAGTGTTTGCTTGCTTCTCACGACGATGATCTCTTGAAAACGAGTCGCGCCTCGAGCCTCCATGATCTCGCTGAGGCTCTGTGGTCACTGTCCATAGCCAACATGAAGCCCACCGAAAATCTCGATGAGGTCTCGAAATTGGCGCGTACGTAATGCCGAAGTAAACACCGTGATGGGGTACCACACCGCCAACGCATGTCTTCCTTCTTCTCCCTCTTCTGCTGCTGTGGCCACGACGGCGACAGCGCTAAGGCTGATGACCAGATTGACGAACACTCGCGTCTCATCCCGTCCAACATCGATGCTACACCGTGAGTCTTTGTTATTCAAGACGAGAAAATCTAACCACCCACTGCCACATAGAAGTCCCAGTGTCGAGTACACAGACCATCAAAGAATGCAAGAACGACTGGTTACCATCGTTCGCGCGAAGGAGAGGTATGTGTTATGGGTCTGCCGAACGGCGTTCATTTCCAGTCGGCTAAAAAGTTTGGTGTCACAGGAAAATGGTCAACCTCACCTCCCAAATCCCTTTCAACCTTCACAACCGCATAATAACGCCCAAATCATCGCTCTCCCGCTCAGTTTCCCTTTCTACTGGTCGTCCGGAACCTTTTCACCCCACATATGACGTCCGCGAGCCGTTGACGGTTGAATTGAGGTCGGAAGCACTCCCAACCGATAAACCACGAAACGTTTCGGACTCGCACTCGCGGGAAGTCTCTATTGCACGCGACCCAGAGCAGCCACGAGAGCCTGTCTTCAATGTCCGATTGGTCAAACCTGAACCGACTGTGCCCCAAAGAATAGGCCGACCAAGGCATCGCGCTTTTGGCTCCCCAACGCCGAGTACCAGAAATGCAGAAACATTTTCAGATGCGTCCTCAGTGAGTAACATCTTTGGATTACTTTCCCATCAGCTAAATTTGAACGACACTTGTAAGGCACAGGTACCGTCCCCATCTGACATACAACCGCTGGACGAAATATGTTGGAACTGGGGCGACCCGACGCCTTCACCGGAAAACTAGTGACGCACTAGCACTTTCTCTACGTACACCCGCATTATCACCTCCTGCATTCAACCGCATATTTTTCTCCCCTCAACTGTTCTCACCATTAGATATAATAGATGCGCATCGTAAATTTTGGCTTGTTGGCCTATCGCCAACAACGGCATAAGAGGCTCGCGAAAGCGGCAGCCTGCTTGAAGCTGCTTCTGGCCATCGCGAACTGTCTGAGGCTTTCACAACTGACCTCTTCGACCTCGACCCTACCAAGATCTGCAACCAAACGGAAATTTCCCACCAAAGTTCTCACTAAATTCAAGATCTGACCGCCACATCTGGCATCGTAAACTTGTTCGACTTGCAAACGCATGCACCGTAGGGAGACCCATCCAGGTGTGTGTTATCGATTCTTCAAGCCTCTATCTATAGCTCAATGACTGTCCTAGCCCAAGTTGTAATTTCACGCGTTCACGCGGATGCGCATCATGAAGGCAGCCGATACGTGTCTGAAGGCTCCAAATTTTTTCCATATATGGTCGAGAGGCTCCACCAAATGCTCTTGCACCAGCGTTAACTCTTATGGCACAACAACACTTGCAAACAACTGCTCCTGCAATCAGCTGTATTCTAGGGCCCTTACTAGACATGTAACAGATCCATGGACGTGTCCAGATGGACCGTGTGACAACGGTCCATGAGCTCTTGCACTGGTCTCATACCCCGACATTCTTTCCAGTGGCGCATATTATAGCACTTCGGATTCTACTTAATTTTTTTCCAGGATTGAGTCGTCTGTAACGACAGCTGGTTGATGAGACTGCGTTCTTTCGAGAATCGCTCGCTGCGGTCCACGATTTGAGTGTTTGGCGCAGGGATTCTCTCCACATCCTCCAGTCACCATTCGGCCCTGTCGACAGCTGACACCCGATGCTTCGACATTCAACAAAACCAACAATCACCTCGATGCCTTCTCTCTGTCTTCTTTCCCATGGAGCGAGTGTTTTTCCCCGCTCTCGCTCTAGGCATCGTACGTCTCCTCTCCAATCCCAAAGTTTTTTAATCGCATTTGCAGGCCACCCATGTCGTCTACAATCGGTATGAACCGAACAGCGCGAACACTGTTATTCCGGTGCTATTTGCTCTCCCACCCGCACTTGTTTCTCTTCTCAATTTGCCGCTTTCCATCGCAAATCTCAGTTCGAGCTATTTCACGTTTCTCACCTCACTCAGTCTTTCGATTGTCATCTACCGGCTTTCCCCATTTCACCCACTCGCGCAGTATCCAGGCCCCGTCCTCTGCAAAATCACTGAGCTCTGGACGGTTTGGGTGGCTTATACTGGCTACCAACATCGATATTTTAAAAAGCTCCATGACCACTATGGGCCTTTTGTTAGAACAGGTGTGTTAGTCAGTCCCTTCTAATCCACGTATATATGTAAAACCTCCAATAGGCCCGAATGAGCTTTCCATCATCGAACCACAGACCGTCTCTCAGATTCTTGGTGTGGGGGGACTGGATAAAGGTCGCTGTAAGCGTCTTCCTTCAATATTCAAATGCCGTATCTGAATCTTCCAGACACTGATGCTACTCAGCCTCCCGATGCACCGCGCACTGTCGTTACAATATGGGGCGAAGGGCATACTGCCAAGCGTCGGGTTTGGAATCGCGCCATGACCTCTGCCTCACAGCGCAACTACGACCCATTCCTCATCAGACGCGCCAGACAGCTCATGTCCCATCTTTCCACAGCAGCAGATGATGCTGTGGACATGGTATTTTGGTTCGAGTTGTTCTCGTGAGTGTAACTCGTCTCAATTAAACCTGCATCGCTTACCTTTGAGCTTAGTTTAGACCTGATGGGTGATCTTTCGTTTGTCAGCCCTATGTTTTCACAACTTTTGATTCACACTTGTTACCTAGATTCGGCGGTCCGTTTGAATCGATGCATCAAGGCAAAGACCAGGATAGCCTCGGAGAGCGCATTCACACGTTTACATGGTAGGTGGGGCAGTAATAGCTATGTTTTCATTGTCTCAGAGGAATCCAAGGATCTTCAGTATCACAGGAAAGATACCCTGGATCCTACCGACTCTCAACCTGTTGCCACAAGTGGCCAAAATAACCCGGGAAGCTAACGAGTATGGGCGAACCCTAGCGATTCGACGAATGAAGAATGGCCCTGGAGACGCTGGATCAAAGGATTTGTTCTATCATCTCGTATGTTGTCAATGCTTCCTGTGATTGTGCTGAAGGTGTTCCAGGCCGACGAGGCTGGAGTGGAGAATCAACGACCAACCGTTGAAGAGACTGCAGCGGACGGAATCGTCGCCATCATCGCTGCATCTGACACAACTACTTCGGCTATGAGCAGTCTTGTGTATTTTCTGCTCAAACATCCCAAGACGTTCAAACTCGTGCTTGAGGAGCTTGACCGAGTCTTTCCGGATGGTGACGACGAAGAGGCGCTCTGCGATTTCGCCAAGCATCAGCAATTGGAGTATCTCACTGCTTGCATGTGGGTGGTTTGTTGATCCCGATTGCCAATGTCTCAATGATACCACTAGTAACGAAACGTTGCGATTACATCCACCACTTTTGTCGAATGGTGTACCACGAGAGCTTCTCGAAGGGCAGCCGGAGCGGATATTTGGGGGACTCCTTATAGATGCAACTCTGTCTCTCAACGTTCATCAGGATAATACCTCCGGGCACTACCGTCTATATGCCGAGCTACTCAATGCAGCGCAGCCCAGACCACTTCTCCCAACCCGATGACTTCCTGCCTGAACGTTGGCTGCCAAACTCGGCGTTGGCTCAGCACGAAGCCGGCGCATTTGTTCCGTTCTCGCTTGGCCCGGCGAACTGTGTCGGCCAGAAATTTGCCCGTCGGGAAATTCTGGTTGTGCTAACATTGCTTTTCAAGACGTTCGATGTGGCTTTTGCGGAGGGGTATGAGGATAGCGAGAAGTGGGAGGATGGACTGCTGGATTACTTCGTCGTCGCAAGGGCACCATTGAGAGTAAAGTTGACCTTGAAGCGGGGTCTATAAGTAACCCGGTCGATTCCTCCCTCTTCACTTCTGTGGCGCTTAGACTATTCTAGCAATACCCCATGTACGGACTGGGGCTCCGCGGAGACAATTTTATGACGTCCTTTTACAGTCTCTCTGTCATCCATCCCATTCAGCCACAAGCCTGATCTAGCAGCGTGTTTTACAACTCCAAACTGAAGACTGTCAGCTGGAGCAGGCTGGAGCGATATGGCGCCACCCATCTGGTACCCAAGGGTGCGCGAGTTGATTCTTGATGCTATCACGATAAGACTGCACACACCAAGACAAAATTAATTTGACAGCCGAGGTGCGCACCGTATTCTCTTTTGAGCTGGATTGGTACTGATTACACGAGTAAGTACTTCTCGAATCTCATGACGTTATGATGAGCGCTTGAACTCTCATGTGACCGCGTTCTTGATTGCGCGCAACCCTTCTCGATAACAAGATTACGTGCTCTGAAATCCTTCTGTCATTCAAGTAGCCACTGAACGACGACCAGCCTTGACTATCGTTCACTTCTAGCTGGCTTTGTAGCGCCAATTTGAATTCATCCTGACTTTTCGGACCGCAAATCATGGTCATGGCAGCTATCTGAGCTTCTTTGTTGCTTCTCTACATCTCATCACGAAGTCCCCATTTTTCCAGCAGAATCGACCCATTTGCCACCTTCCACCAAAAAACTCACCTCCTCCTACCGTGTAGCCTTTGATATCCGGCTGAATCTTCAAATATTGATTCCGAAATTCCACGCTTACAAGTCACGTAAATGTCGCAGACCTATATCTACCCGGCCTCAGCTTCAGGCACCTCTTCCTGCCGCCCAATAAATACTGCAGTGGGAGCAACTGCCGCCCATCCCCTGCTTGGTCATGGAGGGGTCATTAATCCTTGCCTCAGTTGCCCTCGGCATCGTCCGTCCCTTTCCCGTTTGTTTTCATACGAAGAGTTGACTTGCTAACAGGCTAGTCATGTCTGTTTCAATCGATACGAGCCTCGCAGCGCCAACACGGCCATCCCAATCCTCCTCTTACTCCCACCTGCGCTCCTCCTTCTCCTTCACCACCCAATAACGACTGTCAGTGTTGCATGTGTTTATGTCGCGTTTTATGTCTCCCTCTCCGCCTCCATCGTCATCTACCGCGTTTCACCTTTCCACCCGCTCGCCAAGTATCCTGGGCCTCTCGTATGCAAAGCAACCAAGCTATGGACCTTGGGAATTTCGATTCGTGGCTACCACTACCTTTATCTCAAGAAACTCCACGATAAATATGGACCATACGTGCGAACAGGTCAACTTTTTTTTAGACTCTATTGGCTCCAGTGGCTGACCGCGATGTCCACTAGGCCCAAATGAACTCTCCGTGATTGATGCCCAAGCAGTCATTCAGATCCTGAATAGTGGTGGACTCGAAAAAGGTCGCTGTACGTCGATTCGTCCATTGTTTAGGTCCTATTCATGGTCTTCTACCAGACTTTGAAGGAGGGCGTCATGCCAGCACTCCCCCCACCATTGTCAGTCTCGTCGGTGATGCCCATACCGCGAAACGCCGAACATGGAACCGGGCGATGACTTCAGCCTCGATCCGTGAATACGACCCCATGCTTCTCAAGCGGACCCGTCAATTGCTGACACACCTGGAAACCACCACGGAGGCAGTCGATATCGTGTTTTGGTTTGACCTTTTCGCGTGCGTTCTTCTGCACAGTTCCTGCTCGCGTAGTTCGCTTACATAAACGTTCAGCCTAGATCTTATGGGTGATCTCTGGTATGCCCAGTTTTTTTTGGCAGGGTTGTTCCGGCTCTGACGTCGGTAGCTTTGGTGGAGGGTTTGAGTTGATGAAGGAGGGCAAAGACAAGGACCGCATCGGAGAGCGGATTCGCACTTTTACGAAGTGCGTTAGGACCTCACCCATCTTGGAAATCATGCTGATGTTTTTCCTTCCAGGGCTTCGACGATATCGGGCAGAATTCCCTGGATTATATCAACGCTACATCTTCTGCCCCAGGTCGGAAAAACTATTCAGGAATTCAATGATTTCGGTCAGGCGTTAGCCATGCACCGCATGCGGAATGGCCCGCCATCGGGGGCGAAGGATATGTGGTATCATCTAGTGGGCATATTTCTCTTCGTTTTTCCTCTGCTAAGCTTGTAGGCGGATGAGGCCAACCTCGAGAAAGACCGCCCAACGCTAGAAAGCTCTGCGGCTGATGGTATTGTTGCCGTAGTCGCGGCCTCCGACACGACTGCTTCCGCAATGAGCAGCTTGATCTGGTTCCTGCTGAATCACCCACAAGCATATCGGCGTGTCCGTGAAGAACTGGATCGGGTCTTCCCAGAGGATGTGGATAACGTCGATGCGCTTTGTGACTTCGACAGACAGCAAGAGCTCAAATATCTGTCGGCCTGCATGTAAGCCTGTGCAGCTTTCGTCGGAGGGAAGCTGAATTTGGACTCCAGAAACGAAGCATTGCGTTTGCACCCACCGCTACCCACTAATGGTGGACCGCGACAGGTGAAGCTTGAAGAAGACGCGCGCATCATTGCTGGGAGGTATGTTGGCCAGCGGTTTATGTCCCTAACTTCCAACAAACAACAGAGTGCTTCCTCCGGGGACGAGCGTCTACACGCCGACTTACGCAGTCCACCGGCGACCCGAATACTTTTCCCAGCCCAGCCTCTTCCTCCCAGACCGCTGGCTAGCCTCGTCGACAGAGAAGCCGCGGTTCAACATTGCAAACCACAACCCCGCAGCCTTCTTCCCGTTCTCGCTGGGCCCCGCCAACTGCATCGGCCAGCGATTCGCACGGCGCGAGATGCTCCTCGTGATGACGATGCTGTTCAAGACGTTCGATATCGCGTTTGCGAAGGGCTTTGATGACCGGCAGACATGGCCAGAGGGAATGCAGGACTTTTTCGTGGCCACCAGGGGCCCGCTCCGCATTCGTGTCTCCAGGAGGACGTAGATGGTTTACTTACTTATAATTACGACATCTACGTTCCACGTGTATATTAGACTGTTTGTAGCGTTTTATACTGCTTTGCATTACGATCATGTGACCGCGATATAGACTGATCCTGATTAGTCATGAGGCTCAACGAAAACTACTATCAGTTGGTGTACTTGAGCAGCTGCAGGAGTGCATCGAAAGTTGTTGTTGTCGTGGTAAGTTACTACCAGGTAAGTAGAATCGTTGGCCCGGGCCGGCCATTAATTGATTAGATGCTGAACATTTCAGGGCCGCCTGGTCTTACTCAATGTTTGTGGCCAGTCATTCTTACGCGCCAGGGAAGGCTAAATTTCAATTATCCACAAACCTGTTCGATTATCCACAAACTTGACGAGACAAAACAACTCGACTATGTACTGAGTCCATTCGCAGCAAAAGACCCGGTTTCACCCGGGCCCATCCACGACGTCTTTCATGCCTTTAGAGAGCAGTCGCGCCGACAGAGGTGGCGACTTCATTGGTGAAAAGGGAGGCGACGCCGGCAGCATCCTGGAAGCTGCAGAAGATCTTGGCTTGGGCTAGAGGGTCACGTGGTCAGAAAGGGCCTTCACGCTATTGGCGAACGACGTACTCTCGGTGTTTTGGCCCTGGAAGTTGCCAGGCTGGACTTGGAAGTAGCGGAAAGTGAGTCCGGCGCCGAGGGCGGGGGCGTAGGACGCGCAAGCGTTACCGAAACTGTGTCAATATTAATCAGAAGCAGTTGGGCACGTGTGGGGCGAACGTACGCAACAGCGAAGCTGACTGGGGTTTCAGAGCTGGGGAGCTGGTACAGCAGACGGTTGTCGGCGGCAGTGGCAAAGCCAACAACCGAGGCAAGGACAGCAAGGGTAGCAGAGAAGCGCATTATGGGGTCGTTGATATGGGTCGTTGAGAGGATGTGAGAAAGAGGCGGATGAGGAATGCAGACTGGACAGTGAGTGCCCTTATATATGCCCCACGAGACGGAAAGAAGTCCCCGCCGTGAGTTGTCGGAAGGGCTGGCGGCGAGACGCCAAGCTGCATGGAGGATTTGACCGGCCTGGTGGTGTTCTGGGAAGCAACACGGGATCTTCGTGAGAACTTGCTGATCGTCTGGTAGATCCTTCTGAGTCCATAAGAAGGAGAGAGTCCAGGAGACTGAGGAGGGAGATGGCCATGTAAGTCGGTCTGGGTAAACTTTGAGCTACATGAGCCAGCAACCTTATGGTCAGTGTCACAGCAAAGACAGAACAAGGCTTCACAATTCATTCGCCTAGCATTCAACAGGCGAGGTCTTGTCGGTGACAAAGTGACACTGACAATTGTCACCAAGTTTTCGGGAAAACTATGATGTTGTTCATATCGACGGCAAGCGCATGGGTCATGATGGTGCAGCATTTCCGACTTTCCGTTTATTTCAGTTTCCCCCGTCGACACAAGCTTTCCTTTCACCCTCTGGCACGCTCTTGTATGCCCCCACAATTTTTTGATCCAGCTTCTCCCATTGACCAAGCCGCGCGATGCTTTTGACGTCCAAATCAATGACCGTTACCGTGCCTTCTGGGATGCGGACCACAACTGAACAATCTTTGAACGTCGCGGAAAGTAGATGAGCGAGATGGTGGTATCGAGTTTGGTCGGGGAACGCCGATGGTGAGAGCGTGTAAGCGGAAATGAACGCGTCCCATTCGTCTAGAGTCGGCTCTGGGCCAGGGGAAGAGACGTCAGATATGGAGGCTAGCCCTTCGATGTCCAGAGCGTCCAATGTGCGTTGGAGACGGGACAATATGCGCAGGACAGGAGATTCAAGCAAGAGCGCGAGGAGAGAAGACACCACTCTATCCTTTTCTTGCAGAATGGTAGGTTTCTGACAACGGTCAGTAGACACACGAAGAAGAAACACCGATTTACCTCGGCTGGCTCGCTCTTGTGTCCATCCACAAACAATCTGAGGTTGTTAACTGCACCCTCGCTCGAAATCCAAGCTTCCCACAAGACTTCGAGTGCATGTCTGACTCTTGTCTCCTCCCCAGAGTACAGATCAAGCGGGCAATACTCTGTCGCAACAACTTCGCCTTCCAAAGTCCGCAGATGGGAGTGCATGCAGAAGCGACATGTTCTCGTCTTCAACGCACGACTTTCGTCAGAAAGATGGATAGGAGATGGCAAGAAGCCCCATTTCGGCTAGTAATACTCCTGAGCAACGTCAGTGACCTGAGGAAGCTAAATGCACCTTGATTTCAACTGCGATGCCCAGCCCACTAATTAAATCGGTGGCCAGCACTGCGCGTGGATTATGGACGTCGATATGGTCTTTCAGTCGTCTCTTTGGAGGCCGCGATGCCTCTGTTTGGGCCGAAAGTGTTTCCAACCATCCTGTTGCGTCCGAGTCTAAAGTTAGGAGTTCCAGTTTAGGAAGGTGCTCTTGTGGAAGGAGCCTTGTGATGCATCTTTCGTGGAAAATAATGTTGAAATCGTTATTGTCGATGGCGGGGCTGATTGAGCCCACAGGACACTTGCGCAATCGAAGGACCTTGCGGTCAAAAAGCTGGCTGGGGGGACCATGATAAGAGAAAACGATAGTTGCGCCGCCTTCCGAAACGTAAGCCCAGTCGGTGGGATCGCTATCGAGGAGAGACATAAGTAGAACTGCCAAGGAAGTTTTTCACGATCACGTGTTCTCTATTAATAAGATCTACTAGGTACCTTAAGTTACAGTGTACAATCACGTAGCTCCCCAAATATTCTATCAGTCGCTCTCTTCCCAAATCACCCGCGACCCACCCCTGGCAGCCAGAAGCCGCAGTTTCCTCCTTTCACGCCAAGCAGCCAGAGCGCTGAGCAGAATTGCTACAAAACACGCGCCGGTTGTGAGCGCGAGTGTAGCTACATAACAGCCTCGTCCCTCCAAGCATTGTCTGGCCCCACCAGCTACCGCTGCAACGGCTCTCGTCGTTGTTGTCTCCCCAGGCTCATGCGCGTCCAGATTACGACCGAAGGCAATGGAAAACAGATTCCCACCTGCTAGCGGCGACAAAGAGAGATACCCCCAGTTTTCCGAGAAGTGGGCTATGATCTCAGGTTAGAAAGTCTCCTTCCCTTAGAAGATGGCACAAACATAATCCGAAGAACTCGATGCAAACAGTCGGAAACAAGCCAAAAATCGTCCCATACGATAGACCAACCAGGACGCTGGCTTTCCACAAATCCTCGACTCTGGTTATTTGAACTGCAAGCAGTTGCGAGAAGAAAAACAAGGTCGAGACAATGAGCAGGGAATATGACCGCGGGAGACCGAAACGGTTTTTTATGCTGTCGGAAATCAGGCCAATGAGGATTCGACCAGCGAAATTCATGATGGAAATGGTAGAAACTTGGGCTGCTTGCCACTTGGATGCCTCAACCTCGTCGTATTCTGCGTTGTCTTTCGCATAGAGAGCCTGGGACATGGAACCGACATTGTTGATATCTAGACGGCGCTCAGTATGGTCGGAAGAGATGCAGAAGCCACTCACACATCAAACCAGTTCCACTCACTAAATAAATATTGAGTAAGCAGAAAGAGAAAGGGTGGCTGTACGCACACAATGATAACGTCAGGAAGAGTAACCAAAAGTCAGGATCAACCCAAAGGGCGCGACCATAGATATTAGGTCCTTCAATGATATCGGCCTTTGCCCTACTACGACTTCGGGAGTGGGAGTGAGTGCGAGGCGACGAGACGGACAGGCTACGTGGCGGGCTTAGTTCAATCCCTCTTGCGTTGGGAACATACTCGTCGCCGTTGCTCGCTGCGTGGCTTTCTTCGAGTAAGGGGGTGTGACTCTCGTCTGGATGGTGGAAGATAGTTGCCTCTGCTTCAGCAGTTCCTGCGGTCACGACAATGTGGTCCATATCGGCAGCGGAAAGTGGAATAGCGCGAACGAAGAAAAAACCGATGACTGTGGTGAAAGCCGTACCACAAGAGAGAAGGAGCAGAAAGGATGATGTATCACCAGGGAAGAGAAAGTGGGCGATGGTCGAGAAAAAGAACGCGGAGAGCCCGAATCCAGACAGCACAATACCAGTAGTGGTTGCGCGCTAGAAACCACATTAATGATGTCGTCGTGATATCGACTACAGGAAGAAGCTGACCGCTTTGTCTGGAAATGTTTTTGCTGTCGCGTTAACGCCCCCGGTGAACGCCGCATTCCCTCCCGCGCCAGTCATGAAACTGCAAAGTATAAGAAGGCCCAGACTGACAGTCGATATCGTCGAGCCATCCGGAACTCCCGTATTGTAGAAATGACGGATTCCGGTATAGCCTCCAAAAAAGGAAGAAGAACGCGACGAAGATTGGTATACGTGGCCCTCGGGAGTCGACAATTTTGCCCCAGAATGGTCCACTACTGTACACGCCAACTGAATGACCGAATAAGAAAGAGCGCCAAGGGCGAGTTAAGTGACGCACTGTTGGCGGCGAGGCCAATAACATTGAGCTGGGTATGATTGATATTTAGGCGAGCAGCCAGTTGAGGGGAATACGCTGCATGCCCGCTCATTCATTTGATAAGATTCGAGAGAAGACTGGAAGCGCTACCAGAGAAGACCTGTGAGAGTTAGGCGGTCAGACGGAGGTTAAAGAAAGTGATAACGCAGCGCACATAGTTGGTGCCAGCTCCTACTGCGACAAACAGTGACGCAAATAGTGTGGTGAGTCTAGGGACACTGAGGAGTCCAGGGATGGTTGAGGGTGGTGTCATAAGGAGAGAGCAGACCCGCGTTGGAGCATGCGGGAGAAAAGAATGTAAAGTTGCACAGCAATCAACACGTGACCACGTCCGAATTACCACCATCTGCCGAACAAGATGCTTTTTTCGCTTCCAGCTCTCGATTAAGTACTACTCAGTAGACGAACGACTTGTGCCAATGCCTCTGACGGAAACAAATAAACAGTTTGACCGCGGCTTTTCTAGTTTCGTGATGTGACTTCACGTCTTCCACAACTGCCATCCTCCAAGGGTATGCCCCAATCTCCATCGCTGCCAGTACTTCAGGCAAAGAACCTTTTGAGATGCCTTCATCCGTTGACTTTACTCATCAAGCCACAATAGGTTTTCCCTGTTTCGACCCTTCCCAATGAAATCGTGTCAGAAATCTTCATCCACTATCTCCCAATTTATCCTACTTGCCCACCTCTCCTCGGCGACGAGTCTCCGACAAAACTGACTCAAATATGCAGCCTTTGGCGACAAATTGCTCTGTCAACGCCAGAACTATGGCGAGCTATATCTTTTTTCACGCGTGATGACTTGCCCAACTTACTGCAAGTCTCCTTGGTGGCACTTTGGCTCCAGAGGTCTTGCACTCTCCCCGTTTCTATTCGTATGGGATCCTGCGGCGCACATAGTGAATCGTCCTATTGGCGGCCTCTCCGCAACCGCGGGCTAGAATGTCTTCTGGCCCACTCTTTGCGCTGGGAGTATATCATGATGGACGTTCCTGATGATCCTACCAGCGAGTTCGGATACAGTCGTATCGAGGGAGAGCTACCGAATTTGCTTGAGCTCGACCTTCGATTTGGGTCTGGTGTCTCTTATGCAAACGCTATTGTTGGCCCTATCGAGGCCTCACGTCTGAGGACACTTTACCTGGATTGCTGCGAAACCGAGCCGCGAAGGGTCGGCTTCTCATGGCGTCAGCTTACCACACTATTCCTCGATTACATTGGGATAAATGCGGCCGCTCAGGTGCTCCTTGAAACTACCAGTCTAGTGCACTGTTGCCTGAAGTTTGATCGCAGAGATAGTTGGGTTGGCCAAAACATATACCTTCCTGCGCTGGCGAGTTTGGTTGTGGGTAATCACAGCAGCAAGAAGCAATGCATCATTGACCTACTTGCCATGTTCCGAATGCCGGAACTTCAACGATTTGGGATCTCACAAGCCCTTTTCTACTCCTTGGTCGACGACTCTGATATAACTCACACTCCTCAGACTCTTGTCGCAGTGTTCGGGTGCAAACTGCAAGAATTGTGTGTTATTTCTTCGAACGAGAGACAGGACGAATACGCAAGCCGCAGTAGCATTCCAGGTACTACAATTTATTTTGCTGAGAGTTGCGATGGTGACGGGTGGGGACGTTGGGATGTCTTGCAAATTTAGTGCTGCGAATGTGTCTGACAGAAACAAGTGGATCGAGCGAGATTTTTCTTGATTGAAAATGCCCTGTTTAGTTTAAAGTGTTGCCTTGCTTGTGGTTATGGTAAAATGAGAGCCCAACCACTAATAATGGCTTGGAATAAGTTTAAATTGTATCAACTGAAGAGTCAATTTCTATGAAGTTTTTTATTGTAAACAAATGCCACAAGCTACTTGTCAATAAACAACATGCCAGTTAATACTACCAATGGTTCTCTATATATTAACTAGTTCCTTTACAAAATTCTGGTATGGTTGGTGTTCCCGACACAATTTATGTGGTTATTGGTTTATGATTCCGAGGCAAAAAGAAAAAAGAAAAGCCAAAAAAAAAGCAAAAGAACATCTGCCGTCCACTGATCTTAAGACCGCTTTAGGTGACGTGGATCCACTTGTGTTCATTGGAAATGTCGGTGCACGAGCGAGGCTCGAACCGTGACCCATGGGAAAGACTCACGTTTGTGACATTCGGTTTGACCATGTAACCGTTGTAGTCAACGACTCTCACGCCGTCTAATCCTAATCATGATGCGTTCCGGATTCGGCACTTCAGTCTTCCTGACTTGTCCGCACACTACCATGAGCTCGATCTCAGACTGCATCCAATCCAGCGATATCTACCGCGTTACACAGCTCTGGCGAGCGCGCCAACTCGAGTCAACTGCCCCAATCCACTTTTCAGGCCGCGAAGCCACTTTCGTCAATCGGGCAGGGAACGACATTGCCATACTCTCGTCCGATGAATTGCTTGCAGAATATGGGTCCGGCCGGCGGCATATCAAGCTCGCTCTTGTCTCAGCACTCGCCTTGAGGTGTCCCCAATACCACTGGTCAATGCTTTCTGTCCACTTGAAGGTGCGTTCCTTACCCTTCCTTACCTCGCCCAACGCTACTACTGGCTAACCAATACTATTAATACTCAAGTCCATCGTTCAATCCCTTGTTCACGATGACTTCATTGCTTCACTCGCCCGACGGGTGAACATCCACGAAATCACTAGGCGTGAAGACATTCCTCCCACTCAACTCTTTTGCTTTCTCGTAGCGGCCGTTTGGAGGCTACAGTCCTACAATAGACTTGCCGCACAATCTTTCGTCAACGTCCTTTTTGCTAGCCTCCTCGAAGAACTTGAGAATATATTCCTCGGTGGAATCACAACCTGGTGTGTTTTGACATCCGACTGCGAGTCGAGCCTATCAATTCAACTAACTATTCTCCGACAGCCAAGTACCCTCCGTTGGCGACACTCAGAAAGAGGTGCAATTTATGCTTGACCGCATGGTGCTGGCTTCCCAAGGCTGGGTAGGGACTTGAACTTCAGATGAATGTCTGAGATTGACACACCTTCAGACCCGTACGCGACTGCGTGAACTGCCGTGAGTTCAAGTTTACATTCGTTGTCTTGTCCCAATTCACAGTTGATTGTAGTGACTTTCAACGCGGTATGTTAAGCGCCCCGGGGAATCTACACAGTTCGATGTGCTTATTTCCCTTCAGCTAGCAACGCATCCGGTCCGCGCAACCCAAAGAGACCCACAAGTAAGCAAAATGCCAAAGTATTGAAGACCAAGCGGAGTTCGTTACCCCACGGCATACGCCAGACTACTCATACCTTCCAGTTTGTATGTGTGCTTCAATTTCCCGACATAACATGCCTAGTGCCGCACCATCCAAACCCCTACCGTCATCAGGTACCTTCAAGCTCGTCGATATAGCCCATGACTCATACTCAGACCAGTGAATCAACAAGGCCAAATCCACAAGATCATCGATGAGTTTTTTGCCCCTCCGCTAAACTGTCCTATGCACCAAGGCCACGCCTGGCTTCAACCTGTTTCTCTTATTGTTCATGGGCAGCAACCTATCAACCTTTCAGACAAGACACACTGGGATCTCCTCCAGACTCTAGGTCGACAAGTTTTCGAAACGATTGTCTCTGCAATGGTATTCGACAGGCATTTTCCTAGAGCAGTTGGGACACTCGATCCTGAGGTCAGTTCAAGTTCCCCCTCTGCGTCCCAATAGATCGTGTTCCTTATTGTCTTGTTGCGTTCAGACGGTTATCTTGGCCTTGACCTCGGACATCACTTTCTTCCGTCTACTGGACAAGGCCGGAGTCTGTCCGGCAACAGTCAAGGTTGCAGCATCAACGGCCGCCAAAGCCTTCAAGATCTACGTGGGTGCTCTGTTCTGGACGGACTCGACACCATTTTCTGGCATCCATGAATGGCTGGGGCGACTGTTTACCCCTCTTATTGAAGAAATCAAGGCCCAGTTCACTGTCAAGGGTGTCGAAAGCAGAGGGAGATTTGTGCCCCGTGGGTCTGGAAAGGCACGATGGTGACAATGGTCGGCAAGGGCTATACTTTCTACATTTTTCGTTTTGTCTCGTTAGATTTGGGTCCTAGTAATTTTCAAATATGGTCATTCCTTGCGATAAGTAGTGTGACACTTTCAAGTTCTAACTTGCCTCCGACCATCGTCATCATCTCTTTAAGCGCACAGCTACTCTAGCAATTGTAGAGTTCGGCATCCAAATGGAACCCGTTATGACTCCGCACGTCTATTCCTCCCTCATTATTGTGGCATTCAGTGCTGAGCGTTGGCTACAGGGACGTTGGCTACAGGGACGATGACAAGTTCTCAACGCGACATCCTCACTCTGCTTTCTTCCGAATTGAGCTCACGCATCATTTGTTTCCTCCCCTTACCTGCGATTGCTGGCGCTGCTCTCGTCTCGAAATCATGGTTCACGTTGATATACGACAATCCGCTCATTTGGACCTCACTTCTTCAGTCTCACGACATGTTCTGGGGTTCAGAGGCCGCCTTCCTGCGTGCTCATAAAAAACTCCCATTTCCACATATGTCCCTCTTCAAATCCCGCTACTTGACCAAAGTTCGATGGACAACCACGCAAAACCCAGCCCACTGTTGCTTCTTCGCTCATAGAAGTAGTGTCGTCACCTCCCTCATTCTTTCCAGAGGCCGTATCATTTCCGCCTCCGACGACCACTCAATTCAAGTGCATGATCTCCTTTTGGGCCAGAAGACTCATACATTACAAGGCCACGAAGGCGGCGTATGGGCACTTGCTGCAACCGGTGATATGCTTGTTTCGGGCTCGACCGACCGCACTGTGAGAATTTGGGACTTGATTTCTGGACTCTGCACCCATGTTTTTGGTGGTCACATAAGTACGGTGCGCTGTCTGTCGATTGTTCACCCTGAATGGATCGAGATGGACAATGGCAGACGGGAGAAGTGGCCGAAAAGGGCGTTAATTGTGACGGGGTCGAGGGACCATACGTTAAGGGTGTGGACGCTTCCTAGACCCGACGACGCGCCGTATTCTTGTTTTGACGAGGGTGATCCAGAGGTTTGCTACTTGATCTGTTGAAAAGCGGGGAACTGAATTATTATTCTAGGATGCAGACGATAACCCATATCATCGCCATCATCTACAAGGACATGACCACGCCGTTCGTGCACTTGCAGCCCGCGGCAGAACGCTTGTTTCCGGCTCCTACGACTCAACTGTCCGTGTATGGGACCTCGTTAGTGGCGAATGTCGTTGGGTGCTTGCTGGTCACACTCAGAAAGGTTTTTGCCTTCGTTTTATGCCGACTTGCCTAACCTTTTTCTTCTTCTAGTTTACAGTGTCGTTCTTGACCCAAAGCGAGACCAAGCCTGCTCCGGCTCTATGGATGGGACTGTTCGTATTTGGGACTTGAAGACAGGGCATTGTGTTCATACTTTGACGGGTCATACCTCACTTGTCGGTCTTCTCCAACTCTCGCCGCAAACACTGGTCAGCGCTTCTGCCGACGCGACTCTTTGTGTGTGGAATCCTACAACCGGCGCCTTGCGTCACAAACTTTCTGCACAAACTGGCGCTATTACATGCCTCCAGCATGACGAATTCAAGGTCGTCAGCGGCAGTGATGGAACTCTCAAGATGTGGAATATCCGCGACGGAAGCGTGACGCGCGACTTGCTGACTGGGGTGACTGGTGTCTGGGAAGTAGTATTTGAGGGCCGATGGTGTGTTGCAGCGAGCAATCAGACGAGAGGGGGGACTGTCCAGACCGTGTTAGATGTCTGGGACTTTGCGGCTGAGGGTGAAGACTGGGTAGCAGAGCCGTCTGGGGGCGTTTATGATGAGGGAAGCGACAGCGGTGAGGGTGGAGAGGACGAACCTCAACCAAAAGAGGAAGCGAATTTGTAGTGATTGTCATTGGGATATGTATAATCCTTTTGGTTTTTGTTTCGTTGGTGTGATGTTATGGCGGCTTTGGGGTGTTTTTTTTCTCAGGTTGCAGATAGGGACAACAAGCTTGACTAGTGACTTCCAAGTACTTGCTTTTACGCCTACTCAACCTCAGATCCACAACTATTCATGCACTTCCTGGAACTTCCTGCCGAGGTTATATCGGAAATCTTCTTCCGGCCTACCCGCATTCCCCGCCGACTCTTTGGAGCAGGTTCTTAATATATGTTGGCTGGGGTGGTGGGATGCATACATAATTTGCCGAGAAGGAGAGGATTTCTACTGGAGTGAATCTTGTGACACGTGGACCGCCCGAGTCGGACGACGAGCAAGAATACGAGTAGCGCTCAGCGCTGGCCAAGCCAAACCAGCCCCCAAAAAACACCTTATTTATTCCCTTATGCATTATGATCCATGCCCATATTCTATGGCCCGACGACATCAGCGCAACCGGACTGAACAGCTGCGTACAGCCCATCCGTCACCTCCCCTTCTTCGCCATTTGCTACACCAGAACCCGCTCTGATCCCAAACCCGGCACACACCACCACCGAGCGGCCAGACGGAACCGGCGTCCCGGCCACCGCGTCTTAGTAGTTAGTGTACTTGTTGCGGTATATAAATGCAGAAAAAAAAAAAAAAAAAAAAAAAAAATCTTGTGACACGTGACCAACATTAGAATCGCACCCTCCTCATCCTCGTCTCGCCAAACACACACCGATTCGACAAAGTGCCGAGGGACCACAACTACAGAGTATGTACCTAGTTTAGTGTCGACCTTTTAGGTCGTATCGTTACCGCACAAATGACAAGCTAAACACGTTTCTTGTTCACCGCAGACCTCTTTCGCTCCTTCTTTCTTCACCAGCAAATAGTGCTGCTCTCCAATCATGTCCGACACCAAAGGCATTCGTCGGCGCGTTGCTAAGCAGCCCGAACCCGTCCCAGCCGTCGAAAATGTACCATTGGATGATAGCGGCAAGACCGAGAAGCCAATAGGCGGCCAGGTCTACGAGAAACCCAGTGAATTTGACTTGGTGCGCCAAATGTCTCATTACTTCTTATTCCACTCTTACTCTTGAGAAAAGGGCGACATTCTTATACAACATCGCGCCCACGTCACTGGCCTCATCTACACCGCTCTTTCGCTTTGGACGCGATTTCATCGTATTGGACACTCAAACAAGGTTGTATGGGACGAAGCACATTTCGGCAAATTTGGCTCGCATTACCTGAAGCGCGAGTTCTACTTCGACGTGCATCCACCACTGGGCAAGATGATTGTTGGGTTTGTTGGCCTGCTGGCGGGATATGATGGGAGTTACGAGTTCAAGAGCGGGGAGGAGTACCCGGAGAATGTCCCTTTTGTCGCAATGCGCATGATGCTTGCGCTGTTTGGAGTGGGAATGGTGCCATTGGCGTGGTACACCGGAATAGAGTTGGGTCTCTCGGAGTGGGCCTGCCATTTATTTGCGCTCATGGTGCTTCTTGGTGCGTATATCTTGTTACGGATTCTTCTCACTCTTGACCATCGCCATAGACCTTGGCTGGCTATGCATTTCTCGCTTTATACTTCTCGACTCAATGCTCTTGTTCTTCACGGTCCTCACGGTTTTCTGCCTGACCAAATTCAACAACCAGCAGTCCAGGCAAGTAACCATATTAGATAGAGCCAGAATCGCTGACCGATCTGAAGACCGTTCTCCTTCGGCTGGTGGACTTGGTTGTCAATGACGGGAATTTCAATCGGCTGCGCAACCAGCGTCAAAATGATTGGCCTTTTCGTAACTTCTCTCGTCGGTCTCTACACCATAGAGGACCTTTGGAATAAGTTTGGAGACGTGCAGATGCCTGTTGTAGGTTCAAGTTGTTCTTGGTGGTATATGTTTCTCAGTCATTACAGCGAACACAAATCAAGCACTGGGTTGCTCGCGTTTATTGTCTCATCGTCATTCCCATCATCGTCTTCATGGCTTCATTTAAGCTTCACTTCTTGGTCTTGAACGAGTCTGGCCCCGGAGATTCTCAGATGAGCTCTCTGTTCCAAGCGAATCTGCAAGGTAGCGAGCTTGCAACATATCCAATAGGTAATGCATAATGACAAATTCTGTATCGCTCTGACGGGTTTTCAGAGGTCGCATTTGGCTCACGTATAACACTGAAAGCAATGGGATTTGGTGGTGGACTGCTCCATTCCCATGCCCATGTCTACCCTGAGGGTTCCGGCCAACAGCAGATAACTTGCTATCACCACAAAGATAACAACAACGAATTCACCATCCTGCCCCGCTGGGACGAGCCGCCTATTGACGAATCCCAACCAATCCGCTACCTCACTCATGGAGACATCATCCGTCTTAACCATGATATGACGACCCGGAACCTTCACTCTCACTCAGTCCCTGCACCGATAACGAAGTTGCACCATGAGGTCTCGTGCTACGGCAACTCGACAATTGGAGACATGCATGACTACTGGGTCGTCGAGGTCTTGGATGACTACATTCTCGGTGGACAAGCCAAAGTGCCAAGGGTACGAACGCTAACAACGCGTCTACGCTTCAGACATGAGGTTTTGGGATGCTATTTGTTTGCGGACAACACGAATCTGCCTCAATGGGGGTGGAAGCAGATTGAGGTCAGTTGCATGCCAGACAGCGACGCGAAAGATATCCGCACGCATTGGAATGTCGAGGGACACTGGAATCAACGATGTGGGTTTTGTTTCATTTCAAACTTACCTATCAATTGACAATGTGCAGTGCCGCCTGGGGACAAATCCAACTTCAAGACATCTTTTCTGCGAGACTTTGTTGCTCTCAATGTAGCAATGATGAACTCGAATAACGCACTCATTCCGGATCCAGACAAGCAAGACATTTTGGCGAGCAAGCCCCTTGACTGGCCATTCCTCCATCTTGGTCTGCGGATGTGTGGCTGGGGAGACGATGATGTCAAATACTATTTGCTCGGCAACCCGATAGTTTGGTGGGGCGGGGGCATCAGCTTGATAGCCTCGTTCGTCACTCTGGTCGCGTATTTGATGAGGATGCAGAGACAGTATTTTGTCATGGGCGATGGTGAGTGCACTTGAAGCAGTGCTTCCAATTGATGACGTCTTTGGCAGTCGAATGGAATCATTTCTTGTATGTAAGCAAGATTGCTGGCTTTGGATGGGCCTTGCATTACAGTCAGTCATTCATTTCAGCGGGCTCTTTGACGCTTACCTTGGGTTAACAGTCCCCTTTATGGTGATGGGACGAGTAACCTATGTCCACCATTATGTTTGCCGACTCTTTCTTGTGTCCTCACTGGTACTGATGTGACCTCAGTTGCCAACACTCTACTTTGCTGTCCTGATGTTTGTACACATGCTGGACCACTTCATATTCTCCTCGCCTCGGTTCAACGCCACTGCTCGTGCCATTACGTTCGGGATCGTTGCGAGCGCTGTCATAGCCACATTCTGGTGGTTCAAGGGCATAGCATTTGGTATCGATGGCCCAATACGGGAACATTGGGGCCTGTCGTGGCGGAACGTAGGTGCCTGAATGCATGCTATCAACTTGGCGGCTAATTTTCAACACCAGACGTGGAATATTTATAATCAATGAAGAAAAAAAAAACGCTACTGGCGCTGGCTGCGTTGTCTATGGTGACTCGGACTTGTCTATACGTATTTGTGTATTATCCTATTCTTTATAATGTGGATTGGCTATTGAGTGCTAGGAAGTTTTTTTTTTTTTTTTTTTTTTTTTGAGGAATCACGTGATCTTCCCGACTTGGTATTTTGGCTGCTGGGTGGCTCACCACTCGAGCTTACGACGAGCTGCTTAACATCAAACACGCGGGACCAGGATTACGATCTCGACAAGCTCAAAGCAGTTCAAAATTCCCTTCACACCCACTTGCAATTTGCTCCATTCCATTCCGTCACCGTTTCACTAGACGAATCCATATCCGCAATAAGGCCCAGTAAAGCGATATAATCCCGCCTAAACCCGAAAAGCCCAAAACTAGTCCCGTGTAAAAATCGGCTTCTATTAGCTTTCATTGTCCCTCCTCCTTCCACGACTCTGAATCGTCTTGGTCTTCGATGATGATGACTTGTCCATCGGCAGTTACTATCCCCTTGAAGTCATCCGGCTCACAATCCGACGCTGCTGTGATGCACAAACTGTGGATGCGACAGTCGCAGCGAGTTGTGAATACCTCCAGGTAGGCTACAGGATCGATGGACAGGAATGATCTTGGGACCTGCAGTTGTTTGACAGCAGGGACGTGAAAATAGGCCAGAAATTGGGTCACGGGAGTGTTGGCCTCCGGATCGTAGAAGCTGTCGCTGCGCAATATCAGCGTCTCCAAGAATGGGAGCCGCACAACAACTGGCATTGGGGGGTCTTCGTCACACAGGCCCAAGCTACACCGAACGAGGTTGGTGGCCCGCGTTAAGAGGGGCAAGCACTGGCCCAGTGACTTGTGCTGTAGCGTGAGCGACGTTAGCTGTGACCACGGCAGCGAGTCGACAGTGCATTCGACATCCCAGAAGCGCACGCTCCGGAGGCGGGGGACGTCGTTGAGTTCGATTTCGTGGACCACGGATTCAACCAGGTAGACGTCCCACAGACTTTCCTCCCAGACCATGATCCGCATTTCCTTCAGCAACGGGGCCGGGCCACGGACAAGGGAGATTCCGTGATTGTCCACCTTGAGGTGGATGTATTCCCCATCTGGCGCGGTGGGGAACGATCGCAGTCAGCAGGTCAGAGACAACCGCTCTGTCCATCAAATCGGGGTCAAAGTCAAATCTAATCGATAGCGGTGTGGCGCCAGACCTCGCGAGCCATGTGTGCACGCGTTTGATAAGCACCGACTCGGAATCGGTGCCATCGTTCACTTGGAACGCGCGCCAAAGCAGAGGTGTCGACGACCCGATTTTTCGGAAGAGACGACAGACCGAAAGGAGGCGGGTAGGAGACTCGAGTCCGGTGAGTGGGGGACAAAGAGGGTAGACCGGTAGAGAATGGACCAAGATTTCAGATATGACTTCATGAGGAAGGGTCAAAATGGATCTGTTGCTGATTCTTCTCATCGAAGTTCTGGGAATCGTGGGTCAAAGTTCCCATTTGTGGGGGGGGGAGAAACTCACCCTCCGATTAGGGAGTAGCGAACCCGATGGTTGAGGATAAGCTTGAAATCAGGGCCCTTGATCGCATACTACTGGCGCTCGCGATCACATGCAGTGATAGGCGGCGTAGTCGTGATAATTAGAATGTCGAAGTTTTGGGACAGTGGAACTGTGAGAGGTATTCGTGGAGGCGTAGAATTTTCATCTGGTTGAAACAGCAGCCGTACAAGATGACAGGAAAGACAATATTAAGCACATGTTGATCCTTTTCCCTCTTTCATCATTCAGTCCAGTTGGTTGTGGTGAAGGAAGAGAAAGACCTAAGTTATCGGGCAAATCGGTAGCTTTAGCTAGCTCGGGCATGACACCGCACTTGGAATGAGTCGCCTGAGGGAAATAAAGCTACAAGCTCAAGTTTTGGAGAGCAATAAGCCGAGATCAACGGAAGCTCGAGCATTGCTTGTTGGAGGGTCTAGTTCCTGCATAAGCGCCATTTGGGTGGCTAAGAGGTATTTTGGAGGATGAGTGGTTTTGCGACATCGACTTCACAATGGACAAGTGTTGGAGCGGTGACCGTTGTGACAGTCTAGCGGCACGTGATGCCGCGAGGTGCTCCTCCCATCTCTGCCGATGAATTTGCGCGTTTTCTCAAGAAGTGCACTCCCTTACACGGATGGACACGCAGCATATGTACTTTTAAGCTTCCCCAGTTATTCCCATTCTAAATCTTCTTATAGCTGTAGCTAATTCTGGCGGGCCCGATTCCACTGCCTTGCTCTTTTTGTTAAAGCGGCATATTGACGGTGTACGCGCCAACTCTCCGCACTCGCTTCCGGCGCAGCTTTACTCACTCACCGTCGACCATGCTCTCCAACCCGAGTCCGCGAAAATGGCAAAATTGGCAGAGGAACGCGCCACCAGTATGGGCATTCCGCATGTCACTTCAAGAGTACCCTGGGGCCAAGATCCATTTCCTGAACATCCGGGGGAGGGAGACGCATTCGAGGAGACCGGCAGAGTCGTCCGTTACCGGCTTTTGTTGGACCGCATGAAGGAACTTGATTCGTACATCCTCGCGCTTGGCCACCACGGAGACGACCAGGTGGAAACTTCTCTAATGCGTCTTGCAAAAGGCACGACAGAGATCGGCGCTGGAGGAATGCGAAAGGTCCGACGTTGGGGCATGGGAATGCACAACAACGATTTGAACTTTGCTGGGATGGATGGAATGCGACGTTGGATGATTCGTCCCTTACTGGATTTAGGAAAGGTGTGTGCACTGGAGTCAATTTATTTTTCACTCATTTTCGTTTTTAGGAAAGAATTCTTGCGACATGCTATGCTAATAACCTCGAGTTTGCGACGGACACAACCAACTTCCAGCCCGAACTAACACTGCGAAACGCCATTCGAACACTGGTCTCACAAAACTCATTCGAACCAGAGGTGCGCTTTCTTGATGAATACTTAACCACACGCTGACGTTTCGAAAGTCGTTAGGGCCAAACATTCCTCTTCATATCCTCGATGGTCTCCAACAAATCAAGACGAATATATCCACCCTCCAGTCAGTGGAAATGGATCCTTCGGGCGGGTTAGATCATCTGCGCAGCGCAGTCTCCGTATTGTCCAACCAGTTGGAAGACATTGATAGTCTTGGTAAACTTGTCTCCGTGGTTGTGTCTAGAAAACTGACCACAGTGTAGTTGACAGTGGTCTCAATCGATGTCATCTTCCTTCGCCAGCAGGCACATATCTCGTCTCTTCTCGTGGGCTTGCGACTGTCAACGACCCCCTTGTCCAACACGCTTTGGTTCTCCGAATCATGCGTTACGTCTCGTTTTTCGCCTGGGGAACTATCCGCGCGGATGCTAATAGGCGGCGAGTTAGCATAGAGCGCATCATCAGATCTCTATGGACACCCGACCCATTCCAAAGCGGTGTCAAGCCTTTTGTTGCTGGTGGTGGGGTAGTTTGGACCCCCGTTTTGGTCACCAAATCGCGCCTTAAATTCCCCGTCAATAATGTCGCGCCAGTCCGCAAATCAGGCGATCTCGTTGGATGGTTAGCGTCCAGACAGGTTCCGTTTATCGAAGCACGCCTCCAAGCGCTTGGTATGCCGAATGTGCTCAAACGAGATATCACCGAGCAATTGCGCGCCTATCTGGCCATCCGACATGAAAAACCGGGCCAGATATTCGATTTCCTCTGGGACAATCGGTTCCTGCTCCATATCAACGTGGACGGCATTTCCGAAAAGATAGCTCGAGCGGTGTTGGAGGAGGGAAACCAAATATGGGTTTATCCCCATTCGCGATGGTTCTGGCCCAAGGTCGTTCAGTTTGACGCAACAGGGAGCGAGGCCAGCGAAACAGTCCTACACTCAACGTTGACTGTCCCCAAAAGGGGTATTGTACCGCTTGACAGGGACGTCATGCTCAAGTGGCCGCAGGCCTACACGCGGGACTTAGAGGAAATTACCGCGCCTTGGATAGAAACGGAGTATATCAGATCACTCTCAGCATTATAACTACAGCCTTGCACTGATTTTCCTTGCGATAAATGCCTCGATTATCTCGACCCAAACCTCCACGTCGAAGTATTCGTACCAACTATGGCCAAACGCCATAGTGGGCACCATTCCGCGATTGGGCCCTATTTCGACTGACTCTGCCCACGGAATCTTGCTTTTGATGTCTTGGGCGCTGTAGGGCGGGACAATGCGGTCCAGTTCACCATTGATGACCATGAATTTTATCGAGCGTGGCAGTTTTGCGTGCAGGTCTGTGAAGTCAAAACGGTTCATCTGAGACAGTAAATGACCGTCAATCGCGAGTGTTTTTTTCTCACCGCGCGCAGCTGCTTCCCTGGAAAACTCAGCACTAGGTCGTTTCAAATAGTTCTACGCACAGATAACATTGCTAGGCCTTTTCGAAGTCCTATGGATCAGCATTTGGTCGATTCTTGAAGCATTACCCGGGTCTGAAAGCCACACGGGGTCAAATGAGAGGTCCAGCATATGCCGTGCAATGTCCATCTTTTCCTGTTCCGAGAGCACTTTGGTGGGGGGAGGAGGTACTGGCAAGCCATATCGGGAATCGCGGAGCGGAGAGGGCAGTGAACCAGTGAGAAAGACGTGGGTTACCGCGAAAGGCAGCGGGGTCGGTCGCTCAGGGTGGTATGGAAGCAGGAGAAGTTGTTGGACGACGACGCCTGTGTTGGGGTTTAGAATCTTCAAAGAGTGCACGGGAATTCATGCAGACCGCCCATCGAGAAGCCACAGATGGAGAGCTCCTTCCATCCTAGGTGTTCAAGCAGTAGAAGCAAGTCGCGGGCCAGAAGCTCGATGGTGTGTTTTTCGTCGCGGTCGGCAAGCTCGGAATCGCCAATCCCCCTGGCAGCAGGTCAAAACAGAGAGGAACTGGTTGAAGACATGCCTGTGGTCATAAACAAGAACTTGACATTGCATAAGTGCACAGAAAGTGATAGCAAATAATGAGGATTGCCTGGCCGAACGCGTCCCAGCGCAGTAGACAGCCGATTCCAGTCTATTCTCCGAGAACTGACTCCACCCACCAAAACGATGGGCGACGCATGGTTAAGCTTCTCAGCGCCGAGAATGTCGTATGCCAGCTTGGCTCCGTCAGGCAGTAACAGTCGCTGAGTGGGCATTGCTGTCGTCGTTTGGTGAGGGTCCGGGATCAAGTTAGCCGACTGTCCAACACGGTCACGTGATCACGGATGACTGACTAAAGTCACGTACTTAACAGTGAACGGGGCCTGCCCTCAAACTAAGTATACTGAAGCGTAGCTGAAGTGTCCAGATTAGATGGTTTGAAACTGTGTCTACACCTATATATTAACATTGTTTCAAAAACTCCGTCACTACATCGTCCCAAACCTTAACCGGAAAGTAGAGCGTAAAGTTGTGGCCGAACTGGAGTGACGGGAGCATTCCGGGCTCGGTCCCCACTTGCACGAATTTCGCCCCACGGATACTGCGCAAAGTTTCCTACGAGTTCTGTCAATGTGCAGCACACAGAAACATGCGATCCTAAAGTACCTGACTGCATTCGAAGGGAATTATCTGGTCGGCTTCGCCATGAAGGACCAGCACGGGAAGTTGTTTTGGGATCTTGGCTAACAAGTCCTTGAAATCAAATAGTTGGAGCTAGACAGTTTTTCGTGAAACGGATACGAAGAAGCAGATGGATCAGGATACCGCCTTCCGCTGCCTGCCTACAGTTGTGCGTCAACGAGCTATATGATGGGAGAGCATTTCCCTCACTTATGGTGTGCAAGGAACGTGGCCTGTGAGTGTTGTTGGCGGTTTTATCATTCGTTGAGGCGCAATGCCTTACCTGCCAGAGATGACTCCTTGGATCATCGGTCCCAGATACTGCTTTCCGTATGCTTTAATCCACGCCGGGTCGACTGTGGCTTCAATCGTCTTTCGGATGTTTTCGTACCGTTCCGTGTCGGTAGGCGGCTTTGATGGTGGCTCTGGGACAGTTTGCAGGCTGCGGTAAAGTGAAATGAGACCCGGAAAGACGGTTACTAAATAGTATATTACCCATGTCGTGGATCGCTCAACACTTCGGACCGTGTACTCGCCAGAATGACGTGCGTTGGCCGGAAGACTAACGACAGAGGGTTCTGTGGCAAGTAAGGGAGCACCAGCATTTGTTGAACCACGACCCCTAACGCATACTATTCATCAACAGATTTATCTGGTACTTTGAAACCCACCGCCCATAGAAAAGCCCAGGAACGCAGCCTCCGACCAGCCGAGATGGCCTATGAGGTAAGCCAAGTCGCGTGCAAGAGTTTCGATAGTGAATTCGTCTCCGCCTGGATGTAGTCCGAGAGGGTGCTTCGAATCGCCCATTCCTCTGTGGTCGTAGATCAAGACTGGGCACTGAATTTAAATAACCTCATTGACAGGCGGGAAAAGAGACATACATACCAGGTCGCGATTGGGCAAACACAGGACTAAGCCGCACCCAGTCGGCTCGAGTAGACGCCATGCCGCAGACCAGCACAAGAGGCACCATATTCGTAGCCGTCAATTCGCCACCAAGAACCTCGTACGCCAATGTAGCGCCATCAGGTAGATTGCACGTCGAATATTGTGAGGTAGCCATACCCGGGACTAAGGAAACGCTAAACTGCAAGATGTTTGAGTTGTCTTAAATACCCTCGCCGGCTCTGTCCTTGACTGCCAGAGGAACGGGTACAATGCTCGCAGTTGTTTGGATTGTTGGACGGTTGCGGGTGCAAAAACGGGTCCAATAGCCCTAAGATGTCCCTGAATCTGCCATAAAGTCGCTTGGGGTATGGGCAAGGTGTGTGTCGGAGGGCCAGAAATTCCGAAACGCGCGTCGGACCGTGGAATGACGGGTTGAAGTGGTGCAGTGACGCGTCACTCATCACGCATCACAGGCTGGAAGTTGATGATCTGATACTCCTAAATAGTAAGACTCCTTCAACACAATCATCGTCGCAATGCAACATTCTCCCTCACAAGTCTCGAGTCCCTCCTCATCCACTCAGTCCAGCGTTACTCCACCAAAAATTTGCCGCTATTCCTTTCATCTTGATCTTTCCCCGAATGCTAAAGCTCCTGTCTTTCTCGAGCACACATATACTCTTTTGGCGTCAGCACTTCAGCATCTGTCTAACGACCCAGTCGGTTTCCGCTGCTATGACATGGTGTACAATTTTGTCTCCCCAAGTTTGACACGACACCAAGCACCCCTCCCATTTACCCCTGAGGTGGCATTCCAGTCCTATCTTGCCCAGGACACACAGCGGGTGTGCATATCCAACGAGATGGAGAGACCGGAAACTGGAGTAGTCATTTGGGGCGAAGTCAATGCCAATGAAACCAACATTACACCGACGCTCAATGGGGCGGTCGTCGAGAGTTACGAGGACACAGTGTGTCATATGTAGACAAGGCTTGACTCACTCCTTGTGCTGATCCTCTCTTAGTTTCGTTCGGGAAATCCCTCTCCTCAGACCCTCCATCGCCGGGCAATAATCGGCATCGTCCTGAGTGTGACGCTGTACCACGAGCTTGCCCATTCATGGCTCCAGCACATTCTTGTCAAGTTCATGAGCACGGATAAGATCAAGTTGTGGAAGAACCCTGGCATGGGCCACTCATTCGGCAAGGAAGTTGGAGTTCAACTGGAGGCAATGCTCTTCCACGGGTCATTTGCAGTTGGGTTTCACGAGAAGGAGGACAAGACAAAAATCGACCGTTTTGACCAAATCGACAAAATGTGGTTCAAGCCTGCATGTGAGTAAGAATACTTCTCAGCGTTGAGGTAGCTCATGGGAATATTAAGTCATGAAGGATATCTATTGCGCACCTGGTTGCACATCTTCTCCTGTTGTTCTGAACTTGTTTGCTGACCAAATACAGCTCTCGACAGCATCCAGCGGCTTTATGATGTTTTAGTTGGAATCGACATATCGAAGGATTTGACGAGCGCTATCAACCAGTTTATCCGCAGTGTGCCACAAACCGGTATACCTGCCAACAGCATGGAAGGCATTGTCTTCCGACTCATACCACCAATCGCTGAATCGAAGATGGTGCTGGTACCATTGACCTGCGGGACTCACATGAGGGACTAGCATTGAACAGCAGCATAGAAACTAGAGTAAGCGTGTAGTCCCGCATTACAAGTAGATATATTTCTGTTAGTCGTCATCGCCAAACTTGATGCTATGGCTCTGCATCTAAAACAAAGTCAGCCACCAAAACCGCGCAGACTCGTAGTCATGCACCGTTATCTCGCCACCACGGTAGCTCCCTCGCTTCTTCTTATTCTTCTCCTTACGGAAACCTGCCCCACGAGTGACAATCAAATCTTCGTGGGCGCGCTTGCCGTAGTCGTTTGACGGACCGGCCTGATAAAGCTCAGAAGTAGTGGCGGTAGGGCGACAAGACCGACCTTGTTTTGATATCGATTATCCATCATATACTCCGTTCTGACCTTGTCGGGATTGATGCGCTGGAAAGGTGTGTTGTTTTTTCGCTGCTGTTTGCCATTGCTACCCCGTTTGTTGGCATTGGCAGAGTTCCCGACCTCCTCCGCAACAGCCACAGCAGTAGCCACAGCATCTCCGGCCTCTGTTGTCCGGCGTTTCTTCGTCACCTGCACATTTTCTTTCGTGACAGCTGGCACCGATACGGGCAACAGTTTTTTGGCCTTGGTGGGCGGGACAACAAAAGGATCCGATTCCTCCGCTTCAGAGGAATCGGAAGATGACACACTCGGCTTCTTGGCCTTGACTTTAGGACTGGAAGATGCGGTCGAGAGCGTTCGACTTGAGGCGCGTTCGCTTGTCTTTTTGCGTTGGGGAATATCGGTATCGCTCGATTCGTCGTCTAGCGAGGTCAGCGGGATAAGCTCCATTGAATTATGCCACAAACCAGATTCTGAGCCGGAATCTTCGGACGAGGAACTCGATGTCGAAGTAGCTGACAGGATTGTTAACCCATTTTCCACTGACTATGATGCATTGCCCCATACCAGTCTTAGCCTTCGGCGCAGCCTTTACTGAGGCTTTTGGTTTCGCGTTTGAATCTGAATCCGAATCCGAGGAGTCAGAGCTGGACGACGAGCTCGAAGATGCTGCAATAGAATTCATAAGTTGTCAACCGTCACGGGTGAAGATAATACATGGTGTTGGTTTCGCTGTCGAAGGGCTAGCATCTTCATCGGAATCGGAAGAGTCAGAAGACGAATCAGAGCTAGACGAAGAGCTTTTGGAAGCTTTCTTGGTCGTCTGTTTCTTCGTGACAGGGTGGGAAGCTAATCGGGCGTCAGAGGCATAATTCAAGACAGTGTTACAGACGCACAATCCGATGATGAGTCGGAGCTGGACGAGGAAGAGCTTTTTGCAGCGGTTTTATTCGACTTTGCTGCTTTTTTGGACTTGGTGACCGGGGCAGATGAATCTGAGGACTCTGAAGAAGCTGGACCCTGTGAGAAGCTGACATTTAGTTGACACAGGTGACGCACAGTCAGAGTCCGACTCTGAACTTGAATCCGAAGACGAGCTAATTACCGCCGCATCGTCAATGAGTCTGGAAACAACAAATCGAAACACACTTTGGGAGCGCATCCTTCATCGTCTTCCACTCGCGTATTATCTCGTCAAGTTGAGGCCCATCGACATCGATATTGTCTTTGAGCACAACAACCTCCTTCGCGGCCTTTTTCAGTGCGGCAGCAGCCTTGGGGTGTGAATGTTTCGTTAGAAATGCATGAATTAAGGTATAAGTCGCTGTTTTCAGGCGGAATGAGCCGCACGCAGAGCCAAGCGGTGGGCAGGACGTACTGGCTAGGTTTCCAGCCTCCATCGAAAATTTGGCAGGGTCGGGAAAAGGTTCCGGTTGTCACGGTCACGCACTCTGTGACCCACGGGCTTTAGTTCCGTCATGAAGCGAAAGGTGAGCTCTTGGTTACTCGTCTGGCCTCTGCATGGCTTCACAACGCGCTAGGTTTTGCTTATGGGCGCCTCTGGGAGCGGCAAGACGTCGATGCGGTCTCTTATCTTGTATGTTCAGCTTACTCCGCAAATCTGGCCGGAAAAGCATTCTGATGACCCCATTTTCGCAGCGCCAACAACCCTGCTTCGTTGACCTCCCGCCTGGGCGCGACTATCGACGTCGAACAGAATCACGTTAGATTTCTCGGTGACCTCATACTCAATCTCTGGGACTGTGGCGGGCAAGACGCGTTTATGGATTCGTACCTCACCACCCAGCGCTCCACAATATTTCAGCAAGTCGGGGTACTTATCTACGTCTTCGATGTCGAGTCGCAAGAGATGCACAAAGACCTTGAATACTACCGGGACTGTCTGGAGGGGCTGCGGCAGTATAGCCCGAATGCTGCCGTGTTTCTGCTGGTCCACAAGATGGATTTGGTCCGCGACAAGGGGGTCACCTTTGACCGCAAGAAGCAGGAGCTGAAGGAGCAGAGCGATAAAGGATACCCCCGACCAACGGCCATAACGGTCTTTGGAACGAGTATCTATGATGAAAGTCTCTATCGCGTGCGTTTTCTGTGATCCATTACCCCCAAATACTTATCAGACCTTGCAGGCATGGTCAAGCATTGTCCACACATTAATACCCAATGCGGCAGTCCTCTCGAAACACCTCACAATGTTTGCAGCGGCCTGCTCAGCCACCGAAGTCATCCTCTTTGAACGAACAACATTTCTTGTCATCGCGACAAGCACTGCGCGCCCCAACGCCACCGACTCGCAATCGGATCTAGACCCGACACGTTACGAGCGCACTTCGGAGCTAATCAAGGCATTTAAGCATTCATGCTCCCGTGTTCGCGAGGAATTCCATTCACTTGAAATGGAGCTGCCTGAGTTCACGGCAGTCTTGGACGAAATGACGAAGAACACATACGTCTTGATTGTGGTACACGACCCAACAATAGGTTAGCACTATTCCCACCCTTTCCGTTTGTCTTATTCGTTTCGCAGAAACCGCTGCACTCAAGTTCAACGTTCGCATGGCCAAGAAGAAGTTTGAGGAGCTGCAGGGACTGACGTAGACCGTCTTCTCCCCGTTTCTCGAATTTGGGGTCGTTTTTTTTTTGTTTTCCCCCGAAGATCCGGATACCAGTACGATCCTATAATACTCGCAGTTATCTGTATCTAATAGCTTCCTGTTGTTATCACTAACGTTATTGACTGTACACTACATTCTTACACGACGAATTAGAACTCGATGTCTTTATGTCCGTGTTAGGGTGGAACAACATCGCTACATAGGCCTCGGTTGACCACTTGATTGCTCGTAATAGCCCAGATAACGAGTGGAGACTAAAGGTATGGTCTGGATAGGTCGTGTCCTGGGAGTCACTGTTGCAGTGGCATGGGTAATCGGTTGGTGAGAAGGGTGGAACAGATCGGAGGTCTGGTTATGGTAGTTTACACCCGCCATTGCGCTCTCGTTTCCAGGTTGTCTCGGTTGGGGAACGAAGTTGTGCGCGACGCCCATACCGCGCTGGTCGTAAAACGCGTGAATATGGGACTGCTGGGCGTGATACAGCGGGTCACTGCCCCACCCTGAGTCAGGAGAGACGTCAGGTCTCTGCGCTAATCCGTAGCTGCTGGCCCCATAATGCGATAAGAGACGTTGTGCACTCTCATTTTGACCGACATAGAAGCCGTCAGCGTGGTTCGGCTGTTGGTGGCCCAACGCCGAAGTTGACGACGATGCTATAGGTTGTTGATTCTGAGTGTTGCTGGGTTCGGGCTGGACTCTTCTGCGCTTGCCACGCCTCCCTTCGGTAGAGGCCCAAGCGTCGGATAATTCTCGCAAGTACGCATTCCGACCTTCTGTTTTACTGCGGGCGATGTCCACTGGCGTTGGCACAGGCAAGCCTCGAGTGACGGCCTTCTGGCTGCATATTGGCTTGTCGACGTGTTTATCACGCGAACGGCGGTCTTGGAATCTGGGAAATCATTAAAGTCGCATTATACCTTTGAAACGGTGCGTACTGGCTGAGACAGAGGCTACAGTAGAATTTCTTGTCGAGCGACGTGCTTCGTGCCCTTCGACCGGAACGAGGAGCGGATGCTGAGCCTTCTAGCGGTTGGAATTGAGCTTCGTGAAGGGGCGCCGGCTGATGGAGTGTGGAAGTGAGGGCGAAATCCGGGTATGGCCATGTCGCAGGTAAATCGTGGGACATCTTGGTTGCTGGATCAGTGCGGAAACCTCTGAGTATAAGGCCCTGCGCAAGAGCATCGGGTTTTTATAGAGGCCATTGTCTCGGAGGCTGGACTGGTTGGACGGTCTGAGCCCGGCAGGTCAAAAATTTAGGAATGGATGCTTTGATTCAAGTTGAAGAATTGCTCGTGGAGATGACTTGAGACGTGAAAATGGGTCCAAGTTTTTAACGAGTGTGGTTACCTGGTGGATGGGCAGGCAAATAATGATACCGAGGTCTCCGGGTAGCAGCCTAACCATTCGGGCAGCAAGGAACTCTTACTAAAAATTCCTCGAAGTCTGTTGAGGAGCGTTTGGGGCTGGATGGCCCAGGCGTTGGGTGGAGCCGGAATAAAGCGCGAACATGTTGAGATCCGTTCGCCATGACCACCGACAAAAGTAAAGGGCAGGAGCAGTTGTCATTGCGGGTGCACCGTCTGTTGACGGTTCTTGGTTTTAGTTGTGCGAGGCCCGGGTGACTCTTGGACGCCCTTTGACCCATCCAACATTGGCAACGCTCAATGCAGTTCAGTGTTAGTTCCCGACAGCGTCGGGGTCTACTTCGAACATGGCTGCGGTCAAAGCTGTTTGCGTGGAGTCACGTGCAACTTTGGATCTATTTCCCGATAGCCTCGTCGAAAACATGGTTTCACCCCGACTTTTCGGTCCAACCAGCTTGCTGCGCTATTCATTGCCTTTCGCCGCCCTCAATACGTGGCATCCTCCACGTCGCTTGCCGGCCCCTTTCGCCATCGGCTGGTGCTATTTCCCTGAAAGCAATATGGCCGCCCTTCACTGCGCACTCGATGTTTGAGTCGTCCGAGTCGCTATTTGCGTAGCACCGTGTTCATTGGGCGGTATATAACGACTCCGATGGGTCGTAGCGAGACCATGGCCAGCCACTGGAACAAGAATCAAGCCTGCTTCAATTGCAAGTGCGTTTTTTTTATGATTAACCTACTTTCGTGGCGGCTAAACTTGTATAGAAAACGCAAAATTGTACACCGTTCAAACCCTACGCCCATTCCTTCTGACTAGAAGTAGAAATGTGACATGGTCAAACCACAATGCGGACCGTGTTCACGCTCCATGAATTTCCAAGATTGTGAATATGCGTCCGCGGACGGCCCCTCTACTGTTCAACGACTACAATGTGAGTGCTTCCCAATAGTTTTGCTCCGTTTCTAAAGTTTTTGTAGCGGAAATAGCTGGCGTCTAAGCGCGCATCCGAGCCTTTGATGCGCGACCGGCATCACCTCTCGGTTCTGGCTTGAATATTCTGACATCACGTTCATATCTACCTCCTGCCATAGTGTCGTCTCGTGTGCTGGCACCATTACAAGAGATTTCTTCCAATGTCATGGACCGAATGTCAGTCTTAGAACGTGCCGTTTAACTTGGCATATTCACCATTTATAGGATTGCCAACTTCTTCACCCGCGCACGCACCCAATCGGGCTATTTTCTAGATATCCCCCGTGCAGCTATGTCCTATGCACTCTCCTGTTCCATTGAACTGTGGGCCGTCCATCTGACCCGAGCTGAATCCACGGTGCCAACACCAGAGGCCGAGTTCGAGATCCCGTATCTTCGCAAAACGCTAAGCGCGGCTTCTGATGCTCTCACCCCCAGCTCATCTCGCCCGCCACCTATTTCTCACATCATCCAAGCTCACGTCCTTTTGTGCAACTACTTCTTCCGAAATGTTCGCATTGTAGAGGGAAAGTATCATCTTGCGACGGCTGTAGGCCTGGTTGTTGGTGCAGGGCTGCATAAGCGGGACCATCAGACGACGACGGAGCGAATCAAGGCGTTCTGGACGGTATACGCCTTGGATTGCTGTTGGGCTGTCGCTGACGGGTCATCGTCGAACTTTCCCGGTCACATTCAAGACGAAGTTGACATCCCTTGGCCGGTAATCTCTACTTTTAATGCTATTCTATGATTTCCTGATTCCCACCAGAATGAAGCTTACGCGGCTGCACAGGGGCAAGGCACGATATCTGCCTTTCTTGATTTAACACTCGTCACATCAAACGCTACGTCCTTCGAGTCATTGCGTACGAAAGCTGCGACTCTCCTTGAACGTGCCGCCAAACTCGTATCAAACTATCAGTACGGTGAGTTTACCTCTATATCATATCGTGGCTTTCCTGTTCATACTCCCTAAAAAAGCTACATCTCCCGATGACCGGCATCTCTTTTCTTTATCGTTCATGAACCTGGATGCTATCATACAACGGTTCCGACAATCACTTCAAGAGTACCCGGCCGAACAGCTCCCGCTTTTGCTTGCGTGCATGGCCACAATCCAACTCCATAGTCCTTTTGCTTTCGCTCTGGATCCGGATCCGGAGGCCGAACTCTCAAGACGCAGGATTTTTGATGCGGCAAGGGACATCATAGGAAGCTTCGATGGGCTACAGCTTGGTCTTAACTTGGTAGACCCGATCATTGGGGTGCGTCAAGGACTTCTCACGGTTCGAAATGCTGACTGAATGTGCTAGACGTTGCTCACGGCTGCCTGTCGAGTTCTATTATCGACTATTGGATTCCAACGGAGTCATCGCCCTGAATCAACAGGACCACACCTACGGCGCGCTCCGCAACCTATTCCAGAGCCCGTCCTCCATGGTGCTGTTGACCGTGTTTTGGCTATCATGGCTAGTCTTGCGCCGGGTTGCAAGATAATCGGTCAGTCTCACAAACAGCATTGTCGTTAAGCTGACCGTATGAGTAGATGCACAGATGAACATGATGAGAGAGGCGTATCGCTTGTTGGCCTGAAGGCAAGGGCTCGAGGCTGCAAATTCGTGTGCGATGTCAAATACAAATAGTTAATATACTGTCTCCACTCATGCAAACTTGAAGGAGCAAACTTTCAGGCATAAAGACGCTGGGGCTGGGATGCCAGCGGACATACTTGGTGGTAGATAAGGCAGGCTGATAGCACATCAAACCCAGAGGTAGTCGTGGGTTACGGTGGGTAGGTAAAGCTCAAGAGCAGCTTCGGCTCGGAAACAATTGGAGCACAAGAGTGGCCGAACCCAATACCACATTCCGCCATTCAAGTTCTGCCATTGACAAATGCCGACTTGCGATCTAAGGTGACATACTTGCACAATTGTACCGGCTGCTTTTCACCAAATGACGTGGTCAAGAGGGAATCGAATGTCTTCTGCTTGCAGTCCATGTTAACCAAGTATATCCATCACTTGTAATTTTTTGCTGCCTGTGATCTTGCTAGTATAGCGCATCAATTTCAGATAACACCACGGTAAACCGATCTTGAAAGGGCAATTCTCAACGGACTGCTTAGATTTTCAGTGAGAGAATACATACAGTATATGCAGGACTACTATCCTAGACCGTCAAAACAATATATCACTGCTCCAAAGTGGGAAAATCAAGAATTTAATGCTGTGGGACGGTATCGATGTGAAAAAACAAACAGAGCAGCTTGGGATTGAAGCCAAAGCTTATCAAATGGCCATCGTGGGGATCGAACCCAAGACCTTCGCGTTATTAGCACGACGCTCTAACCAGCTGAGCTAGACGGCGGATATCTCTGGTTTCTGCTTACCCTCCATCAGGCAAAATCATTTGTCCAGCTTCTAGGATACCCAAGTCCATCGAAACGTGTCTAAATATGTGTTTAAGGTAGTCACTAGGTGACAATCTTGTAGCCATGTGGGTTTGTGGGCGCGGCATCAGGCCATCAGGCATTGATCTCCTCCCATCCATGGACGCCTTTTAGATATAGTTAGTACTAGCCGATTATGTTATTATTATGCCAAATGCATGATAATAACATAATAATATCATAATATGGTGCTCCACAGCATAATATATCTATAATATAATATAATATAATATCATACTAATGATGTAAAATATTATATAATAATTTTATTATAATATTTGACCCTACTCCAACAAACTTTTGATATTTTCAACCCTAGGTTTTAGTATATAGTTCAGTACCAATATTATGCAATGCTCTAGAACAGTAGCTCATCCAAATCCCTGTGTTAGATCATATTCAAAGGAGGATTTTCAGTCACATATCTGTAATGAATTGCCCTTTTTGGAAAGTGTAACCACATTACAATATTAATAGTATGTCATGAGTATGTGTATTAGTTCAGGTTGAACATCCTTGCACTCTAGTAGTTGATAGTCTAATATGTTTTATATGTAAGTCTTCTTCAACTGACAGTGAAGAAGTGCAATGTAGTCCAAGGGAGTGTAAGGGCAACCCTGGAGACTCCGACGAAAGCCTAGCAGGGGAGGATCCAAAGCGTGAATAAGACTACAGGAAATACACGGAGGGGCCGACCTAGCAGGGGAGGATCCAAAGAGAAGAAACTCTAAGGGTCCGCCTGCTAGGGCGCCAACTATATACTGGTCGTCCGTAACTGCCGACGTAGAGCGCAGAAGGCCTGAGCGGCGTCGCAGGCTCTGTCCCAAGGTGATCGTTGGGAGGGTCTTGACGGATCGGTGATTGTGCGGGCGAAGGAGGCCGTGGACGATAGTCGGGGCGGGTCAGAGCGTCCGAGGGGGCGCCGGTCGGATGCGCCTCGGATGCGTTCGGAGGGTCCGAAGGAGGCCGAAGCGGGGGTTCCCCTGACATCACCCCCCCCTTTGAATGCGGCGTCCCGACGCATAGTTCGGAAGGGCAAGGAGTCGAAGGTCGCTGAGGCGATGTGCCGTGGTTTACCTGGGTACCTCCGATAGAAGTCCGCAATTTTGTCTGGCGCGAAGACACGGTCGAACCGAACCCACGAGTCGTGCGAAGCATCGTAGCCTTTCCACCTGACGAAGTAGTTAAGACGCTTATACCTTATCCTGGCATCCAAGATTTCCTCGACTTCCCATTCGGGGACTCCGTCCTCTAGTTCGGGGGGCGGTTCGTCGTAGCCGGGTCGTCCATTGAAGGGGTCGTCCTGAGCGAGCTCGAGTTTAACAACGGGGAAGACGGGGTGGAGCTTGGAGTAACGCGGGGGGAGGTCGAGCTTGTAGGCACCTTTACTAACCTCTGCAAGCACCTTAAACGGTCCGAGGCGCTTGTGGGAGAACTTCTCGGAGGGCCGAGTTGTTCTGATGTCAGAGGCATCTAACCAAACCTTATCACCAACTTGAATATTCGGAGCGTCCGATCGTCTCCGATCGTAGTACCGTTTATACTCGTCTTTGGCTTTGACGAGCGGCCTTCGCCTCGGAGACGCCGTTCGCTATCCGATCAGAAACTCGTTCACTGACTCCAACTCTGAGCGGGTGCCCGGCTCGAAACCCATTCGGGGGCCGGCCAGTGTCCGTCATAAAGGGTACCTGTTGAGTGGAGGAGTGAACGTGGTTGTTATAGGCGAACTCAGCGGCAGGGATAAGCTCGTCCCAGTCGTCTTGTTGGTAGTTGGTGAAGATTCGGATGTACTGCTCGAGCTCCTGGTTAACGCGTTCGGTTTGTCCGTCGGTCTGCGGGTAGTAAGCCGTAGAGGTAGCCGGTTTGACGCCAATTAAGCGCCAGAGTTCGCGTGAAGTCAGCGATGAACTGCGAGCCACGGTCCGAAATGTACTTCTCGGGGTTCCGTGGTGCCTCCAGACATTCCGATAGTACAAGCGGGCAGCTCCGACCGCGTCTATTGTCGTATGGCACTCAGTGAAGTGGGCGCGCTTTCCGAGGGCGTCGACCACTATCATAACCGCGTCATACCCATGGGCCTCGGGCAGCTCGACAATGAAGTCTACAGTGACAGTGTGCCAACGCTCGGGCGGGACTTCGGTCGGATGGAGCTCTCCATGCGGAAGCCTTCGGGAGGGCCGTGCGGCAGCATAAGTCGCAGGTCGCGACGTAGCGTCCGATATGGCGAGACATCTGCGGCCACAAGTAGTTGCGCCGAAACCAACTCTAAGGTCTTGAACCGCCCGGCGTGTCCGGCGACTCGCGTATCGTGGCAGAGCTCTATAATGCGCCTCCTCAGGTCTTTGTCTTTGGGGACTACAACCTTGCCGCGGAAGTACAGGAGGTCGCCTGAGACGGCCCACTCGTCCGAACGCGATGAGCGGGGGCCCCAAGCTTGACCTCGGACCTTCAAGAGTTGCCGAGCCGCAAGTGCGACGGGTTCCTCTAGGTCAGGCTCACCGGATAGTGCTTCCTTGATGTCGTGGACAAGTTCGGAGCCAGGCCCAGAGACAGTGACGGCCTCAAGCGCGCGAACGTGGAACAGTTCGGGCGTAAGAGGGTGACATCCGAGTTGTCGTCGGAGATACCGTGGTCAGGCCGGCGGGAGAGAGCATCGGGACGGCCCATCTGGCGACCTGGGGACGTGGTGCAGCGTAAAGTCAAACCTGGAAAGGTACAACGACCATCGGGCTTGCCGACGATTAAGGTGTTGCGCCTTTCGGAAGTATTCCAAGTTCTTATGGTCAGTCCAGATCTCAACCGGATGCGCGGCGCCCTCGAGGAAATGCCGATACTCCTCGAGTGCGCGGATGATCGCGAGCATCTCCTTGTCGTGAATCTCGTAGTTGCGCTGGACATCATTTAAGCTTTTGGAATAGAATGCTACAGGGTGCCACTTCCCGTCCGGGGCGGATTGTTGTGAAAGAACCGCCCCCGTCGCATAATCGGAGCTGTCTGCTTCAAGTCGGAAAGGCCGAGAGTCGTCCGGGATCGCTAAGACAGGTTCTGATACGACCGCGTCCTTGATGGCTTGAAAGGCGGCGGCGGCGGCGTCTCCCCAGGTCCATTTCTGGTCTTTCTTGGTGAGCGCAAAGAGAGGTTGCGCTAGGGCCGAGAAATCCCGAATGAACCTGCGGTAGAAATTAGCAAACCCCAGGAACTGCTGAACGTCCTTCTTGTTTTCGGGCGGAGGCCATGCGGAGACTCCGGCGACCTTAACGGGGTCCATTTCGACATGATTGTGCGAGATAATGACCCCCAAGTACTCGATTGACGATTTCAAGTCGCACTTTTCCTTGCGAAGGTACAACTTGTGCATTCGAGCCGCCGAAGGACCTCCCGGACGATCTCGCGGTGCTTTGCGGAGGTCCGAATGTGCGATAAGGATGTCGTCGAGGTAGATCATAACGTCGCCTGAAAGAATGAGATCCTGGAAAATGTCATTCATCATCGTTTGGAACGTCGCGGGGAGTTTGTCAGGCCGAAATACATCACCAAAGGTTCGAACAACCCTCGGTTAGTCCGAAAGGCCGCCTTCCACTCGTCTCCTTCTTTAATCCGGACGTTATTAAAACCCCAGCGAACGCCGAGTTTGGTGAAGTAACGAGCGCCCTTGAGCCTGTTGATAAGGTCGTTAATCAACGGAAGGGGGTACCGGTTCTTAATCGTCATTGCGTTGAGGGCGCGGTAGTCCTGGACAAACCGAAGCCCTCCGTCCTTTTTCTTAACGAAGAAGACGGGGAGGCCATCGGAGATTTCGAAGGGCGAATACGGCCTGTGGCAAGTCCTTCCTCGATGAACTCGTCAAGTTCGCGCTGTTCGAGGGGAGAGATCGGATACACCTTGCAGTTAGCGGGCTTCGTGTCGGGGACGAGTTCGATAGCGTGGTCCCAAGCCCTTCGTTCTGGTAACGTGTCAAAGGACTCCTTGTCGAAGACGTCTTGGAACTCCTTGGCCCAGTCCGGGATCTCCGAAGGCGGAGGGGCCGAGTTACGGGCGAAGGCCTCTGCAAGGCGTTGGGACACTGTACTGCCAGCGCGGATCTCCTCAACTGGGCGAAAGGAGGTGTAGAAGATGCGGTCGCCGTCTTCAAGATGCTCGTCGCCGTCGAGATCTGGTGAGGGCTCCGGAGGGTCCGAAGCAGCTCCGAGCTCGTCGTCAGCATCATCTGGGCCAGCGATATCGATAGCGCAAACAGTGGGGAAGGCGCCCCAAGTAGACGTGATTTAAGGAGTCGGAGCCGCCGAACCTCGGCGCGTTCGGTCCGCTCTTCATCATCACGGGGTAGAGCAGCTGGGGGGCAACGACTCATTTTCACCTCCTTTGTCTCCCAGTTGATCTCGGGGTTATGCTTTTGAGCCAGGAGTATCCGAGTATCAGGTCCTGTTTCCCAAGGTGGGTTACAGCCAGCTGAACGCGTTCGGAGTGTCCGTTGTACCGTAGAACGAGGTCCGCGATTTGGCGAATAGACCCAGCATCATTGGGGGTGCCGTCGACGTTGTAGACCGGGATGGGTACTGAGAGATTTCGGACTGGCACATTATTCCGGTTGACATATTCTGTGTCGATAAAGTCCGAGTAGCTCCGCAGTCGACCAGACCCGAGAGGGAGAGCTTGAGCGCGTTCGCAGTGGACTCAAGTTCAAGGGGGAGGTGCAGTGAGTTAACGCCAGGAGCGGCAGAGATGGTATAACTGCCAGGTAGCTTTTTCTCCCAGGCAAGTCGGCGAATCCGAACGGGGGGCTTCGGAGGGGGCAGAGGGGTGCGTCTTTCGTTTCGGGCTCGTTGTAGGGCAAGGGAGTTGATTCATCATACAAACAAGTGAAACGATTTATGGACGCGAACGAGGGCACACCAGTCACTCGTCGCGGGGACAAAATCCTCTGCCGGAGCCTCCGAATGCGCCTCCGCTAAGGCCGCAGTATCAGACAACCGCGCAAGCAGCTCTCCCAGCATCTCATCGCCAAGTTGCTGGATTACCTCGTCGAGGATGTCCACATGGCGGACGTCGGCGGGGAGCGGACAGTCCCGAGCCAAATGGTTGGGGTCGCCGCATCTGAAGCAGGCTCGACGAGGGGCACCCCGAGCCCTAGTACGATCCAGCTCCATAGGGACGGGAGCCGGAGGTACCGGGACGGGGGCGCGGGCCGCGGGTGGCACAGGCGGGGCCACCGGGCGGATGGGGAACGGAGTTGCCGAACGAGTGATGGGGAAGGCGCCGCGCGGAGCTCCCGAAGCGGTCCGCGGGGTAGCCGTTCCCTTGATGAGCTTCGCTCGCACCAGGGCTTCATATTGTCGGAAAGCCCGAGTGCGCCAGCCCAGATAGTCACGGAGGTCTGGGGGGGTCGTTCGAAGAGGTGATGCCGTTGTTGATCAAGGGGTCAAGTCCGTGGCGGTACTTGGTTACCTTAACCAACAGCGTCTTTGAAGCCAGCGAGGTCCATCAAGTCCTCGAAGTCGTCGGTATATCCGTAGACATCCCGCGTTCCCATGTGATAACCCGCTTTCCAACTTAGCGAGCGCGAGGTCCTGTTCGTTCTCCTCGACGAACCGAAGGCGAAACTCGGAGAGGAACTGGCTCCACCGAGGGAAGGGGAAGGGGTTTTTGCTCCCATGACGCTCTGCCCATTGCTGAGCAGGTCCCTCCGCCATATAGGACATGGCGTAGCGGACGGCCTTTTCTTCGCTCGGCTCTCCGTTAACTACGAAGGCCTCCGGGGCAAGCCGAGCGTAGGTTTTGACCCGTATAGGAAGGCGCGGCCGCGTTTGCGATCTCCGTTAAACGCAAACGGGGGGTTTGGTCGTAAGACCAGTTTTGAGGCGACAGTAATGTCACCAAATAACGCATCCGCGTCGGGGGCATTCGGAGATGCCAGGCGGTTCGGGAGCTGCCGGAGGTGGTGCGGCAGCGGGAGCCTGGGAAGCAAGGTAGGTGAGGATATTGGTGAGGTTGTCTAGTTTCGCCTCAAGTGCGTCCCATGCTGGTCAGCGTCCGGAGCAGCTCCGGTAGACATAGCGGGCGTAAAGACGACAAGAGCAGAGGAGGAGGGGTCAAGTGGCAGGGGCGGTGGACGAGGGGGGTACGGACTCGTACTCCGAGCCTGAGTCAGCACCAAACCTGGCAATCTTGACCGGTTAATCCCGTAGAGAGTTTCTTCTGCTGTAAGGGCAACCCTGGAGACTCCGACGAAAGCCTAGCAGGGGAGGATCCAAAGCGTGAATAAGACTACAGGAAATACACGGAGGGGCCGACCTAGCAGGGGAGGATCCAAAGAGAAGAAACTCTAAGGGTCCGCCTGCTAGGGCGCCAACTATATACTGGTCGTCCGTAACTGCCGACGTAGAGCGCAGAAGGCCTGAGCGGCGTCGCAGGCTCTGTCCCAAGGTGATCGTTGGGAGGGTCTTGACGGATCGGTGATTGTGCGGGGCGAAGGAGGCCGTGGACGATGGTCGGGGCGGGTCGGAGCGTCCGAGGGGGCGCCGGTCGGATGCGCCTCGGATGCGTTCGGAGGGTCCGAAGGAGGCCGAAGCGGGGGTTCCCCTGACAGGGAGGACTACCTTGAGGGCCAAAGGTCATATCGAGCGGACGCTAAGGATAGAACAGTAGGGTGTCTGGGAGTAGAGGAGGATGTGCTTAGCTCTGTGAATAAACTCTGTTGGTTGCTGGAACTCACCGTGGCGCTCTCACTCACGCTCACACTCGCTGTAAGATGGAGGTGGAAGGGAAGGTATGAGATATATTTCCTGATCTACAGTAACTATACAATCGGAAGGGGTCCATGTGTAACATATAATGTCTTTGAAATAAGAGATCGTCCACCAAGCTCTTGCAGAGTCAGCTACACGCTCCAGACTTGATGTTACGAGATGCGGCTGCCCCCATCAGTGCGGAATGTGGCTGACCAGGCCAAGTCTGTTGCGATCTCGGTCTGGCCGGTACAGCTAACTCCACGCGAGGTCGGATTCGGATATGATGGAATAATGAGGAGATGGGGATCAATGGGAAATAGGGAGATAAATAGGTGACAGAGGTGAGGATGAGACAAAGGATTGGCTGTTAATGCCCAAGATGTGCGACGCGTGAGAAGTGCGTGACCGTGATGGCGACGTGGCGGCCACAAGGCACTACCACAACAGTATTATCACAATAGGTAACAATTAGCCTAATCACTATGAGCAGGAAGACTCTTCACAGTACAGGGATAAGAATAGAAGTAGTACTGGTTAGTATAGAAGCTGGTTTTGTACAAAGTTCATGAGTTTGGGGCTGCCATATAAGTTGCTAGAATAATATATTATACTGGAGCCATAATAGTAATATAATAATATTGCAATATAATATAATATAGAACAATATACTTAATATTTGTTCTGGCCCCCAGCATAACATAATCGTAATGATAATAATGATATGGTATAATAATAAATTGTAATATAATAATGACCGGCACTAATAGATATAGTAAGTAATACAACAGTGATATCCCTTTCTCTCCATTTCGGCCAGAACTTTATATGTTTTGTTGGATTCAATGACCTGATCTTCCTTAGATGATTTTGCAAAAGAGAATGTGAAGCTTACCTGTAGTCTTGTGTTTAAAATGCTATATTTAGATGCCGCGAAATTGAAATCTTAAGCTCAACTTGAGCGTTTGAGCGGTGCTCTTCGTAACCTCAGAACTTTGATTTACATCTGAATGATCTGATCGCGATTTTTTTTCTCTCTCTCTCTCTCTCTCTTCCGTCACAGCCACAACTTGTCTCTCCCATGCTATGTATTGCGAAAGTTTCGAGTAGAAACCTCACCAACAACATTCGCGTATCCTCTTCACGCCTGCAACTGCTCTCTATTATTTTCTGCGTACTCGTGCCTCATGCGCAGGTAGTCGAAGTTCGACTGCACCCAGACTTCCACTCGCATGAAAGCTGCGACTTATCCGGAAGGGCGCCTCCACGAGAAGCTCGAGCCACTCCTTAATAGTCCTTATCGCATCTCGTGAGCTCCATTGTGGGAGTGGACCAACTTAGCACTTCTTCCTTTTTTCCCTGGGACCAATCTTACCTCAGTTACCTCTAACCGTCATGGCCGACCAAATCCTCGAGCTTAGAAATGACGGACTCGGACCATCCGAAAGACGCAAGGTCCATTGGTTTCGCGGCACCGTCTTCCAAATATTCGTCATTGGAGGCGTATTCTTCTGTGTCAGTTTTCTTTATTCTGCTATCGCGTCAGTGCTTATTCGACATAGGCTCCTGTTGGTCCAAGTTATTTGTAACACAATCTTCTTCTAATCGCATTCAGGGAATGTATAATGCGTTGACCTCGCTTGGTGCCGGGGGCCTTGCTACACCTTGGTATGCCAATGCAACTGCCGCGGCTGGCTATGGTATAGTTTTTTGTGCGCTTGGAAATAACCTGTTGAATGACTCGCAGCTTTTATGGCCGTTCTCTGCGTAACAGGCGGTATTATCGTCTCCAAAATCGGTGTCAAGCCATCCTTGCTGGTCAGTTTCTGGGTCGCAGTCTGGGTTAACCGCTCACACCAACCAGATTTCAAGCACTGGTGATATCATGTATTTTCTGCAATTCACCCCAGATGGCCGGCAACTCAACCTATCCCCAGTTATGCTGGAAGCTTGTATCTCAACTCGAAAAACGGGACGCAATGGTTCTTGATGTTTGGTGCGGGCCCCCGTTTCCCATCTATTCTTGTCGAGTTGACGCTGACAGGCTCGATTTACTCTGGTTGTACCGATGGCCTCATGTACACTGTTGAAGGACCCATCATCACTTGTGCGTCATTTGTGCTATTTTTCTGTTGGCCTAACAGCGGTAGCCTACCCCGAACCGGACCGCCGAGGCCGCATGCTAGCGCTGTGGGTCTCTTTGCGAAACGCTGCACCAGTCATCGGCGGTGCCATCATCTTCGGCTTGAACAACAAAATCGACTCCAGTGGCGGTGTCTCCCTCCAAACTTACCTTGTTATCATCGGAATCATGTGTGCCGGTCCGTTCATTGCGTTGCTTCTCTCGCATCCAGAAAAAGTCCAGCGAAAAGATGGGGTCAAAATAGTGCTCCGCAAGATGGACTGGACAAAGACGATGAGCGAGTGGTGGAACGTTGTTTGTTCCCGCGATGTAGGTGTCTCTCTGTTGGTTCAAGTTCTACAACCTCATTCCTTCTGTTCCAAGATCCTCCTGCTTTGCCCACTGTTCTTTACCTCATGGTTTTATGGCTCGTATATCGGAACGTTGGAAACTCAATATATGAACGTCCGTACTCGAGCGCTGTCTGGTTCGTGCCCACCTTCTCGAGAACGCGTCTTATATGACTTCAGCCTTCATCATTCGTTGTGGCGACATTGCTGGTGGGCTTGTAATTGGGTATTTCCTCGACATGAAGTATTTCTCCGTCAAACAACGCGCACGGATAAGCTTTATCAGCTTGATGGCACTCAATCTGGTACTATGGGAAGTATCTTATCATTGAAAAGTGTCTGCTTACTTTCCTACAGGGTGTGGGCCGCCATTATCACCAAACGACTCGAGGTGGAAAAGCCCATCATAGACTGGACCTCTGGAAGCATTTTCGGCAGCACATTTATACTTTTTGTCCTGTTCGACTTTGCCACGATGGCCACCCAAACATGCTTGTTCTGGATCATCTCACACAGTAAGCGGCCATATTTGCTGTTCAAAAGTGCCATTAACCGTCACCCAAGTGTCTGACGACTTTATCGCGCTGTCTTACATGACTGGGACCCTTCGAGGAGTCGAATGCGCGGGGCAAGCCGTTGCGTATGGTATCAAGTCAAGCAACACGACCGATTGGCTGTCAATCGGGTTAAACGTTGGCCTGAGTGCGTTTCTTCCCCAAGGTTTGGGCTTGTCTAAATGCTTTGCAGTCGTGTTTTCGCTTCCATTTGCGTGGGCCGTTGTTCGGAAGATTGGCGTCGTCGAGTTTGACAAGATTTCGTTTGCGATTGGGGATGGTTCGAGCGAAAAGAGCGTTGATGTGGAGTCAGAGAAGGAGAAAGCGTGAGGGGTTCTATTCCAACCGTTGTAATACAATCGAGCTACTGCTTCATGGTTTGCATGCGGCTTTGGGTATAAAAAAACAGAGCAATTAGAGTGTTGGCCAAATTATGGGTTGTTCGTGGTCTCGCTTGGCACGCGTCACATTCTTCTCTCTGCCCTTCATGAACCTGGCAGCCACAACACCACCAAACCAAATCGCTGCCTATTTGCGAACTCTCCCCGCCATTCGAGAGCGATGCACACGTGTCTTCGATCTGGCAAAAGAGGGAAAGCTGGAGTATTTTGAGTACCATCCAGAAAAAGAGCGCGATGTCGCGGCGTTTTGTGTGGATATCATAAAGGTGCGCGGTTATATTCCAACTTGACACCTTACTCACCACCACTATAGAGAGACTTTGGCTCAGACTATGCGCAGGCAAGCCGCTGCTTTGACAATGAAGTCAAAACTCAGATGTTAGATCCCTCCTCATGGGCGTTGGCGCCACCTCGATGCTGGCCGGCCGCGAATCGCACCGCTCATCGCGCAGTGGAAGGCATCCCCTCTACCGCCTAACGACACCGAAATCGCCAAACGACTCATCGATCTCTTCATGGTCGCCGTCTTGCTCGATGCCGGCGCGGGCAACAAATGGACGTACACTGAAGCCGAGAGTGGGCTCCAGTTCAGTCGCTCAGAGGGGCTGGGTGTTGCTGCTTTCCATATGTTCATGCAGGGCTTGTTCTCGGGTGACCCAAACAAACCATACCAAGTCGATGGTGTGTGGGTGTTCAATTTGCTGCTTTTGATGCTCACCTGGTTTGCAGCGGAAGGACTTGCTCGGCTGACTGTCGAGAAAATAAGTGCTGGCATGCAAGTTACGCCGGATAACCCATTGGTTGGGCTGGAAGGCCGCACTTCGCTGCTGGTTAACCTCAGCACGGCTCTACGAACAAGCCCCGAGTTCTTTGGCAGCGCTGCTCGTCCAGGAGGGGTTGTTGGTGAGGAAACAAATCAACTTAATCAGATTAATCTGACTCTCTACTTTAGATTTCCTCTCCTCACAATCACTTGTATCATCTGGCACCCACCACGTGCCTGTCGCTGCTCTCTGGCATGCACTCATCGCTGGCCTCCAGCCAATCTGGCCCCCGTCACGGACGTCACTCGCCGGTCTCTCGCTCGGCGATGTCTGGCCCTGCTCCGCCCTTTCCCAATCACCCGCCCCCGGCCCATCTGATGGCGCGACTTTCGTGCCCTTCCACAAACTCACTGGCTGGCTGACCTACTCCCTCATTGAGCCCCTTAGCAAAATCCTCGGCTGGCATTTCGACGGAGTCGAAGATATGACCGGCCTACCCGAATACCGCAACGGCGGGCTTTTCGTCGACCTTGGTGTTCTGTCCCTCAAACCTAACCCACCAGAAAAGTTGGGGGTAGATGCAGTCAGCGGGGTGCCCCGTGTTCCACCGACCCATCCCGCCATTATCGAATGGCGCGCTCTGACCGTGATTTTGCTGCAAGTCCTTTCCTTCTTTTGACATCCTTACCTTTCTTAACATCCTGTGCAGCGACCGCACAGCCGCTGCCATCCAAGAAGCCCCTCTCCGCCCCCGACCTCAGCCTCGCGCAAGTTCTCGAAAGCGCTACCTGGAAAGGCGGGCGTGAGATCGCCAAAACCCTGCGCGGACCTGTTGGTGGACCTCCAATCGAGATTGAGAGCGACGGAACGCTGTTTTGAGGCATCATCTACCACGGACAGTTGTAATTGTACTTTTGCATCATTCACGCCATCGATGTATTCACTACTTAGTCTTGAGACCATCCCTTTTTTCCTAACTCTCTTTGGAGATAAGAGGCTTTGGTCTTGATTCTTAAGCATCCTCCAAGAGGTTGAGGTGTTTCTTTGTCAAGTTAAGTTACATCCTAGCACCAACTCCAACTCTATGGCTATTGATGCCATTTTATCCTTCTAAAAGATGTCCAAATATGTCTTCTTTCTAATTCTAACATTTCATACTTCAGAGTTTCTGGCACGCATTCCCAAAAAAACAATTGTAATGTTATAACTGTTAGAACATGATCCAAAAACAGTCTAACTTTCAGAGTTTGACTCGGAACCACTTTCGGGACCTGATCTCTGACAAAAAATTCAACTCCGAGTCACCGTTTTTGCGTGAAACCCCGATGTGAAGTGGCTTGCGCGAGACGATTCACTACTGTACAAATTGATTGCGGGTCTAGGATAACAGAAGAGACAATAACAATACGATAATTTTCCGCAGTCCCAATGAGTCTGTACAAGACCCGTCTAAAAGAGTGTCGCCTAAACAAGCGTTTATTGTCGCGACTGTTCGTAGAGTAACGGTTTTCGGCAACAGCGTTGCAACGCAGGGCGAGGTTTTCGTTGGCCAAACAACACAGTCAAGCCAAAGCTGCCTGGGGAAAGACAGCGGGAAAGGCGAAAACACGTGACGTCTGCTATCGCCTCTTGAGCTCCCTTGCTAGCCGCCACGCAAGCACAAAGGCGATGGCCGCCCACAGACCACCAATCCTGCAAGCAACCTCAGTGATGTTCTGTTCAGCAAGGCATCGCGTTACCGGAAAACAATCACGACCGAATTTCTACCGGAAGCAGCGGCAGCCGAGCGAGCAGAGATCGTCGAGTTGGTTGAGCCAGAAGTTACCGCAGTTGTTGGTTGCTCCGATTCGTCAAACAGGGCGAAAATAATGGAGGCAAGGGCCGTAACGAGGAACTGCGGAATAACGATGAAGATGTTGTGAATGCCCTGTAAAGATTCCAGATGAACCAGACGAAAGAAAAAAGAAACAAGTCAATGCATACCAGAATAACCCCCGCCTTGGCACTCAAACCACCTCCTTCAGCGGGAAGCTCGCTACCGAAAGCTTGCTCGGCGTCGACCCCAGGCGCGCTCTCAAATCGTTCTTCGTATATCGATCGCGGCGTGACCACATCGACCACACTCAGTTGTGCATTGGGATTACCCAGCAACGCCGGTCCCCGTGCAAGCCCCTCCTTTGAAATCCCCCTCGGGAGAGGCTTCCTCCTGAAACTCGATATAGATGCAGGCGAGCCCGAGCCAGAATCGCCGCTATCCCGCACAAACTCGATGTCCGAATCGCTGTTGTCACGTGTGTGCCGTCTGGCACGCTGAGCTTCGCTGTCGTCGTCGCTGTCAAATTCGTCTGGTCGGGCGACCAAAAAACCCTCCTCCTCTTCAGAGCCTGCATCTGCGCGGGTACGAGCGTCGGCAAGCCGTATCGACATAGAGATTGAATCGTTACGGGCATGACCAGAAGCCACCTCCCCTGGCGCTGGAGAGGTAAGGATCGCTTCGGCTAGCTATTTGGCATTTAGTTCAAGGTCGATGAAGCGTAATCATAAGCACATACGAGCGAAAACGGTGCCCATTGCGTGATACCCCAGGAGAATCCCGTGCAAGCGATGAGTATGGTGCCAGTCGAGATGGAACTGGTAAAGCTGTGTGGATTGAGGGATAAGCTGGCTAAAAGAGAGGCAGAAAGAGCGACATACAACGTTCCGATCATACAGAGAGAGAATATTGCATGGGAAGCAGCCCACCAGGTCGGTAATGGCAGGCGGATCGCATCAGGAATATAGTTGCTGAAATTCCATCGTTGCCTGCCCTCGTTAGAGCCTTGGAACGAGTCCATGTCGACACGACCCATAAGCTGCGAATTCCGCATTCCTCTCCGACGACGACCCTCCCGCGGTCCATCGGGATGGGGCAGAAGAAATGGTAGTAGGGCGTTTGTTGCCAAGGCTAAGAGTGCATAGAAAAGTTGTGCCCTAGCACCCAGACGAGTTGCTGTGTCTGTGGGTGATTCCACTGGTGCCTCCGCACGTCGAAGAAGCGCTCGAATCACAGCTACAGGAGGTAGAGAGCGGAAATATAGGTCGGAGAAATACATCGTCGTGTAGAACAAGACAGGAAACCAGCCGAGCCATGCACTGTTGACTGGTGAATACCATAAACTAGAATAGTCGCCACAAGACTCACAAAAACTGGATCATGCACTAATTATTTTTAGTTATGCGTTATATGACCCCACAGAAACGACTTACGATTTGCCGTATTACTCGGGGTAGCGTTCGGGCGTGTTTCCAGATGTCACGAAATTCATTGCGTAAGGATGGTCGCGGCAGACTAAAGAAACGATGTTGATCAACTTTGCGCAGCAAGATAAAACAGTGACGCACCCAGCACTCTTGAGCAGCACACGTTCACGGACCATGATGGCCGTGAGCAAATGCAAGGCGAGAAGGACAAACGACACGATGGCTGAAAGTGCTTGTAGCTCAGATTCGGCTTTCAGAAAGGGAAAGAGAGTGGGCAAAGGGAGGTTCCCGCTGTTGAGAATATTAGCCTTGAGCGGCAGAAGCTATGGTACGCACATAAAGAAGCCGAGGACAGATCCAATGCCCAGCATAAGTGCAGCACAAGCATTACCAGCCGTCTGTTCTGACGTTGGAAGTATGTCGACCAACAGAGCTCTGTCCACTGCCTGAACTTTATATGCGGCTATTTCAGCAGTCTGGGAGGAGGAATATAGCTGAGCCACACACCAGCGTTGATTGAGAAATCCACCACGAATATCGAAAGCACCGCCAATATAGTTGTCAACCCGCTATGCGCTTCTGAGCCTGAATGAGTGAACCAAGCGGCGACCTGCTTCGTATATCCGAGCAAAAGCATGCCTAGCACGCTAATGGCACATCCTGCGATGATATATGGCCTCCGCCGACCCCACTTGGAAGTACTGACGTCCGCAAACGCGCCAACAAGTGGTTGGACGACAAGACCAGATAGTGGACCGGCGAGGAACACAAGGGCAACATGGGAGGTGGAGAGGCCGAGGGAGATGAGGTATGGGCTTGCAAAGGCCATTTCTACGCTCCAGAATACTTGCACGCCCAGCAGTCCAACGGTAAGAATGATGAGATGAGCCCATTTAGGGCCAAGAACGCGTGGTTGGCCAGACCAGTGGGATGGATCGAGAGGTACGACGGTACCCAGCGAAGGGCCAAGTCCGCCGGCCATGCGGGGAGGAAGGAGAATCTAAATCACGGGATCACGTTTCTTCTCGCCGCTGATCGTCGCGTTTTCTTTGCGCTCTCAATTAGCAGGAAGCCGTTTTCGCTGAGCTTTATTTTATTCGACTACGAGTCCACGTCACAACTATGCAGCGACCATTCAAGATGTGCTTTGACATTATAATAACCCGAACTGTCTCCGAGATGTCCGTAGTAGTACAATTTGCTTTGCTTCATGTCCTTAGTTGAATTTGCCTTCTCTCCATCGCCTAACGTGCGAGCCCATCTCCACAGCGGCGAGCCCCCAGTCTTCACCGTGGTTATGCCCTCCTTCCTTCAGGCCAGATCGCTCCAACGCTTGATCGTCGGTGAGGGCAGTTAGAACACCAAAGATGACGGGCACGCCAGTGTCGAGCTGGACCTTCATGAGCGCATGCGACACCGCGTCCGAAATATATTCAAAGTGCATCGTAGCGCCTTGGAAAGAACGATGAGATGAATCGACAACGGAATGGTTTAAAAACCAACCCTTGATAAGGACACCAATAGCAATGACCGCGTCAAACGGCTCATTGGGCATGGCGACAACCACGGGTGAGGCCGAGGGTGGAGCTGGGGTACCAGACCGTGAATTACCACCGAAACTCAGTCCTCCAAGCAAGTCGGTAACGTTTGATGCTGCCTGGACATGCGAGCCAGCGATGACCCTGGAAAGCTATCAACTTGGATGGTTTTAGAAAGTAAAAACACGCACTTTTGGCAAGCCAACGGAAGTTCGAAACTTCCAGGGACACTCTGAACGATGATGTTGCTCTCCTTGACGCCACTTGCCTTAAGTTTCTCCACACAACCTTTCAGAAGCGAGTCGATCACGGTCGCATTCCAGCGGGCATGAACAATCGCTACGCGCAAAAGAGAGCCATCGTAAGTTGCCGTCGAAGTTGGCAGCGATTTGATTGTGTGCGACATCGAGAAGTACTGCGGCAAGGAGTAAATATGACGTGACCATTCAATTCTTTCCTTCCTTCAAGCTACCACCACTAAGTTGGAGATATACTAATGCTTTTCGAGTCTCTCTGTTCATCTTCGCATCTCGGCGTCAAATGCTGGGTCGATACCTAGCGACTTGAGAATTCCATCAACTTGAGCCTTGGTTTCCTCATCCAACATTTCATACGCTCCATACGCGGTTCCTTGGGCGGAGACTTGTCCTGCAGACTGCTGCTGCTGCCATTGCTGAAGGTGGGGATTCTGGCTCTGAGCATAATTTGCAGGATAATAACCTCCATAGGCACCGGCGTTGGGCGGGTAACCGCCACCACCGACATTGGGATGTGATGCCCAACCACTCGCAGCCCCTTCATCATATCTCTCTGGTGAGCCTGCCTGTAGACCTTGCTGGTAGCCCTGTTGAGCCATTCCAGCGTTATATTGCGTGTATGGGTATGTCCCCTGGTGGTAATAACCATGCTGGTTCGTCCATTCTTGTCCTTGGCTTCCGTACTGGCCGTAACTTGGCTGCCAGCCAGCCTGAGCCACCATCGAAAAGTTCCCATACAAATTGTCGTAATCAGGGGCGGGCATGTTGGCGTATTGTGCTGCTGTTGGGCTCCAATCAGTTTGATAACTGCCGTTCATGGCAGTATCGGGATAGTCCTCGTCGAGCAACAATGGTGCGGTGGGGAGCTGGTGGGATGCAGAATCCGTCTTGACGTGTTTTCCTTCAGCGGGCCGATGGTATTGTCCACGAGACCGTGGGTTTGGGGCAAGGTTTTTCACAGGAGGCATGGCCTCGACGGCTTTCCATGCAATGGCTATTCGCTCCTCAGTGAATGCGCTTTCACAATGAGCCTCGTGTCTCTTCACCTCCTCGGGGTCTTCCTCGCGTGTTTTGTATTGATTTACCAGCAGTTCTCTCCAATAGACCCTGCGCAAGTGGAGCAATTGGTCTTTTCTGATCTTCAACTTCAACTCCACCATGCCCTGCTTATCTGGAATCTCATTTCCGTGATCTTTGGCGATGCCGATGCAGCTGTCGTTGCCCATGTGTGCTTTTCGACTGCGTGTACATGCAAGCCTATTATCATCGTTGGTCAACTTGACCGTGTAGCAAGCATTAAACGCACCCGGTGTAACATAGAGGGCAATACGCCTTTCTCTGCATGTTGGGGTCGGGGTCAAGTTCCTTATGGGGGGAGACCAACGCATCGTGCAACCTTCGACGCGTTACCTCGACTTGTACGTGCCGTCCCTTAGGGACGTTTTTCTCTGTCCACTCCAAGAGTTCAGAGTCGGAGAGTAAATCGAGCTGCGGCATCGGCTCAGGCAACTCGTTGCCTGCATCGGAATCCAGGCTTGACACTGGGGATAGCGGCCCGTCAAAAAGGTCGTCGAATGCGTCCTCGTTGGGGGTGTTGATGCTGTCTGTTGATGCTGTGCGGGCATCTACAACGCTCGAAAAGTCGGATCGGGGGGAAGAACTGCCTGGACTCTGGGTGGCATGCTCGCTATGTCCCATCACGACGTAGCCCGAAGCTTCGTCGATCGAGTTTGTTGAAGCTGAAGCCGCAGAAGAGTCGGTTTGTGGTGAAGAGCATGATGGAATTAGGGTGGCATGGCCGCTGTATTCCACAGCGACATAACTGTTAGAGGCTTGTTCTTCGTTGTCGCAGTCCATTTGGGTATCCTGGGGCGTCAAGAAGGGAGAAGGGAGAGGAGAAGACATTGTCCGTCCCAAACTAGCAGATAACGTGACTTAAAAATCCACTTGTCCCAGTACTCGGCCGTGTGGGAGAATCCGAGACGAGTGTTACAAGCTGACGATGACTCACATTCTCCCGCTTTCTAGCTCGTGCGATGCATTAGCCTATTTTGCTTGTACCATGAACACCGGCAATATTTTTTCTAGTGTCCGAGTAGGTACGCTATCCATCGAGCTCAATGATTGGCGATACTATTTTAGATGGGCCAAGCACTCTGCTTTTGCTTCAGCTTTTCACTTGTGGTTGGGGAAGACCGATAAATAATAGTCATCATTACCATCAATTTTGCGCCCACGAAGTCCATCAGTGTTGACGAAAAGTGAGGATATCTGGCGACGCCGCTGACGGTCATGCGGGACCTGAAGAGGGTCTGAAAAGACCTCGTTTCGGTCGAATCACTCAAATTAATGCACTAGAGTTCCAGTCTGCAAAAAGTGGCAACTTGAAGATGAGCTGCTGAGCGCTGAGCATCGAACTACTGTCCCTTAAGCTTAAGATGGATTCAGGCCAAACGCTCAAGACACGAGCCATTAGAAAACATTGATACTTTCTCAGTATGTTGTACATAGTGCTAATACAAACAAAACTCTACAATAACGTTTAGCAAAAGTCACGTCTATTTGTTCTTCAATGATGCGCGTTCGGCGCCGGCTCCATCGACATATCGTACAGTTGCAACCACGGAATTGTGTACGCCCAATCGCTTGCTTCCCCATCGGCGTGTGTCATTTCTGGGTTTTCCATCCGCAACTGTCCATCTGGCTGCCAAGTCTCGTTGAAGCCGTCTCCACCGTGATATGCAGACCAGTCCCAGAGCTCAGTCTGCTCTGGAGCAGATCCCGAGTCAAACGTGTTCATGGTAGCCCAATCAAATTGAGGCGCATTTGCTGGAATGTGCATGGCCTGCTGATTACCAAGGACACCTTGGAAGTAGGAATCGAGAGCATGGGCTTGCTGCTCTTGCGCGACAGTTGGAACAGCGTTGGGGTCGTTGTCTGTGATACCCAAGGCGTCCCGACGCTGGGCGTCGAGGTTTGCAAGGATGGATTCGATGTCATCAGGGAGACCATCTTCGTTGGGGGCCGGGAGAAGCGTCGCTTCAGCTACAAGCTGCTGAGGCACCGGATCATATGTGACTTCGGAGTTATAGTCAGCGAGCGGTGGAGCCGAGGCAGGGGCCGCCCGTTCAATAATGTCGTTGGAAGATTTCGATTTCTTCAACGGGCTGGCTGGCGCATTGGTTGCCGTCTCAGCCAAAACGTCGTTGTGCGATGCCGTTTGCCGCATGCCATGCAAATGACTTGTCGCCCGTGTTGGAGTTGGATCAAGCGCAGAGGAATTCAAAGTATTGTGTGCGAATGGTGGCCGTCCCAAACCTTGAGTTGTCGGAGCGAGGGTCATGTTGTCCGGATATTGAGCGCCGATGTTGGGCTGTGGCTCCCACTGGGAGGGGCGAGGCTGGTTTATATACGCCAGCGCTTGAGCCACTGACTGGCGGCGGCTGTGACTTTGGGATAAAGGTCCTTGAAAGGTGTTTTGTGATGGAGCTTGCATTGTCGACTGGTGGCCGCTGCGCGGCATCTGCGACTGACGTTTTTCAAGATACTCGGCCAGGGCGTCCCGAATAATGTTGAGTGGCAAGACATCTGGTGCCGGGGGAGGACTAAAGTTTCCAGGTTGAAAGCCATTTTGCGGTGGTGGAGGCCCCATATTGGATGTCATTTGCGGCTGGCGTCCTTCAAAATAACGGGTGACAGCGTCTGCGTATATATCTCGAGGGGTGTTGGATGGTTGTGGTTGGGGAGGAACGACATTTCGAGTCGAAGAGGGCCGGGGCATTGATTGAGTGGGAGCCCGTTGGGAAGCCTGGTGTCGCATCAGAGGCGGAACACCATTGTGGAGGACCTGTCTCGACTGCTGGCGGGGCAAGGGAACGGGCGCGACAACCTCGGTGTTGGCGGAAGACGAGGCCATGGGCTGGCTTGCTTGTCCGTAAATCGGGTCATGGAAGGGTGCAAGCTGCTGCAGTGGATCATCTGCAAACCTTCGCTTCATCGAGGCCAGCTCTCGTGCAGAAGGAAACTTGCGCCCATATGCAATAGCACGTCTTTTGCAAAAGTCATTTCCGATGTGTTCAGTGCGCGAACTGACGTTCTCAAAGCTAGATAATATCGTTAAAACTCCATATTTACGAATAGCATTCATGCTCACCGGTCAAGACAAATAGGACAATATGCAGGTTGTGGCACTACCTCCGCTCGATGCCGCTTATAATCACCAGTGGATCGTTCAAGTTCATGACCATCCGCCTCGAAGTAGGCTGGTCGTTTTAGTGAATTCTGGGGTTGCGCAAATCCGGGAGGCACAGAGTAAATGGACCGAGATGTCGGTTGTCGCTCGTGCGTGGCAAGAACTGCCGGGAGCTGAGGCTCTTCCGACGATGATTGCGCGAGTTGCTCGTGGTGATGTTGGAAGGGAAACATGGAGAATGGTAGCAGGTAGTTGTGAGTGTGAGTGGATGGTGACGCATTGACTCGAAGTTTGCCAGTGATTATATACGTGAACCCCTTGAACTTCATGCGGACACGATGTGGCGTCGCTTTGAAAAAAATAGTGGCATGGCCAGCGAAACCGCGAGTGGGGGAATGGCTCAGTGGTCAAACAAAGCGCCTTTAGAGCTTCGACATCATGATCCATATGACCATTAAGTGTCGGAAAAAGTTGGCCGATGAGACAAAGGCGGGTCAAGGAGGTAGAATAAGAGGCAATTCCCGGGACAAGGTACCAGCTCTGAGTGCTGGGACAAGATGACTACGTGGATGCGACGAGATTACTACGTGCTGAAAGACAGTTCACGAAAAACTCACTAGGTTCGGGAGAGTTGCATCCCATTCACCGCAGAACAAGGGCCTTTGCACATGTAACAATGCAATGCAACAACGTGGGCAGAAAGAGGGAGCAAATGATAGGTGATGGCGCATCATGATCCCGTGATTTTTTCCTTCGTTGCCCTCACAACTGAGCCTATCTACACCCACGACATGTTCAATCGAAAGTTGAGCAGTAACAACTCTCGAATTGGAGGGAAAAACTCGATTTCGGGAAAAACACACTGAGTGCAGTACGGGAATGGAGTTAGTTTTTCACCTCGTCGACATTACCATGAACTAAGCCAACCTCTAGCTCGGCCTCTAAATGACTAACATCCCCATATTTCACCACTACCGCTGGATCCCTTTCCGAGTCGACCTCGACGATAGTCACTGATACGTTTTTCAACGACCTCAAATCCACACCCTCTGCCAATACCGCTCGGCCACTACCCAGAAGGCCCTTGACCAGCATGGAAATGGTTCCTCCGTGGCTCACTACCAGTATGTTATATGTTTCCCCCTTTTTTCCATGCGACGAAAGGGCTAACGTCCGTTGCAAGATTGCGCGTTTCCACCAGCTAGCTGTGCGAGTAGCAAACGACTCTGTGGTTTCGATTGTTGGGTCGGCCATCAGTTTTTTGTTGTGATCCCGCGAGTTGACCCATTGCACGCCTTGCAGAGTCCCCATAAACCTCTCCCTCAGTGCATCCTCCTTTCGAATGTCGACAGTCTGGTCTCCGACTCGGACGATCGTTTCAGCTGTCTAAAACGGCATTGATCTCAGCGGTGTAACCAAGCTGATAACTCCCAACCTTCACGGCCCGCCTTAAATCACTGCTGTAGGCTGCATCAAATTTGACATCTTTCAATGCCCGTGCTGCTTGTGCTGCTTGCTGCTCGCCCAGCTTGTTTAATTCTGTGTCAAGTTGCCCTTGTATGATGGAATCCCGATTCTCCTGCGTTTCTCCATGACGGACGATATAGACTCTTGCAAATGGCATGGATGGAAGACGAACGCGTCAAGTCACATTGATTGATGATCATGACAAACAATCCCGCTGAACTACTTTTCCTGCCCTTCCCCTTCACCCTGCTCGTCCTCCTCCTCTATGTCAATGGTTTTCCACCCTTTAGGTTGACCATCATCATTTGGATCACCGACCTCGGCCACTTTGAGCGGAATATTTTTACCTCTGAGCGCCGTTTTCAGCACGCGTATTTCCTGCTGCAGTGCCTCGTATTCTGACTCCGAACAATCCTGTCGCTTAGGGGTATACAGCGCCATATCCTCCATCTGCATCAAACCTTCCGCCTCCAGTCGCGTCTTGAGCATTCGGACACTTCGAATCGTTGCATCCACGTTGATATGTGTCGGGTGGTCGCTCTTGGTTATCAGCTCGAATAGCTCGCCGAATTTAGACTCTGCAGAGGCTTGCAACGGTCTCCAGAACAAATCCAACTCGACGATGGCCGAATTTGCGTTTGCCGCCGCCGCCAACATTTGCTGCAGCGCGTCAACATCATGACGAATCGCTATGTTGTCTCGCTCATCGGACTCTGGGTCGTTGCCAAACTCGAAGTAGACTTCGAGCGTGGTCAAATTCGGACAGCTTTCGATCCAATCGGGGAAATTGTGCTGCAGCCACGGCATTTCGGGCTCCTTTTTCCAGTCTGCTTCGGGTCGTGGCAGCGTACTGAGCCGCATACGAGAAAGGCTTGATGATGTGAAATGCGCAAAGAGATGCGAGTGGAGAGTAGTTTGGAACGTGATTTCGATATCTTCGAGGTTATCCAATGGGGCTGGGTCGCGTTGCTTTGCGTCCCAATACTCAGTGATAATTCCGTCGCTCAAGATCGGTGTTACACAGGCCAATCGACAATGCTCCAACTAGAATCATATCAATAAAGCGTGTTGACAGGTAAGCACGATCACTGACCGGTATTGCCTCTCTCAACACCTTGACACAGTCATAGAAAGGCAGCCAGACATTTGGCAAGGCCAAAGTCGTCAACTGGAAATACGGGATCGCCCACTGAATGAGTTCCAAAACGCGTCTCGGCTCCTCTTGGAAACCGAATGTGAGCTTGGTCAGCGCTCCCATCGTCTCGAACAACTCCGAGTCCTCGTCTGATGGATGCAACATAAATCTGGCGGCCGGCGCCTCTGGATGGTCGTCTTCGTCGTCACCCTCCTCTATTCCTGCCCACCCGATCGAGTCATCGTCCTTCGGCTGCCCAATGAACATCCTAATTTCCAGCTCCTCCAAATGATAGAGAGCAAGCTTCCCGCGACTCCCCAAATGAACTATCGCCTGCTCTGTCAACAGAAATGCGAGCGCCTCCATGTCCACCCCGTGTGTCTCCAACACAGTCCAGATCATGTTCACTGCGGCGACATAGCTTTCCGAATCTGCGAAGTCGCGGTAGTGGCGGTTGGGACCGGTCAATGCGAAGTAGAATCTGAGTCCGTCGCCCAAATCGTTGAGGACGATCCCTTTGGAAGCGCGCCAGATGCGCGTGTAATGCGCTGTCTGATCAACGAGCATCTGCCCCATCTCGGCCGTTATGTTGGGGGAGAGCGAGATTTCGTAGCAGCTGAACAGGCTGGTTGTCGAATGAACGACTCGTCGCCAGAGGTGTGAGATTTGGGAAAGGATTATTTGCGGACTGTGGGCATTCCTCCTGGTTCTGGGAAGGACGATGTCGGAATTGTAGCAGAGTTGGTCAACAATTTTCGTTATCAGCTCTCGCGAGAGTTTTTCGAATGGGGCCATGGCAATGAAAACGACACCCGGCTTACTGCTTTATGTTGCTGCTGGAGAATAAGGCAGAGACAATCGTTGCGGAGCTAGACTGATGTTCTCTGCAAAGCAAATGTTGAGGCCAACAAACACGCGGCATGCTCGATTGTCTGACCGGCCCTAATTTAGACCGCCGAGCCCGCGACGTTCTTCTTCTTTTGTGTCGCCGTCGCCTGGGTTATGGATACTTTGTTGCGGCGCGAGCGGTATGACAGATTGGGAAGACAATGCGCCTTTTTGTTCCTCGCGCCGTTCTGGTGGGTGGGTCAGTGAATTTGTTATCACCGACGGCCGTTGGCAGTGTCAGGTGAGCATACAATGAAACGTCCCGCTCATGATTGGCGCCAGGATAAGTGGGCGCTTGTCTGGACCTATCTTCGGCGTGTCAGTGTGGGATGTGGGCCGTTGATCAAGTCCGTGACCAGCGGCCAGCCCCTCAAAATAAATCCTACCAGCAATGCCACCAATAGGCTGTGTTTGTGGGTCCAGATGTTTACTTCTTGGACAAGTACTGACTTTCGTTGGCATCAGCCATCATAACGTGCCGCGATATCACCTTGTTTTTTCGCACAATTTTCGCCACACTTGGTGTTCTGTACAGCCCAATTGGTTTCTCGTTCTGGATGTGTGGCGTGCGTTTGCCTGCAGTATATAAGGTGTTCTCGGCTTCAAAACATCAGCCTTCAGGATGTACCTCCTCAACGACCCCGACTTGGCCAGCCTCCCGTTATCCGCGTTTGTCTCGCCCGCCTTCGTCGCGGCCTCGTTTTGTCTCTCAGCCATTGCGTTGGTGTTGGCCATCCGCCGACATGGCACACTTCCACCTGCCTCCGCATCCGTCAGTGAGACCCACCGTGGTCAGACTGGACAACCTCAGTCAGACAAACTAGCGCCACCGCCATATTCACCATATCCATGCCACAACAACAATCAGGCACAGCTATTCGTCTACCCTCACAACGCGTCCCGCCACCCATATTTGCCAGGCCCACCAGTCTATGATAGGCCCCCCTCTGTCCCCGCCAATCGCCCTCTCGGCTGGGGCCAACCCCCGCTCGACCAGCAAAGCACCCCAAGTGCAAGACGTGACTCACCGGCTGCGCCGCCGCGTCCACATCTGAATCACTGGCGAGTGCCAGTGCCCCATATGCATAAAACTACGGACTATCGTCGCTAGTCAATAACTCTCGATATTCCGAGTTGGAAGTCGACGTTGAACCCTTAACGATGAAATTCGTTTCTTTTATCTTTGATTACCTCATCCCTTCCACGGTCATTTTGCCAATCTTCCAAGTTGTATGAAGTTTTTGTCTGATTTGGTTGTCAACTCAGATTCACTACTAGATCACCCGGCTACCACAAATGTTGCTTCCTCCCTGTGTATTGAATGTGTCTTCAAGTTTCCTCGCTGGCCCCAGTCACTCCAATGCGACTTTGCCTGTGTTGCATCCCTCGCCCCAATGGCGGCGCCATCATCATTATTAGACGGCTTGGATGCCTCCAAAATGCGGCCGAGATTTGCAGCACATTTGCTTTCGGCCCAGAGTTTACGCCGCCCTATAGTCTGCTTACTATACGTCTACGACAACTTTAACTGCACCGCAACCCCCTCAGGCTCCCGCTCCTGCCTCATCGTTATCCAGCGCCTTGGACTTCTCCAAGGACCAAAATGCGCCCACGGCCCCCGGCCCGTCACTTCCGGCCTCCGGGCCGCCATCGCAAACCCCGTAACACCGAAATTATTGATGACCCGATGGACCCCAATGTCCAGGTGAGCGTCGGAGATCCTGGAAAAATGATTTTCCATCCACGACGCCATATCGGACTCGGTCTTTGATGACATTCAAGTTGCGCTTGTCCAGAGCAAAGACCGTGACGTGCGTGACGTGGTTCTCGCGAGGGACACACTGCCGCAGCTGCTCTTCTTCGCCGCTTTGCCGCATGAAACTCGCGCACTGCTTGACGAAGCTGAGCGTGAGGCGATAGGCTTAATTTCACTGCCCCTAGACCCCGACCGTGACATTTGTCATCAAACGACCTGGATTCATTGCGGGCTACAGCTAGCATGCCTTGGCTATCAGAAATAGGGGTGAATGTGACATCGAACGTAATTTCATCCCATGGACAATCGTGCACGTGACCGTGTCATGGCCAATTTTTTTTTCATAGTATGTATTTATCCACCTTTTTATTATTATGCAGTTCAGGCAGCAAGGCAAGTTAGCCAAATACTTACATCATATTGCTCAAACATCAACGGCGCGCGGCGGCAATGCCTCTGAGTAGCATGTAGGAGGCAACCGATTTGCCTTTTTGAGCCGGCATGTCTCTCCGAAGCGGAGAATTCAGAGTTTTGATGACATCACTGTATGTCTCACATTGCATTACACCTTGGTTCTGCCCAATCATGAGCCAAACAGAAGGCCCAAGTAAGTCCTCCGCTGCCGCTGATGCTGCCCGCCGAGAACAATTTGCCAAACACGTCAAGCGGCATCCTTTGAACACTGTCGTCCCGGGTTCTGAGGGCTGGACCAGTCCCGCTTTCCGTATTTTCCTAGAGTCAAACACGGGCAGCCGCGAGGAGGTACAGCCTGGCCACCGCTACTACCCCATCCATGCCCACATCCTAACAGCATTCAATCACCTCCTTGCATCGGACAGGGCAAAGGAGATCATCTCGGCTATGATTCTCACTACTATTGCGGAACTCGATGGGGCTCCAATCCTGCATCCAACAGAGGAAGACAATGACCACATTAGTGTCTCCGACGTCGAAGAAGCGCTCAAGACGGGAATGCCGAATGTCTTCATTCGAACACTAGCCAAACCGACCAAATCTGGGCCGCCCACAGAGTTCCCATGGGGGATGATTAGCGTTGAAAACAATACAATAGAGCTGAGTCTGTCCAAAGAACTTTGCGATGTCCTCTGTCCGGTGCGTGTTTACTCATTGGTTTCAGTCTGTCCTGCTTTTTACATTTTGCTTTCCAGATGACACCTGTCCCCAATGCGGCCTTGCGGGCATCATTCGAGCTCATCCTCCTCCTGACGATTGAGCATGAACTTGTTCATGTCCTCATAAAGCTGTTCTTTGGGCTTACCTTCATAATGCCCAGGTTACCATGCTTTCAAGAGGTCTACGACACCTCGGGCGATAGAATTGCGGAATCAGGGGCAACATTTGAGGCGTCCTACATGGGTGTCCAAATCCAAGCAGAGTGGACCCTCCCCCTCGACGAGCCAAATTCCAATGGATTTCCCAACTTGGAGAAAATGGCCGGATTAGTGGCACGAGTACTCCCGTGGCTTGAAGTTTTTCCGCTGGGTATGTCCCACAATTGAGCTCTCTTCTTCAAATGACATGTCCTACCATACAGAGCCACAAGATGTCCACAACCTGCTTGCGTCTTTTTCAAGTGATCGCCTCTGGATTCTCAGGCTCAAACAGCTATATCTGCCGCTGCCACAAATCGACATTAACCGCACTCTGCGCTACAGTGTGTCTTTGGAAAGCCTTGAGAACGAGGAGGAAGAGCCCGAGTTGAACAATCAGCAAGTCTACCGTTCGGGCTCATGCTGTGGCACCCACTCACTCCACTGGTCTTCGTCTCATAGGGTCCAGGTTTGACCTCTCCTTCCCGCTCGGACTCCTATGTGTTCTTTCGAAATTTCTACAACAATGGCATCAAGTAAAATACTCCACATTAGATTTCTTATCCAGCAATATAATCCCGTTGTCTCTTTGTAGTGACAAATTTTACATTGATTGCTTTCCCTCATCGCTTCAGCGACCTCCTGGACCTGGATCTCAACAATGATGCAGCTGGGGGCCCATTCTCTTTCCTTTTCCTGCCCAGCTCCTCCTCTTTCTTCTTCCGCAGCCGGATCGCGTCAAACACCCAGTCCCGCTTCGCCTTTTTCCCCCGCGCCAAACTCATGTACCTCCGACTCCGTCGCCTCGTCCAGCAACTCTAGCGCCGGCCGCTTTCCCGCGCGCCATGCGTATATCTGGATAAGCAGCTCGGGCAGCAAAACATTCAGACAATACTGCAGTTTTGGCGTCATTAAACCAACAGCACACACTAAAAAAATGACAATACTAACATCGTATTTCTCAAACGGCGACAATGCCTCGTATGCCGCGCAGCCAATTTGCCTGGGTGACTTTGAGCTGGCAGTCGCAGAGAGCTGTGTCGACAGAGGCGGCGAGGATATGTCGTCGCCGCCCTCGAGTTTGGTGCGGACATGGGACAGTTCGAGCTTTGTCACAGTGTAAGTTGTTGTCTGACCGATTGATGGAAGGAAGTTACCTCCATGTCTATGGAACCGTCTCTGAAACAGGTGGAGGAAATGGTGGGCTTGGGCGGTGAAGAAGGCGGCTCAATATCGATCTGTTCAGTCTTGAGTTGGAAAGACAAGGGAGGAAATGCGACGGTACCACTGGATTCTGAGGCGAAGCTGTTTCCTCGGGCAGCGCTGGTAATGTGGTTATCGTCTTCGTCGAGACTCGAAGGGGGGACGATGGAGGGCAGATCTGGAAATATATCACTAAGACTGCGGAAGAAATATACGCAATACACACATCCACAGAGACCATCGATGAGCTGGGCGGAATTGATGCAGGAGACAACGGTTGATCGACATCGCCAGCCACAGTTGCAGGCGGTGACGGTGACCGGGTAAGAGCAGGAGTTCGCAAAGCTTCACTTTGCTCCTCATTTTCGTCGTCTCCCCTCCGTCTTACTAAGCCTCTCAAGACCCACTCCTCCAAGAAACGTCGCAGCAACGTGACGTCTTTGGGGTTCATCATCCCATGCTCGCCGGCCTGCTTCACGACTGCCTCGCGCTTCTTGCCCCCAGCAATAAACATGTCATGTGCGGTCTTTGCCGGTGGGTATTTATCTTGGAGTATCGCGCGCAGCACCGGCTTGGTATGCACAAACTGATCACGAATGTCCAAGTCCGAAAACGTCAGTCCATCTGGCAACGGCCCCGGGTCTGGCTCGGGACTAATATCGCGCAGAAGTTGCTCCAGTAGGTCTTCGTCATTGGAATCCTCTTCATCAGCAACGTCTTCGACAATCTGACTCTCAAATTTCCCCACAGTGCAAGTCCCAAACCCATCCTCCTCACAGGCAAAGAACCAGTCGCGCTCGATTAGGCCTTCTTGACTGTCAATCCAAAGCACTTTGTACAATGGCTTCTTGTCCGGCGCCGGTGGAGGAACATATTCGAGCACCTTGGCATACCAGAACTGTCGGTCCAGCTTCCTTTCTTTACCAAGAATGAGCTCCCCTGGTATGGTGAGCGTCCAGTCTGGGGGAGGAGGAATCCATGGCTCGTCTTCTGTTTCAGAGAGCTCTGACAGCTCGTCGTCCGAAATGGAAATGCCTTTGGTTTGCTTCTGTTTGGCTGGCTGCCCAGTAGGATCGGGCAATTTCGGAATGTGCCGAACACTGGTGATGAACTCGGGGGAGGGGAGGCTGTCGTCCATGTCCCGTATCAAATACGCAACAGCCTTCATCCACGCTTCCTCCAGAACAGTCTTGTCGAGTTTTTGGCGCTTCCTGGCACCGCCTGCATTTACGTATTGCGGGTGAGGGAAACGGATTTCTCCGTTGGGTTTGGTCGCGGTGACTACTTGAGTGTTGCCTACCAGCATGATGACGGCTTCTGGCGAGGCGACACCGAATTGGCCATAGATTTTGTACTGCCCAGAGCTTGAAGGGACACGCTGTGTATGATTTGTGTCGTCAGCATTCGGAATTGGAGTCTGTGTGGAGACTGGTGAAGCTACTTACCTGAGCAGGCCACCAGATTTTTTCGCCCCCTTCATCCAAAGGTACAACATTGCCGTCCAAGGAGAGCAGAATAAAGACACATCCTTCTGATGCGTCGAACGGCGAAGTTACACGCCGTAGAGATTGGGCAGAGTCGGAGAGAGACGTGAAGTCGGATGGGTCGTCAGAATTTTGCGTTTGTGTAGATATTGGTCGTTTACTGCGAGCCGTACGCGGCACGGGGGCGCTCAGGCTTTTCCCGAGGATTGGTCTGTGTTTATTTTGCACGCGGCGCGAGGTTGACATGGTGGTTTGCGTTCAAGACGCGTCAAGCGCTGGTCACGATGTGACCAGCCTATTTGCTTCGTGTTTCCTTCCACCCGTCACTTTGAAGAAGTCTGCAAGAACGCCATTAGAATCTTCTCCCTCTCTGCTTCTTCGAAGACATGTCAACAATGCAATAATTCATGAAACAAACCGCGAAGGGCCTCCCCTCCGACACCAACGCCTACGATAAACGCAAGCTTCTCCACAAACTCCAATGAATCGTGAAAGAACTGCTTGACCGTCGCGTCATCCTTGCTCACCTTCCTCTTGTGCATGCTTTCTTCTTCTGCTCGCACTATTATGTACTATCGTGAAATCTATAAAGCAAGTCGTGGCTTTTTGGGGCTTTCGAGTCCAACTCCTCCGATGGCTACCCCGGAAACCCCTTCATCGTCCTCTTTCTATACATCTCCGTCTAGCTCCCCTTCAACCACCTACTTCGACAGCGACTACTCTTCTCAAACCTCACCAGCCAGCTCCACTTCTCCATCTGCTGTGGAGAAATGGGTGGATATGTGTGGTCCGCAAAACCTTACCGTCGACCTCGTTTCTCATGGAGCAGAGGAACTCAAACTGCTGCAGCATGCACGACTGCAAGTGCGTTATTCTTTCTTGGCAATAACTCCTTGTTGATATGTACCATAGGCCTCGTCGCAGTCAGCCTCCGTCGAAGAGAAAAGTTATGCCCAATACGCCAAGAAAGTTGCAGATAACGCGCCCTTCCGACAAAATCGCTACTGGTTTTACAAGATGAAGAATGTCCTCAGGCAAATCGACCTCCAAACAGCTTGTATTCCTCGCAAAAGCCCACTTAGATTCCTTGACCTTGGGCAAGTCCTCCTTGTGTCTTCACCAGAGTCCGCTCACTCCTACTTTTAGTTGCTGTCCAGGCGGCTTCACTTCGTATATCTTGAGTAAGAATCTCACTGCTCACGGCCATGGCATCTCCTCGGAAATTGAAAACGGTGGACATCGCTACCTTCTCGAAGACCGCCATCGTTCGCGCTTCAAGATTTCCTATGCTGACTTGAGCTACTACCGCTTGGGCCCGCTACCCGCCTCCGCCCTGTCTGCATCGAGCAAACACGGTTCCAACAACACTCTCCCTTTCGATGCCAACAAGCCTTTAGATATCGTTCTCCTTGATGGACACCCATTACGGAGTGCTGGCGACCCAGATCGGCTTTTAGTCTCCCAACTCATCATGGGGCTCCAATGGATCAAGCCAGGCGGAACACTCATCATCCGTCTCGCTGACCCCGAGCGAGCAGCGACCGCTAAACTCCTCTTCATGTTCGATGGCCTTTCCGCGAGCCTCGCCACTTTCAAGCCTCGCACTATCAACGCCACACGAAGCACCTTTTATGTCATCGCCAAAGGTGTTGGCGAGGGAATCGGGGCTGCGTGTCAGCCCATCCTCATTGAGAAGCTTAAGGAATTATGGGTCGAGTTGATGGTTGGTGGCGAGCAAGGGAACGGACGCTCGTTGAACGAGGAAGATTTGGATTTCGTGGTCACTACGAAGGAGCTGCAGCAGGCCAAACATCTGGAACGCATCATCGAACTCAGCAAATACATTTGGGAGGTCCAGGCTGATGCACTCGCGGGCATAGACAAGCGCATGGTGGCTAACTGTCAGGTGTTTTCGAAGGAGGGTATGTCTGTTGCTGATCATCTAGTTAATTGATGTCTTTTGAACCATTTATCTTATCTGATGGAATCAAATCATGGACTGTTTAATCTATAAGGGATTCTTTCGACCTTCAACCTTCAAGATCAACCCAGACCAAGAAATTGACAAGGCTGCAGTATGAGGTGGACATGATGCAATACCTGGTGAAGATGAAGTCGAATTTGGACTCCAAACGCCTTCGCTCGGCTGCGCGGCTCAGCACTCGCTAGCTCGAGATTATCAAGTCAAATCTATGTGAAAACAACTTGAACTTGAAGACCACGACAAATCTCAAGACGACTTATCACTGCGACCACACATCAAAATTTGTCGTCAAGCCGTTGGCTAAAGTTAGCCGATGGTACTTGGTACACATCTGGTACCTAGAACGTCGCTTCTTGGCGCCGGCGTCGATCAAGGGCAAGGCTATAAGACGCCGTTCCTTCACCGTTTGCTTCCCTCGTCCTCATCGCACCACCAGATGTTGTCCTGGCTCTCCGCGCTTTCTCTGGCGACCACATTTGCGCAGCGTTATTAGATCTCCCTTTCTTTCTCAATCGCTCATCAAAGCGCCCTGTAGATGCCCTTGCCGCGCCAGGCCAGCTGGTCACGGTCATAGTGCCTGTGCTGGACCCCGACAGCACGTTAACCGCTGTGGTACTCGGTGTTGACTCGAAGGGTCACACAACCTACCAGCTCGATCAACCCGAAGTAGGACTCCAGTCTGGCGGGACCCGTACCACGACGTCAATAATAAAACCTGCGACAGGTCAACATTCTCTCTTCTTGTTTCAAACGAATTAACATCCTACAGCAACGCTTGTTGCCGGGTCGGACTACGCGTCATACACATACTCTGTCGACGACCCTGGCCGGGTCAATATCCACCTCGGATTCGACTGCATTATCGAGGGCGGCGGCGGTGATGCCATCTGTTCCAATGTCAACTTGAACGTGAACCAAAACTCGGTCGCCGCGGCAACGACCACGTTTCTCCCGGACGCGCTGGCCAAAGTCGTGCTCGACATCGTGCCCAATTCGCCCGCACCGAGTAATACTGCGGGTGGCTCTCAGGCTGGCGGTGGAGGCGGCCCTTCACAAACCTCTTCTGTGGGTGGAAAATCTGGAGCGTCAACTGGGCCTTCGTTATCGGGCCAGCCTTCCCCGACTGGGTCCCAGCCGAGTGCGGGAAAGATATGGCGCCCATCGCGGTTGCTTTGGGCTGTATGGGCCGGGTTATTTGCGGTTATTGGGCTGCTTTAGGGACAAGACAAGACAAGACAAGTATATTCACAGTGCTCCTACGTAAGAGCCCATGACATCGTATCTACATACCTGTGCCCCACATGATATGCTACGATCCTATCCCAGTAGTAGTATCCGTTGTGAGCAGCCCACTCCGAGATGGGGAACTTCAATTATACAATCTGCTAATCGTAATATCGACTCTCTGCCATCACAATTTCCATCGTCTCGTGAACATACTGAGCCAACGAGTTGACAGCCTTCCGGGAAGCCAGTGTCTGCCTGAAGAAGTCCGTGCGAGAACAGTGCAGGAACGGCCAACGTAGGAGCGGCTCCATGCTGAACAGCTCATGGAGGAACAGCTCCCTCCTCCGAACTAAATCGTCGCGAGCTTCACACTCGTACAAAACGTGTGTTTCGTCTTCCACACTAATTCTGCACATGCGGCAGAGGCGTCTCTCGCGCGGTACCGGTGCACGGTCCCTCTGAGGGTATCTCAAAACCTCCACGCTTAGGCTATGATTCGTCAACAACAGTCGAGTCAGCGCTTTCCGATGTGCTGGGATCGTAACCTGTGTGAGATAGTGCCTTCGGCGCCGGATAACGACGTCAAGTCTCCCTTCTTCGGTGAGCTCCACTCGTCCACGCAGGAGGAAGCATTTCGTTCCGCCGTCAATCTGGGCTTGCAGGTGAGCATCAGTAACCCGCACGACCTCCTTCTTTATGGCCCCAATTCTCTCACTGTCGACCAGGTCCGCGGGGTCAATAACGATTGGAGTCGGCAGTGCATACAGTGCATTTGCAAGATCGCCAGCCCAGGAGGGCTTCCGTTGCATCCAGAGGTCGAGAGATTCTGCCATGCATAGCTTGACAGTGCGGTCATCGGGCATATTCGCTGTGTACTCGGCCCGCCCCAGTGCCAGCAGAATGCGGCGGCTGCGAATAGGCAATAAGCCCGTTTCCGTATAGAGCGGGGCCACCATGCACCGCGGTCCCACTCCCAGCAAGCGCCTCAAAAACTGAACCTCCACTGCTTCCAGCTCCGTGATCAGGTTGTCTGTGTCGATTGCAATATCCGCTGCCCGGGTGAGGTAAGGGAGCACGCGAGCCATATAGAGCTGGATTCCCGTCGAGACTGGCATTGAGCCGATGTGGTGTTTCAAGGCAAACAACATGTTTGCGGCCTTGCGAGCCTTAGCAGCGTTGTGGGCTAGACGAAATGGCCGCGACAGCCGCGACATGGCCGCGACACAGCCGCAGCAAGGCCGCAGCAAGGCCGCGACAAGGCCGCGACCACTGTCACGCTCCGGTGCACTTGGCCGCACAAATGAGAAATATCAAGAGACTAAAAATGTGCCCGAGTTGTGTACCTTTGGTTAAACTGTTCCACTGGCAGTGTGTCGCCCAAGTGTGCTGCCGCCTGCAGCCTGCGGGTGCCAGAGGGACTTGGGATTCAAGTTACTAGCCTGAAGTGCGACACTGGCTGGTCAGATTGGACTTTGAGAGTGTTCTGGTGGCGAACATTGATAGTGTGGGTGGCCAGCAGGAGTGCGAGCACCGCCGAGAGGCCAAAAGACTCAACCGTGGCCGAGATACCTAGTACTGCCATTTGGACCAGTAAGAGTTGGGGTTTGCAATGGCCATACTCAGACTAGCCTGAGGCCATTAGCGTTGGCCGATCCGGGATGACTTGTATGTGAAAAGGCACCCTTAGGCAGTCGAATATCAAGTTGCGGCCATGTGACTGATGCAGCGGCCATTTCACTGATGTTGTGACATGGCCGCAGCACAGCCGCGGACCGACCGCAACAAAGCCGCGTCAAGAATTTTGATGGCTGCGGCCATTGGTGGACAGCCACCAAGACTTGGCCGCAAGGCCGCAACATGGCCGCTGCACGGCCGCGACAACTGCTGACTTAGGCACCTTTGTGCAAGGAATTGGCATTGTAAGTGATATATTTTTACATTATATGCTACAGAGAGCCCCCACCAAGCATACCATGCATTCCACTGAGGAATAATGGTACGGACGGGCTCGATGCGGCTGTGTGGCTGTGCAAACGCGGCCCTGCGGCCGTGTCGCGGCCATTTAGCGTGGCCCGCAGCGTTGTAAGAATAATTTGGGGCAAAAATGTTCCGACAAGTTGAATTCAGCCATATTCCTTGGAACTTGAACTCTTATGTCGGAAAACTGGAAAAACCCTTATAAGGACCTGATGGAACCTGATGGGCTTATCAGACAGAATAAGATTGACTATCTAAGATGATAAGGTCTGATAAGGTCTGATAAGACTCTGATTGGGGGGGATAAGGTCTTATAAGTGGTCAGTTAAAAGCTTATCAGACAGAATAAGATTAACCATCTATGCTGATAAGGTCTGATTGGGGGGGATAAGTGGTCAGTTGAGAGCTTATAAGACCATATAATCAAAATCTGGCTTGTAATAATTAGGACATGCCCTTAGACCTGTCACTGGCTTGGAGTCAAAATATTGATATTATGACCAAAATATTACAAGTTTTCAAAAACACAGCTGTTGCTCTTATACCCTGTAAATATTCTACCATATTAAATTATATTGAAATTATATATAGTAAATAATGATATTTACCCTCCAGGAATACATGGTTATACTATAAAACATAATACTCAGGTTGAATGAGGTGATATAAGCTCCATAGTGTGCGTCATATATGGAGTAGAAGTTCTTAGACTTGCACGGTTGCATAGTGCAGTGGTAGTTACTCCTGTCTTCCTTTGTCACAAGTTGGTGGAGTAGACAGATAGATAGTTAAGTGCTGCTGCTTCCTTAGGAGAGTCTCCCAGGCCTCAGAGGCAGAGAGTTGAATGTTTTGCATGATTTTAATTTCTGGGTCCAAAAGTTCTTATATGGTCTGATAAGCTTCATAAGCTCTGATAATCTCTCAAAAGGACAGTCAGGCCAGATTGGATCCCATTAGAAGGTTTTGCAGCTGATATGCATTCAAAAATCTGATGAGCTTATATTGCCTGATTGGGTCCTATATGTACTGATAATCTATTTCTCAGTTTTCCGACATAGTTTTCAGCCATCACACTCAAAGCTCCTGGAGGTTGAAATTTTCATTTCAGTGCAGGCACTGAATTGATTAAAATGCTACAGTATCTTACAGCAATCAACAATGGGTTTGTCAGAAACGGAAGTCTGGATGTACATTTAACCCAACTTCATCATCACTCTCGCCACCCTCCCAGTTCTGAGTCAGCTCTCCCGCATCAAAATCATCAAATGAGAACCATTCTTTGCGGAAGGTTAGGTCAATGTTCTTCTGCTTGCAAAGCCGCTTGATCTCCTCTGTCTGTTCCGCAGTCGACGGAACTTGAAGGTCACCAAAGATGAAGAGTTCCTTTAGCCCAGGCAACGGGAAGGGGTTTGCTTTCAACCATTTGATGATAAAATCCGCTGAAAGGGACTGGACTGCGGCTTTCGAGAGGCGCAACAGCCGGAGGGCTCGAGGAAGCGCGTTCAGCACGGACGGCAATATGCTCACATCGTTCAACGCAAGCTGCTCAAGGCGTCTACAGTTGGCAAAGAAGGCGTCGTTCAGATGCATAGGCGTGGGACGTAGGTTAGCGTAGCCATTGATCGAGAGAAGGGTGAGTGTCGGTGCAGCGATGTCGATGCATTTCTTCAATTCGGCTGATGTCATGGTGGTAAGACCATCGAGAACAAGCTCTTTTACCCGCGGCATTAGGCGCAATATAGCTATCAAGCTCCGCGCAACCACTTCCCGTTGTAAGACGCCCAGGGAAAGCTCCGTTGCGACTGAACTTGGAGTGCGAGCATTGGGAAGATGGCCGCCAATGATCGGATCATCGTCACCGCCACCAAAGTCGATATGGTCTACATCGATTTCGACGAGTCTCGGGAAAGCCAGAATAGAGCGTAGCCATCCTCCGTTCAGCGCGTCCCAGCAGCCACCTTGTCTACACCGAAAGCAGCCGGAGAGATTGACATGAGTGAGGCGGACGTCTTCAGCCTTTTGTCTGGCCAACGCCGAGATGAAGTCGCCGCCAAATAAGCTCAGTCTGGTGAGCTGAGGACACGCATCGAGAAACCATTTCAGCGCGAGGGTGCTCATTGGACGCGGCTGGTCTTGATCTGGCGCCTGCATGTAGTGTGGCAGGGTGTCGTCCAACTCTCGTGCCTGGCAGGCAGACCGCAACGATGCCCGTTTGACGAATTTCGCAAGGTGTGGGGAGAAGCGCAATTGGCCGGTGAGTAGCAGAAAGCGTTCAGGGCCCTCTAGAGTGAGGTCACCGTAAAGACAGCGCCGAATGGGATTGACAAAGGAGCGGTTGACCAGTGCGAAGCCAATAAACCGCTGAAGATAGAGTTAGGCACAAATAATACGAGCAAAGATAGACCTTGGGAAGGGCTTCATCATTGTAGACCCCATTCTCGTCTTGTCTGTCTGAAAAAGCATGGTCCACGATGTTCTCGACTATATCTTCGATTTCAAGCGCACGAATACGCCTCGGAGGACCCGCTGGTGCCGGAAACTTGGTGGTTTTCAGTTTTCGTCGTCGAGCAGCCATGGATGATGGAGTTTGGAGCGAAGAGCCTGAGTCTGATCTTGTTGATCCAGAATGATTCAGGATCAGATTAGATTTCTCTATTCAGGAAAAGAGCGCAGGTAGCGGCAGTACAGCGTAGTATTAACGCATGCCTAGCCCACTAAACACATTAACTCCTTCACAACAAATCAAATGACTCAACGGCTTAGACTAGACTCTGTCGTTCAAATTAGATTTCGCTATCTCGAATGGATACATGTAAGCAAAAAATACGTTAGAGTACACTCCCGTCGACTAGAACTTGGATAGCAATTCGTGTGGCGTTGTCCTTCACCGTCCCGTGCCAGTACAAGTCCGTGCGAGGTAATGGTAACCAAGAAATAGGGAGAGCAAAGGAAAGCAGTGGCGGGGAGATAAGACGTTAGATCATGGAAAAGAGCACAAAACCGGAAAATGGTGGTGGTACATTATATTATGTGGTTGGCAGGAAACTCTAGAAGCCGCCAAAGTTTTGGCCACCTTCACCGCCAGGCGCAGGGCTTGGATGACGCATAACGCTCTGGTGCATGGCGAACTGGCCACCGATATTGGGATTGGGCATGCCCATATTCATGCCCATCATCTGCATTTGCATCATAGGCGTCATTTGCGGCATCTGATATGCCAGTGCGTTAGGATTGTTCATGCCATACTGGGCAGGCTGTTGATGCGCCATCATTGGCGACATTTGCGGAGAAGTCGTGGGGATAGATCCACCCCCGCCGCTGCTCGGACTTCCGGGCGCTGACGGGCCTTGATTGCCTTGCGATTTTTGCATCGCTTGAAGCTGTAAATAAGTTAGAGCTAGCGCAGTAAATTTGACCCGACGTCTACCTCATAAAAGGCAAAATCCTGGAGAAGCGAAGTTCGTGCAGGGTGGGTGTGGAAGATTCGAAGCATTTCTTGGCCAGCCTCAGCAAGCAGCTCTTGCGTATCACGCGAGTTGGTCACTGGTTTGCGTTCGGCGGTGTTTCTATCTCGTAATTAGAACACAAGTGGGAAGAAGATTGGACTCCTTACAGAAGTTTGATGTGGCGAAGATTCACGTTGGGAATATCGCGCACGAATATCCAACGCACTTTGAAGACACCTTTCCACTTGTCAGAGGCCCACACAGTACTGCTTTTGGTATAGTCCACAGGCGTCAACATCTCGGCCATACCACAAAAGTGTCCGCTGAACTTGTTTCAGCGACCGAGAGAAAAGGTGTGATCAGTCGTACCTAGCGTTCACGCTAAAGAACAAATAGATCGGACCACGTCCGTTGCATTCCTTGAAAGCTTTGTCGAGACGCTTATTTCCTGGCTCAGTCGAGCTCCATATCTCGTATTTCAGTGATTTGTGAACATCGTCCTCGGTATAAGACTTGATAACGAAGAAACGGGCCTGTGACATGTGAGTGGATGGAATTGGGTAGATTTGGACAACAACAAACATAAGTCGGTCTGAGGTCGAAAGTGGCGGGGTTGTAGCCCTTGGTCGCGATCAAAGTCGGCACGTCGATTGGTGCGAAGCCTTGAGCTGGAGTCTGCCCAGTGGGCATTCTCTGCTGCTGCTGCGGCTGGTATTGTTGCGGAAGAGCGGGCACCGGCTGGCCTTTGCTGGCCTGTTGCTGCTGATAGGCGTATTGGAGGTTGGGGTTTGAAGTGCGCAACGGGATGCCTTGTTGTCCATATTGCTGCCCATACCCTCCTGGAGACTGACCCACGGGAGTCTTCCGCCCGTCGAGTTCGGTGACCAAGTCAAGCTTTCGTCCATTTCCGTTTCCATTGTTGCCCCGCAAGCCGGGTGCCTGGGCAGGAGGAGGGTGAGCAGGATTGAATCGTGGTGGATGGACACTCTGTCCACCACCATAACCGGCTGATCCGCCAATGTCCAGCGAAGAAAGGGCCCGTTGGACGTCATCAACACTGCCTGAAAAGTTGTTCGGGTTTGATGCGCGCCAATCGTTGCCACCATTATTAGACCAGGGTGATAGTCGCCCAACAGGGCTGACTGGTGCAGGCTGTTGTTTGTAATATTCCGACTCATCGTATACGTCTTGCTCGTCATCATAGACTTGTTCTTCTTCCGCTTCTTCCGCTGGTTCGGAGGGTCGGACATGATGGGCAGGAACTGGAGTCTGGAGTGTGCCAGAGCGACGGAGACCAGTCACAGGTATTTTTTGGGCCTGACGAGCAGCAGCTCCGTATGTCAGAGACTGGTGTCGTCTGACGCCAGAAGCGGCAGTGGGAGGAGATGTGTCGTGTGGTGAGCTAGGGTCCATGTTGGCCTCTTCTCCAGTCGGCTGCTGAGCAAGGTGTCAGATATAGTGTAATGAGAAGGTCGCCGCTTCACACGAAGATCGCGCAACCAAAATAACGGACGGAGAAATCGATAGTTGACCAAAGTAAAAAAAACAAAAGCAACACACCTCTTCCGCAGCGTAGGCGTCGATATCGCCTTCCCAATCGTCCTCGTCACCTTCGTGGCCGGCGATAGCAGTAAGACTATTCTTGACGGTGAGACTGCCCGACCTAGACAAACCGGAGGCTTGGGGCTGGAACGCTGACATCGAGGGAACATTAGTTTCGGTAAAATAAAGCTGGGGCTGGGGCGGACCTCGATGGTAACGAGTCGGTAGCGAGCTCTGGCGGTGGAGACCAGACTTTTCACCCACTGCACCAACACCGCCTACCCAGTCATCCCCGACCACCTCATCTTCATTCCAAGGCCCCTCTTGATCTGCAGTCGTCTCTTCTGAAATAGCAGCATTGCGGGCGGTTCTCGATGATGCTGAGATTGTGTGATGTCGTCGAACTCCACTGTTTGGGGGCGAGCCGGGAACTGGCGGTAGCTGACTTGGCTGGCTCATGGTAGAGAAGAAGAAGGTCACAAAGCGTTGAAAGTCCTAACGACGATCTGGCTTCAAGCCGTCGTCGACGTCTGTGATGACGGCCGTAAAAAGAAAAGGGTGGATGGAATCACGATACGGAGTCTATATCCAATAAGCGCTTACTTGTAACACTCACCACGACGACCCCAACACGTCCGTTTCAATCCTTCAACAGAGCTCAACACGACCGATAATAACGCACAGATATGGCCTTGCGACCTCTGCTGGTTCCCAGGTTTTGCTGTTAGTTGCCGTGTTCTTCGAGTTCTTTGACACCTCGTTTGTGACATTTTGTTTCAACCCCCTGGACACTTAGAGCCAGCGCCACCAAATCCTTGCCAAATCCCCCACGACTTACTGGTTTTTCGCCGGTATTCTTGAGGTATTAACTACTGAAAAAATCTCGGGTTTGCTGAGCTCCTTAGAGGCAACGATGTAATCACGGACTACTTGGCCCCAATTTGGCCCATTCCGAAATTCTTCATCGTGCCTCGTGGTTGCGAATGCTATGGACTGAGCCCAAACTGAGCCAGAGGTGGCGCTGGCTGCTCATGCAGATCTGATGTCGACAATTATGTACTTGCATCCGCGGCGCTTGCCGTCCATCAAACCCAGTGTTTAAGCGAGAGTAGACGCCATGATATAAATTGCTCCCTGGTTAGTGAGTTTTTTCTTCCTTTTACCCAACCACCGGCACTTGGTGAGTGGCTTGTGCCTCTCTACTCGCGTTCTGATTCATATAGCAGCTTGAATGTACTCGCAAGTTCGTCGCAGCTCTCCCCCTCCCTCCGCTTATCCCCCTCCACCTTTGACCTCCGATGATTCATTTCGAAAGTCGTCCACAACACGGAGCCCCATGGATTCGAAATCGCACTACTATCCAGCTTCAGTCTTGCTCATGATCATTTGGATCGCTTTCGTTGCGGCCTTGTTGTGGTTGCTCGAAGCGGCAGTAAAGCACGGCCCTGAACACTTCACCCAGCCGTGGTACTATACCACTCTGCCCAATATTCTCCTTACCATCTTTGCTCAAGGCCACGTTGCGCTCACTGCAATGCTTCTTGCGCGTGTATCTGTCTCGGCCCTTCATTCTCCTCGTACTTCACCAAAGACATGGGCGGAGGTTTTCTGGATGTCCGACAATGCTTGGCAAGGGCCAGTGGGAATTGTTTCGAGCCTTTTTGAGGCATGGAGTCTTGGTGTTGGCGTTTCGGTGCATTATATTGTTTGCGCGCTGACATGCCTTACCGCACTTGTCACCCCCATTGTCCTTTCACGCGCCTATCCCATCGAAAGTATCACCATCACCCAAGGAGTCACGATTAACCCAGCAACTCTTGATGTAGCTCGATTTGGCGCTGTTGACGGTTACACACAGATAGGCACCGGTTCCGGGTCTTGGTCTTCTGCTCTGTCCATATCCGAGGTGTACAACTCCAGCGTATTCCTACCCTCCGAGGCCACCCGTATCAACGACCCTAAAGACTTTTTCTTTGCTGGCGATGTTGACACAACCATCGTCCGACTTCCTGGTCTGCGCCTTTCTGGCCAGTGTGTTTCAATGGAAAATCCGGTCCACAACTTCGGCAACGATTTTTCGGCATTCTGCAATGCCCAAGTTCCCAAGATTCCGTTCATCTCCTCCCCAATTAAACTCGCCAACCTGAATGTTAACCTGACCGTGCAAACATGCACCAACTCATCTTGGGAGGTGATTCTTACTTCTACCATACCGACATCGAAAAACGTCGGGTTCATTTATCTCCAATCCACAAATGGTTCAGCCGTGTCCGCTGGAAAGCAGTTCAGCACTGTTGAAGGCATGGTTCGATGTGAATCCACCTTCTCGACAGGATGGGCGACGCTTGACGGTCGCAGCCGGACCTATACCAACTTTGCTGAGACAGTTTTACTGAATTTCACTGCCTCACAACAAGGCGAGCCGCTCCTCGACCCGATGTACGCTTTTATGTACTCCCTCGACAATGCGCAAAAAACGGCGAAAGTGAATGAGCCCACATTCGCTGCTTCGGCCGTCAACGCGCTTGGATATTCTCCATTGGTCTCAGGCGCGCAAGGATCATGGTCGCAGCCGACCGTCGATGAATTGGCCAAAGGGCTCTGGCGGGGAGTTTCCTATATGGTGACAAGCGTTGGCCTACGTTCGCGCTCAACGGCCGTTTCGTATCCCGCCTCTCAGACCGGCGTCACTGCCGTCTATATTCGGGTCCAGCGGTATTTTATCGTGTCCTATGCACTCATTGTCCTGTGGCTTTTCCTATTGCTGCTTGTTACGGTGCGGAGTTATAGGCCAACAGTCGCCGGCAGCTTCGACAGCTACCTCACTGCCAGGCTGATCGTCGACAGCCCGAATCTGGCGGATCGGTCGGTGGAGGACAAGAGCTTTTTGACCGACAAATTTGGTTTCGTGACGAGGAATGAGCACGGTCAGGTTGTTGTGGTTGGGGCATGAGGTGAGGACAGGAGCTAGATAGGTATATCATTGTAATACTAGCATACACATCGTTTTCTAAGTTCTCTGATAATGGATTAGATAAGACAAGATAAGATTGACTGCTGGCAACATCAGAGCATCCTGTGTCGGAAAAGGTTTGAGTTAGTAAAAAGCTAGCTTCCGCGTCGTTTCAAGATTTTCATACGCTGGACCGTGCCGTGTATTAATCGTATCCTATCCTGGGCCAGGTGTAGTAAACCACTTTGAAAGTAGGTGTGACGTCACGGTCACGAAATTTTGTGACTCTCGTCGACGCGACTTGCTTTTGACCATAACCTCTATCCGAAATGCAAGCTCAAAGCACACGGACGGAAGCTGTCACAACATCAGCTCAGAGCCTCTTAGCTATACAGACCCTTTTACGCGCCAGTTTAGGTTGCATAACTTTTCTCAGGCAAGCTCTTCTCTTGCGCCCCTTCTTTCTTCAAACATGTCTAGGGATCTACTACCAAGCGACAACTTCACCGACAGTAGGACATATGTCTCATTGGTATCGTCAACATCTTCTGACCTCCTTAGGTCACTTCACTAGTTCGGACGACTCCTTCCTTTCCTCCCAGTCCTCTTCCGACCCCAATAGCTCGATCGATAGTCGTAATGGGAAGAATGTCAACGGATTCAAGATCATGGTGCGCAGCTCTATGCCTCTATTGCTCCTCTCACCTGTCATAGACAATGTCGCGTGGTTATACTCACGAGGCTGACAAAATACTCAACTACTTGGCGGGTTCTCGAGCTACTATCATGAACGTCTTTTGATTTTCTATCAGGAATATGGTATATTCGATGCGTTACAAAAGCACTACCTTCGCAGCTTCATTTTCGCCATATATTTGGTATGGTATTGAAATGTTCGCGTCAAGCTGGTCAAGCTGAACCGTTACGTAGGACGAGAAGGATCCTACCAAGTAAGATAACGCAAGTCCAACTTGGTTTATTTGCCTCACAAGTCTTCCAAAAGCATCGTCGAAGCATACACTTTCAATTTCCACGTGCGTCATCGTTTCAGGCTTCATTCCAACTAAGAATATGCGTTACAGTACCATACTATTCCTGGAACAAACACTGTAATACCTCTCATGAGCGTCGGCGAGAATAAGAAGCGCGCTGGCAAGGACCCGGTTTCCGTTGCCGTTAAGAACGGGAAAGCTCCCACCCTCAAAGATGTCAAGAAGAGTGTCAAGGTTTGTCGGATAACTTCATCGTCGTGTACGCACCTTTTAAAACCTTCAGACATTATTGAAGACTCTCATCCATTCCACAACCCAAATGGATGTTCTGCCCAGTATTTGGCTCTTCTGCGTCTCACTGCCTGTACTCATGCCTCCTGCAGAACGTCGATTCGCGGCCTTCAAGCTGTTCTACACCGATGACACGCCTGCCGACTACGAGCCCCCACACTTTCAAGCGGGTGACGCACAGAAGGACAAGTGGTATTTCATGACCCATGATATGGACGAGGTTCCAGACAACTGGAAGATGGGTCAAGTTGAGACAGGCCATCACTCGTACGTCCCAAGATAACCTCTCGTGGCTATGGGTTGAATCCGTTTCAGCGTTAATCTCAGCGTTGCGTCAATTGCGACGTATTTACCATCGTCTACTGAAAACGAACATGCGACATTCACTGGAACCGTTTCCTACCCAGCTGGCTGCCCGCCACCTCTTACACCGATTGAAGAGGCTGCCGTTCGTGCTGAACAAGCCGAAAAACAGATGCAAGATGCAGACAAACGAAATATTGTCTGGGCTGCGGATGCTGCTGTCGAAGGTGACGACGACCTATTAGACTGCCCAGGAGATGAGGAGGAGGGTTACCTCCTGCGGTTCGACTCGGAAGCCGGGATGATGCCATACGGAGTCAGGAATGCCGATGGCCGGATAGAGCCTATTTCAAAGGAGATGGAAGTGGAGATGCATTTCGGAGGCACCTCGCAGGCAGTGCCGACACGTCTCGAGGAGCTGGTACTGGCTTTGCCTTTGATCATGATTCGTGTTGTCTGACACCGTTTAGGACGCGCTGGGTAGACTTGAAAACACCGATATGGAGCAGACACAGTCATTCCCAGACTTCCCTCCAGCAGCTCAAGATCGCGACATCAATCGCAACGACTCATTGCCACCCTCAGATATCCTCACATCATCGACTATTGCCGATCGAAACATCGAAACCCAAATTGACATTGATACTCAACGACTTCAGGCGCTAGCACTCGAAAACCAAATGTTAACCGACGATACGGAAATGCTGGGTAACCTATTCTCCGCGACGTTTGACTTCATCTCTGACTACAATATGCAGATATGGAAACTCAGATGTCCGTTCCAGAGGTTGTTGATCCAATCCGGTCGTTTAGTGACACCGAAATGGGTGACCAATGCATTCAAGAAGACCCGCCAACACCCAAAGCGAAACGGCCAATGCATAAAGACAAGCAGGTTGAGGATCGCGGTTTACAATGCGAATGCGATGTGATGGTAAGCTTTCTCAGAACATTCTTCTCGAATTCTTTACCCAATGAACCAGATCGATGACGAGCTCTGTTTCTGCCATGGTTGTGGGCGCCAATATCACGTCTGGTGTATGGGGTGCGTTTTGACTCTGCTCCCCTCAATGAATCCGACTCAAACGTAACCAGCTTCCATTCTACCAAGGATGACCGTATTCCTGAAGATTTTATTTGTTTCGACTGTCGAGTCCACGCTGACAATTCTTGGGAACTCATCAAAGTCGACCTTTATCCGAAGATGCTTTCCAAATTCAAGGACCTTGCTCTCTTTAGGTAGAGTGAGACCATTCGGCTATTGGCTTTCGTGCTAATTGATCTAGGCGAGCGATCAAGGTGGCCGAGACACGCAACCCTGCCGTAGTCGCGGAATTCGCTAAATTGGTTGGCAAGTTTTTTTTTCTGCTTCGTTGACTCCTAGGTCATGATAAATCATAGGCTGCGATAATATACTCGCTCGGCAGTTGTTCAAGCGTCTGGAAAACGAGGGTAATCGAGTTCGGTCCACATGACTGCAAACTTAGACATGCTTCTCAGGCTTTATCGTGGAGAATACGCTGGAAATGGATGATCTCGGCTTTCTGGAGACACGGTCCAAGGCAACCAAAGCTAAATCGAAATCGAAAGGCAAGCAAACAAAACAACGGAAGAATGTGCAGAAAGCAAAATATACCTTCAATCGCGCCTGTCTGTCGACATCTGAATTCAAGGACTACTTCGACCCAACTATTGAAAGCCGTCTGCTTGATCTGCCACAGAAAGTTTGTCGATTCTTCAGATGGAGATTCACCAGCTACCCAGTTATCTTGCAGAAGGCTGATATCAAAGCGCGTCCTCTGACGACAATCATTGACGAGTCTCAAACCCAAGACGACACTCAGATGCCGAATGCCGAAACTTTGAACACTGCTAGACCCTCCATCCTCAGCAAACGGGCTCATACCGATTCAAGCGATTCGGCGCCGCGCCGCAAGAAGGTCAAGATTTCCATCGCAGCCGCTGTCGATCTTGCGGAGTAATAACCGCCACCCAATGAATACCTCACAAGATACGGACTCAGCTTTTACTCTGCAACATATGCTTAGAATCGCTACTGCTCACGAATCAACTCTCTCTCTCTCTCTCGATACTTGAACAAAGGACGGAAGGATATACTATGAAAGGCGGGGGGGACATGGCGTTGTTAGTTAACCACCAGTCAGTCGGAGTAACTTCCGATACTTCGGCCATATGTGTACTATCTCAGCGAACAACCCACGAACGCACTACTCAATCTCATTGGCGCTCGGAAACACTACTTACGAGTAAAACTGGCGCTGTTAGAGTCCAAATATGACGGCCTGAGAAAAGCTATATCCGCCTCTCTGAGTTTACTTGCCGGACTAGTTCCTTCTGTGTTAGTCGACGGTGGCGCTCCAGCGACTGAGTTGCTTCCAGTTGCTTCTTGCATGCGTGCCCGGGTACTGATTTATTCGTTTTGTTGGTCTATTTTCGCCGGGTGATTCTGGGGTGCAAATCGTATATATGTGTGAGAATAAATGGTGTTTTAGAAACGAATGATATCGTGGCCTTAGTTAGACTCGCTTTAGCACTTACTCAACGCCCAGGGACAGTAAGAACAAGTACTCCTCAGCGTGCCATTTACGAGTGAATCAGGCTACAGGTCTGGGTACTGGCGGCCTCGGCATTCAGGCTGTCAGGTGGAAAGCCCAACGATTCTTAGAGCTGATTGAGAGAATTTTTGGGTAGTGTGGTCGTGATTGGCCTTGAGAGGCAGCTTGATGGGAGCTGGTATTCCGTTGTCTCGTACCAGTGGTCTGGGTGGTCTAGATCTAGGCTGAGCTAGGTTCGGAGATGTTGCTGACGACCGGAATATTAAATGCTATCTCGTCGAGCAGGACTGGGGGCATGATCTATGAGTTGAAGAGAGGTGGTATCGGGATGCCGGCCCTAAAGTGATGTCGATACGTAACGGTCTATAAAAGGCTGACAGCCGAGTTTTTATTTTTCTTTCACTCCCCTCATGATCTTTTTTCGTGAACGACCAGTTCCACTCGGGAACGATGCATCGTGGGGGCCCTCGCAGAAGATGAAGTAATGGTGCATGGCATAGACTGCTCCTCCGTATCTCCCTTCTGTTGTCGTTCCAGGGCAGTTGGGCTCGTTAGTGTGGTGCACATTTTTTCCCTCTTCCTTACAGTTTGTTTGTACCTACAAGTGCCCAATGTGGATTTGTGGATAAAAAGAAAGTGTGTGCGATCGTATCAAGATCTAGGACTTGCGTGTCGGCTTATAAACAAAACCCTTCCATTTCTTTCCTTCACCTTCCACCAATGCCCTACAAGCTGTCCGCAACCCTCGCTGGCCACACTTCAGATGTGAGTTTGGGGTTCGTTCAGCGCGATGGAGGAGGCCAACAAGAAATTAGGTTCGAGCATTGAGCACGCCAAGCGACGATCTTATTCTCTCCTCTTCCCGTGATTCGACCGCGATTGTTTGGCGAGCAACGACCCCCCCAGCGTTTGCACAAGACTCAGTATTTCACCCAAGCACGCGCTACGTCAACGCGGTTGCCTACCTCCCACCCTCGGCCGAAGCGCCTAAGGGTTAGTCTGTTTGCTGCTTAACTTTCGCATTTGTCGATAATGTCCCGTCAGGCTACGCGGTCACCGGCGACCAAGATGGCATTATCAACGTCTACTCGCTTGAGCCAGCGAAGGACGACCCTGATTACACGCTACTGGGCCACTCGGGGAATGTTTGTGGACTGAGGACAACACCTGGTGGGCAGATCGTGTCTTGCTCGTGGGACGCGTAAGTCTTCTTTCGACAGTGCGCCACCAGCTCAAAGTCAATTAGAACAGCCCGCGTTTGGAAAAACTTCGCTCAAGTGTACGAGCTGAAAGGACACGAGAACAGCGTGTGGGATGTGTTGGCAGTGAATGAAGAGCAATTCATCACCGGTGCGCGTCTCTACAACCTCTTGCTTTCCCTTGCTGAAGCTATTTCAGGCTCGGCAGATAAAACGATCAAGGTTTGGAAGCAGAACAAAGCCATCCATTCGTTCAATCCTCACAATGGTGTTGTCCGGTCATTAGCCCTGATTCCTGACATTGGATTCGCTTCATGCGCCGACAAGTCAGTGCTATCCGGCGTACCGATAGTCTTTTTGACTCTTTATTCACAGTGAAATCCGGGTATGGACGGTCAACGGCGACCTAATATACTCCCTTACCGGCCACACTTCATTTATCTACCAACTGGCCGTTCTACCAAGTGGAGATCTGGTCTCTTCCAGTGAGGATCGAACAGTGCGAGTATGGAAGGGTAGGGCATTACTTCTTCAAGTTTCAAGAGTTGACCCGATTGGGGAATAGATGGTGAATGCGCCCAGGTGCTTGTTCATCCAGCCATCTCGGTCTGGACAGTCTCCACTATGCCGAACGGAGACATTGTCAGTGGGGCCAGCGACAAGAATGTCAGGGTGTTCAGCGCTGCGGAGCAACGATGGGCATCAGAAGGCGATCTCAAATCTTACGACGATATCATTGCTCAACAATCCTTGGCTGCACACGATGTTGAGCAAGTCAAGGTCGAGGCTTCGGATGCCTTGAACACTCCTGGCAAAAAGGTCGGTCAAACGCTGCTCGTGTCCAAGGGAGACGTGACAGAGGTATACCAAGTCAGTATTCTCTTCTCTCTCTGCGCTCCGTCTAACTACTTTGTAGTGGGATGGTAATGCCTGGCAACGTATTGGAGAACGAGCAGATGGTCCCTCCGGGAGCGAGAAGCCCAAAGCATACTTCGAAGGACGAGAATACGACTACGTTTGGAGCGTCGCGATTGAGGATGGCGAGCCTGCGTTGAAGCTTCCCTACAATATTACGGGTGAGTCAGATCCGTCAAAGCTACGCAACAACTACTCAAGACTATCGTGTCAGAGGCCCCTGCTGACGCAGCCACACGATTCTTGGAACGCAACGGTCTTCCCCTTAGTCACGTGTCCACCGTCGTCGACTTCATCTACCAAAATACACCAGGCCAAATGCTCGGGCCTCAGGGCGGCGAGAATTATGTCGATCCATTCACAGGTGCCTCACGGTATCGGAGCTCTGCCCAGTCGTCTGCTGCGTCTGGCCCAGCGTCGTCTTATATGGACCCTTACACCGGTGCTTCAAGATATACGAGCTCTGCCCCAGTGTCGAATAATGCGCCCGCTTCGAGCTATATGGACCCATATACTGGTGCATCACGATATTCCGGAGGTGGAGCACAAGCTGCCGCTTCGCCCCCACCATCCAAACCTGTTTCTAGTGTATTACCCGTCGTGAGTCTGCTTACGGTTTGCCAATGTTCTCTCAAGTAAAACTTCACGCAGGTGCAACCTGTACTACTCAAAGAAGGAAACCTTCCAGCGATGAAAGCCAAACTTCACCAATACAATGACGGCTTACAGTCGGAGATCGTGAGTATTTAGAGCTGTTGGTCACAATCCTTGGTGTTCATAGTCTATGCAGTCGACAATGACGTTAGCGTTCTATCCTGAAGAAATTCGGGCCATCGACGAGTCATTCAACTATGTTCAGCAATGTTCAACTGGAAGCCGACCAACAAACCCACTTAGCGCTGCCCACGTTGATGCTCTAATCCACATTCTCGAAAGGTGGCCTTCATCATTGCGACTTCCCGTGCTGGACCTTGCTCGTCTTGTCGTCGCCTACTGTCCTGAGGCTGTTCGTCCGGCTGGCATAAAAGAGCGCCTTTTCTCGGCCCTCTTTTCCGCAGCGGACTGGACATCATCTTCACCGCCACCGCTTCCTTCGCCCAGCAAGCCAGCGGAGATGAACGTCATGTTGGTGTTCCGCGCGTTGGCGAATGTGATGCAGGAGGCCGCGGGCGCAACGGACGGCACGTGGCTCGCTGAGAGGCTACAAGTAGCCTCTGCTGCTGGATACGATAAACTCTCTCCCACACAAAGGAAACCGAGGGCGACGATGCTTTTGAAGTGGGTGTTTGGTGTCTTTTGACAAGACGACGCTAATTTTTTTGTTAAGCGTATCGTGCATCTCCCTCTTTACGCCAATGGACTCGACGACGCGGTCTGCTCACCTCACCATGATCGCGGAGGTCCTCACCACGGAGAAGAGCGATTCAGAGAGCGTTTACCGCGCGCTGGTTGGCCTTGGGAACATCGTTTATGCGTCAAAACAACACCAAGTTCCCCTCGATGCTGCACAGACAGCCCTTGTGGGACGTGCGATAAAGGACCTGCCGGGGCGGTTCAACGAAGAGCGCATCCGAGGCGTCGTTGTGGAGATCGGGGCGTTGTTGGTCAGCGGGGTGTTGTAGAGAGTGTTGGCGAAAATTTCCTTCACGATATGGGGCAAGCCGTATGTGTTCGCGGCCATGGGTCAGTTGTGTTGTTATACAAGTATGGACATTGATGACCGCCGTGGTTTCAGCACACGAGTCACACTTCATTTTTAGAGACACGCAATTTGTAAAAAAAAAAAAGCATGATGAATCGACCGCATTTCGAGGTAAAACTGGATCAATACTGTCCCATCCTCGAGCACGACCATCTCTGAAGACACTGAAACGAACAGTATGCAACCGTCCGTTCTGTTGTACCAAGCATGATTGATGCCTGCTGAACCGTTACGTCGACTTGGCCTGTCTAGACGGTTTTCTCTTCACCGCCATCTACAGCTAACACGATTTCTCTAGCCATGAGGACAGCATAGTCGATGGTGAGGGTTTTATGCATTGGAACACTTCCTCGGGGTCACGATGACGGGGTGAGTTTGGCGCGGGGGAAAAGGCAAACTTGAAGCGTGACTGGGTGTTTGACGCAATCCGGCTGCGGAAGAAGAAAGAGGAGGAGCTGGGCAGGAAAACTTGAAGGAAGGAGAATCGGCCCCCAGCCAGATTGTCGTCGCGATCCAGGTCAAGGCGGAAAGCAATCCATGTAAAATTTCAAGTTGTCACGACAAAGAGACTATGGGATTATATTCAAAATATTGCTGGAGAAGAAATTTAATATGGAGTATTTTACTGTTATGTTGTAAATGTACACTAGGATTATCATGGTTGAGGATGAAAGGAGATGCCCAACCCACGCGATGAATCCCACTGGAGTGAGTGGGTGCCACAGCCTGTGTCCAAACGGTAGCTGTTCTGATTGTTTGACTCGGGCTCTTCCTCCTCGTCGTCCTCAAGGCCTTGCAAAGACACACTGTACCGCAGGGTGCAGTTAGTGTTGATTGGGGGTAGAGGCAGATATGACTCTTTGAGCATGGGAATCCATATATCCTTGCTTGAGAAAGACGCGACCATATTGTGAACGTCTTGCGGCTCTGTATAATAGGACACGTCATTCAATGAAGAGGACCTGATTGTGAGGCATACCCAGTCGGAAAACTTGGCACCCTTGCAGCATCTGTGCCACCAATGCGACCATTTTCTCGAGGTTTGGGAAACCATCAGAAGTGGGCTCGACAAGAGGGAGAGCCCATTCAGCTTGGATTTGGAAACCAATGTAGGACATCTCAAAAGTCCGTCCTGACTCCCCAATTCTGTTGCCTGAGGCGTCGCGGTCCTTTTGTAGGTTTGGTAGTTGTGGGGTTATGAAGGTATAGCCAAAAAACAACTTTGTGAGGACGTGCATCAGTTCATGCTCGATCGTCACGAGGAGGATGAGCTTGAATGACTCCTGCAAGGCCGCGTTAGGGATGGGTGTCAGCTGGAAAGCCAAATGTAATAAGCAAGACAGACTGTAACCAAGGAGTAGACACGCACCGGACAGAGGACATCGCAAAGCTCTTTGCAGATGCTCAGCTCTATCGCGTCGTTTTCCGAGTTAGTGCCAACCGTCCCCCATGGGAACTCTGCGGGCGGTCCAGATTGGGTTGGTTTCGCCAATGTTCGGATGAAAACATTTGGCATTCCCGTCTTGAGCGCTTCTTCGACGTCAGAGATGCTAATTCGGCCGCGTTGCTCTGTTGGACGCAAGATCGGAGCTCGACCCAATCTCACAATACTGGAGAGAATGGGCGTGATGATCTCCTTCAGTGCCCTGTCCGATGCAAGGAGGTGGTTGAACGCTGTCAAGATATACGCATGGATGGGGTAGTAGCGGTGGCCAGGCTGTACCTCCTCGCGGCTGCCCATGATGCTTGACTCGAGGAAGATACGGAAAGCAGGAGCAGTCCAGCCCTCAGAACCCGGGACGACAGTGTTGGGCGGATACATTTCGAGGTGGTCGGCGAGTTGTTTTTGGCGGGCAGCATCGGCGGCAGCAGCATGGTCTGTGGGGGACTTGGCATGTCGCGCTGGGGAACGTCGCGGACTTGGGCCTTCTGTTTGGCTCATGATTGGGCGGAACCAACTTCAACCAAGGTGTAATCTGGTGTAATGCGATGTGAGACATCCCGTGATGTCATCAAAACTCTAAAGAAATTCTCCGAAATGATTGGTTACATAATACTTTCAGAGTTCCAACAGGCCAACGATTTGGCCTATCGAGCACTTGCGACCAGAATCGCAAAACTTCCATCGACGTTTAGCGAAGCAGCCTGAGCCTGTCACGAATCATTGTCCCCGCGTTTTGCCGCGGCTTGAGCCGCTATTCATCGAGGATTCGCATGTGCAGTAAGTCGGCCTCAACCCCCAACATTAGTTACAGCGCCTAGTAGAGATACTGACAACATTCAAGACACGAATAGTCGCCAACTCGCCATCTGACTGCCGCCCAGCTCTTTAAGACGTGGCAGTGTCGTCAATTCAAAGCGATGTAAAAGTTTGATGTTGTGTGCGTCAGGTCACGGCCCATGGGTCTGTGCTTCGACACATCTTCTCCCCCTTCAACGCCAATCATTCATCTTCTTCTAATTCTCCGCGGCAGCCCTGTTCATAACCATGCATAAATGGTTGTTTGGGCCAAAGCAGACACAAAATGGGTATTGCCCGGTGCATCAGCACGACAAAGCGACGAGTGCATTGTCTTCTAGCATAGTTCGACTTGATTTCTCGTGACCAGTGTAACCGACTTTCCTCTGTACCAACATCCATGGCCGACTCTGTCCAGCCTCTCCCAAACAACAACGCCAACATGAACCTGCCTGCTGCGACAACCGACGCTCAGGCCGAAGCGGATCGCACCGCCTTTTGTCCTGTCTGCTTTCGCCGGTTGGTCACCTTTTTCACTATTACTGCGACTTTAACTCACTAACGCGTCTCAGCTTCAAAACTGTCAACGCGCGCAACTCCCACCTCACGAGCACCACCGGCATCCCGGTCTGCGAGCGGGCCGCCCTCGCTAACAATCTTCCGCTGCCACTGGGTAATGCCTACGAACGGGTGAAGCTCAAGAATGCGATTGACACACACCGGCTGCGCTGCCTCGCGCCGAAATGGGCCACGCTTTATCCAAAGGAGGTCAAGAAATTCCGGTTGATGCCTGTTGGACGCGCCGACCCCGACAAGCGCGGTAGGATACCGGAGGGGCTGGCGGTGCATTTTGGCATTGCTGTTGGAGCTCGCTTTTCAGTTGCCACCCAGTTTCCTCCACATCCAGTGCTAACAGTCCAACATCCATATATCTCAGGACCCCCTCCTCCAAACGCCGCTTATCACCAACCACCTCCAAATCCTGTCGTTCACTCCCACCAAGCAGCTCATTCCCTGAACGCGCAAGCTCAGCATGCATATTGGCAGCAGCAACAACCGGCCTTTGATTATGGCATGAACGCTGGCCCAAGTCACTCGAATGCGACTTTGCCTCTGTCGCAACCCTCCCCGGCTCCGATGGCGCCGCCATCGTCATTATTAGACGGTTTGAATGCCACCAAAATGCGGCCGAAATTCACAGCACCCCTACATCCAACCCTAACCCTTCCAACGCCGCCCTATAGTCTGCCAACTACGCCTGCACCAACTTTAACTGCACTGCAACCCCCTCCCGCTCCTGCATCGTTATCCAGCGCCTTGGATGTCTCCCAAATGCGCCCACGGCACCCCGGCCCGTCGCTTCCAGCACCCGCCACGCCAAATTTAAACCCCGTAACACCGATGGACTGGCGAATTACGATGGACCCCGATGTCCAGGTGCCAGAGAACGTCGCAGACGCAATCCCGGGAAAATGGCTTCCCATCCACGACGCCATATTGGACTCGCTCCTCGATAACATCGCGCTTGTCCAGTGCAAAGGCGTGCGTGACGTCATTCTCGCGCGGGACACAGTGCCACAGCTGCTCTTCGTCACCGCGTTGCCGCACGAAACTCGCGCGCTGCTTGACGAGGCTGAGCGTGAGGCGACAGGCTTGATTTCACCGCCCCCAGACACCACCGACTCGGGCTTCTCATCGAACGACCTGGATCCGTTGCGGGCTGCATTAAGGGAGGCATTCAGCGGGGATAGCATGCCTTGGCTATCAGAAATATGTGCAAGTATACTTAATGAGTGAATATACCAACGTATAATGTAAAAGGATGCGTGGACACAGTTTCACGTGACCGTGTCTTTTTTTTTTTTTTTGGTACTGTAACTTGGCATCCATCACTTTTATTATGCTGTTCGGGCAAGGCAAGTTATGTGTCAAAAAATATTTCGCAAAAAAAGTAAATACTTACATCCTACATGTATTTCTCAAACATTATATAACGGCACCGCGGCAGGCAGGCAGTAATGCCTCCGAGTCGTTGTATGTAAGCTACCTCCCATATTTACATATCAAATACTAGCAGAAACCCACGGGGTATTTCAAGTTCCCACACATTGGGCATTTTACACTGGTAATACTTTTGTTTGAATATTTAATATTTAATATACTGTACTGGGAGAAAATTCAAAATCAACTGAGAGAAAAGGACATTATTTGAATAAGTAGGCCCAGGAAGCTCCACCAAAGGGTGGTCCAAAAATTTGAGTATTTGAGGCCCTAAAATGACAATTTCCTTGTTCAAAGCTTTTTGGGTATTTGTGGGCTTGGAAGACAACAGTTGCCGCCAAGTTGCTGCCGATTATTGAATTATGTGTCACCACACTGGCGAAAATATCTTTCCTATATTTTTACTACAGGAAAGACCATTTGATAACATAGTTTATGTCACTGATAAGACCCAGCTGGAAACCCAATGGCCAATTGGGAAACACTGAGGGGACCAGCAGCCAAGTCAATGAGACTATGCTATATTCTGGAGATGCTGAGGGTATAGGAGAAGAAGTAACTACTGTGACATAGAGAGGTAAAGAGTGTGTAACGGGTTTACACCCTCCCCACCTCTAAAACATTTCATCAAGTCCAAAAGAAATAATGAAGAACCAACAAATGTCCATCAGCACCAGCGACAATATCGTCTAAACTCGATGGCACGCATCCTCGAACACCCGCCCACAAGCAGGACAGCCATTGCGCCAGAGATGAGAGGGAACAAGGGGCCCGAAAGAAGAAGGGAATTAAAGTCGGCGTAAGGTAAACAAATGATAGCTGACGGCAGGGACAGCAGACAGATGCAGGGCGATCAACGGTAAGCCAGATCAGAGTCGTCCGTTCCGACATCACTTGGGCTGTCGTAGTCGTCCCACAACCCATTATCATCATCGGACTCCAGATGCGGGAGGACTGCGAAGACACTGTGGCGAGGGGGAATGCCATTGGCGGGGTCACCTGGGCAGTTGTGCGACTGGTGGTTGACCCAGCCAGGACTGGAAGGCGAGCGACGACAACGGTAGCAACCGCCCGCAGCCTTTAGAGCATCTTTCTCCGCTGGTGTCAATCTCGGCAAGGCAGCATTCGGAACAGAGGTGGAAGTAGTAGGCGGAGCAGTGGTAGAGACAGAGGAGGTGCTTGTCGTCACCGACGCAGGGAGAGAGGTCGTGCCGGAACAGTCAACCACCTTGACAACATTCTCTTTCACCATAATTTCCCAAATCACAGTCATTTCTGCCACCAGCTGCTCGACCGTCATAGACGCGAACTGGAAACTTGGAGAGCCACAAGTGCGGAGACGAAGAGTCGGGTGAGCATGGAAAAGCAGATGGTTCTTCAGCATGCCACTATCGACCGCGTATGCAGGTCCGGCAGTCGTGAGCGCATCGGAAGCGGTTTCGAGGCGGGCCACAAAGTCGGCAAACGAGGAGCGGCCTTGGTGGATGTCGAAGAAGTTGCCCAGCGCAAAAATGCGCCAATTGCTCTGGACAAAGCGGTCCTTGAGCTTCGTTTTGAAGCTGTCCCAAGTTGCAGCCTTCAGAGCCTCGCGATTCTTGCCCCACCAAACCTTCGCTGTCTGTTCCTCCATACGCATACCGGCCATGCGGACCTTCGTGCGGTCGCGTAATTCTTCTCCGTCGTTCATATCCTCGTGATGTTCAAATATGTCCTCGCACGCGCCGAGCCAAAGCTCGATAGACTGAGCATTCGGCTTGTCCACCAGCTTGGGACACTCGAGCTTCGTCATTGTGCGGTGTTTCCGAGTACGAGCAGGGCGGGAACGCGGAGGAGAGGGTGAAGGGGAGCGGGAATGAGCAAGCGAGGCAGAACACGAGCGAGAACGCGTTTGATGGTGGGAGGGAGAGTGGGAAAGGCGGGGAGACAGCGCAGGAGAGTGAGACACGGGCTGCGAAGGCGAGTGAGAGCGGTAGGTCGCGTGAAACGGAGCAGCAGAGGCAAAGTAGCCGCTTTTCAAATGCGGCGGCCCGTCACGAGCAGGCTGAAAGCGCGAGACGGTGGGACGGCAGCTGGATGGCGGAATGACGCGTCCACGGTCGTCGGGGGCAGCAGCGGAAGGGCGGGAGGCGACGTGGGCGACGCGAGGACGTGGTCGGGTGGCGAGACGGCTGGGCGAGATGCAGCGGGGTGGGCTGAAGCGCCAGCAAGAGAGTGGGATGGGTGGTGGGAGCGAAAAGAAGCACGCGGCGACAGCGTGGCATCGTCCACGTGCTCGGGCTCCATGGCTTCGCCCGGTTCGGCCGACGGCGTCCGGCGACGGCGAGAGGACTCCAAGGGAGGGAGAAGCGGGGCCGAGCTGTTGAGCGTGGGGCGAGGTCGAGGGTGTCGTTGTTCTGATGCCATGTAGCTGAAGTGGAGTAGATAGCGTAGTTGTGATTGAAAAAAAAGTGGAAACCCAATGGTCAATTGGGAAACACTGAGGGGACCAGCAGCCAAGTCAATGAGACTATGCTATATTCTGAAGATGCTGAGGGTACAGGAGAAGAAGTAACTACTGTGACATAGAGAGGTAAAGAGTGTGTAACGGGTTTACACTAGCCCGTCCGCTCCAGCGCTGGTATCGGGCTATCACAGGCCCGCAACACGCAGCACGTGAAGACGGGGAACAGGTGCCCCAGTAGGAGGAATGCACACGTGGGAAGCACGTGACCGAGAACGACGTGTCAAGCCATTGCCGAGCCCAACTCGACACCAGGGGACTGGGGAGGAGAGCTAGGTGGTTAGGAGTAGTGTCTGGCCTGCAAGGGATGTACGATCATCCCCTCTGCGGCCAGGAACGGGGTGAGGAGGAGCAGGACAGGGTGTCCGATCACCTCTTTGCGGGCCCACGTATAATGCGCGGTAGTGTACCATGTACTCTATTACTTAGATTGTCTAAAGAACTACTCTCTCCATGCAAGGGGGAACTACTGACTCCTCGGGCCCGACACGACCCGATTCAAACCTTCAACCACTGACAGCAACAAGGGACCGAGTTAACGGGGCCTTTTGGTTTCGATCTACCCTGCTTGCCCTACTTGCAGGCCTGACGATCTGTCTGTTCTGTTCTGGGCGTGCATTCTTAGGAAAAGACCTTGCACAGCCTGACCCACAGTCTGACAGTTTATGTTATGTTCACTCCAAGAGATGGTAAAAATTTGTCCAAAACTGGGTATTTGAGGCCCAAATCGAGAATTTTTTCAGACCACCCCTTTGGTGAAGCTTCCTGGGAGGCCTGGATAAGTGTAAGAAATAACAAGACTAATTATCATTGAAGGCTCTTATTATACTATATCTCATAGTGTAGTGTCTGGAGTCAGCGCTAGCCAAGGACTATTAGTATACAAAAATTGTATATACACTTGATATAATATATGATTGCCGAACTGAAGTTTCAGCTCTCTATGTGAAGATGAAAACCAGCAACCTTATATTGGGAGTGGCAGTGTTTTGATTATCCTTTTTAGGATGTAGCCACATGATGTTGCCACACTAATCAATTCAGACTGTTGCCTTTTCTTCCTGCTCCCTCTAAATATGCACTATCAAAAAACAACTGCTAGTCTTTGCTTAGGTCTTCCCCAGCTTGTCATTCCCCCCCCCCCAGTTGTACCCTATTCCCCTTTATTGAGGTATGTTTTGCATATAGACCACTAATAAGGTAGGCTTTAGGCAGCTTGTATAAAATGGCTGTGGAAAAAGCAGATCTTTGAGTGGGAATGAAAGACCTGCCAGATTTACTGTGTCTGGGTGAGGCCAAAAGCCACTCCAGGTGCTTGGCTGACAAAGCCAGAAGAGGCACTGTAGTCACAGCAGCCCCACTTGACACAACTCTGGGTGACCACATAACAGGAGACAGACCACCCTAAAGCCGCAGGAGGGGAAGGTGGGTGGGTTGAAATACAGCAACTGCAGAGTAGAAAAGCAAGACACTTCAAATTTAGTGTCAAAGTGAGTGTGACATAAAAGTCATGATAATAAAACTCAAAGATCATGGTCATAATAGTATAATAAATAGTATTTTGCCTACTTTACATGTGTCACTCACTACCTTATCTATCACTAGCTATGGCTTGTGCTTCGCCATAGCTAGTTGGCAATTGCTTAGTATGGCTTGATGTGTAACATCATGTGTTAGATGGGTAACTGGATACATCAAACCCGCTGCTGACTAGATGTTCATGGTTTGTTTTAAATTTATAACAACTGCTTTGCCACAACTATAGGTTAACAAAGCACATACCAACAAAGTGCACATCAGGGTCTCACACGGTCACACCACCCTTCAATCATACTATGCACGGGAACGGGGTGCACACTCAGCCTCTAAAGCCTTTAGGCAACAACAACTAACTGTCCATGCCTCTGGTAATAAGTACCTGGGGCCAGGTGTGCAGGTTTTGCATAAACTTGTAACTTCCACACACAGCTAGTTGGAAACCTGGAGGCCACCCAGGAAACACTGAGGGAATCAGACAGCCAAGTCAATGGAACTGTGCTGTATTCTGCAAGGATCAAGTACAGGGGAGAGAGAGTAACTACTGTGACTGGATGATGTAACTATGTCTAGCAGGTTTACACTAGTTTGATGGACTGCTCAGACACTAATGCATATTTGACAAATACCTTTTCATGAGACCATCTAAAGTGTTGAGGACAAATAGTCTTCAAAGGGTAATAGCAGTTAAGTCTGAGTAAAGTATGTATAACCAAAATTTGTTATCACCGCTGACAGCCTATGAGGCAGTGTCTATGATGTAGACTAATATCGAGCAAATTTGTTCAGCCGCGGTCTACATCATTATTTGGACCTGTACTCACTGACCTGGAAACTGTATTCCTAGTGCTCCAAAGCATTGTTTTTAACACCACCACCCAGATGATGGAGATTAACTCATGCAATTTGCAGTTGTTATACTAGGATTCGGCTACATCTTCTGGTGGGAACTGCAGTCTCTTGCCATATTGACCTGCCATCTTGATGCTCACTAATCCTGGTGCAGCCAGTTTGCAGCCAGTTGAGCTGTTGGTATTACATAAAATTGAAATATCTACATATACTTATAGTCTTTGAGAAAATTTCAAGTCTGAAAGTATGACATATGTCCAGCAAGGTCATGGTTTGGCTCTCTGCCGCCTGTGGCCTTATCCCATCTCATATATACTATCAGCAGTGTATACTATATGGTTGTAGCCTTTATGGATCAGATCACTTACAGGTAGACTTATAGTGAAAAAATATCACATTCAGTCATCATACAATTTGCTTTCTGATTTCATATGAAGACAAGTGGTATAGATTTGCTGGTATAGATTTGTGGATTGACTGAGAATGTAAGACAAAATCCCACAAGATAGTGTACTGCAGCATTCTGTAGGGGTACAACACCCCAGCAGCCGTTATGCTGCATGCTGTACCTGCAACATGCAACACTGGGACCATTACCCGTTACTTTGATCAGGTGACTGCAACACCCTGGTATGGTCTTGCTGCCTGGGTGTGCTTGTTCATAGGTTTTAGTGGCAGATGTGGTGTATGCTGCACTAGAGGAGACAGATACAGATGGATTGGAGTCTGTAGCATAACTGGTTTACAATTTTTTGCGCTGCTTGCCTGTCAGTATATATATATGCATTTTTAATCAACATTTTTGACCTGCAACACAAGGCCCATTATGCATTACACGTTGCAAAAACCTGCAACACAACACAGGCACTGTTATGTGTTATGTTGTACCTATCCAGAATGCTGCAGTAACACATGAAAAGCATCATAGCTGACGTAAAGCACACCGTCCTAAGTATTCGCGTATTAATCATTATATACTCCGCTCTCTCGCAGTAAGGAACGAATAAAACCCATCCGACACCAGCTGTTATCGCCGACTAGACCTTCTTTGCCCTCTCTGACGCGACGACGACCCACCAGCCTCTTCAGTCGCTGACCGCTTTGAAGGGCCTGCTACAGTTGACGGCGGTGATGTTGATGAAGTTGTGGTTCTCGTGGACCTCCGGGTATTCGTTCTTGAAGGTAACGGAGGCGCCCATATTGAACTGCCGACCCCAATGTCGCCTTCACCAGGCTCATCGACCTCAATGAGACTCTCCGCCACACGTGATGCGCTCCGACTCCGCAGAATAATGTCCTGGTCGTCGTCCATGGCCATCGCGTCAACATCCTGCTCCGTGTCGTCATCTTCCTCCACCACCATATCCATCCCGCGTCTGAAAACCCCGCTGTCTTGGTCGTCTTCCTCGTCAGCATCGCTGTCGCTTCCCTCGTCATATACGCCACCAGGCGGCTCTCCCACCCAGTCTTCGCCTTCACCCGCAAAGTCCCACACGTCTAACACGGTCTGGACAGTCCCCCCTCTCGTCTGATTGCTCGCGGCAACACACCAGCGGCCTTCGAACACGACCTGCCAAACACCCGTAATCCCGGTGAGCAAGTCGCGCGTCACGCTTCCGTCGCGGATATTCCACATCTTCAGCGTGCCGTCACTACCGCTGAGCACCTTGAATTCGTCATGCTGGAAGCACGTGATCGCACCAGTATGGGCGGCAAGGGTATGGAGTAAGGCGCCGGTTGTGGGGTCCCAGACCCGGAGAGTCGAGTCGGCGGCCGCACTAACAAGTGTTCGAGGCGATAGCCCCAAAAGACCCACCAGCGATGTATGGCCAGTCAGAGTATGGGCACATCGACCTGTCTTCAAGTCCCAAATACGAACAGTCCCATCCATAGAGCCGGAGCAGGCTTGGTCTCGCATTGGGTCAAGAACGACACTGTAAACTAGAAGAAAAAAATGTTAGGGTGAGTTGGCATAAATAAAGGCAACAAACCTTTCTGAGTGTGACCAGCAAGCACCCAACGACAATCACCACTGACGAGGTCCCATACACGGACAGTTGAATCGTAGGAGCCGGAAACAAGCGTCCTTCCGCGGGCAGCAAGTGCACGAACCGCGTGGTCATGTCCTTGAAGATGATGGCGATGATATGGGTTATCCTCTGCATCCTGGAATACTAATTCAGTTCCGCTCTTTTCAACGAATCAAGTAGCAAACCTCTGGATCACCCTCGTCAAAACAAGAATACGGCGTGTCGTCCGGTCTAGGAAGCGTCCACACCCTTAACGTATGGTCCCTCGACCCCGTCACAATTAACGCCCTTTTCGGCCACTTCTCCCGTCTGCCATTGTCCATCTCGATCCATTCAGGGTGAACAATCGACAGACACCGCACTGTACTCGTGTGACCACCAAAAACATGGGTGCAGCGTCCAGAAACCAAGTCCCAAATTCTCACAGTGCGGTCGGTAGAGCCCGAAACAAGCATATCACCGGTTGCGGCAAGTGCCCATACGCCGCCTTCGTGGCCTTGCAACGCATGTTTTTGCTCTCCTGAAAGGGGATCGTAGACATGAATTGAGTGGTCGTCGGAGGCGGAAATGACGCGTCCTTTGGAGAGAATAAGGCAGGTGACAACACTGCTTCCGTGTGCGAGAAAGCTGCGGTGGACGGGAGCCGGCGCCGTGGCCCATCGAGCCTGTGTAAGATATCGCGACTGGAAGAGCGCACGATGTGGATATGGTAATCTGCGATGGGCACGCAAAAAGGCAGCTTCTGAGCCCCAGAACATACCATACGACTTGAGGAGTGATGTCCAGACAAGCGGATCAGCGTCGATGAGTGCCCGCCATGATTTCGAAACCCGGGCAGCACGAGCGAGAGTGGGAAAGGGCAAGAAAGACAGAATGTGGGAGCCCAATTCTGGCGGGAGGAGGGTAAGGAAGTCGCGGGCAAGCGTTGGTGTAAGCACCGAGTGGACATTTCTGAGAACGGGTAACGGTGAATGTCGCAAAAGGGTTAATAGGAAATGTGACTGCAATGCTGGCGGAAGAGCGGTGAAGTGCGAAACGAGGGAGGGGAGGGTAAGAAGTGTGGTCAGGGCCAAGTCAGGCTCAAATGGCGAGCCCTGGCGGGAGCCGGGTGGAGATGGTGGTGGCCGGGGTTTCTTTCTTGAGGGACTTTCTCCGCCTTCTCCCCAGGCCCTTTTCTTTCCATATCTCTCAACAGCCTCTACCAGACCAACGACAGGCTCTGGCGGGTCATCTCGGCGGAGCATTCTCCACCCCTCCCCGTGAGAATCCCGCTCGTCATCGTAGTCGGGTCGTCCCTCCCCATTGTCACTGTCGCCATCCGAATCTCTGAATGTTGCTCTCGTGCCACCAGGAAATACCAACGGAAACTTGCGTAGACTGCTGGGGAGAGAGGCGTGCAGCAATGGGTACTCTTTCGGGTCGGTGGGCTCAATGGGCGTGGGTAATGGGGGAAGTGGAATCGGCGCGTAAGTTGTCGTTGTCGTTGTCGTCGTAGTCACGCTGGTAGAGATTAGTTCGTGGAAAACAAGATAAACACAAAGCCTACGTGGTCGTGCTCACTGACGGCTGCAGAATTACACTCGGTCTCGAGCTCATCTTGCTCTCGGTTGTAGTCGTGGCAGCGAGTTGTCGCGTCAAGTACGTTTTAAAGAACCTAAAGACGTCAGACGAGCCAATCGTGCCAGCAAACAAGAACGGACCTGTTCGCGTTAGAGGCTTCCCTGAGAGTGTAAAATTAGTCAGAAGCGCGTAGAGCGTGTCGGCCCGCGCAAAAAGGGCGTACCTCGGTAAGAGAAGGGATTAGGTCGTTACAGTCGCGCGATGCTGCAGGGGAGATGGTGGTCGCCCTAAAGTGGGTTTATGGGGGTGGGTCACGCGTGACAAGTGGGAAATCACAATTCAACAACACAAGTTTGCATCCTCACACCCAGATCTGTTGACTACGACGATACGCTATACACACGTAGATGCAGAAACGTGGGCTATTATTACGCTCTAATGGTATCCCGAAGAAGCTGTCCTTGCTCTCGTCGTTCCTCCACCGACCATCGCAGACAGATTCTTGTAGGATGGATTCCTTGACCTCGACGATAACCCATTAGAAGGTGGATCCGCTTCGCCAACTTCAATGAAAGCCGGTCCAGGCGATGGAGACCTCGAAGTCGTCGAGGCAAAGCCATAAACAGGCGGTGGCAGTGTTTCGGGGCTCGCTCCGTTACCTGGCACATATATGCTTGTTGGTCGTTGAGAATTGGCAGTTGTCGCCCCAACAGAGATGGAGGTTAGTCGTCGTATCCACCGACTCCAGTTGCTCTGTGTTAAACCGCCCTTTCCCTCCTCCAGTAACACCCCTCTGCGTTCCCTTCCCGCTATTAAACGCAGGCCCAATGAACGCAACCGCCTCATCAACGGGTATGTGATAAGCACAAACGCGATCAGCATGAGGAGGTAGAGTAACACCATAACTGGCGAGAAGCCCAGCTCTTCTCTGGTAAGGGCTGCAGGAAGATGATCTTCTAGTGTGTCCTCTATCGTTTCCCTTATCCCCGGCAGCTGTATTGGCTTGATGGGCGAATTGGAATTTGCAGGCTCTTCCAAAGGGTCTGCGATAGGCGGCGTTGATTTAACCAGCGGAACCACCTCCTTGCTTGCCTCAAGCACCATCTTCCCCAATGTCCAACTGATCGCGATGTCGCCAACTGTGTCGACTGATTGAAAGGTTGGGCGCCCCAAGCCTTTCTTCTCCGCTTGTACAGCGACCTTTTCTCCATCTGTGGTGTTGTTTCCACCTTTGTCGATGATACGTGGCATGCCAATACCATCATGGAGAACGTTTGCGACCCAGGCAGCCTTGAAACATTGCATTTGAAGTCTGCTGACCTCGACCTTGTCACTCCAATTGCCAACTTCTACAATTTTCCCGTCCTTCTCAACCTCCCCATCTCCACTATGCCGATGCCCGCTTTTGTCGTGTTCTTTCAAGATATCAGCCCAGTTTCGTGAGCAAAACTTGGATGCGGCGCGTTCGTATTGAACAAAGTCGTATGGTCCTCCCAATCCAAAGACATGCTCAGAAGAGTACCAATATTCGGAGACGCCGATGAAATGAGAGACAGAAAAGTCGATGGTAGGAACATGGACACCGTTCATGAGACAAGGAGTATCAGGACACGGAGCGCTTTTGTTGAGTAAGGGAGCCGTCTTCCGCATGCATTGTTCGAATGAGCCTGTACCGAGTAATTTGTGTGTTTTCTTGGCGTGGTCGCTAGACGCTGCAGTATGAATGGGGTGTTCCGCGAGCTCCAAATTGAGTGGAAGACATGGGTCATGAACAACATCGTCTCCACCTTCGCCTCGGCTCTTCTCGTGGTCGGTTATTGCCTGGCCAACATACCGCTCCCTGGCTTGGTTTGTCCCGTATCCGAGCCATGTTGTTACGAAAACCTTGTGATGAATCTCCTCCCCACTGAGTCGTCGTAGACGAACTTCGATGAGAGTCATTTCATCGTCGACATGTGCGCTTTGGGGTTCAAATGCAATTTGTGTTGACGCGCCGCCCATATCCAGGAAGCCATATGTAGTCTGGCCAGCTTGAAACCCATCCATGAGATAGTTAACCGCAATCCAACCAAACAGCCCTTCTTCTTCTCCCGTTATGATGCGAACACTCGACCCACAAGGGCCTGTCTTAGAAGGACCGTCGATTTTGAACTCGGAGTGGTGAACCAGGAAAGTGCAGGCGTCTTGCAGCAAAGTAGCTTGTTTCTCTGGCGGAAGTAGCCGCATTCCCGCCGTCGCGAGAAGGAAAAGCGGGGTCTCGTGTTGGAGAGAGGGTGGTATGAGATTTCGAGCATGGGCTAAGAGGGGTCGAAGATGGTCTGCTATCTGCTGCGGTTTGTCTGCGAACGAAGATATGCCTAGACAAGTTTCTAGCAACCATTCTGTTAACTCAACGACGAGACAACACACCTGGCTCAACTTTGAACATCCAATTTTCCCCGTCGCGTGTACCCTTCTCCACCTTGGGCAGTGTTGAGGCCAACCGACTACCCTTGCTGACCTCCAGTGTTCGTGGGTCCCTCCAGCTGTAGATTTGAACGCGCGAGCCAGACGATCCGGCATCAACGACAATTCCAAACCGTCGGTCCTTGAGCCATGCGTCACCGACAGTTGGAGGGGGCATTAGCAGACGTGGCCCGGACTATTATCGCGAGACCGTAAGAAACTTTTAGATGTGGTCACACTACTGCTTCTTTCACTTTTCCACCATGATCTGGGACCTTTCTGGTCCTGGAGGTTACACCTCAGATATATGTCTCGCCATCGCTCGTTTTCCATACAGCGCTACCTATAGGCTTTACTGCCCCTTCTTCAAGGTGTCTTCGGCAAACTGCATCCTCTAGCACGACCATCTCAACAAACGAACAAGATGCTACAAATATCGTCCGTCCTGTTGGACATATGTACCAAGCATGACTTCAAGTTCGCCTGTCTTAACGCTATCCCGAGCCAACACGATTTCTCCAGTCATGACAATGGCATAGTCGATGGTGAGGTTCTAATGTATGCATCGGAACACTTCATCGAGGCGCATAGGGCGAAGGCCGCAGTCTCGTCAAATTTGTGTCCGGTGGTGACGAGACGAATCGGAGAGAGCTGGCTGGGAGAGGACATCTGAGGACATCGACTTTAAATTGAGCTACCAGTCGTTTTTTGAATGTAGTTTGATCGGTTCCGAGCTGCTCTCCATACTATTCTCTAGAAGCAATCCAGCGAGCAGGATGTTCTGAAAGATTATTCAAACGACGGTTGAACGCAAAACAAGTTGCCTTTTCTGAAGCCCCAGGCAAGTGTGACCAGCCTGCGGCAAACTAGTCGCTTTTGATCTGCTCAACCTTTCTCCAAACGATGGTTGAACCTTGAACTCGTTCTGTCTTGTTGATGGAAAGTCTTGCACTGGCACAGTCATCGTTATCATGGTATTACTGATACTACCGCGTGCGCAGCAGCTTCTCGGCAGTACTTCTTCAAGGCTTGCCAATTGTTTGTTCGAATCTCTTCAAATGACCGATGTCATGGCGCCCAGTACAAGGAAAAGCACCTTCTCATGGTATTATTGTCCTCTTTTTGTCAAGTATGCGCCAGTTGATACAAGCCTCTCACGGACCCACAGACCTCAAGCAATGTCCTTGTTCCCTATTGTTCTTTGCAGACCGCCTTAAATTCAAGCAAACATTGCAAGCTGTCAGTCGCCTATCATCCTTCCCTCGAAAACACTAGATACATCCTCAGTGAGCCAATCTCCGCTGCCAGTTTAGTTTGACCTCACTGTTAGTTTATTCCAAGCACATGCCGCCAAAATCGGAGAGGAGAGGTCGTACAAGTGCACACCCTGGTTCAATCCTTTCGCTTCCGGCCGAGCTCATCTCGGAAATATTCCTTCAATGTCTTCCGCCATACCCAGTCTGCCCGCCGCTTCTGGGTAATATAACCGCCACTTGCCCCACCATACTTGGTCATATCTGCGCGGAGTGGCGACATATCGCCCTGGGAACTCCGAGACTCTGGCGGGCGATTGAGCTTGAGGTGCTTCCCAATGATTACTGGGGTAATCGTGTCACCACACCAGTGCGTCGACTTGAAGTGACAGTGGCCATGGCGAAGTGCTGGCTGGAGCGATCCAAGGCTGTGCCGCTTTCTCTTATCTTGGGTATCTACTTGGACCACTGGAAAGATGATACCCTCGACATCTTCCTCCAACTTGAATGCGTATCACGCTGGGAATACGTGGTACTAACTCTTCCAACCCCACTCGACAGCATGCTAAACCAAGGGCGATATCGACATCACTTCGAACAGCAAATGCCGTCACTACGACAAATCCAGTTTCGACCGATACGTACGGTGCATCTGAATCAGAGCTTCGACGTTACCCAAGTCACTGGTCGTTTGGATGCCCCTAAACTACAAACCGCATTCTTCCACGCCTTCTCCCATTTTCCACCCGCCGACCTCACCGACTTTTTACCTTGGGCCAACCTGACAGTCTTGAATATCGTACATATCACTCCAATCCATGCACTTGCTCTGCTCCGGTTGACTACTGGCACGAGCATTGTGGCATGTCGATTCGAGTTTGACCATCGTAATGGCGCGCACTTGGATGGCTTCAACTTTGATTCCGCTGCCAACGCAATCGGTCACCCAAATCCAACTGATACCGACATTGCTTTTCTCGCGGTTTCGTTACCACGATTAACGACTCTTCAACTGGCTTGTACATTCGAACCGTCCGGAAATGCCCGGGTTGCACTTCAAAAGTGCATGGATGCGCTTCGTGCTCCAGCACTCAAGGACTTGTGGATCGAGGTCAACGTCTTCCAACGGCATAGCCCGAATTTGACTGAAATTCTGCGCACGTGGGGCTGCACGCTGGAACGTCTGCTGATCTTCCAAGATTCAAAGATGAAACGATATCAGCGCGACATATACACGGCTGACTTTGTTCATGTCCCCCGTCTGGAGCTTTTGACCGACTTGGATGACAACCCAGAGCCTATGGCGAAGTGGGACTTGCGTTCACGGTATGCTATGTCTACATCCATGTCTTCTGTGTCCACTTACTTATTTTTTGGATTAGATATAGTTCAGGCAGGATCTATCGAGACTATGACTGAGTAATGTTGCTGCCGTATCAGTATAACTGGCTATATCACTATGTTTCTGAATGTACAAGGGCGGCACATGGGTGCCTGAAATAAAAACGCGAGCTAGGGTTTGACAGCTTAGTCAGCTCCGACTCTCATCTGAATCGATCATGACCAGGATGTGGCCCAACTCATTCCACCTGGAGGATGGAAGCTTTTACGCGACATGTGGATAAGTGATAGTTTCTTCATCGTTGACTCGTGGACGCTTCAAATCTTGTCAAATTCAAAGTTTCAAGAAGCCACTGTCCAGGGACTACAGACTCCTCAAGTGACTTCGACCAATGGGCACGTTCGACGATACTGTATGGTTCGGAATGCAATGAGCAGCACATACTTCTTCTCTCATTGTATTCCTTTGTCCTCTTTTGTCAAGTATGCGCCAGATGCTGCAAATCTCACACGGACACACAAACCTCAATCATTGACAAGCAATGTCCTTGTTCGCTATTGTTTCTTGCGGAGTGGTTACGGCTATAAATGTGCAACCTACCTTTACTCACAAACAAGTTGCCTCTCTCCTTCACTTTTCCCTGGCAGATCCGGAATCCGCCAGCTTGTATCATCTATTCAGACTCGAAGCTTCTACTCACGACTTCGCTAATGAGCTTCGAGTCAACGCCAGCAAATCGTGCAATGGACCGCGCACTCCTTGCCCAACTTGACTTGGAAATGGAGCAACTGGAAAGTAGACGTCAACTGATTTTACATCGACTCGACTGCTTTTCCTATCCGGTTCTGTCGCTTCCGAACGAAATTATCACAGAAATTTTCACCCGATACCTTCCGCCTTATCCCATGTGCCCGCCCCTCCTCGGTGACGCTTCTCCCACGAAACTCACCCAAGTTTGTCAACTTTGGCGACGAATTGCGCATGCGACTCCTAGATTATGGCGGGCAATCGGGTTGTTTGCAGATATTTCCCGCGGCCGCACCCCGTCGCGCCAGCTCGAAATGGCGCAGGTCTGGCTGGAGAGGTCAAAACACATCCCGCTCTCTATTATTCTGCACAATGTGAATATCAAGACCAGCGACATCCGTTCTCCTTACACCACCGCTGCACTTGACATATTCCTTGGACATGTTCAGCGTTGGGAGTATGCTGTGGTCACGCTTCCATACCTCAGGTCCGACGACGAGGGTCGATATGTCAGTCGGTTCAAAGTCGCAATGCCGCTGCTACGAGAAGTAGAGTTCCGGTTCGAACAATGGCATCCCGACTCGTGGGATTTGAACGATCTACCCGAGACCATTGGTTGCTTGACCGCACCAAAACTGCGCACAGTTGAATTTCCCGTCATCTTCACCACCTTTGATAGCCTCGCCCTCTGTCTTCCTTGGCAGAATTTAACACGTCTGACTTTGGACGCGGTCACTCCCATTACAGCGATCGCGCTGCTGCGACTGACCCACAACTTGTCCACATGTCGGCTGAGCTTGCTCTGTGTTCTGGAGGATCAGGATAGTTTCGACGGCATTGAGAATGAGGACCATTTCTCTATGGTTTCTCTGCCTCAACTAACATTTCTCGATCTTGACATTGGAGAGGGCAATCTCAGGCCATTCTATCTCATCAAGTGCTTGCTTGCCCTGCGTGCACCAATGCTCATGAAACTGACACTTCGCGCTGGGACGATATTACGATGGGAGGCGAAGGAAGTGTCAAAATTGCTTAAAGCGTGGGGCTGCACGATTCAACACCTATTCGTCTTTCACGACATTCAGCTACCCCTGCAATCCAAAGCATTATATGGCCACTACTTCGCCGATGTTCCCAATCTGGTCGTCGGCGCTGCTTGGACAGAAGAAATTACAGAAGATGACTCCACCGTGTTCGAACGGTATGTGAATTCACAAAGTCAAGCCTTCTCGGGTATTGAACTAGAGCTTGAATAGATTTGCTTCCAGATACTTGGCGAATTGAAGTTTCATTTTTTTTTTGCCTTCTCTTGCGTGGCTTAATATGCTCTCTATCCGATATCTCTGCATAAGCACTTCCGCTCATAAACTACCAACAAGTGTACCATTGTTTCAACATGTTTCATCCTTGGAGAAGGACAATCATTGTTGACAATATCAGCATTGCGACAGCTGCGACCATCGAAGGCGCATGCGCTGTGCCGGAGTTGATATGGAGGGTGATTTTTCTGAGCGCTGCAGTTGACTTGGGTGTTGAAGCTGGGTTGCCGCTACATTGGACGTCGGATCCGCTGTAGGTGCAGGCATAACCGATTGTTTGGGTGGCCCCGGGAAATTCGACGTAGTCCATCGTCTGAGACAAGTAGTCTGTCCCTGCGACCACCGTGGCTATTGAGTGATATTTAGTTTGCACCTGTTATTCCAGGTCAAAGACGAACCCGTTTCAGTGAATGTCACGTCTTCGATGACGAACGTAGGGTTATTTGCCCCGGGGAGCGTTGTCTGGTAGGCGAGCTTGTCCTTGGTGACCTTGTAATCCAAGACATAGGTAGTGTGCCCTGCCGCGTCGGTTCCAACAGCGGTTCCTGGAATGTTTGCAGCCGAACCCAACCGGTCACCTGGAGGTGCTTCAATGTCGACTTTCATCGGTGTCCCCGCTACGCCTGAAATGGAATTCGATCAATGCACTCGCCCACAAGAAAAAAAGATTCAAGTAAGTACGAGCAAGAGAGAATCCGAGGGAGAAGAAAAGGTAATAGTGCATCTTGTTCACAGAACGAAAGATGAAGAAAAAAGAAAAAGAAGCGGAGAATAACGAACTTGGAAATAGACGGGCGGAGAGACTGGGGCATTTATGCTCGCTCTTGCCTTGACAACATGAGAGACGAGCAACTTCCTTTGGACAAGATCGGCTCGGTAAAAGCTCGAGTTCGTACCAGAGTTGACTCACTGCCGCGGGTAATGTGCTGTCTCTCGGTCTTCTGTATTCGAAGCTTTCACAAGGTCGGATAGTAAGTGGATAAACCACATTCGAATTCTAGGTAGAGCCAGCGCTTAGCAAACGAAGCAGATTCTTTGAGCAGGAGTCTGGCCATAGGTATGGCAATGCTATGAGTAAGAGCCAGTGTGGATTCTAAAGTCAGAAGGGATTTTGGCCATGCTCGTTTTCCATGAACGCGTTGCTTCACGTGACCACTTATGTCTCTTTCATCTTTCTTCCCGACCAAATTCCTCTCTCGACCTCCAGAACCACCCGCCCTCGCTCAACTTCGGGAGCTACTTGAAACTTTACCAGTTGGACGCCAATACAACTTTACGGCGGATGTGCGAGCAGAAATTCTTGTTGCTTTGTACGACGCGTTCTGGGGTGGACACGCGGAGCTTTTTCTTCCTCCAGGCAACACAGTAGTTCCTATCCATCGACTTCTCAGCGAATGCCAGACGGAAACCGGGATGGTTCGGGAGGACGTGGTCGTACCAGGGCGACCTTGTACCCATGTGTTCAAGAAGGGTGAAAGTTGCTATCGATGCAAGTGCGTTTCTCCTTCATTACAATATGATCTCAGTGGTTTACGCTTACATAGGGACTGCACACTCGACGATAGCTGTGTTCTCTGCTCGCGATGCTTCCATGCGACACAACATGAGGGCCATAATGTTTCATTCTTTATCGCTCAACAGCCTGGCGGTTGCTGCGACTGTGGCGACGATGAAGCTTGGCGCAGCGTTATAAACTGCCCTTTCCACCCCATTTTACCCACCTCGCCACCACCTCGCACCTACAACCGGCCAATTCCAGATGATGTGCCTGTTGTGCCCAATTACCCATTACGAGTAACGGTTCCGACTGACCTCCGGGACTCGATGACTCGGACCGTCGCCCTGGCGCTTGACTTCATATTGGAAACACTTGATTATTCGCCTGATGAACCAACCATTCCTGCTGACGAAGGCAGTCTGCGGCTACAACCCAGTGCTGATCCAGCATTGCGAGAACATTACTGCGTGGTGTTATGGAATGATGACAAGCATTCTTACGAGGAAGTCACCAAGCTCCTTACGGATTTGACGGGCGTTTCGAAGGAAGATGCGGGCGAGATTACCAGGCGGATCGATGAAGAGGGTCGTGGCGTTGTCGCATCATCAGCGGACGCCGCTCGACTACTCACAATTGCCCATAGACTCGCCCAAATCGACCTTGGAGTCACTATTCGTCGCGGGCACGACACATTTCGTGAATGTATCCTCGCCGTTCTGATTGAGTGGCTTCTCGATCTCACTCGGGCTCAGCTTGGTAGCGATGCTCTCATTCTGAAGGAAATCGTCGGAAAAGAGCTCCTTACCCCTCCTCGAGCGAAACTTACGAGTCATTCGGAGGTGCCGAACAGAACAAGGATCGATTGTCTGTTCTTGGACCACACCAAGCTATGGAAGAGTCCGCGACTTATGATCAAGGAAATATACGCAGGCATTCTGGGCCTGAGCCGCGACTGGAAATTGGCTATAGGTGTGTTTCAAGGTGCAATCTATATGTCTAGATGTGAGACTGATATGCCTATAGCTGGTCATTTTGCGTCTGTCTACCCTCTGTTGGTTTCGTCATACCTACTTGTCGACCGTGAAGCAGAAACTTCAATCAAGTATTTCGCGCTTCAGTTGTTCACTGTTCCCTCTGCCTCATATCATGTTGTCCGAAATCACCGACTCGTCAGCAGGATTCTTGGGCTTATCCAGGGTTTCTTCTTGAATCGTATCGAAGGCAAAAGAGTTGTGTGTATCGGTATGGGTGGTGCGTTCGTAAGCTTTCCGTTTTCATTGATTCAACCCGCCACAGATTCTGGGTCCTCTCTGACATTGACGTATCCCCCTGTTGACCCGGATTCGCCACCATTCAAGTCCAAACGCTTTATGCCCGTTTTCTCAGACTTGCGGTACCTTTCTCACTGATTGACGAGGCTAGCACTGATTGAGGCCAATAGATACCTCTGTCATACTCTACCTGTTCAGCGTCTAATTGCTGCGGACCCGCGTGGGTATGTTGGAATGTTTGCACGCACATGTGCAATCTTTGTTGGTGTTGGACCGAATCGGTGCGCGTTCATTTCACTCACGTATCTGCTTTTCTAATGACAAGTCATCCAGACGCGCTGTAACGAGTCATGTCGAATATGAGAACGATGCTTGGATTAGCGTGTTCAATGTCACCCTTAGTCTGGGACGTGTTGTGAAGGTATTTGGAGAAGCATTTGGGGGCGGGCGGTTGGCGCATTTCTCTGTCCCAGTCACCAAGCCATTGAACCAAAGCCCATAGCTCAACCACTACAAATCTCATCACTGCCATCGGCATTGTCCTTCACCATATACTTGTCGTCTGCGCTGGCGCTGGTACCGGCTCCCCGGAAGACACCGAGCCTGATGGTGGACGATTAATCGAATTTCATGAAGCCGCGTTTGGATGCGCATCGACGACTCTACCCACGGAAGCTATCTCTGAACAAAGTTCAAGACGCCAATACACCCTCGTCAAATTTGATGTCTCTTCTGGCCCAGTGTCGTTCCACCATTCACTTCATTGGCTGTTGGCCGAGCTGCTGAAGCACGTGGATGTCCTGGATCCTTTGTATGCTGGACCTGCTAGTGGATTGGGAGGGAGTATCAACGCTGGTTCGAGCTTGGGATCTCCGAACGCCACCCACGAGATGGCTGGTGGATTGGGAGAAGTATTTGGGCGGCTCTTGGTCAAGAGTGGCTCGGTTGGGAGCTCATGGAGCAGCACAGCTTCCACCACCAGCTGGAAGACCGATTCAGTCAAGCCCGCTATAACCGGCGACAGTGTAATGACAGATGAGAGTCGGAGGAAGATGCTAGCTGTTGTGGACTTTCCCTTGCGAGTCTTGGCGATGATCGCACAAATCAGAACGGGCCTCTGGGTCCGCAACGGCTTTGTTATACGTGGCCAACTCCTGCACTATCGTGATTTTATGTTGCGAGAACTTTGCTATGACCAGGATCTATTCATTCTGCAGGTTAGCCTTTTCGTTTGACTCAAATCACATACAGCTGAGTTGCTTTACAGTCCGCTCTGGTCATTCTTGACTGTGATACGGTGTTTGTTTCGATACTCGACCGTTTCGGTGTCAGGGAGTTTTTTGATCCCGAGACCACTCGAGAAGAAATCCCTCCGTCCTCAAGCTCAAGCACGTCTTCTTCTTCGAGTTCATTTGCAAGTACAACATCATCTGTTGGCTCTACGACCCCGGGGACCTCCACGCCTTCCGCTTTCCTTCTTCATTCAACCTACGAGCCTGCTCAGCTTGCAAATATGGTCGAAGAGCTGCTTTATGTCATCATCACTATCCTAAGTGAAAATGCATCGGCTTCGGGAATGTCCATAGAGCAAGCCGTTCGTCGAGAAATCGTCCATGCTCTTGCTATCGGCCCTTGCGTATTCACCGACCTCGTAAAACGGGTGGCAGAGCGTCTTGTCGAAGACGTCTGCTTTGAGCGCGTATTAGGCGAAGTGGCCAAGTTCCGCGCTCCTGAAGGTTCAGGCAATGGTGGCGGTGGCGGTGCTGACGTTGGCACCTACGAATTGAGGGACGAGGTTTACGACGAGGTCAACCCCTTCTTCTTCCATTACACCCGGAATCGTCGGGAAGAGGTCGAAGGCGTGTTGCTGGCTCGATTAAGGAAGACAATGGGTGTCCAGGATCCTGTGATCGTGCCAAAACCCATGGGAATCGAACGCGGACCGTTTGTCAACTTGGCAGCATGCTTTGAGTCCGAAGTACTGCTTCAAATCATGTTCTATGCTCTGCACAATATTCTTGTCCTTACGGATGCGGAAGGTTCTAGTGGGGCGGTTCCGTCGTCAGCCGAGGCGATTTTGGACATGACGCTTCACTTGATAATGTTGGGAGTGGTTGAGCGGAAGGAGGGTTTCGCCAAACTGTTGGTGGGTCGGTGGTTCCCTACTGGAGAGCTTCAGCCACTGCGACTGCTGGACGTAATTTGGCGGGTTGGTGAGCACGAAAAGTATCGCAAGATTTACGGGGCAAGAGTTGACTGGATATTGGGGCAGATGGAGGCTGTTCCTGGTGTTCGAGAAGAAGTTCTCAGTCGAAAGGGGATCGTTCAAGACTCTGCTGATGCCGCTTCTGGTGGGAAAAAGGCTGATGCTGAGGATGCAAGGAAGCGGGCGATGGCTAAAGCGAGACAAGAGGCGCTAATGCGGCAAATGAAGGCCCAGCAAGCAAGTTTTGCATTCAATCTCGAGGAAGAGGGTATGGACGAAGACGGTGATGGCGACGAGCCGATGGAAGATGCAGCCGATGAAGATCGCGTTTCATTTGGCACTTGCATTGTCTGCCAAGAAGACCTCAATGCTCTACGACCTTTTGGCATGCTCGGGCTGATCCAACCGAGTCGATTCATACGGAGACATCCAGACAGTCATAACGCCTATCTCAACGAGGTACTACAGACACCGGCATCAATGGATCGTATACCGCAAAGCACTGCGGCAATGAACAAATTCCCTCCTCCCCAAGCTGAAGCACTCGATGCCAAAGCCAGCTCTTCCAGCCACTTTGACGGCTTCCCGACCCAATTTACGCGTTTTGGACTCCATTCTTCTGTTTGCACCCATATGATGCATCTAGACTGCTTCCAAGTCTACAGTGTCTCCATCCGGCAGCGACATCGCACTCAGTCAACTCGAAACCATCCAGAGAGCATTCCAAGAAAGGAATACATTTGTCCATTGTGTAAAAGCCTCGGCAATGTCATTTTGCCTGTTACCAATCCACCGAAGACAGCCCTGATCCATACGCCGTTTCCTGACTGGATTCGCTCTGCGGGAATTGGTATCCTCAAGTCAAAACCCGACCCTTTGCTTGACTCTCTACAGTTCCGGAATGGGACTGGTGAGTTTGTCTTCTGGAGCGCCCAAGATCCAGGCTACAATACCACGATGAGAAGTACAGACAGATGGGAAGGAACTGAGGCTGCAAAGATGATTGATACTGTCATGGTCGTTGCCAAGTCAGTTTCTCAGCAAACCAGACACTTGAGGGACAGACCTGAGCCCGAGGTTGGTGAGCGAGGAGCAGGCATCTATCTTCCTGAAGAAGTGATTGGGTACACGATATGCGCGATCGAGATCGCCCAAAGGAGCGTGGAGGCCGCGAACAGTGGGATGGTGGTTGACAACCTTTCGGACGCGCAAATGGGTATGATTCGCGGGCTGTTGACTTGTCTAGCCAAACTTGCTGCCTTGCATTTCAAGGACCGGGCCGACGAAGGCCGTGATGCCGTCAAACAAGCCATCATCAAGCGACTACTTCCCGAATGGAGTCGGACATCCCTCACCTCGTTTTCGTACCCGCTTCTTCTGCGAGACCCGTTTACAGTGCTAGTCGAGACCGCTGCTGTTGCTCCGGAGATGCTGCGTCACGTGCTCATTTTGGCATACTATGCGTGTCTTGCGCGGACGGTGATTGGGCTTGTCTATGTTTTAAACAAGACGCGAAGCCATAGCACCACTCAAGTACCTCGACGGGCGCATGAAGACATCTTTGGTGATGTCAGGATGTTTTTCATGAGTGTCGTGAGGCATTCTCCCGTTTTCGAACATACGGCGACCCTTGTGTTTGAGACATTTGGTGAAGCAAGGATCGAAAAGCTGCTGTACACTTTCACGCTGCCATTCCTTCGGCGAGCAGCCATTCTCTGCCGCTCAGTACTTCCTGCGTCATTCCCCACCCCGTCTGCATCCAGCGATGTTTGCGAGTACAATCGACTCCTCACATTGCTCAATATTCCCGCTCTTTCTGATCTCCCCAATCAGGATACGCTGCAAAACGCGTTGTCGGGTTGGTGTGCTCACTATGGTCATTCGCATGCCGCGTCACAACTCAATTGTGGCGTCGTTCTGGATTATCCAGCGACTTATAAACTAGCGCGGCTTCCGCTGGTTCTCGACAACCTGTTTGGGGTGGGACAGCAGGAGCGTGCTTTGACATGTAGTCGTTGCCTGACAATGCCTGTTGATGCGGCAATCTGTCTGTTGTGTGGGACGACTGTTTGCATGCAGAGCGACTGTTGCCGAGACGAAGATGGGGAGCGGGAGCGCGGGGAGTGCAATATGCATCTTCGCGAGTGAGTTTCTTGTTTCCTTCAGCCATTCAGTTGTTAATCTTCTTGTCAGCTGTGGGGGTGCTATTGGCGTCTACTTCCTCGTGAAGCGGTGCATGCTGCTCTACATATACGCCAACAACGGAACATTTGCTCCCCCGCCATATCTTGACGCCCATGGCGAGGTCGACATTTCCATGCGGCGCGGTCGGCGACAATACTTGCACTATGCCCGCTGGGAGGAGGTGCGCAAGACCTGGCTGTCGCACGGAATTCCAACGGTGATTGCGAGGAGGCTTGAGGCGTCATTGGACTCGGGTGGTTGGGAGACTTTGTGATTCAGAGTCGAAGGAATTGTACATTAGCCCATTTTTTTCGCATAGAGAGCTAGATTGTCATTTGCACATTGCTATGTAGTTTTACAAGAAAGACACTACCTTTGACTTGACCTGAGCTCGAAGTGGTATGGGATTGATCTTCTTGGCCTCTGACGACGATGAGTCTCCGTCAATCAACAGCGTGAGTTATAACTTATTGGCTGAAAATATCAGTTTCAAGTCTTCCAGTCAAGGCCAACGAAAGAGAGCTTATGGGCCTTATGGATCGGCTTAGCTTCGGAAGTTCGGGCTTGCAGTCCAGCCGTCAGCGTTGATGTGACAAAGCTGCCGACGCCAAGGCGGCTGCAGTAGGGTCCATCGTTTCACAAGTACTCTAGGGGAAACAGATAAGAAGGCTCGCTCTACTATTACTAGCGCCCCGAGACGAGCATGATTTACCTATTATTTCTGGTCGGAAGCAGAGGAAAGCATGCTTCGCGGTGCCTGATTGTGATTTTTTTCGGAAAGGCTGTGCTGATCTGTCAAAGACACTTCTCTCCGACTTCCGTCCTTCGTTCATTGCTACGACCATAGACAACGACTTACTCCTACTGCCTACGCCTACCCTCACGCCCACGCACTCTAAAAGACGATGGCCCCGTCTGTGGAAGCGAAATCCAAGTCGGCTCATCCTCCTCAAATCCAAGAAATCCACCTCATCAAGAGCGCCCCGCCAGCCTCATTGACTGGGATAATCATCCTGCCGCCTTCTTATCGAAGAAGACAAGGAGGAGACGAATCATCGTCGTCCAACTCGGACGAGACAATGCTGGCGCATAGCTCATCAGTGCCAGATTTGCGAGGGGAAGACAAGGGGTTGGACTTTGACGAGTCTGAGAACACCGCTCACCTTTCCCGTCGTCTGAGCACTAGTACCAGCTCACTAAACGTCAAATTCGCCCCACTCCCCCAACTGGCGCCGCGAAAGCGCAAATCGAATGCCCCCCTTGGAAGTGAGTTAATCCATTCTGGTACCTGGCACGTAATAATCTCTTTCACTAGTTGCCTCTCGAGCGACAATGATGCGGCGACGGAGAGCTGGAACCCCTGGCTACGATATGAATGGCGACCCGCTACCACCGACACCACCAATGTGGACTGACGAAGAAATGCAACGTCACGCCGAGCGGGTCATGGCCGAACGCAATGGCCAGCCTATCCCGCGCGACTATGCAGACGACCCGCTGCTCCAATTGGGGCGCAAAATGAAGAGTGCGTGGCGGAAGATGAATAACAAAAAGTCTCCGTCCAGTGACACCGAAAAGGGTGGCGATGTACCAACTGTTGTCGCCGAGCGAGTCGTTCTGGCGCCATTGCGGGCTGACAACACTAACAACACCGCGGCCACTGAAGAGGAGGGAGGGGTTTGGGAGGAAGAAGTCAGCAATCAGTTCCCGCTCAATGTTGGCCAAACAGACACTGTCGCTGAGGGCCAATACCCGTGGTTAGCGCAATTGGCTGGACTGTCAAACTCTCCAGTCGACGAGAAATCCGATCCATCCCAACGACCCGGAACCCTCTACATGACCATGCCCGACGAAGATGAGGAAGAAAACGAATCCACCGTTCCTTCACAAGAAACCTCGACGACATCGTCATCTCGAACTTCATCCATATCTGATTCCCCCCCTCCTACTGCAGTACCACGATCATCATAACACATCTAGTTCTCGCAATCTCTACTCTATTCCCAGGGCTAGCTAGCCTACTTGGTCTCTCCTTTACACCGACTCGTTCTTATCCTTATTGGTTTTCTCTCAGCTATTAGTCGGGTCTGCATGTAATTCATCGCGGTGGGACAATGACAAGTCTCTCCATTTGTCGCTCGGACCTTGGAAACAATTAAGGTTTTCGGCGCCGTAACTTTTGATCCAAGACTTTTGTTATGAACGCTCATGTCGTTGAAGCCTTCAAGACAGAAGACCTCGTTGAAGCCATTGTCTAACATGCATTTGCGGACGTGGAAGCTCCAATACTACTGGGGAAACATCACGTTCAATTTCTACCACAGGTACTACCACATATTAACCTCTGTCCTGACTAGCAATTATCAAAACAGCACCTTTTGGCAACTGTCTCGTCCCTCTTTACCAACCCCGTCCGCCGCTGCATCTACAACAACCTGCTCGTAATCGGCCCAGTCCGTCTCCGCTGACTTTTAAGTGTCCTACGGAACGCGCCAACTCTCGCGGCGCTCGTCAGAAACGCAACCGTTGCCGAAGAGTGTCGAGCCAGGAGCTTCGCTGTAAAGCGTGATGTGCAAACCGCGACATTACTTGCGATTTGCCCCCAACTTATAGGACTCACGGTCCAGGCCGGCCATACTCAAATTTTCTTGGCGCTGGCGGATCGAGGTATGAAGCTGACACACCTCCGCGTATTTGGGTGTCTCAAATGCAACGCTGACTCTACCTTGGCGGCGAGTGTCGGGTGGCGCTGGCTGGAGGACATGCTCGCTTTGCCTCGTTTGCGCCGCCTTTCACTTCTGAGCCTCGATCTATTCCGCAATTTCGAGGGCCCAGAGATCGACGAACGAATTGATTCCAATATAACTGAGCTGGTGGTCGGCGACCTGACGGGGGTGTTTTCTCTGGAGAGGATGAACTCATAAGGTGTGAACTGACCTTGCCTGGAAGTCAAATGGGGTTTTTGCGACATATTTAGATTATATTGTGATCAGTATAACATAACTTATCATTTTCGAATTGCAATTGACAACTCTGGGATAAATATAGCAGTGTTAAATCTATTTGATTTGGTCTAACTTGAATATGGTTTGTTCTATATGCAGGAACTTGTACACTGATTAATTAGTCTAATTCATAAGAAATCAACAGCTTTTTAGGAAAAACATTTATGTAAGACTTTCATAAAGGAAGAAACCTCAGAGTTAGATAATGACAAGAAGAGGATGAAGAGAAGGAAATGTGTAGCTCTATAAAAATTACCAATGACTTGCTTAACACAAAAATGGTCAGGAGACAGATAACTGTCTTGGTATTTTGCCATAAGCCCTATCATTATTGCATTGAAAAGTCATACAAAGAAAGACATAAGAAGAGAAAGACATAAGACATAAGAAGAAAAACAATTGCTAATCCAAAAGTCTGCCAGTAAGTATATTACTGCCTTTTGGAAAATGAAACCCCCTTTGGCAGCTTGGACCGGCCAGTAATCTCTCTTCTTCTTTCTTTCAGATTAGTAGCTATCCTAGACCGTTTAATCTCTGGAACAGCATTTTCATCTGATAGGCTTCGCTGTCGTTTTGGAGCCTGTCGAACAAAATAGCCTGCTGTTGGATTACGAGTAAAACCAATTGGATCTAGGCTTTGAGGAGGAGTATCAGCTTGGGACATCTCTATTATCTCAATAGATGAGGATTGAGACAATGGCTGAGTTGAAGGACCAGCAATTGGCTCCAAAGTAGGAGCCCGTCGACGAGGAGAACTGGTTATAATGTTGGGAGGAAGTCGTCGATGAGAACGGTCATCCACCCTATAAGAGAGTTGAACCATGCTTCTGCTTCTTGACCTGCTCCGAGCAGGGCTGCCAACAGATACAAATGAGGCAGCTGCAGGTTCAGGTCCTCCTGGAAGAGGAGGCTGGTTGGGAAGTCGCTACAAGAGATCAAAAAGGATTCAAAAGGAGAGAACAATAATACCACAAGGTCAAACAAACAAACTTTATGTCCTTCCTTGCCACGTGCACGCCGTGGTCGGTTAACACTATATAATCCGTCGTAGCGAAATCTTGCTTTAATCAGATTACCTTGCTTTTGTTAAAACCATCTCATACTTACCCTGATTTAGGAGCATATCTGGACTTGCATTTCTCCCCACGGATCACACGGACTGACCGGGCGGGTCTCAGAGCTCCTCTGCCAAGAATTGAGCCATGTGAACATCAAGATAGCACGCCGTTGTGTCACCTTAAGGGCAAGATTACCCAGAGTCTTCCAGTCTTGATCGCCCTCCTGGGGAGCATTGTCTTGTGGAGACTATTTCCCTCCTCAGTCCAAGTTGCTGACTTTGAACCATGCTCCCACCTTTGCTGACTTGCTGCCTTTGCCTGCATAAATGAATGAGTCTGCGCCGCACCTCTCCGGAGGCGCTTCAATTGGTACCTTGTCCCGTATAAAGACTATTACGACTTATGTGAGCGCTTTTCATAAGAAAGAGTAGTGCCAGACATTAAATCCCCGCTGTCCTCGTCATCCTCGTACCCGCCATTGACTACGACGGAGTACGCGCCAGTTGTGGTATTGGCCCAGATGCCCGCACGCGGAGGAGCATGCACCCCTGCTTGGGAAAGGGCTGCGCGATTGGGAAATGTTGAGCCGATGGGGAAGCCTCGGACGTTGCCGTATGTGCTGAAGAGAGTTATACTACTAGTATACATTGAAGTAGGGAAGAAGGGCACGGCATAGCGAATTGAACGTTGAAGAGAGAAAGAAGGGATAGGGCTTATGTGATCGACGCGCTGGGTCACGATGGCAATTTATACGAGTCACAGACAATGACACCGTCGATAAGATCGTAATCTTGGACAAAGTGTTTCTTGTTCTTTGAACAGTGCTTCTTGTTCCTTGTGCAGTGCTTTTTGTTTTTTGTACAAGGTCTTTTGTTCTTTTGTACAATTACAACTAGATGTACATTTGTTCGTCGTCAAGCCAAATAATGCCTCTTCCCAGGTCACAACCCCTTCAGGAATGCGCTCACGACTTCCCAGTATTTCTCTGTTTCGTCGATCATCGGAAGATGACCCGCGCCCGGCAATCTCGGCCAGTCGACCTTGGCAGCTGGCGTAGCTTCAAGCCATTTTTCGCGCAATCCTTTCATTCCAGCTGCAACTTTACCCCCGCCATCGAGCTCGCCGGCAACAAGCAGCACTTTGGTTTTGACATCGCTGTGCAGCAAATCGACGCCGTCTTCTGAAAGCGGTTTGAGTAGGTCGTACGACATGAGAGCGCCTGCTCCGAGCTCGAAAGCGGGGATGCTGGTGGTCGCAATCATTTTCTTGATTGTTTCTGTCCTTCCGTATCTCGAACCTCCTTGTCCACATTTGGACGGAGAAGGGAACCAGCGGTCAACAGTCACACTAGCTAGCTCCTCGATGCCTTTTGTTTTTGCAAGGGCAATACGTTCTTGCCATGCTTCCGCATTCCCTGGAGCAGTTTTGGGCCCCGTATCACATGAAATAACGCCTTCTGTGAGCGTGGGATAGAGTGCACCAAAGGCTAGAGCGGCAGCACCCCCTTGCGAGACACCGATGACGCATTTGACCTTTCCTGACGGAATAAGAATGGAAATGAGATGAGCCAGATCATGTGCGAGGAGAGGGATAGTGCACGGCGCTGCCGAAACAGACGACTGGCCATGACCGCGTTGAGAATGGAGGAGGATGTTGTAGGTGCCTTTGAACGGCCAATTCGGGGCTGACGGCCGGTGCAATTATGTGTGGGACAATCCATTCCCACATCCCCTCGTCCGTGAGCAATGAATTTGAGAAGGCAATCCAAGGAGCATTGGGGTGGGTGACGAGTGTTATGGCATGAATGTTGACGTTGGGCGCCAGCTCGATTGTGTGTTCAGTGCTGTCGACTGGCCATGGAACGACATCGTCAGAAGATCCGGCTATGTCCAAAGAGACCAAGAAGCGCGAGACCATGTTGTAGGTTGCGACCACTGCGGCAGCTTCAACCAGCAAATCTGCGACATCGAGATTAACACTCGATGCAAGTGGTTGGAGGTGCTGTTGTAAATCGGACATGACATCCTGCGGAACCTTCACGTGTACAGTGCTGTGGTCGGCAAAGGCCAGGGCAGCGGAATAGAGAGGGGAGAGGACATTCAGTTGAGGGGGGTGGATAGTATCGCGAATGGCCCAAAGTTGAGAAGTCGTGAGGCCATGGGAACGGCCAACATGCTCATGGTGAATCCATTCGTAAGCTGCATGATTTCTTGCGGCGACTTGGATCTCGGACGTCGCCTGGACCAACTGCACATTGGCCCTCCGACTTGCGTATCACGCTGACGACTTCGCCGCTCATAACGACGACGAGGGGCAGCGCGCGGCGTCGCAACGACGAGCTCATTGCGCAGACCACAAATGGATCAGCCCCAAACTCACGCGCCAGTCAAGTCTCAGCAAAAGTCAATATTCATCAACTAGAGAACAACAAAAAAAACAGTAACAACTCTGCAGTAACATGAGTCTCAGAGGACAACGGACAAGAAAAGCTTACCTTGCTCCCAAAGCAAGTCCACCATTACTTCTCGCCACCCTCGAGCAAATAAATGCTCGCGCACAATCTGCAGCGACGACATCAGCTTAATCATAAAATGAGCGTCCAAACTCACGCGTCGCACAGTCAATCGGCCTTGTCGTCATCAGCCCCAATTTTTCCAACGGCTATCGGGGACAACGGGAAACGCGTCGTTGTCTGGGAAGCAGAAAGAGTATGTCAGCGCCGCCAAATCGAGTCAAAGTACTCACATAGATTCATTGCACTCCCGCACGTTCAAAGCAACAAGAACTCTGGAAATATCAGTGTTGCCGACTGGTACCGCGCTCGCGAGTGACTACTATCCCGCATCCATCTTGAATAACGGTGCTTGTCAACGCGTTGTTATCCAGACTGTCCAGGCGTGTCAGCGGAAATAAAGGGAGTCGAAGAAAAGTACTAACCGCGCAAGTACAAAGCTGCCCTCTACTAAACACGAATAGACGCAAGCTGTTCCGCGGGTGACGCAGCCAAACTCTCGTTTGAGACGAGTAGTACCCGCCGATAAAGGATACAAACCGTAGCAGACTCCCATTTAAACATGTCAGCGAGAACGGAGTCAACGACAAAGTACTTACCACGCAACTGGGCCCGGTCAGATTACCGGGTCGAAGCGCCGAGACTGACATCACAGTTCGATGCAGGCGCAGAGGAATGGGTTGAAGGACGGCAGTAGAGCTGGTAGAAGAGTCAGAGTTGAAGCAAATGAAGTCTAAATAGTAGATGCTTACTTGGGCCGTGGCAGCGTTGAAGTTGCCGACGCAAGCGCTGGACGAGGCAGCAGCCTCAATGGCCCGCAAACATATGGAGCCGCCAGAAAGCAAGCCGCGGTGGTCAGCCAAGACGGCGAGTTCGGCCCGGGTTAGCTTGTTCCTTCGGGCTCGCAACAAGCCAGCGTTCGCGACCAGCTCGGGAAAACGCGTCAAGGCGGGCGCGTGTTGGTGGTTAGAAGAAGGTACAGCCTCAAGCAGGCACGTGCTCGTTGACAGCGGCCTTTTGCCGTCATCTTCCACCCGCCCGGGCTCGAAACGGCCCTCTGTCGTGCTCTCAAACTCACAACGGACTCTTTCGCTGCCGCGAACGGCGAGCACACTCAGCATCTATCTACGTCGGCACTATCTCAGGCTAACTCGCCACTCTTGGGCATATCTCGCAAGTCCGACGCCAACTCCCAAGTCACCACTGCCCACCAAACAAGCCGCATTGCCGCCAGCTATGACCCAAGTCACCAAATCGCCGGCTTCGTCTCCCGCGTTCAATGCCGCTCTTCCACGCCAAGGTCTATCTTGCCCTGAATATCACAGTAAGTCTTTGCAAATAGTCTCCAGCTGCGAGCGAAAATGCTTACGCTGACGACTATACTCCAAACCCGCCGTACCGACGTATCTCACCAAAGCCCCAAGCTGCTTCATCGCCGGCAATTAGCAGAGCCAGCCCGACTGCGCCAATTCTGGCCGAAGAGACCTATAACGAGTTAATGGTCCAAGACACAAGCCTAAATCGCCATAACACGTACTTGGGCAGTCAAAAATGGCCTCTTTGAACCCCGCAACGACTCCAAAGCAACCGTAAATCGCGCCAAAACTGCAGTCAGGTCAGTACAAGCAGAACGGCAGGAATTGAACGCGCGATAACGGCCCCTTCTCTCAGCGCGTTCAAGTTGGCGGGTAGCTCTGGCGAAAACTAACGTGTGCTGCGAACACTACAACAAGGTCAGCAAAACTCGTGAGTGAGCGAGATGAAGCGAACGAGCTGGATAAATGGGATGGGAGAGTCGGCGGGAATGCGGTCTGGGGAACGGTAAGCATGCTCAGCTACTTGAACGAGAGAAAAAGCGCGCTCACCTATTGTCAGTGCACAGTTTCGCCTCCAACGCGCAAGGCCATGCGCTAACACCCGTCGTCGACGATGCCCAAACAAACTACAAGATTGTCAGCAGGACGGTGGGAAATGAGTGAAGGGAATCAAACAAGGGTGGTCGGCGGGATATGGGAGTCGACCACAACTAGAGAACGGTAAGCAGGATACACAACGATGGGGGGAAACTGTACTTGCAAAACCAACGACACGCGCCACCGTCTGCAAACTCTAAGAGCGTCAGCACAACGTTGCGGGACGCGAGCAAGTGAGGCGAATTAGGATAATCTGGGGAACGGTAAGCGTGCTCAATGACGACGAGAGGATGATTTACTGACTGTTCAGAAGAGAACAGCGATGAATCGAAGGCTGAGTGGAACATGTGAGGAATGGGGTTGGGATTGGAAAGGGACGAGCAATGACACGTGAGGTTGACAATCGAAGATGGTGGGAGGAAAGAAAAGAGGGGTTGCGCAACAGTTGAAGGCCACGGCCTTATATACTCTTAGCGAGTGGGGCTTCCATAACGCACACCGCCCGGGCTGGACAGTGTCGTTATCGTTGCAATGATCATTTCTGGAATGGATGAAATGTCAGTCTAGAATGCGTAAGCGAGCTATTTTGAAACGTGGGCTAGCTAGGGAAAGTACTTGCGAGTATCTCTGAGGCAGAATGTGAATAGATTAAGCACAGAATGGGTGCTCAACTCATGAAATAACAAACCAGGGATCGAGTCGAAACTGGGTTGGGAGAGAGGCTTGCGAGACCCCAATAGACGCGGCACAACCTACAACACGGCTATACCTGTCAAATGGAGTCGTTGCAGTGCTTCGATCGCCCGCCCGTGCTTGGTAACACGGGAATCAGCATGCGCGGCGGCAATATTTGGCCAAGATCGTACGTTGACGACGACTAGTGAACAATCAGGCAACTGTTTAGGGAAATGAAACTTCATTCCCACCTTCCGGCACATTTAATCGGGCAATATGGGCCACACTTGCTGCAGCGATGCAAAATCTGGATATTGCAGTTGCGACGCAAACAGTTGTGCATCGCAAGGGCTGATAAGGCTCGGATATAGGTGGTAGACCAGGACTTCATAATCTCTTAAAATTGTCTGATTTGACCCCAGTCAAAATGTGTGAGGCTCGATGATTCCGAGGTGTACCGGGGGGGATTACCTGATTTGGATTCAGGTGTGAGTGGTGATGGCGATAGAAAGTTGAGCGGCGAGAGGTAACGCGTCCCAGAGAAAATCTGGCATGCGGCGCGTCGAAAAGCGTTGTTTTCGCCAGATTATTGGTGTCAAACTTGTTCAAAAAGGAAAATAAAGGCTGCTATGCAAAAGCAAAAGCGTTGAAGCGTCAGCAACAAGGGTGAAAGGCCAGCAGCCACCTGAGCAAGGAGACCATACTTTCTGACTGAGTCGGGTAAAGATCGCGTGCACCCCCCGCCTGTCACCTGTTGCCATTCATATCTGCCGCTTCCTTTCTGTGGTATGGTAACCGAGACCCTGAGTGCTCCCTGAAACGCCGCCCGAGCTCCATTGGCGGTGCTCGCTTCAGCTCGCTTCCCTGACCCTGGCCGCGACCACCGGACGATGCCGGAAAGGCCAAAATAACTCCGCGGTAACTTGGGCGCGCCACCATGGGCTCTACTACTCCCACCAACTTTGGAGTGGACTTGCGATGGAAATGCGTACCCTCTCACGACTGGCCCGTATCTACTCACGGTCATGGTGATGCTCGCCACTTCACGGGCAAGCCGCCCGACGGCTCACAACGATCTCCGCCCGCAATCAATCACATATTATCACATCTACGGCATGATCACTCATCAAACCCGTGCTTGTCAACAAGGTCACGCCCTCTTCCTGGTTGTCTCCGCTCCACCACAATCCCTCTCGTCGTCACCCTCGACAACCTCTCTCTTCGATGTCGCCGCCTCCATCCTGCTCGTATGTTTGCCTTCTTCTGCATTCCTCCCTCGTTACTGACCAACACTTTCTAGCGTGTTTTCTGTGCCCAAAACTGAGGCCGCCGCCCAGCGAAGGCGTTCTCAAGCCCAGCCAACCCATCAACGTCCTTGAACTTGGTCTGCAGAGCCTCGCTCGACTCAGCCATGGTTAGTACCTCACCTTCCTCTTCTTTATTCCCTTCACTGACCGTGTTTTTTCAGTCGTCTGCGACTTCTTGCAGACGGGGAGCGCCAACTTGAGCTTGGACTTGGCAGTCAAGCCCCCTTCCGCTCCTTCAAATTCTTACGCGACGGCGTTTCCACGATCACGACGGCATATACGGCAGCGAAAATTTACACCACCACCACACGACACTGACCCACTCGGAGCGTAGCTCTCTTCAACTCCTCCGAGTCGTCATTGTTGTTGAAGACTATGGAGAGCGCCAACTTGAACCCTCGACCTGCTTCAGGCTACCGTGACCAACAGCTCCACCACCATGCATGTCCTTGCGCTTGGCACCGCCGCCGCCTCTGCCAGTGGCTCGTAAGTCTTCCCTCTGTTGGACTCTCCAGCGTGCTAATTTGTTTCTTTACAGACAGGCCTAGCGAACGCTGACCGTGGCTTCAAGCGGGTTGTGACTGCCCTCTGGCTCTGCATCAAGGGCTTGTTTCCCGATATCAACATCCTCCTTGCCCGTTGTTCTAAGGGGGGCCCTTTGGTGCCGGTTCAAACCAAGGTTTGTGGACTTTTACTTGCTTTCTTCACTTGGTTGATGTTCCGTCTTCAGAATCAACCCTTTGCGCTAACATTCCCTTTCGGCGGCGTCAATCTGCTGCGACCATCCCCTCCGCCAGCAGCAATGTGCGAGTCCAACGACCTCCCACTCGTATTCTTGGCCATCATGACCTGAGCTACTCTCGACAGGGATGCGAGGCATCATCACTGTTCTCGACGCAGCTGTGAGTACTTATGCCTTTCCCTTTTGATCATTTGTTCATCTTCAACAGAAACCAGCGCGCTAAGTGTCATCCCGAGTAAAGCTTTCAAGCTTTTGCTCTGCCGCTGTTGTTGGGACTGGTAAGTTTATTCAAGCCAGCTTTCTTGCCATTGTGACATCGTTTTTCCAGTTGTCTTGTCCCTGTCTATGCGGCGTCAGCACTCTGGCTTGTGAAATCATGCATCTTCTCTGGTGCTCGTGTCCGCGATGGGGGGAACCTTTGCAACACCTTGTGGGTTGATCTTCACTGCTGTATGCTCTCAGCAGCTCACCACTCGTAGCTCTGTCCGTCCCCAATACCGCTGTTGCCTGCGTCTCAACGCTCCGCCATGCCAACAAATTTGCCGGCTGCCTTGGCGAAATTTAGGGATCGCCAGACGATTACGTAAGCAGTTCGAGCCCCACCCTAGGACGAGTAATAACTGACTTTTTTTTCAGGATTTTTGACCCGCCAGAGGCACATAGCGCCTCTCGCACAGCGTTGTCAGATGCTGAGGATTTTGCCTCAGCACAGCTCGCAGTTGCCTGCCCGACTTGACCGCTTGATTTGGAGACCTCAAGCCCATTACGTAAGCGGTTCGACTCCCAAACAAAACATAATAATTAACTGACTTTTTTTCCAGGATTTTTGACCGGAGGCACATCCTGTCCCCTACCGCAACCACCTCGGATGCTGGGGCTTTTTGCCTAGCATCCCTCGCTGTTCCACGCTGATTGTACCGACACTGTCTGCATTACGTAAGCAGTTCGATCCCCCCCAAAACGTGAAAAATAATTGACTTTTTTGTTCAGGTTTTGACCTGCCGGAGGCATGTTCAGTTTCATCGGATGCTGGAGCTTGTGCTCCCACATTCCTTGTCTCCCACCTCCACTTCCTCGGTGCAGGTTATTTCCATATTTGGATTCTGCCGAGCCCGGCATCGGCCGCCGCTGATCCCATCATCAAATATTGATGGTATTCTGGTGAGCATTCTGGCTGACTTTTTCCAGCATTCAAGGCTCACTTTTTCACAGGGTTTTGCCACCGGAGGCGCACAAGCCGCCCTGGACTTCAAAGCTTTCGGCTGTGTGGTTTCCTCACAGGCCCCCCTGCCCTGCCAGTTGACCACGGGTTGATGCCATCATCACGATTTGATGGTATTTTGGTGAGCATTCTGACCCGCTTTTTTCTGATTCAAGGCTCACTTTTTTGCAGGGCCTTGCCGCCGGAGGCGCGCATGCCGCCCCCGGCCTGCAAAGTTCTCGGCTGTGTGGTGTACACACGGCCACACTTCTCTTTCATGTCCCGCCATCATCTCCTGCCTCCCGGCCGGCCCTCACTTCCTCGCGTTGACCATGGACTTCCGGCCAACACGCCGAACAACCTTCCGAGTCTGACCATCACCGAGCTACACCCTTCGCGACAACTCTCCCTCACGGCGAACACGCTCAGCCTGTTAATGCCGGCGTCATATTCCTGGTCCGGCCTTGCTGCATGCTGCCATCATCCCCTGCGATAATATTGGCCATCACATCCTTCAAGCTCGGCCTATCCTTTCCCAAACATACCACCATCATCTGGCGAGCGGCCAGCCCGGCCTGCTCTGCGTCCTACCCTTTCCGAGTCAACCGCCCACCCTCCTTGGCCATCAATTTCGATGGTCCACCCGCGTTGACGAGATGGATGGGCCGAGGGAAAGTTATCATCCGGCACCTGGTTGCCCGGCCACCTGCGTCACGTTCCCTCCCGGCCCGGACCCCTCAAGGTGGGCATCAACCGCCTGCTCGGGGAGCTGGCCCGCGTTCCCTTTCTTGCCGGCACGTCCTTTGGCTACTGTCTCCGCGGGATACATGTCTGCGTTCACTCAGCTCTTACTACAATCCCCCCCGTTCGGCCGTTGCTTTCATACCCACCGTGACAATCGACTCCAAACGTGTCATTGTGCCGAGGCGCCTTGACGCCACGGGCCGAGGGCTGTGGTTGGCGGATTAGCCTCGCGACGGCGGACTTGCTCCACCTTCCCGCGGGATAATCTCGGCCATCAACTTCCTGGGAGCCGGGCGGGCAATTTCTGGAGTTGGAGGGCAACGAGATGGTGGGCCGCGTCGTTTCCTGCCACGTTCACTCAGTCCGGACCTTCCTTCCCGACTGCCCGCCAACCTTTGCAACGACTCAGCCGTGTCACATTCTGTCACCGGCCTGCTGCCTTCAAGTTTGCGGCCGCTCCACCCTCTGGCTGCGCGTGTCACACCTCCTGCCCGCCCGACTCCTCCGCTTGCCGGCCCGCCCTTTGCCGTCGACTCCCGTCTTGCCCCTCCGGGCTTTTGCGACAGCTTCGGCAACACGTCTGGCCATCAACCAGCTGAAAGCGTGGACTTGGGCACATTTTGGCCGTTGCGCCGTTACTTTGTAAGTGCATTTTAGTGTTAAAGAGCTCAATTTTTTGCAGGTTCGAACCGCCGGAGGCCCGCGTGGAGGGAGGGCGATGAACGGAGCGTGCTTAGCGCTCTGTCGCTGTTGCGGAGGACTTGGTGTCGGAATGAATGAACCGGGCCGGGTGGATCAAACGCGTCGCGACGCGTCTTAGTAGCGCGCCTGGATGTTATCAATAGGCCAATACATGACTTTACACTGTTCTATGCCTGCCCGGAGTGCCCGAAAGTTACTCCAAAACCCTGTCTCCCCCAAACGATGCCCGAGACTGCCGTTAGACGGGTCCAAAACCTCAAATTTTCTCCCCCAGTAGGTTTAACTCGTGACTTTTTAGAGGTCCGTGCGCGAGGAAAAGAGGTATATTAGAGGGGTCCCTCGCTCGCGCGACTTGGCGAGCGAGCGCGACTTAGCGTTGGAGCGCGGCGTGCAAGCGGGGGTAACATTTGACATGTGAAATATTTGAGGGTGGAGACGCATACACACATGATCTGCGCCGCACGCGTGCTGAAGAGAGTTATACTACTGGAAGAAGGGCAGACGCACGGCATAGCGAATTGAACGTTGAAGAGAGAAAGAAGGGATAGGGCTTATGTGATCGACGCGCTGGGTCACGATGGCAATTTATACGAGTCACAGACAATGACACCATCGATAAGATCGTAATCTTGGACAAAGTGTTTCTTGTTCTTTGAACAGTGCTTCTTGTTCCTTGTGCAGTGCTTTTTGTTTTTTGTACAAGGTCTTTTGTTCTTTGTACAATTACAACTAGATGTACATTTGTTCGTCGTCAAGCCAAATAATGCCTCTTCCCAGGTCACAACCCCTTCAGGAATGCGCTCACGACTTCCCAGTATTTCTCTGTTTCGTCGATCATCGGAAGATGACCCGCGCCCGGCAATCTCGGCGAATCGACCTTGGCAGCTGGCGTAGCTTCAAGCCATTTTTCGCGCAATCCTTTCATTCCAGCTGCAACTTTACCCCCGCCATCGAGCTCGCCGGCAACAAGCAGCACTTTGGTTTTGACATCGCTGTGCAGCAAATCGACGCCGTCTTCTGAAAGCGGTTTGAGTAGGTCGTCACGACATGAGAGCGCCTGCTCCGAGCTCGAAAGCGGGGATGCTGGTGGTCGCAATCATTTTCTTGATTGTTTCTGTCCTTCCGTATCTCGAACCTCCTTGTCCACATTTGGACGGAGAAGGGAACCAGCGGTCAACAGTCACACTAGCTAGCTCCTCGATGCCTTTTGTTTTTGCAAGGGCAATACGTTCTTGCCATGCTTCCGCATTCCCTGGAGCAGTTTTGGGCCCCGTATCACATGAAATAACGCCTTCTGTGAGCGTGGGATAGAGTGCACCAAAGGCTAGAGCGGCAGCACCCCTTGCGAGACACCGATGACGCATTTGACCTTTCCTGACGGAATAAGAATGGAAATGAGATGAGCCAGATCATGTGCGAGGAGAGGGATAGTGCACGGCGCTGCGAAACAGACGACTGGCCATGACCGCGTTGAGAATGGAGGAGGATGTTGTAGGTGCCTTTGAACGGCCAATTCGGGGCTGACGGCCGGTGCAATTATGTGTGGGACAATCCATTCCCACATCCCCTCGTCCGTGAGCAATGAATTTGAGAAGGCAATCCAAGGAGCATTGGGGTGGGTGACGAGTGTTATGGCATGAATGTTGACGTTGGGCGCCAGCTCGATTGTGTGTTCAGTGCTGTCGACTGGCCATGGAACGACATCGTCAGAAGATCCGGCTATGTCCAAAGAGACCAAGAAGCGCGAGACCATGTTGTAGGTTGCGACCACTGCGGCAGCTTCAACCAGCAAATCTGCGACATCGAGATTAACACTCGATGCAAGTGGTTGGAGGTGCTGTTGTAAATCGGACATGACATCCTGCGGAACCTTCACGTGTACAGTGCTGTGGTCGGCAAAGGCCAGGGCAGCGGAATAGAGAGGGGAGAGGACATTCAGTTGAGGGGGTGGATAGTATCGCGAATGGCCCAAAGTTGAGAAGTCGTGAGGCCATGGGAACAGCCAACATGCTCATGGTGAATCCATTCGTAAGCTGCATGATTTCTTGCGGCGACTCGGATCTCGGACGTCGCCTGGACCAACTGCACATTGGCCCTCCGACTTGCGTATCACGCTGACGACTTCGCCGCTCATAACGACGACGAGGGCAGCGCGCGCGTCGCAACGACGAGCTCATTGCGCAGACCACAAATGGATCAGCCCCAAACTCACGCGCCAGTCAAGTCTCAGCAAAAGTCAATATTCATCAACTAGAGAACAACAAAAAAAACAGTAACAACTCTGCAGTAACATGAGTCTCAGAGGACAACGGACAAGAAAAGCTTACCTTGCTCCCAAAGCAAGTCCACCATTACTTCTCGCCACCCTCGAGCAAATAAATGCTCGCGCACAATCTGCAGCGACGACATCAGCTTAATCATAAAATGAGCGTCCAAACTCACGCGTCGCACAGTCAATCGCGGCCTTGTCGTCATCAGCCCCAATTTTTCCAACGGCTATCGGGGACAACGGGAAACGTCGTTGTCTGGGAAGCAGAAAGAGTATGTCAGCGCCGCCAAATCGAGTCAAAGTACTCACATAGATTCATTGCACTCCCGCACGTTCAAAGCAACAAGAACTCTGGAAATATCAGTGTTGCCGACTGGTACCGCGCTCGCGAGTGACTACTATCCCGCATCCATCTTGAATAACGGTGCTTGTCAACGCGTTGTTATCCAGACTGTCCAGGCGTGTCAGCGGAAATAAAGGGAGTCGAAGAAAAGTACTAACCGCGCAAGTGTAAGGGCAACCCCGGAGGCCTGAGATCAAGGTCCTAGCAGGGGAGGATCCAAAGGGTGAACATTGGTAAGCAAATACAAATGAAGCTGACCTAGCAGGGGAGGATCCAAAGAGAAGAAACTCTAAGGGTCCGCCTGCTAGGTAGCGGAACTATATACTGCGCTCTTGACGCGCCAAGGTTGATCGTTGCTCCGTGCAGTATGCCTGCGCCATGTCGCAGGCCAGGTCCCAGGGGGATCGCCAGGCGGGGGCGGCGATGCGCCTGACGGAGGCGGTGATGCGATCACCGGAGCCGGAACCGGAGTCGGACCGGAATCGGGATCGTCTCCGAGGGGCCGAAAGGGGAGGTTCCCCTGACATCACCCCCCCTTTGAATGCGGCGTCCCGACGCATAGACCGGAACGGAATCGAGTCGAAGGTTGCGGAGGCGATGTGCCGTGGTTTGCCAGGGTACTTACGGTAGAACTCCGCGATTTTGTCCGGGGCGAAGACGCGGTCGAAGCGGACCCACTGGTCGTGCGACGCGTCGTAGCCTTTCCATCTGACGGTAATTCAGCCGTTTATACCTCACCCTTGCGTCCAAGATCTCCTCTACTTCCCACTCCGGGACTCCGTCCTCGAGGTCCGGAGGGGGCTGGTCGTAGCCGGGGCGTCCGTCGAAGGGGTCGTCTTGGGCGAGCTCAAGCTTGACGACGGGGAAGACCGGGTGGAGCTTCGAGTAGCGCGGAGGGAGGTCGAGCTTGTAGGCACCTTTGCTGATCTCCGCGACTATCTTGAACGGACCGAGGCGGCGGTGGGAGAACTTCTCCGAGGGGCGAGTCGTCCTGATGTCAGAGGCATCCAGCCAAACACGGTCGCCAACCTTGAACTCCGGAGACGGAGTGCGTCTCCGGTCGTAGTAGCGCTTATACTCTTCCTTGGCCTTAGTGAGCGCGGCCTTGGCTTCGGCAACCCCAGTGGCAATTCGGTCGCGGAACTCGTTCACAGACTCCATAGCGGAACGGGCTCCGGGTTCAAAGCCCATGCGCGGAAGCCGTCCCGTGTCCGTCATGAAGGGGACTTGCTGCGTGGATGAGTGGACGTGGTTGTTGTAAGCGAACTCCCGGCCGGAATCAGCTCATCCCAGTCGTCCTGCTGATAGTTGGTGAAGATCCGCAGGTACTGCTCCAACTCCTGGTTGACGCGCTCTGTCTGACCGTCCGTTTGCGGATGATACGCGGTGGACGTGGCTGGCTTGATGCCGATTAGACGCCAGAGTTCTCGGGTGAAGTCCGCGATGAACTGTGAGCCACGGTCGGAGACGTACTTCTCCGGAGTCCCGTGATGGCGCCAGACATTCCGGTAGTAGAGGCGGGCTGCTCCTACTGCATCGACCGTGGTATGGCACTCGGAGAAGTGGGCTCGCTTCCCAAGGGTGTCCACGACGACCATGATCGCGTCGTACCCATGGGCCTCGGGAGCTCGACAATGAAGTCGACGGAGACGGTATGCCAGCGCTCGGGGTGTTTCCGTCGGGTGTAGCTCTCCGTGGGGCAGTCTCCGGAGCGCCTTGGTGCGACAGCACAAGTCACAGGTCGCTACATACCGGCCGATATGGCGAGACATCTGAGGCCACCAGTAGTTCCGGGAGACCAACTCCAAGGTCTTGAAGCGACCGGCATGTCCGGCGACTCGAGTGTCATGGCAGAGCTCGATGATGCGCCTCCGGAGGTCCTTGTCCTTGGGCACGACAATCTTCCCACGGAAGTGGAGAAGACCACCGGAGACGGCCCACTCGTCGGAGCGTGAGGAGCGGGGGCCTCGAGCTTGACCTTGGACCTTTAGGAGTTGCCGGGCCGCTAGTGCGACGGGCTCCTCCAGGTCAGGCTCACCGGAGAGGGCATCGCGAATGTCGCGAAGAAGTTCGGAACCGGGACCGGAAACGGAAACACCCTCGAGTGCGCGGACGTGGAAGAGTTCGGGCCGCAGAAGGACGACGCCGGAGTTGTCGGAATCGATTCCGTGGTCGGGTCTCCGAGAGAGGGCGTCAGGTCGGCCCATGTCGCGACCGGGCTTGTGGTGCAGCGTGAAGTCGAACCGGGAGAGGTAGAGGGACCAGCGGGCCTGTCTCCGGTTGAGGTGCTGCGTCTTCCTGAAGTACTCCAAATTCTTATGGTCAGTCCAAATCTCGACGGGATGCGCGGCACCCTCGAGGAAGTGTCTATACTCCTCGAGTGCGCGGATGATCGCGAGCATCTCCTTGTCGTGGATTTCGTAGTTGCGCTGGACATCATTTAAGCTTTTGGAATAGAATGCTACAGGGTGCCACTTCCCGTCCGGGGCGGATTGTGAAAGAACCGCCCCGTCGCATAATCAGAGCTGTCCGCCTCGAGTCGGAAAGGCCGTGCGTCGTCCGGAATCGCCAGGACCGGTTCCGAGGTGACCGCGTCCTTGATCGCTTGGAACGCGGAGGCCTCCGCGTCGCCCCAAGTCCATTGCTGGTCCTTCTTGGTGAGCGCAAAGAGAGGACGCGAGGGCCGAGAAGTCGCGAATGAACCTGCGGTAGAAATTAGCGAACCCAAGGAACTGCTGAACATCCTTCTTGTTTTCCGGAGTCGGCCAGGCGGAGACGCCTGCGACCTTGACGGGGTCCATTTCGACGTGGTTGTGGGAGATGATGACTCCGAGGTATTCGATTGACGATTTTTCGAAGTCACACTTCTCCGCTCGGAGGTACAACTTATGCTCTCGGAGTCGGCGCAAGACCTCCTGGACGATCTGTCGGTGTTTCCGGAGGTCGGAATGGGCGATCAGGATGTCGTCCAGGTAGATCATGACGTCTCCGGAAAGGATGAGGTCCTGGAAAATGTCATTCATCATCGTTTGGAACGTCGCGGGAGAGTTTGTCAGGCCGAAATACATCACCAAGGGCTCGAACAGGCCTCGGTTAGTCCGGAAAGCTGCCTTCCACTCGTCACCTTCTTTGATCCGGACGTTGTTGAAGCCCCAACGAACGTCGAGTTTGGTGAAGTAACGAGCGCCTTTGAGCCGGTTGATGAGGTCGTTGATCAGCGGAAGGGGGTACCGGTTTTTGACGGTCATCGCGTTGAGGGCCCGATAGTCCTGGACAAAGCGGAGTCCGCCGTCCTTCTTCTTGACGAAGAAGACCGGAGACGCCATCGGAGACTTGGAGGGGCGAATCCGGCCCGTCGACAGCCCTTCCTCGATGAACGCGTCGAGCTCGCGTTGCTCAAGGGGCGAGATGGGGTACACCTTGCAGTTGGCCGGCTTAGCGTCGGGGACGAGTTCGATGGCGTGGTCCCAGGTTCTCCGTTCCGGGAGCGTGTCGAAAGACTCCTTGTTGAAGACGTCCTGGAACTCTTTAGCCCAGCCCGGGATCTCGGAGGGCGGGGGAGCGGAGTTCCTGGCGAAGGCTTCAGCCAGGCGCTGCGAGACAGTACTGCCAGCGCGTATCTCCTCCGAGGGACGGAACGAGGTGTAGAAGATGCGGTCACCATCTTCAAGCTGACCATCGTCATCGTCGTCGTCAGAGTCCCGGCGTCAGATCAGGCAGGCCGGAGTCGTCGCCGGAAACGGAATCGTCTCCGCTCATCAGACCCAGAAAGGTCCATGGCGCAGACCAGGGGAACGGGCCGGAGCGGAGTCGCTTCTGGAGCAGCCGGAGTCGCCGTAGCTCAGTCCGTTCAACCGTTCTTCCTCGCGGCAAGTGGAGCAGCCGCGGGGCACCCGTCATCTTGACCTCCTTGGTTTCCCAATCGATCTCTGGGTTATGCTTCCGCAGCCAAGAGTACCCCAGGATGAGGTCTTGTTTACCGAGATGGGTGACGGCGAGTTGAACGCGCTCGGAATGGCCTTTGTAGCGTAGGACCAAGTCCGCGATCTGGTTGATGGAGCCAGCATCATTCGGAGTGCCATCGACGTTGAAGACCGGAATCGGCTGCGCCAGGGTGCGGACCGGAATGCCATTCCGGCGACGTAGTTCGTGTCGATGAAGTCGGAGGTGGCACCACAGTCAACAAGCCCAGAAAGGGAGAGCTTCAACGCACTGGTGGTGGACTCTAGCTCCAACGGGAGGT